AGGGGGAGAATCAAAGGCAAAGGACAGCGACACAGGATGATGATCAGAGTTGATACTCATATTAGAGTGTACGATCAAGGAAGGATGCAAGAGGCCATGGGTACCAATGAACAAGTCAATGATACTACCAGCAGCGTAGGAGATGTATGACATTGGATCATTCACAGGTTCACCATCATCCGTACAGTCACTATCATCACTAGAATCAGAGAGCAGATCAGAATTATCAGCCGTAACACCAGACACAGCACCACCATCGAGGGAGACACCAATACCAGGACCACGACCAGAGACACCAGAAGCACCAAGAACACCACTACCACCAGAGTCATCAAAAGAGCCACCACCAGAGACAACACCAGAGACGACACCAGAACCAGCAGCAGCACCATCAGGGACACCAACAGGAGCACCAACAACATCAGAAGCACTAGCACTTGACGACACATTCGCATCATCGTGATGGACAATACGACGACGACATTGTTTGACAAGTGTAGGCTCACCAAAAGCGCTGGTATAGTATAGTGGCAGTACATCACGTTGTGGCCGTGTCGACGCAGGTTCGATTCCTGCTACCAGCATTTAATTTTGCTTTTGTTTCTCTCGGGGGTGTATGTAGCACTGTCTGCTTGGTCATGTAATTTTTTTTTTGTCGTTGCGAATTGCAACACCCACTTTCTTGTCACTACATATAATCATCCATCTTACTCTTCATCATCAAACAAAATACATTACACTTAGTATCGCATAATTTACATTCCATTCACAACTCAATTTGACTCGAAGATGCCGCATATCAAGCGGGCATACATTAAAGGCCCAGATCAGCTCTTCTACAATGTCTTCCGTATCCAAAAAGGACAATCATATTATCAAACTCTATTTCTTAAATCCATAAAGTGCAATGACATAACCGAGGCATACGAAATAATATGCATGAGCTCTGGTAAGTTAAGTAAGTTATCCCTCGAAGGTTATTAATACAGAAATGTTATCAAATCTCAATTCAATCCTTATTAACCAGGACATTATCGCAGACATATAGAATTATAACATAATAAATGTTCAATCCCTAGACACTTCTACAGCTCTATTATGGAAACTGAGTTGCTAGGCATTTGTCTGGCATGGCTCATATATGATTAGAGATTTTATATTAAATCGTTATCAATCAACAAACAAGTTTCTTCTAACATTTTAACTATTATTATTAATTTTGCGATATTAGCCAAAGGTTTGTGGCAGAGTGAGCTACCTCAGCGTGGGCTGACTTCCACCAAAGCAAAGCGTCGGTCAGGAAACCGATCAAACAGTCAAAAGGCTCATCATAACATAATAAATGTATGGCCCCCAGACACTTTCAAAGCCTTAAAACGGAAAGACGTTGGTCTGGCAAGTATTTGAATAGACTGGCGTTATAAAATATAGCATCCAAAGAAATAACATGGTTAACAACAGTATTGTGTAACTTGTCATCTACTTTCCATACGCTTCAAAAGCATCTATTATTGTATTGCCTTCATGATGAAAAGGGTATTGAGTTTGATAGCCGGCCCTACCAGCCAAAGCCAATTCAAACCCAATTCATTGTCTGTTCTAGATTGGCTAAATATCAATAATTTTCGATTTGATCGAACTGTTTTGCCCAGATTCGACTATAAAATATGTGATGATCCTCCGATACTTCTTTAAGCTTTCTTGGAGTCCTTTTCAAGGTGCTTCCAATGGTGTCAAGTAAAGTAGATGTTTTGAATAAACTTACTGAGCAACCTTAGATAATATAAAATGAGGTTTTTGGCCAAAATGTCAAAATTTTACATATCAAAGTTCCACAAAGGTGGCTCCATGGGCTACCTTAGGTCGATAGAAACATTTTGATTCAAGATATACCATAGCAAAAGTTTTCATTATCAAGGCCAAAAACGTGATTGTTTGATTTTTGATAAAAACCATTGAGGGGTACCTTATGCTCAGTTGACCGCCTCAAACGCATCAATGAACCAGTTCACCCCAATATTGCTACCGCCTCAATCCTACCTGTCAAAGCCATTCTGCAGCCGTCTGCCACTGTCTCCAAAATGCCGATTAGGGCCACTCAGTTGCAAGTAAAGGATCTTTATCAACCCAATCCTGACCAACCTCTGCAACTCGAAGCACGAAAAGCACCAACCATCCCAGCTGACATTCGACGCGCTTGCAAGAAAATCCTGAAGCAAATCAACGAGAACAAAGTACATATCCAGCCGTACTTTAGCCTCATGCTACAACCCCCTCAGGGTGGCACCAACCGCACAACCGACATCTCCTTCAAACCGTTTATTGACTCCTATGATTTCAACAGCCAGCAAGGCCTCACTCGACAGATTTCAACCAGAACATTCCGCACAGCATGCATCGAGGCTCACACCTCCAGCATTGCCAGGTCCAACTGGAATTTCTTCTGGTCTCTGTCCCTGAACCTTGTCCACCGTAATGTCATCTATCGCTTCCTCACCCACACCATCCCGACCAAACGCCTGCTACACTACTTTGAGATAGCTGAGTCACCTCTCTGCCCGATCTGTGGTAACGAAGAAAATGCTGTACACTTGCTTTTCCTCTGTTCCAGTAAGGCATCCATCTGGAAAGCTATCATCTTTGAATTCTTGTGGCCAACCGTTTCGATTGGTGATATTATCCAAGCCTGTTCCTCTCTTGACTTTGAAAACATCAAGTATGTCTCCAAATCATACACCACTGCTCACATGGTCGTACTGGTAACACTTGGCAACATTTGGCGAGCTCAAGTTCGTATGATCTTTCACTCGACTCCATTTATATGGATCGATGTGGTCCAGCAGATCAAGAACGAGCTCCTTCAACTACATGCCCAAACTGAAATTCACAAGCAATTGTAATTCTCTAATCACAATTGTCATCTATCATCTGTTCCTGTCATCTATCGCTTTATCCTAAATACAATTGAATATCATATCAATTGCGCCCGCCTCTTGGTAGTGCCCTAGGGACCTACTTACACGGAGCAATCAATAAAAACAATTTAAAAAAAAAAAAAGTACCTTATGCTTTTTGGTCGAATTTTGGCCATGTTTTTTTTGGTCTTTAAAAAGTTGAGCAAAGGTGTCAGGAAGTAAGTGCTAGGTGAGAGCAAGTGTTTGGTGCTATTCTAACCATCTAAAACGGCCTTGAACGCAAGAAAACGCAGCTCAAATGCACCCAGGTTTTGCTGTATCAGGGACACTAAGGACTAAAAAGGGGAAATACCAGTATGCTGCTTGCCCGTATATGAAGCAGCCAAGTATATGTGGATGTAGAGCATCATATAAGAATCAGATTCACAGATAATATGAAGAGTTTCTATGTGTAGGTAGAGGGTTAAAAATAAAAGTAGCAGTATTCTGACAAGATACGCAAAGGAAATCGGTAGAGCGACCTGTCGCTGCGCAGGTTGGTTTTCATCGAAGTGAAGCGAAGGTAGACAGCTATCCGAAGCACAAACACTCGTACTAAATAGTATAAAGCATAAATCTCAACAATCAACTAGTAAATCATCTTATACTTTACCAATATTTCAATACATATCTTTTATAAAGCTCATTAGCTGTTATATTTACTTCTTTTCTTATATTTTACATCTATCATTTGTAATATCCTTAAATTCTTTATCTATATATCCCACACTATAATCGATTAACTGTATACTCTTTTATATACATTTCTGTATTACTTGGATTATTTTCACTAATGTTAGTTCCAAACTGAGAAATACACTGCTGCTTTTCTATGAAACATAAAAGGAAAACGAGATGAATTATGATTTATCAACAGCGATACAAAATTGCAGCAATTACTTTTGCTCATATTAAGGGACAGTCAATTGGATTGTGTCGAGTCCTGGATTGAAGGGTTTCATGATGTCTAAGAACCACAATGTAGAGATGATAAAACCAGAAAGAGTACCCCTGAGCGGGACTTAGACATGAATCAAGGCTTTAATCCTGAGACGTCTGGTGCATAAATGTTTAATTTAAAGAATGCGTTTGTCTAAAACGTTTCGAGTTAAGGATAACCCAAGTTGGGCAATGAATATGTCATTTAGAAGTTATGATATCAAAGAGTTTCAATGAAACCCAGTTAGCTATTTTAATGCGAAAAATGTAGGTTTTATTGGTCCTTCACCGTAGTAGTGATGGGTGTGGAGGACAAATGTCCCTAGTCTTTGACTGTATACGTGCTTCTCCACATTTTGCACTGAGTTATTGTGTTAGTGCATTTGCATCATGACGATCTTGCTTCATCAGTTGTTAATGAACTAAATATTTGAATGCCGTAAGCCAGATAAGAAATCACAATGATGTTGATAACGATGATCTTGCAGAATGTTGTGATTCAATGCAAAAAAAAATGCAGAGTAACATGCCAACAACAACCAATTCATTTAAAAAAAAAATGTTATTATGTGCGGTAGGGCCTGTGCATCTGCTCCTTTTCTGATGATGGCTGGCTACTAATGTCTTCCATATGATAATTTATCAAAACAAATGCTGTAGACTTATTTTTGGTTATAATCCCGACGGATGGAGACACTATACTTTTATAGGAAAGTGAAAAGGATTCATGTTGATATCACCATTGAAAGGTGTTTTCTTTACACAAAAAGACAGCATATACCCATACACAAGCAGTTACATAAGAATGTGGCCGTTCACAGTGACTGATGTGCATATACAATGAGCAAACCTTACATGGAATCCTCTTTGAACAGCGGAGAAAAGGGGACATCCCTTTAATTTACCGCAAAATATCCGGAGCGCAAATTAATGGCCTTTATTCATCGCATTTAGATAGGTCCCACAGGTCCAAAATACATCCCCAGCCACTCAATGTAAGCACGACGCAACATTTGTAATATGGAAATCAAGCTAGTTTTTAAAGGAGGGGGGAGATTCGCTATCTAATTTTCTTTTCTTTCTTTCCTCTAAACGAACACAACATCAATGTGGAGACATTTATCAAAATCACAAAAGCTCATGTCAGTAGCATCTGCTACAGCTGCTACAGCCAGTTTTGCGTACTACATGAATGAGAAATCTGTCAACAATAACATTTACAAAAAGACAATCCAGCTCCAAGAAAAGACATCAGATTTACCTCCTCTCTTCACAAGAAACAAGGCTTTTGCTGAAGCACTTCAGGAACAGCAAGAGAGTCAACAACGTGACTTTTGGAACCCTCCTTCACGTGAAGAGATGATCAAACGATTGAAAGATAACACCAAGGAGCCTTTTGATTTGCTTATTGTCGGCGGTGGTGCTACTGGTGCCGGCATTTCTGTGGATGCTGCTACTCGTGGATTGAATGTAGCCATGGTCGAAAGAGATGATTTCGCATCTGGTAAGTGATTTTCTTTGAGGAGTGATTAGCAATTGTGTCGATGCTAAATCATTCATTCAGGCACTTCATCCAGATCTACAAAGTTGGTGCATGGGGGTGTGCGTTATTTACAAAAAGCCATCATGGAACTCGATTACGAACAATATGCTCTCGTATGTGAGGCTCTTCATGAACGAAAGATCTTTTTGGATATTGCACCTCATCTCTCAGACCAATTGCCCATCATGCTTCCAGTATACAAGTAAGTTGCTTTGTCCCATTTTCCCGGGGGGCGGGATGGCTATTTTTTTCGAACTAGTAACCCTAATGTTCCTACGTTCTAGATGGTGGCAGATTCCTTATTACTGGGTAGGATGCAAGATGTACGATGTCTTTGCTGGCCGTGAAGCACTCGAAAGCAGTTACTTTTTGACTCGCTCCAAGGCATTGGAAGCATTCCCTATGTTGAAAAAGGATGAATTGGTCGGTGCTTTGGTCTATTATGATGGTAATTTTTTAGAAGCGTAGTTCACGGAGATGTAAAAGGAAGTCTAAATCCTCTCATTTATAGGCCAGCATAATGATGCAAGAATGAACGTTGCATTGGCCATGACAGCCGCATGTTATGGCGCCACTGTAGCCAATCATTGTGAGGTAACAAGCTTGACAAAGGACAAGAATGGTTTTGTCAATGGTGCTCATTTGAGAGATAACATTACTGGTGATGAATGGACTGTCAAAGCAAAGGGTGTCATCAATGCCACTGGCCCTTTTACTGATGGTCTTCGCAAGATGGATGATGCTGAAAACTTGGAAATCGTTGCACCCTCTGCCGGCGTTCATATCATCCTTCCCAACTACTATAGTCCTAGAAATATGGGATTGTTGGATCCTGCTACAAGTGACGGACGTGTCATTTTCTTTTTGCCATGGCAAGGTAACACCATTGCTGGTACTACAGGTAAGCTATATTTGAGCAACATATTTGGTAATAAGGTAACTCATGTGAATACAAGATTCTCCTACTGAGGTTACTCAAAACCCTATGCCCAAAGAAGATGAAATCAACTGGATTTTGGATGAGGTATCCCACTATCTAAGTGCTGGTAAGTGCTTAAGCTGATATGGTGCGGTTTTGCAGTGGATTAATCGCATCTTGTACTAGATGTCAAGGTTCGCCGTAGTGATGTCCTCGCTGCTTGGTCAGGCATTCGTCCCTTGGTCCGTGATCCTCATGCCAAAAACACCGAATCCCTCGTCCGCAACCACATGATCAATGTCAGTGAAAACAAGCTCATCACTATTGCTGGTGGCAAATGGACAACATACCGTGCAATGGCTGAAGAAACCGTGGATCGTGCTATCCAAGTATTCGACCTCAAACCCACCGGCAAATGTGATACTGAACATGTTCAACTGATTGGTGCCAAGGGATACAGCAATACCATGTTTATTCGCTTGGTTCAAGAGTTTGGCATGGATACTGAAGTTGCTGCCCACCTCGCAAGAAGCTTCGGTTTCAAGGCTTGGGATGTCGCCTCTATTGAAGACCCCACCTCTGCCAGCTGGCCCAAATACGGTAACCGCATTTCTCCCAACTATCCTTATATTGAAGCTGAAGTGAGATACACTGTGAGACAAGAGCTTGCATGCACTGCTGTTGATGTTTTGGCTCGTCGTACTCGTCTCGCTTTCTTGAACGCTGAAGCTGCTCTAGGAGCACTTCCTCGTGTCATTGAAATCATGGCCGAAGAGCTCAAATGGGACGCTTCTCGTCAAAAGCAAGAGTACAAGGACGCTGCCATCTTCTTGACTACCATGGGTCTTGCCAAGGAAAAGGCAGTGCAAGCCGATACCGAATAACTATTTAAATAAACACTTTCTAGACGTTCGCCCTCTGTTGATCCACCATGTACATAAATTATACGCCATCGACAGTGCAAAATCACGCGATAGTATTTAATAAAGTCGCACAGACCATTCCATGTTTACTATGCCATCTTTTTCTACAGTTTTTATTACAGGGATTTCTTTGGCATTTAATCCCAATACTTGATCAAACCGTCCCAACTACATGTTGCTAATTTCGATGACTCGTGAGGATTCCATTCGGTGCACATGACGACCTTGTTGTGTGCCTTGAGCTTCTTCAAGATTTTGCATGTCTTCCAATCCCAGAACCAGACGTTACCGTTTGAGTCGCCACTGCTGATGAACCTACCATCAGGCGAAAATCCAGGTTTACAAGCGTAACCAGCAATAAGATGACCAGCAAATCGTTTCTTTCTGTTCAATCTAAACTTGTCGCGAGCACCGTAGATCAAAATCTGATTATCCAAAGACTGACAGGCAAGCCATTTTTCTATCAATGACAAGGTTAACATTCAGCTCAATCTGAGATGGCAACGTGTCTACTTACTGTTAGGTGATAGCGTCACAGCAGGAATAGCATACATATCAGGCTCAGCAATGTATTTGATAACAACAGGAATATCGTACTCCCATGCACGCATTGTTTTATCGTCTGATGTAGTGATGAAACGGCGGTTGTCATCGACAAACGTGATTGTGTTGACTGCACCCAAATGCTGATCGTATTCCTGCGTAATCTCTCCCGTGTTGGTGTCGAATTGGACAATCTTCTTGTCAGAGTAACCAGCCAAGAAAATGTTGTTCTTGTCTTGATCTGGGTTGAAGGTAACGCAGTAAGGCAGTCTGCCGGTCGAGAAGGTGCGAATACACTGTCCAGTTTCCGTGTCCCATAGCTTGACATTGCGGTCGTAGCTTGCACTTAGGAATTTGGTGCCGTCATTGTTAAATGCAATGTCTCGAACTGCTTTTGTGTGGCCGTGGTATGAGCGCAAAAGGCTCTTGTCATGATACACATCCCAGATCTAATCTCTTTTGTCAGCTCGTCGCATTCTCTCGCAATCACTCTTGACATATGATTACCTTGATTTGATTGTCCATGCCACCACTCAGCAAGAGGTGAGCTGATTTGGGAAAGAATTTGATGGAAGAGACGCCCTTTTCATGACCTTCCCAGGTGTGAATCAGCTTTTTAGGGACAAAACACTCTTGAGAACCAGGCTCGCCAAACAGATTAGTGTCGATGTCTTGAGGCACTGCCATGTATGTTCGACCCAGATAATCACGCTCTGACGCACCATGGAAAATAGTGCTTTCTGTGTTTGTTTCCTGAGCCACATTTTTAACAGAGAATGCTGTTTTTGCTGGTGCTTGCATCGCTTGCACTTCCTCGATCTGCTCCTCATCCAAGCCAGTAGGAATGCCCACATTGTCATCCTCGTAGCCAGCCCAAGGCCCCTTATACGCGTTGGGACCATCTACCTCGTCCAACTTACCCTTCTTTTCACGTTTCTTCTTTGCGTCCTTATTGGGTCTTAGGTCACGATTCACTCTGTCCAATATGGATGCTCCACCCAATTCTGCTGCCACGGCAAGATTACCAACATATCCAGTGCCCATTAAACCTTGGCCTGTTTGACCAGCAAGGTTGGTAGCTGTGCTGAGCGATGGATCACGCGCATATCCATATGTTTCAAAGGTACGATGTTGTGTTCTAAAGTCCATCTCAGATATAGCCTGCGTCTCGACATGTCCATTGATCACGTTTTGTGTTGCTAAACGACGGTCTGTAAAGGGATTCTCGGGTCCCAATGTAGGTCGATTCATGTCGTCGTAGGGCACGTTGACAATCAATTCTGTTGCTGTAGGTGCAGTGTACAAGTTGCCTGAACTATGATCCTATTCGCAAAGCATGAGCATACAAAGCTTGCTCTTTCACTCTCTTTTTAGGGCAAACTTACGTCAAAACCTGTCTCTGGAGCTGCGTTGATCTTGGCGACTAGAGAGCCGGTATTTACATTCGAGGTCTGCAGATTGTCTTCTTCGTCACTTGAGCCGTAATTATTGACTAAATCCATATTGTCTTTTTTCTACAAGTTTGATATACAAGATGAAAGAAGGTGTTGCTTTCAGCCATGTAAAATTATTCCTTTGAAATTGCTTTGCCCAACAGTCACCTTTAGCGTTGTCATTGCATTACAAATGTCATTTAGAGATGCGAATCTGGTCGCAGGCAAGATGCTGTTAGAATTGGCCTAATCAGCAAGTTATTCATAAGCATTCCGCATTTTTCTTTCAGATCATCTTGTCTGGAGGTATATTGATTGCAGTTGGTAACGAGAATCTCTCCTAAATGGTTGCATTTACCCTTTTCAATGTCAAATGCCCAGTTAGCGGTCCTTGCCCGAATGTGTGTATGACATAAAAAGACAAGGCAGCACAGTTGGATTCAAAAATCTTAGCAAGCTCTCTCTCAAAAGACAAGCAGGATACTCGTTTATCGTATACAGTATACTATGTAAAAAATGTTGTCAGAGGCATATAAAATTTGTAACATCGAGTACTGGGCAAGGCTAAAAAAAAAACCCTTTGTTCGCATTTACAAGCATGCACACGAGATCCCGAGCAAAGAAGAAAAACAGCAAGCCTGAAGTTATATTAACGAGGATGCTTATATTCGACTCAACCCTCAAGTGAGGCTGGAGCTAATCGTTGGTGCAGATAGGCGCATATAGAATCTGCCAACTGTCAACGAGATTACAGCCATTATTCCCAGTGAATAATCTGATACAAGTTTGAAAATATTTCTCATCACAAACCGAAATAGCTTTTCTGTCAACGGCAATAGTTTCTTCTAAACAAATCAATGAAATGCATACTGCCTACATGTCATTCAAATCATGATTAGGAAGTTGCGATCACATATATTTTTAGTGTTGAGCCAGACTGACAGGCGTTGTCAGATATGAAAATGCCCGAAAACCAAAAGGAAGTATTCAGGTTAATCGATAATTATTTTGACTTTATGATCCCCATTTAATCAACATCCCAATCATTATTGTCATCGTCAGAAAGGCATTTGGGTCAACCAGTAGCAGCGCCGCCCGTCGCCAACACCACCACCACCACCACCACCAAAATCAAAATTTTTTTCTGCTCAAGATTGGCCGGATTTTGTCTTTTTCGATTTGATTAAACTGTTTTGCGAAATTCAACTATATAAATAGTGATGATCAGCCCGTACTTCCTAATACATTTTTGGAGTACTTTTCAAGACGCTTCCAATGGTGTCAAGTAAAATAGATGTTTTGAATGAACTTATTGAGCAACCTTAGAAAATATAAAATGAGGTTTTTGGCCATGTTTTTTGGGTCCCCAAAAAGTTGAGCAAAAGTGTCAGGAAGTTACTACTACTCAAGTACAATTGTTTGGCGTCATTCCGGTGGCTCAGAGAGGTCTACATGTCAAGATATTTAGGCTTGAAAACTGTCAAATTTGGCTCTGTTTCATACGTTTGCTTATTAAAAGACGCGTTTTTGTTATGATACAAAGGCATAGGTACATTGTATACATAATTCTAGTCTTAGAGCATGCTGTTACATCCAAATAGTCAGCAGAAAATGCTAGGTTGAGTGGCGCTGTTGTATTGTAGTACTAGAGCATAACGGTGCAGCCTATTAGTGAGGTGATGGCAGCTGTAAGGCACGCTGGACATGTTAGGCGCAATAGATAGTCTGAATCGAGTAAAAATCATACTATAAAATCAGCTCAAATATAGCTGGTCCATAACCCAGTAGCCCAAATTACTAGGTGGTCCATATCATATCCGAAATATAAATGATGCTTTGTTTATACAGAAATGATGTTATGCTATGATACACACGATGAAATTTATTATGAGAATGAAAGAGAATGGTAATATACGATGCTTATAAACAGGAAAATTAAGCTTCCCAGTAAGGACTAGGGAGTTGAGGAGCGCAATCATGGACCTTTTTCACATTGAAAGCTTCCTTCAGCTTGGGGAGCCACTTCTCTGTAGTGACGATAGTCATGTTGCTAGTTTCGTGCTCCAAGACAACGTGGCCATGGGTGTCCTTGCCACTCTTGCGTTCAGCAATCCAGCTTTCAAAAAATCCGTCCACAGTAGCTTGAGTGTAAGTGCCAGCAAAATCATTAGCAACGGAAGGCAAACCCCAATCGAATGAATCACTATCCCAAATGATGGTTGACATACCCATCTGATGAGCAATAGCGCGGACACGGTCATCGACATCACCATAAGGAGGTCTCCAACAGCGAGGTGTGACACCAGCAGCTTCCTTGATGGCGCGCAGATTCCAGTACAACTGAGCAACGATTTCATGATTGGTGAGGGTTGTCATCTGAGGGTGAGACCATGTGTGCGCGCAAATGGTATGGCCAGATTCAAGCGCACGGACAGCAGCCTCAGGGAATGCAGCTACATTAGATCCGACATCTACATGTATACAGGTTAGGGTATGGCGCTTTTTTTTTTTTTTTTTTTTTTTTTTTTTTTTTTCAATAGCCTGGCCACTTACAAAACAAAGTGGCAGTCTGTTTTTGGCCAGCAAGGAAGTCGTAGAGACGAGGCTCAGCCCAAGGATCATTATCACTGGTAGAAGGCAATGGTCCATCATCGTAAGTCTGATAAGATGCGTATTAGTTCATCCTACTATGGCATGCTGTCAAACGGTTAACTTACCAAACCAAAATCGCCCACATTGGGACAGTGCTTGACATCCGCAGGCAAATACTTGGCCTTGGGAGTAGTACATTGAGTGTTAGTCCACCAGCAGGCCTCATCCTTATTGTCATCATAGGCCATACCCTCAGTACGAGGCTTAAATTTAGGAACATAAGCCCAGTTGATGGCTTTGATGGCAGCTTGCACCTCAGGATGGTTGACATCAGGTTGAGTCCATGCCTCGGGATAATCTGCCGTTTTGAAAGAAGAGTTCTTTGTGATGGCACCAGTAGGAACAGGACTCAAAGGAGTGATGCCATGGAAGGGAAAGCTGGGAAGATAGGCAGGAGATGAGGTTGCGAGAACACCACCAGAGGTAGCAGTAGCATTGGTGGATGTGACAGTAGCATTGGATGATCCTCCATTGATAGGGCTAGCAGCTACAAGAGCAATAGAAGCAGCAATAGTACTAAAGAGAGCCAACTGAACCATTTTATACCAGACTGAACGATATATTTCGAATCAAAGAAAAAGAGGGAAGATATAAGAAGGCAGCAGCAGGGAGGAAAATCAATGCTTTTTTATACGATAATGAAAATACTAGTTTAAACGGTGTGTGGCTCTTTTAGTGGAGTTGAAAGGACCTCATTATTAGTAGTGCTAAATGTTTCAAATGGATGGTTCATTTCCATGAAACTCGCCCCTTAAAACTACCCTTTAAGCATATACTTGATCAACTTGAAGCAGACAGCCCCTTTGTTATCAATTTGATTGCTTGGATGTTGAGCTGTGTCATGGCCAGATGCATGCCGTACAACATGGGCCCTTTTTTACATGCTTCTATTATGGATTCCACCAATGGTCCAAGTCGGTAGCAGCAAACAGGTCGACACATGTATTTTTAAGTATACATCTCATCTCGTTTGATTGACCGTGTCTAATTATATACGAAACCATATCAGAAATAAACAAGCTCCCCTTTAATTCCTTATGATTGCTGGATGCGTATACATATTGCATTATGGAAGCCAAGATCAATTGCGTCCAACTGTATATAATATATATATATCTCGAATGTATTTTCTATAATCATCCTGGGCTAGTACAGGTCTGGGCATACAGCCAAGGATTACAAAGTGACATTATGGCTTGTTGAGCATTTCAGCAGACATACTACTGACATCAACATTGCTTTTGGTAATGATCTGCATAGATGTTTCAACCGTAGAATGTCTCATCTATTTCTTGATTCAGATACCAGTCCAGAAAGCTGTATCAGAGCAATACAATAGCACAGGCTTAATACGAGTGATACATTTGCAAGCTCCATCAATGCCGTCCAAGGCTATACCATAACCAAAACTGCACTGCAATGCTTGACAATGAAAGAATGAAAAAAAGGGGGCAAGCGCGGTGGGGAGAAGAAATAGAGAAGAGGGGTCGCAAAAAGAAAAACTGACAGGAGAACGATGATTGATTACAGAGGAAGAGGGGGTAAGAACAAGTCGAAATGATAACGTAAAAAAAAAAAGTGCTTCTTGATGCTATAATGGGAGAAGCTTGGACGCAATGTGCATGCAAATTCATTTCAAATACTCAAATGCCATTTTTTCATGACAGCAAAGCATTCTTGATGTCTTGGTGCTGAAGGGTTTCCTCAAGTAATCATCTTGCTTGATGCCTAAAAAACAGGAGTATTGTGTTCATCCATCTCGAGTTCAAGTGCTCGTATTTTACATTGCAGATGCAGGTACAGAAAGTTAAATGACTGCATGGATAACAAGAATGAAATGACACATAAAGAAGCCATTCTATTGCTGGGCCTATGCCTGATTTATTCTCGATTCTTTTGAGGAGACCACCGTTTGTAAATCACTTGTCTGATGCCATAGTCATCCAAGTTCGAAAACGAGCTGGTATCATCGGGTACAGTTACATAGCAGAGTATCAATGTCTTCTTTACTTGGGCACAGGTCCTGTTTATTCGTAGTAACCAATCCCACGACTTGGGCTCTTCAAGCTTGTTGTTGACCAACGGTATCACGACTACTCCATAATCAGCATGTCGAAACGAAGGGCCAGATTGATACAGCACTAGATCAGAATACAGATGAGATGAGTATATTTTTATACATTGCAATTGCTTCTATTAAAGGCTTACCAAAATCAACGCCAAATTTTGATCCAGTTTTAGGCACCCAGCCCAGGCTACGATAAAAGTGGTATACGACATAATGTGAGTGAAAAGCAGGATTTGATTTGCAAAAAGTGGACCAGCAATCTGCTATCGATAAAGGCGACTACAAACAATGTCATTAGCATTTCAAACTTGTACCATCATAGCGCCGTTATTACCTGATTCCCAGGATCGATTATCGACAGTGCATTTAGGGCATAAGAAAGAAAGAAAGCTTCATACAGATCCAATTGAAAGTGCTCGACATCCTTGTGGCATGTAGCATCCAGCAGCTCAGCCGATGTCAATGTGTCCACATTGTCTGCTACCACCTCATCTCCACTATTCTTTTGGCGACGCTTTCTTCTTCTTTCCACGGTAATTTCTTCCAACGAATTTTTGTTCTGCTCTACAGTTCTCTTGAGCCATGTGGGTTCACTTCTTGAGAGGTCACCTTTGCCGAAAAAGCCTTGGGTGTATAGTTGACTCTGGCCATTCTGCACCCAAATAAACTTTCCAAATTCCATGAAAATGCCTGAGTAGCAAGGCTTTGGTGATGGCTTTACGGAGCATATTTGCAGGAATAGTTGAATCAGTCGGTCATACAGAGTAGCTGAACTGTACACCTTGACCGGGAGTGGTGGCATTGCTGATTTTGGGGCCATTGATATATTGAAACAGAGATGAAAGGTTTTGGAGAGATACAGCCTCAATGGTCACATTTTATTCCTGCTGCGATCTTTGAAATCCATGCCAATGCCATGCCTGTTCGTCTAGTCTACGAGTAATGAGGACAAAGACAATGTATTTATTAAAAAAAAAAATTCAAGTGTGATAGTAATAGTAGCACGATGATATATATATATATATGTAAAAGAATAGGGTTTGAATGAAATAGTCAATAAGAAATGAGTGTAATGGTGGTGGTGTGGAGAGCACTTTAAATGGTAATCAGGTTACTGCAAGCCTTCTTCATCGTCTTGTCGCTCGTACTGCTGCCCTGAACGCTAGTATCCTTCGATGACATAGCATCATCAGCAATATTGTCTGTATCGTTGAGCCATTCGTTCTCAAACACGACATGATTTCCATCCTCCTCCTTGTAATTGGTCAACTCTTTTGGTGTAGTCGTAGTAGAAACGTTGCCGGAGGACGTTGTAGAAGAAGAGAACACCTGAGATGCCTTGTGTTGCTTGTCATATTTAGTAGCACCGCCTACAATTACTCTTCTTGAGATACCTCGAGAATCAAAGTAGATCAACATTTCTGCCACATTGGCGCCACTGCCAATCGTCTTTTCCGCCATATAGCCAGCATCTGTGCCGTACTTTTTATGAATCATCTGTATAATACTATCTCGAGAGGACACCAATACCAAGGAAGCTGCTGATGCGACTCCTCCTGCAATCTTGACGGCTGCTTGCAATGCAGAGATGCCAAAGTGGTGCGACGCATTTTCAATGGGTTCTCTTGCTTGCATTTGCTGATCGTCGTAAACGAGTGCGTTGATCTTACTAACTGCGGTAGATACTGCTATATCTACAAGGCCTGCTGCCATGCTGGTGGCTGTGCTTGTTGTGTTGTAAGCAATCTCAAATACTCTTCGCTCTTGTTCGCTTAGTTTGATCGGTTCCTTGTTGGGCTCAATTTTGTCTTCGAGCATTTTTCCGCCACTGTAGGTTATAATTTGAATGAGTGGACATTTCTAGGGATTCCAAACTGGCAGGCATTTTCACTTACCTGGCAATTCCTTGTGCAAGCGCTTGGCCAGTCAAGACCAACGCATGAGCGATCCAATCTGATCCAGTTACCATGGCATTGCCTGACTGATAAAGTAGTCTGACTTTTCTCACTTTGGACGGATCCAATGACTCCTACCAAATAATAGCATGAATGCATTGCTCTCTCGAATCTGCATATAAGTGGCATACCTGCGAGCTTGATTTATTAATGTAAACTGGCAATTTTTGACCCTTTTCATCTTCATGCGAAGAGATAAAGTCTTCCTCATCCAGAATACTCTCAGACTCTGTGCGATCCAATTGAACGTTATCAGCGACCACCTGAGTGACCTGGCATGAAACGGGGTTGACCATGGCTAATGTGTTTTTCATTTGATGTCGATTTTCGTACTTGATAAAGTAGGTGAGGACGTCTTGTAGCTCTGTAAAAGTAAGCTCTTCGGAGTCGCTATAAAGAAAAGGGATAAAGAGTTCAAAACAAATATTAGCATATGATCTTAAAATCGATAGATAACTGAATCTACTGTACCTGCAATTAACCCTCCATAAGCCACCCTCCATTCGAGGAAATATCAACGTGCGTTCATCCTGTAGCCATGCCTTTGATCGAGATACAAGGACAATTGCTGCCCTTTCTTCATCGTAGTAATTGTAGAATTTAAGTAGTAACACTTGCTGCTCTGCGTTGGGATCTGATGAGATGTAGGCAATCAAGTGTCCATCGTCGATATGGGTGAGAATGCCCTCATTGAATGAAGACACCGAAACTCTGTCTACAAGGCATATATAAGTCAAAGAGCTGGGGTCGATTTGATCTGCGTTTGGTGTAATGGGTAAAACTGTCATTTTGCAATAGTATGAGAGAGAAAAAATTATAGAGCCAAAAACACGCAGTTTTATACAATATATAGCATGACGGCATGCAATCAAGAATTTCTTGGCTGGGTTGCTCATAGCATGAACAAAATCATCATCTTTTATTTGCTTAAATAGGCATTTTCTGTAATCTAGTTTAGATTTGGCATTGGCAGGTACAATTGCTGACAGGGCAAGTGGAGTGCTTTTGAAACCAATCAAACATATGAACAGCATGGCCGCCATGACGACAGGTTTGACACCAAGTAAACCAAAGATCAAAACCTGCTGGATCAACTAAAATGCGTAGTTAGGTACCATGGGTAAGTATCCCATCCCATCACTTTTTTTTTTTTTTTTTTTTTTTTTTTTTTTTTTTTTTACCTTTGTGGGTATCATTTGTTATTATCGCTTGTCTCAATTGGTCTATGGGTGTGCCCATATGCAGTAAACACAAAGCGCAACGAGGCAATGGTTTTCTACAGCTGGAGCAGACAGAACTCTGATGATTTTCACATGTCAGCTACCTCAAATACTTTGTCGATCTATGTGTTACCTTTTGTTTTCCAGATGCTCGGCCCCCAGGATTGCTTGTCTGCACATTCATGCGCTTTCCCTCTCTATTTCTAGCATTTTGTATAACCAAACTGTGCCCCAAGGATTGTGCACAGAAATTACATCGCACGTATACTTGAGGTGGAGCAATTTCACTTGAATTCATGCGTTTTCCACGTTGAATATCAAATTTAGCGCGTGCGTGCCATAATTGCCATCTGTCCATTAATAACCGATAGCTAGTAAATTGCTCTTAGTCACTGTCATACTGCTATTGTGCACTGTGAGCTTACTTTTCTACCCAATCTTCTACTCGAATGTCTCGGAATCGTTTAGGCACAATGTAGCTCATGATTAAACTCGCTGTTTGAACATCGCCAAATCGATCCAGCGCCTTTTCCAGTAAGTCAACACCAATAGGCGTCAAACCGGTAACCACCACGCCTTCCACATCACCTTCTTGCACCAATTTATCTAGTGTTCGGTGCAAGTAACTAGACATGTCATCGTCGCTCAACACACGTAATGCCACTGCCATTCTTTCTCGAAGCGGCAATCCTGGCTCATCCAAAATTCTGTACCAGTCATTGGACGCAATATAAGCAAAAATGGCTCGTAGATACGGTCTCTCCACCATATCGTTGCTCAATGACTCGCAAATGTCTTTCCAAGTGTCGTTGGTGCTGGTGCCACCCGCTTGATAGCTGGCCAAAATAGCTGACATGAGCTTGCGCTGCTGTTCTGCTTGAGCAATGGATCAGTGATACCATATCAAATACTGGATGATGAGTTTGCTTACCTTCTTTATGATCTCGTCCTCTTGCACTGCCTAGAGCTTTGATGGCTCTTTCAGGTGCTCCGTGGAATAAAGCCAGACCAGCAGCCTTATCATATTCTCCTCTCGATTCCAAGCTATACGCATCATGATGAGCGTGATTTGCATACAGACACAAACACATTCGACTACTTACTCTACAAGCTCTCTTTCAAAACCCTTGACATCAAAGCCAAAACCACAGGCAGACAAAGCCAGATTTCTCTGAGCTGATTTGGCTGTTTCCACCATGGGCAGATGGTTGCTAGTGTCGTTCAGCTTGTCTGCTAACGCTGACGTAGTGTCGTTTTCTTTCAATTTCAGAGGACTTGGTGTCTGACGAGGTAATTTAGGGGATGCACCCACTCGTGGGGTAGAAGCAGGCGAGGACTTACTGGCACGGCCCTGAGAGCCTGTCCAAATGCCATACACGCCATGAAAGCTGTAGTCTGCATTGCCAATCTTGGATAGTTTTGTCGATATTTGATCTGCAATCTTCATCCAGGACCACAATTCTCGCAGTTTGCGGTCTTCTGATACTATGCTAATGTTCTTTGTACACTATAAAGAGAAACGCAATCAATATACATACAATCGTCTTTGCGCAAGAACATACATCCATGGAATAGCCTTCCAGCAGTCTCCTTCGCATCACCACCGAGATATCCTTGTCCAGTTCAGAGGCCAATGCTCTGTCTCTGCTAATGGTAATGGTGTGTTGTTCTTTATTTACAAAGCGATAGATCATGTCATCTGGGTCCTCTGTTGCTGCATTATCCTCCTCTTCCTCATGCTGCTCTATACGCAAATGTTGCATGGGTGTGTCTAATGTCGAGTCTGAAAACGCAGGATGGTAGGAGAGCAAGCCCTTTTTGCTCGTCATGATCATGCCTCCCGAGGGCTGCCAGGAGATCTGGCACGCTTCTTGCACTTTGACTGATTCGAATTTGCCATCTGTATGTATCGCCAAAATGTTGTGAGAAATATGCTTAGAGACGCCCATCGAATTGGGGATAAAGGCAAACGAAGCAAACTTTTTGATGCTGGATCTCGTTTTTCTACTCTTCCATAACACAGGAATGCTTAGTTCGTCATCGTCGCTATGGCTGGTCGACAGTGTTTGCAATGCAGTTTGAGATGCGCTGCGTTCGAGTTTTGTGGGTGCTGCTGTGAACGCTGCAGAGGAGGAGGAGGAGGCGGCGGGTACTTGCAGCTGAGATGGATAATGCTGAGGTAGCTGTGCCGTGGAGGAAGACGCTGTCGTTGTTGATTTCTGCACAGACGAATTTACAGCAGACTGCAATGAGCAAGTCTCCTGAATGTCCCAGAGGTCAATGTGTGTAGCATCTTTTGTCAGCGACGCTAGGAATCCAGGCTGTGTGGGCGAGAAGACAATTTTGGACAGGTTGTTCTTGTTGTCTGGATTCAATGTCAAGATGGCATCATTGTTCTTGCGGATATCCCACAACTTGATGATGCCCTCTTCCGTATAAGATGCCAGACGGTAAGGACAAAAGGGATCAATGGTGATACCGTGCACTGCTTTAGTGGCAAATTGAAGCGGGTTGGAATTGAGATCGGCTCGTACATCGTACACACGCAGGTATTTGTTACCCATGCCAGCAATCAGCAATGGTGCATTGGCATGCTCTGACCAAGCACACGATGAAATGGCCTCTGATGAGCCGTACTGTCTGACAGGGCCTTGCTCTCTTGACCCTGATCCAGGCGTTGAAATGGGCGCCATGTCTGTGTACTTTGGTCTATCTATCTCATACGTGTCTCTGCTATCAACTCTCCATTGACTGGTGATGGTAGATCGAGATTCCTGGTGCACATGTCCTCGAATGCTGCTACTAAATGCCGCTGTGGGTGTTTGAGAACCAGTAGGCGTGTTGCAGTAACTGTCAATGGATCGAGTGACATCCCACACCAGCAAGCAAGGATCGTTGCGTACCTTATCCAAGCCTGCTGCTAACAGATGAGGGTGTGTTTTGGAGAATGACACTACATTGCTGGAACGAGAGAGCTTCACTCCCAAGGAAGGGTATTGTTTTTGCTGCTGCTGCTGCTGTTGCTGCTGTGCTTGTTGCTGTTGCTGTTGCTGTTGACGTATCAGGCTAGAACTGCTGTTGTTTGTATAGATGGTTGCTCTGGTACCTTGTGTAGGTGTATCAATGCCATCTGAATTTGGATAATCTGTCAATGAATGCTCTTGCATGCGAACCAGCAATGTTCTACCAGTGGTTAAACCCACTGCTACCAAGTCTGAATAGTTTGGATCCGGAGACCAATCCGCACACTACTTGAGCATATAAGTTGTATGTCGTGTCATTGCCACAGCTCATTTACCATCATCAGCGTAATATCAGGGATGGTGGATATGTAGCGTGCTCGTCCAGGCGAATCATGGGTCTGTTATATATGAATACCTCAGCAATCTGGTATGTGATGGCTACTCACCTCTGGCACCCATTCGTATAACTTGAGCTCTGTTCCTCCTGCAAGGAATTGATTTTGGCCTTGATGAGGAGACCATATAATGGATCGTGGAACCACCACCATGGAGAGATTAGTTATATCTATTTGAAAGAAAGGCGAAAAAAGAAAAGAGTTTCCCACCTCTAGCTTATCACTGGTCATTTGAGTGCCGATCATGAACATCGTTACCTTGCATTGCCATAGCTTTGTAGGGGTTTGCGCAGTGAAAAAGGCCTCTAACGCTTAGTATCTGATAGATGCGCTGATTTGTAGGGCCCACTATTTGTCTCCTTACAGCACAAATGCCATTCATGCACACTCATCAACGACTGAAGCATCATTTGGAAATCACACACTTTAAATAACCGCATGTGCATTCTCAATTTACCACCTTTTCTTTTCTCTTTTACGCACAGTTCATCATCATCATTATGCCACCAATACGACAGCTAGACGACGCATTTCTCTCAAGTCTATTAGAGAAGCAAGAATACGCTGAACTCAAGACAAATGTAGATGTGGCGTCACTAACAGCCATTCTGCAAAAGCTCAACTCTACCTCGGACGCGTTACGACAAGAGCTCTTTGAGCAGGTGCACAACAACTTGAGCAACTTTTCTGCTTGGTACAATGCCAGCCAAGAGTTGCACGCCAACGTGCTGGATCTCGTCAAGCAAGCATCTCATACACAACAACAGGCGACATTGACACAGACACAAGTGGACGACACTATTGATAAATACCAGTGTGCATTAGCTGAATCACGCAAGAACAAGAGCAAGATTGATATACTGGAGCACATGGAACAAGTGCTGCAGATTGTGGAGGCCGTAGAGTCAGAATTACAGCAGTACTGCTACCTTGATGCAGTTCAGCATGTACTACAGTTATCCGCCATTTTGAAAGACTGGAATAATGCGGATCCTCGAGTGATTGACATGATCCACAAGCGTGTGAAGCAGCTCAAGCAAACACTCATTTCTGGCCTGCAAGACGGCATTCATACAGCGATAAAGTACAATCCCGGATCCATTCGCATTCTGGAGACCTATCAACCCTCAACATCGACCAGCAGACAAGTACATATTCGAGACGTATTTCAGAGCTTATTTCAGTTGGGATTACTGCCCGAGGAGTTGATGGCTGTCCAGCGCTCCATGTTCAAGCACATCTTTCACTTCTACTTCGACTATACTCACTGTACACTTCAGATGGATACAGTGCAAGCAGAAGGCCAGGGACAGGGAGGCGTGTTACAGGTGATTCCTGCAGCAGCTGACGATGAAGATGAGGGTCATGTGGATCCCATACTGATGCTGCAACACATGGAAGCGATATTAGACTTTACCTACAAGTACACATTGGCAAGTGCAACAGCTGGATCAAACAATGCCGATATGAAGCTTCTGTTTGGCAATCTGTTTATGCCTGATTTGGTCAAACTGATGATCCACAAGAGCATCGCGCCAGCAGTGCCGTCCACCAAGTACAACCTACAAGGCTTCGATCATGTCGCCCAGGCAGTAAAGCAGTTTGAAGCACATTGCAGAGACGCCTATGGATTTCAATTGGACGACGCATCGTTGGGCTCCTATGTGGAGAATATCGATAGACACTACGCCACCAAGAGACGCAACCGCATTCTGCAGGAAGGTAGAAAGGTCATGTTGCGACGACTGTATGATACCGAGATGACCAGTGTGCATGAAGACGATGGACACACATACTACTACCAAATCACACAGACGCCGCAAATCCTCTCTGTGCTTGTAGCAGATACATTGGCAGAAGGCGCTGATCTACTGCACTCACATCCCATTTCAGCATCTACCTTGATGGACGGCATTCAGGACCTGCTGGACATGTATCGCGCCATCATGCCCAGCTTTCATCGCACGCAATACTTGGCCAGTGCAGGCAACTCGCTTGTATTCAGGAACGACTGTCTCTGGCTGGCCAACCAATTGACCACCACCATCGCACTGAAGCCAGAAGCAAAGCACTTTCTTAAACTCAATGCAGGATTAAACGAAGCAGCCAAACGTTTGAGAGAGCTTGGAAATGCATGGCACGAGCTGACTATGATGCAACGAGTGCAAATGATCCAGACTGTCCTGGATCACTTGGATGGGTTCTCGGGCATGGCTGAAAATGCCAAGTTTCAGCAAGACTGTGATAGGGCTATTACCCAAGTCATTGAACTGGTGGGGTCCTTTGCTGCAGAGACGAGGCCGGTGATTGATGAAACACTATTTTTGGACATGCTGGGCCGTATTGTGGACACCATCTTGGCAAGACTGATCAATGACATAGAGGAGCTGGTGGACATTGGCGCCGAAGAATCACACATCATTGCACGCACGCTCAACAGTCTGGCTCAGCTTGTCAATGCATTTGATTTACCTGGCAAAGACGCCACAGAGGGATTCGTCACTGAGTTGGTGCCGAGCTGGCAAAAGTTTTGGCTGGTCAAGGATATCTTGGAAATGAACATGCGCGATATTATGGAGTCCTTTCGTCGCGGCGATTTGCACATGTTTGAGAAATCAGAGTTGGTGGGTCTTTTGTGCTCTTTGTTTGCAGATACGGAATTGAGAGAATCGAATATCCAAGAAATAAAAACCGGCGCATCGCCATCATCTTATCGCAGTACGGCAGCAGCTACGCAACAACCGCAGCAGGCAACACCCAGACACATTTCACCTGCAGCAACAGTAACAGCGGCCAATGTGCCGGCGACTACATTCACGCCATCCATTCACCAAGCTTTGGTCTATACACCTGATAACGATGACGAGGAAGCATTGGAGGAATCTGGATGGGGAGACGACAATGACATTGATCTTTTCAAAGAGGACGACAACAGTGACCATGGACTGGTCACCAAGCATGCTGTATCACAAATCTCACTAGAACCATCGCCTAATTTGGAATATGATGTGGACATGGCGGATCAACACGACGATGGCACAACCGGAGTACACGGAGAAGAGCCTGAAGGGGAAGGAGGCTGGGGCGATGCAGACCAAGACATCTTCGTTGATGACGCACTCTCTACCAAGGAAGAAAGCGCCGGCCCTGACACATCCGCTGCAGATCACGCCAAGATGCACAGCAGTAGCCATAGTAACGATGAAACAACATCTCGGGTAATATCTTCCAAATCCGACACAAATAGCCCACCAACGGCCACTCACTTGCTCGCGGCACCTGCATTAGATCTAGACACCGAGGAAGGCGATGGATGGGGAGGATGGAATGACGATGTTGATGAAGACTTATTCAAAGATTAAAGTATATATATATATATATATATATATATATATATATCACTGATTAAATAACGGTGTTTATTATTTGTTTGTATCATAAAAAATTGGGTAGAAAAATATACTTTGTACGGGTAATTTAGCTTTTTCAAGCAATATGCATAGGGTCAATTTACAAGAGAAGATATATACGTGAGCTTATAAATAAGATAAGGATGTCTAGGAACAGATTTTAAGGTTTGAGATTTGTGTGTTTGTTGTGTGTGTGTATATATACATGCATAGAGAGAGAGAGAGAAAGGTTTCTGGTAGATTAAATAGATCGTGTGTGGATCTTTTCATGGCGTTTCATGTCGTATTTTCGAGCGAAAGGCCGCGCACAATGGCTGCACAAAAAGGACTTGGGTCGATGAGGATTATGAGTCAGCATATGTTCGACAAGATTATGCTTGCGTTTTGATCTATAATGTGTGTATTAGACAATAGAATGGCAGTGCAATGTGTGCCCATATTTACCTGTGGCTACAGACAGGACAAATGTGTCTTTTATCAGTCAATGATGTCGTCTTTCGCTTCTTTTTACTACTACTACTACTACTACTGCTGTCGTTGTTGCTGTTACTATCCATGACTGGAGGAAACAAAGAATCCATAAAGGCTGGATCGTGTGGATAGTAATACATATTGAAGCTACTGGTGCTAGTGCTACTGGTGCTAAAGCATTCAGATAATTGAGGAGATAGATCTGATTGATAATAAAATGGCTGTGTTTGATCCACATGAAGGTATGTGGCTGCAGAAGCGATAGAGAGAGGAAGAGCAGCATGCAAATCAGGAACAATGGGATAGGAGGCAATTGAAAAGGTATCGTCCTGCAGCACATCAGCATAGTCATTGCTGTATGGGTACACTGGTATTACATTTTGCTGCTTAATGACAGCATTAGTTTGTTGATGTGGGCTTATACTGTTATCATAGTAGTAGTAATTAGCCATCAATGGATCTTCATTGTTGTTATTGGCAGTAAAGAATTGATTGTGATACAGATAGTTCATTTTTCAGATATGAGAGAGAGAGAGAGAGGAAAAGAGGATAAAGAGACAAGCAATGCTTAGAATGTAGTCGATATTTATACTCTTTTTTGATCTGCTCAGGATGTGGATTAAAAACCCCGTTTGCAGGTAAATTTGACCGAAAATGCAGCAGCATTAGTATTGATTTGAAAAAGCATGGCAATGTCACTTAAAAGGAGGCTTTGACTTTAATGATACAATGTATTACTAATTGACTTCTCCACAGGATTCTATTTTTACACATTCCCCTTTCTAGATTCTACTGCTGCTGCTGGCTTGCTTAATTGTTTACTGCTTGTCAAGGGAAGACCAGGAGGGAGGTGAATGTAGTTTATTTTTGACTCATCCTAAAAATAAAGTCTTCCTTTCTTTTCCTCATTAGACGCTCTCCATCTTTGTAAATAACCAGGTGCTTCCACACGACAATGTTTGCTGTTCTACTATCAAACGTCACCCTTATTTCCCGATTGAGAGGCTCGCTCATCGCACGGCGCTGCTTGTCATATAAACCCATTGCGTTCTACGCAATCAAGCCATTGCCAATGCCAAGAGTCCATGAGCTAAAATCCAAATTTCAGTCTGATCTCAAGAAATTTGATGTCAAGGGCAGAATCTACATTGCTCCAGAAAGTGGCATTGGTGGAGTCAACTGTCAAATGGCAGTGCCTACCACGCACATCCACCATGTGAAGTCTTATTTTGATGACTTGGAAGACATTGGGCCAATTCAATTCAACGATAGCATTTTAGATACGACACAACCCAATTTCAGCAAATTACGTGTACTTATCAAGCGAAATGTAAGGAAAAACTTGTTGAATAAGAGGGGACAAACAAATAGACACCTATTCTTAGTTAGTAGCCATTCGAGAGAACGAGTGTATCACAACACAAGACCTCAAACTACAGCCCAGTCATCTGACTCCTCAGGATTGGCATAAAGAGCTCGCGTCAAGGAAACAGGATATCTTTCTATTGGATATGCGCAACAGATATGAATTGTAAGTATGTTTGAAGAATGGTTTATCCATGGGCTTGGCTTGTTTACATTGTCTAAGCCAAAAGTAATTCAATAGTGATGTAGGCCATTTCGATCATGCCATCAAGATGAATGTAGACACATTTAGAGAAGGTATGGATCTATTGGATGAATTGACAAGCGATAAACCAAAGGACCAAGAGATATACATGTATTGTACGGGCGGCATTCGATGCTCTGTGGCAGGTGCTTATCTGAGGAACAAGGGCTATCAGCATGTCAAAATGGTACGGACCCTATCCTGTTGCTGAATAATCCAATTGTCTTAAACGTGCATTGCTTAGCTGGAAGGCGGTGTCACTGCCTATGGTCATTACGTAAAAGACAACGTTCCCTCGTTGTTCAAGGGCAAAAACTTTACTTTTGACGGCAGACGGGGTGAGCCCATCACAGATCACATACTAACGCAGTGTTACCACTGTGGAGATCAATGCGATCACATTACAAATTGTGCCAATACCAAATGCCACTTGCTGTTTGTTCAATGCCAGCATTGCAAATCCAAAATGCATCATACATGTAGCTCGCATTGTCAAGATGTGTTGCACGGTAAAGAAGAATACAAGCTTGACTATGATTACCACAGACAAGTATCTAAAGCATGGTAACACATGCATTTAACGAACCATGGTATGATTGGATGGAATTAAACTAGTAACTTGCAATTTCTTTCTGCTTTTCCTCCTTTCTCTTTCTCTTTCTCTTTCTCTTTTTTTCTTTTTCTTTCGTTATCATCATCGTTCTAAAGAGTCATGTCGACTACATCTTTGAGAGAGTCTCGCTCTCCAATGGTGCCTTCTCGCTCACCGTTTCGCATACGGGATTCGCAATTAAAGAAGCAAGCCAATAACGGTACCTGTTGTCATCATATGTATACATAGAGCAGCACATCTAACATGAAAGAGAGAGCAGATCGCTGGAGTTTCACCATGGAACTGGGAAACATGTGGAACATGAAGCCTCAGCATGATGTCTATGCCCTGGACAACGCTAGACATCAGCACCATGCCATGGATACCATGTTCTCCTCAAGCCATTTATTGACACAACTGCTGGTCTCACAGGCGATTCTTGATTCAAACGATTTCCAAGTATTAACATTCGACACTCTGGACAAATTAAAAAAGGTGATACAAATACAGTGTGAACATACTAGCACTGTATTCATCATGTAATCTATTTTAGGAATTATCGCAAATACAAGACCATCTCGCCAACATTTCGAAAAACATACAACTTGAAAGCAGGATTGCCACTATATCCAAATCACTTGAAAATGTCAATTTGAAAAACAGTCGAAATTCAGTCATCTATCTACAGCATCAGCGACAACACAACGAGCACAAGATCAAGTACATGTCAAATCAGCTTGAAAGCATGAGAAAAAGAGAGATTGAAATCAAAAAGATCATTTTGCAGCACACAGCGGGTATCTTGAACAAAGGTATTCATAGTCTGGAAAACCAGACATTGCACCAAAACAACCACCACACTGCTCTCAATCAAGTCATCAACAGGATTGATCAACTGTATTCTTCAAAGATATCATCATCATCATCATCATCATCATCATCATCTATATCCACACCCGCATCATCATTAGATACCCTTCAAAAATTATCACTATTGGAAAAACTGCTATTGTCTGGACAATCGACAGAAAAAGATCCCGTTAAAGCAAATCAGAATAAAATGCAATTACTCGCCATCAAAGTGCAGAAAGACCAGCTCATGTCCAGAATGATCGACATGGAACTATTGACCACAAAACTGCTATCGCACTTGTCTCTATTTCCTCAACGTCAAATGGCTTATAAAATGGAATTGATGCAGTATCAATCCGAGTCCTTGGAACTTCGTATTTGGGACAAGAGACGGCAGAGAAATGAAGATGCAGACAACTTATCACAGGCTCTGGCTAATCATGCTAATGGCGGTAGCGGGCATAATATGATTGCCATCAAACAGCGGTATCAAAAGCAGTTGGAAGATCAAGCCACGTCTTACGAAGCAAATATCTCCAAGCAAAATGCGTTATTACAGCGAAATACTCAAATGAAGCAACATTTAGAAGCAACATGTAATGATCTGGTATCCGAGAAGTCAGAACTCGAGAGGCTTGTGCAAGAGAAAACAAGGCAAATTGATCAACAAGACAATGAGATGAGCCGATTGAATCACGAGTTACGGAATTTGCGCCATCCCCCAGCTGCTGCTGCAACACCACCACGGTCAAAAGCAGATGATCAATACATTGAACAGGAAAAGAAGCGACTTAAGCAAGTTTTTGAAGAGAGAGAGTCTCGTTGGACATCCCACACTACCCTGATGGAAGACAGATTTGATCAGCTGTTGGATAACTTTGATAAACTGACCAACACTGCTATTGAATTTGATTCACACCGAATGCGATATGACAAGAAGATTGAAAATTTACACCAAAACATCAACAAGTTAGAGATGGAGCTTTACGATGAAAAAGTCAAGCGTATCGGCTGCACCGAAGGTGGAGGTGGAGCTGCTGCAGCAACCACCGTTTCATTACGAAAAGAATTCAGATTGTTAGTGGCAGATATTAAAAAGACACATCAACAGAGAATGGATAGTGAGGCCGACGAAATTAGACGTCTACAATTACAGTTGCAGGAATTGCAAAGCACAAATACCAAATCACATAAATACCAGCATAGTATGGCCACTCAGACATGAAATAAAATGGAAAATGAAGTGCCTGCTTTTATTTCGAAACAATGTGCATGAAATGTATATGTATATATGTATGATGAGTGTGTACTATTGAAAGAGGGAAGATGGCTATTACACAACACTAGTAGTAGCTGGGCTTGCAGTAGGAAAGCTGTTGGCGTTGTGCTCATGTGTCATTATGTAGAGCTCATCAGAGAAGAGTGCTGCATAGTTAATTGGCTTTCTCTTAAGGCTACCAGCGCCTTGTCCGCCATTTCTTGAAGCTTCTCGCTCTGACATCAGTGTTAAATTTTTGAAATTAGTATAATCTTTCATTGTGAGGCTGATATTGCGGTTACTGCTGTAGTTGTTTTTAGACATGGACTCCACACCCACTTTGGAGAGCCTTTTGTTTGCCGTACTGATTTTTAAGAGCTGGGCTTCCTCAATTGGTATCTATGAGCAAAAAAATCAGCATCAAGTTATATTAAAAAGCTGTCTCAACATACGAATAAAGTATCCATGGATGTATAGTCAATGCCAGCATGATTCAAATGCTGCAAGATGTGAGTTGGTAAACGCAAATGGCAAGCTGTTATGTAGAATACTTACTATGAAATTAGTAGGCCTTCCTATAATACTTTTACTGACATCTTGTTTCTTGCTCTTGCGAGTATAAAACTTGCTCTTCTTCTTTTTCTTGTTGTGAGTGTCAATGTACTCGGAAGGCTCAATCTTTGAGGAAGAAGGAGAGATGATGGATGCTCTCTTTGGCTGTTTATCATAGAGAGTTTGCAGATGGCGTTTAGAAGTTGTAGACTTGGATACAGATGCTCCCATTGAAGATAGACTGATGATTGTGTTGTAATAAAGAGAAATCAGTGAATGCATCCAAGACTTTATATACTATTTATCAAGAGATGCCAGTTATTCAGGTTTGATTTGATGTCCAGCAAGTATTTTCATTTCCTCATTTGGCATAAACAACGACTGATTTGGTTAGAAGTCCGTACATCAAAGCGTCTGCCATAAAAGATGCCATACGAAGTGACAAATATCCACACTGTTTATCCAAATCATCTGTAAATAACAGACTTTTCAATGTGGACATCAACTTGGTGTAATGTTGTCATGTGACATGTACAACAAAAACCCATCATTTAGGGTTAATGTAAATAAACACTGATTTTAGTTGAATACATAATTCATTGAATGGTGCAAATGATAATTAAGTGATGTAAAGTCTTATGGTGCGAATAATTCTTTAGAATACTTGAACACATTGACTATTCATTGTTTAAACAGGATAAATACTGCTTCCAGGTAAAGTTATATGCCAACACGTGCGCTCATGCCTTTTGTTATTGCGTCCCCAATACGGACTTGATGGTTTCAGAAACAAGCAAGCTCTATTTGTGTTTGTCCCATTTGATGGTAAATCCTTTGTAAATTACATGGAAAAATCGACCCTGTTCTATAAAGCATGGATATATTTTCTTTGATCAAAAACTGTGGTTTTATCACGCACAAGAATGAATAGCATGATTTTAGTCGTTTGATTGCTATTCTTATAACAAAGAGAGCGGCTTCCTTACTTTTAATGCCCATGCATGCTTGGCGACAGCAGAACTCCTATAGTTAATTGCACAGAGTCGTCAAGTGCACTTTCAAACCACAAAAGCTGAACATAAATTTAATGTGCCAGAGAAAAGCAACTCATATTTCGATGTTTTCCGCTAACGATACCCCAACTTCAGGCCTCAATAGATAGCTTAAATCAAATAATAATCCAAAGTATTTGGTATAAGTAGAATCACCTGCTTCTTGGCTTTTCAATGGTGGTAATTTTGTAGTTGTATACCTTCTGTAACTCGCACGCTCCGATTTTGAAGTTTACTTTTCGGTAAAAGCAGCCTTAAATCTTTCTCTCCGTCCAATGAAGTACAAAACAGCATCAAACCCAAGCAAAATTAGTACCAAAATACTCCTTGCAACTCAATCAATCTTTTGGTACAATTTATTTGCGGTTTGTAACGCGTTAAATAGTGTTTTCCCTAGGTTTCGTTTTAGTTTTCTTAGTTTTTACACTATAGGCGCGCTTTAAAGTTCGGAGTGGTTGGCCATTTTCTATAAGCTTCAATGCATGATTTAATGAGGTTGTTTGGAATAACAAATCGACACGATTTAGCAATGAAATCGTTACTAATGTTAGTAGAAACTGTTGCTTGGAAGGCGTGTAGTGTCCAGGTGAAATGGCGTGAACGATTTGTCAGAAAAAAGGCTCGAAATCAGTCAATAAACGAGCCGAGAAACATTCATTCTCAATCGACTATGAGCTCTGCCACCTGCAGAGTAGTATACAAAAGTAATAGAGAGAAGGCAACTCGATCTTCGCCTAGTCTAAATGCTTAAATGAGCGTTTCAAAAAGGAAATATATAAAGCAACTAGCGTAAATCACAGTTTGGCTAAACTTAGGCGGTCACTGGTAGCATGGATGGACTGTTTGTTTAGGAGGGACCCACTACATTTTACTGTAGGGGTGCTTTAAAGCGTTTCTTTTTTTCTCTTCTTTATACAAAAAAGTACTACATCTTTACAACATGAGCGACTATTCTTCCAACTATAACCTCGGCGGCGATGTCGTAAGTATTGAGTGATCAATCAAAGCAATGAATCTAGTTGGAATTTGCGATTCATGGCGTGAAAGTGTACATGAGGATACCGTGCGATTGACATGGCATTTTGACATCTTGTAGGGTAACAAGAAGCAAGAAGTTATGGACCAAGTTCGCTCCGAACTCGCTTTAGCTAACGCTCAAGAACTCATCAACGTAAGTGTAGTAAAAAGAGAGAGAGAGAAATTAGTGCTTGTACATTTTGAATTAACATGTTGCATTTTTTAGAAAATCAACGAGAAGTGTTACTTGAAGTGTGTCCCCAAGCCTGGTGCTCGTCTCGAATCTGGTGAGCAAGCTTGTCTCTCCAAGTGTATGGATCGTTATATGGAAGCTTGGAATGTTGTTTCTCGTGCCTACGTTGCTAGACTTCAACGCGAATCTCAAGGTGGTAACCTTTAAATTCTCTCTGTTCTCCTTTCTGTTCTCCCTTTATTCTTTTTCAAACTAGAAACAAAAAATAATCCCACAACATATATATAATCTATTTTTTTTTCTTTTGTGTATTTTATCTTTCTCAATTCACAATGTATAGTCCAGTTAGTTTTGCTGTTTTATATATAAAATGCTGATTTTTTCTTGAAAAGAACACGATTCGAAAAATTTACAATGCGTGGGGTTGATGAGGGAAGTGGAGGGGTGTCTTGAATTAACGTGATAAATAGATTGAATTTACTTTCCATCACAAAATTAGTCTAATTTAGTTGACAACAAAACAGTTTTTTTTTTTTTTTTGCACCAACACAGATTAAAATATTCTTCAGAACCTGGCTTGTGAGGGTTCATTATTAGAAAAAAAAAAAAAAAAAAAAAAAAAAGGCAAAAACGCAAGACATCATACATGTATATTTTGAAAGTATTTATTTAAGAAAAAATTTATGGATAAAGAGGCCAGCTGTAATAATATTCTTTCGAATTAACAGAGATCTATTATAAGGATTACGAATTAGTTAATGCTTGGAAATGAGCAATGATAATCGCAAACAAGATAATAATGGAGAATGATAACATTTCAGAGATTGTTCACCTTGGTAATACCCACATCTCTAAAAAGATTGTGAACTCGGAATATGTTTCGATTCGGGACCAAAAAAGTTTTCCATCATGTTATGTTATCATTTTATCCATCATAATCTGCCTTCGATTACAACACTTGATTACTTTACCTTTTTCACAAATCGTTTTCTAATATGTTAAGAGAGAAAATTTTTTCGTTAACCTACTTTTTCAAAGCCTTTTTATCTTATTTTGCCTGTCGTGACTAGACATATTAATGTCACAGTTCAAAAATTTATACCACATGTAGGAGATCTGTCAAAAAGTCAAGGGAAAGCCGTCATCACTGAAACCCAATTCCAGTCGTGGTGCCATGATCAATACTGAGGGCAAGCCATTGACTCGACAGCTAAACAAAATGGCTGCAATTACCTTCAGAATCTGGACATGTGGCCACTTTCAGTACCATAAATGGCATTTACAGGTAAATCAGTATAGGTTATGAGTGATTATGCTTCGGATGGTTCTCTACCTCCGCTTTGCTTTGGTGAGACCCAACCTGCGCAGCGGCAGCTTGCTCCACTGTTTGCCCTTGCGTATCATATCAGAATACTGCTACTTTCATTTTGATCCCCCACTTACACATGAAAACCCCTTCATATTATCTGTGGATCTGATTCTTATGTGATGCTTTACATCCATATACATGTAGCTACTTCATATACAGGCAAGTATCATACAGATTTTATCCCTTTTTAGTCAAAAGTGTGCCTAATACAGCAAAATTCGAGTGCATTTGAGCTGCGTTTTTTTTTTTTTTTGCGTTCAAGGCCGTTTTAGATCGTCAGAATAGCACCAAACAGTTGCTCTCATCTGACAGTTACTTCCTGACACCTTTGCTTACCTTTTTGAGGACCAAAAAAAAACATGGCCAAAATTCGACCAAAAAGCATGAGGTACCCCTCACAGTTTTCATTGAAAATAAAACGATCGCGGTTTTTACCTTGATAACGAAGACTTTTACTATGGTATATCTTGAATCAAAATGTTTCTATTGATCCAACGTAACGACTAAAGTCATCTTTGTGGAACTTTGATATGTAAAATTTCGTCTTTTAGGCCAGAAACCTCTTTTCATATTTTTATAAATTTCTCAATAAGTTTATTCAAAGCATTTATATTACTTGGTACCATTGGATGCGCCTTGAAATGTACTTTAAGAATGTATTAGGAAGCATGGGATGATTATCACACTTCATATAGTCGGATCATACAAAATAGTTCAATCAAGTCGAAAAAAGGCAAAATCTGGCCAATCTTGAGCAGATAGAATGTTCTGGGGTTGAATTAATTTTGGCTTGTGGGACTAGCTGGAAAACTCAATGCCCTTTTCATAAGGCAATACAGTAGTAAATGCCCTTGAAGCGTATGGAAAGCAGGTGATAGGTTGTAGCACTATTGTTTATAATAATATTTTCTTGCATTCTATGTTCAATAACGTTAGTCCGAATATTGACGATTCATGGGCTGCATAACATGTCTGCAGTAAGTAGTGAAATCTCTGAGGCTGTTGGTTGTCGTTCAAAGAAAATGTTGACAGCATTGAGCAGAGGAAAGAGGGTAGAAATAACAGTGGTTTTGTTGATTGATCGTAAAATCATTAATCATATATGAGCCAGACCTGACAGATGCCTTGAAAGTCAGTTTGCATATTAAGGCTGTAAAAGTGTCTAAGGGCTGAACATTTATTATGTTATGATAAGATACAATAAATTATCATTATAAACAATAGTGCTACAACCTATCACCTGCTTTCCATACGCTTCAAGGGCATTTACTACTGTATTGCCTTATGAAAAGGGCATTGAGTTTTCCAGCTAGTCCCACAAGCCAAAATTAATTCAACCCCAGAACATTCTATCTGCTCAAGATTGGCCAGATTTTGCCTTTTTTCGACTTGATTGAACTATTTTGTATGATCCGACTATATGAAGTGTGATAATCATCCCATGCTTCCTAATACATTCTTAAAGTACATTTCAAGGCGCATCCAATGGTACCAAGTAATATAAATGCTTTGAATAAACTTATTGAGAAATTTATAAAAATATGAAAAGAGGTTTCTGGCCTAAAAGACGAAATTTTACATATCAAAGTTCCACAAAGATGACTTTAGTCGTTACGTTGGATCAATAGAAACATTTTGATTCAAGATATACCATAGTAAAAGTCTTCGTTATCAAGGTAAAAACCGCGATCGTTTTATTTTCAATGAAAACTGTGAGGGGTACCTCATGCTTTTTGGTCGAATTTTGGCCATGTTTTTTTTTGGTCCTCAAAAAGGTAAGCAAAGGTGTCAGGAAGTAACTGTCAGATGAGAGCAACTGTTTGGTGCTATTCTGATGATCTAAAACGGCCTTGAATGCAAAAAAAAACGCAGCTCAAATGCACTCGAATTTTGCTGTATTAGGCATACTTTTGATTAAAAAGGGATAAAATCTGTATGATACTTGCCTGTATATGAAGTAGCTACATGTATATGGATGTAAAGCATCACATAAGAATCAGATCCACAGATAATATGAAGGGGTTTTCATGTGTAAGTGGGGGATCAAAATGAAAGTAGCAGTATTCTGATATGATACGCAAGGGCAAACAGTGGAGCAAGCTGCCGCTGCGCAGGTTAGGTCTCACCAAAGCAAAGCGGAGGTAGAGAACCATCCGAAGCATAAACTTTCATATGATTAGTGATTTTATATCAACCAGTAATCAAGGTTCTTCTAACATTTTAGCTATATTAATTTTGCGATATTAGCTAAAGGCCCGCGTCAGCGCGAGCCGTTTGAACGTAGGTTGGTTTCCACCGAAGCGAAGTGTAGATCAGGAAACCACCCGAAGTGCTGAAAGGCTCGTATTTAATAGCACCAGTTAATCAAAATACTTGTTAGATCAACTTCTTTCCTTTTTGAAGCTTTGAAAGTGTCTAGGCACCATAAATTTATTATGTTTTAGTAATTTTTCTGAACTAAGAATCGAATCCTGTGGATATCACTCCTCTACCTTTCTCCAAGTTTGTATCACACAGACAAGTTTGTATATAGGTGGATAGCGTACTTGCATTGGGTGTTAATACCCTAAAGTATACAAAATACAGCGAAATCTGGATGCATTTGAGAAATGATTCCTCGAGTTAGAAGCCGTTTTAAGCCGCCAAAATAGCGCTCTCATCTTGCAGATACTTTTTGGCACCTTTGCTCAATTTTTTTGGGGTCGTCGAAAATCGATTCAAAAAGCATGAGCGACACCTCATGGTTTTCATCGAAAATCAAACGATTGCGTTTTTGATCGTGAAAATGAAGAGTTTTACTAAAGCATATATGAAGTCAAAATGTTCATCTCGCTCCAACGCAATCCCTGAAAACTACTTTATAAGACTTGTATATGCAAAATTTCGACGTTTTTGCCAAAAACCTCATTTCGCATTTTGAAACATTACTCTATAAATTTGTTCAAAGCGTATTTTATAATTAGCACCATTGGATGCGCCTTGAAAAGCACTTCAAGAAAGCTTAAGGGAGTATAGAATAATTTGTTTGATTAGATAGTCGAATCTTGCAAAATAGTCAAAAATGAGTCGAATTTGATCAAATTTGGCCAATCTTGGAACAAATATTTTTTTGGAGTGTCAAATTTATTTGGCTGTCCATAATGCTTGTCCCGGGAAGAAATTGATGTAATAGCACAGTAGAAGAGGATTGGGAATTGAAAGGTATTATAATAGCCTGATTACTCATGTTTGGTTTGGCTACGGATTTCCATGTCTGGTAGTAGGTTCGATAGTTGCAAGATGCTCGCTTTCATGCAAAGCGGTATATTGACGCATTTAGCGTGTATACATGCTTCAACTAGTCAATCAATGCTCCCCAACTTCATAGACCAAGTAAATTGTAATGCATATTACTAAATGATTTTATTGTTTTAAGGATGAATATAATATTAGAGACATGTAGAAAAAATGTTGTTCTTAAAGGTGTCCGAGAGCATCAACAAGACTATTGACGTGATCGACATCAGGAATATAATAATGTGCCTCGGTTTGCTTCTTGCCAACAGTTGAAGTGATAGCTTGAGGAATTTCGTTCAAGAGAGAGAAGACAACTTCATCAGTCTTACCATCACCAATACACAAAATAAAGTCAATGGAAGGTTGATCCAAATCCTTGAGAATGTTACGGACAGCAGTGGATTTATCGATAGATGAGGGACGAAGTTCCAAGGTCTTGTTGCCGAGCACAATGGAAAGAGCCATATGACTCAACAACTTCTCCAAGTTGACCTGTAATTCAGTAGCTTGCCATGAGCCAAATTCAGGGTCGGCATTACGGTAGTGCCATGTCAAGTTGATTTCCTTCTCTTCAATGAATGAACCAGGTGTACGTTCGGTATAATGTTGGAAGAGAGGACGAATAGTTTCCTTCCAACTAGGGTCAACTTGCTCCACAAGACAGTACCACTTATTATCCTCCTCCTTTATCAATTTACCTTCGTTAGATGCAGCTACAGGATTGATCTTGTCGCGAATACTAGCAGGATGTTTGTAGAAACAGCCATGTTCAGCAGAGAGACCGACACCAGTGGATTCAAACCAGCTGTCCAAGTGGTGACGAGAACGACCAGACAAAATGTAGACGTAGGTATCGGGTTGTTCAGCCAAGGTCTTCAAATGACCCAACACAGTTTGGGAAGGCTTTGCAAATTCAGGCAACTTGTGTGTAGTGGTCAAAGTACCATCATAGTCGAGTAAAATCAATTTCTTCTTGGTGGCTTCCTTGGCCTTGGTGATGACAGTCTTGGAGTCCAATTGAGGGATGGACATACGTTGGCCAAACTCTTCGCTTACGCGTCTCAGTTCATTGACGAAACTGACACCCCAGTAAGCAGCAGTGTACTTGGTAACATAACGGTACAACTTTTGATGGTTTGCCTTGCGGATATCGTCGGGCATAGTAACAGCTTCATGGATAGCGTTGGCCAATTCTTCGGTATTCCAAGGGTTGACAATGATGGAGCCGTTCAATGATTGGGCGGCACCAGCAAATTCAGAAAGAATCAACACACCGTGCTTTTCTTGTTGGGAGGAGATGTACTCATAAGAAACCAAGTTCATACCATCACGAGTGGAGGAGACAAGACAGACATCTGCAGCAGCGTAAAGAGCGACCAACTCATCGAAAGGAATGGAGCGATGCATGAAATGGATAGGAACAAACTCGACAGTACCGTATTGACCATTAATACGGCCAACCAATTCATTGATGGTACTTCTCAATTGTTGATATTCCTCGACATCTTCACGAGAGGGAATAGCAAGTTGAACAAGCACGACCTTACCGACCCATTCGGGATGCTGACTAAGGAAAACCTCCATAGCATGCATCTTTTGAGGAACACCCTTGATATAATCAAGACGATCAACACCTACAATCACTTTACAATCACCAAATCTATTTTTCAATTGCTGGATACGGTTTTGAATCTTGTCCTCCTTCAAGGCGTCTGTAAACTTTTCGGGGTCAATACCGATTGGGAAAGTACCGACATGGATGTATCTTCCTTCGAATTCCACGCCATTTGGCATTGTGGAAAGGCCCAGAATACGAGTACATGACGACAAGAAATGACGGGCATAGTCATAAGTGTGGAAACCCAAGAGATCACTCTCCAAGACACCCAATAAGATTTCCTTGCGCACAGGTAAAATTCTGTTTTGCATGGTCAATATTCTTCGCTTGTTCAATTGAAATGCACTTTTGTGCGATACTTACCTATAGATCTCACTACTGGGGAAAGGTGTGTGCAAGAACCAACCAATCTTGATGTTCTTCTTGGTGATCTTTCTAAGCATAGATGGCAACAGCATCAAGTGATAATCTTGAATCCAGACAAGATCACCATCTTGAACAATCTTGGCAATGGCTTCAGCAAACAAGCCATTGACCTTTTGATATGCCTCCCACCATTCCTCATTGAAAGAAATTTCTCCAGGGTGGTAATGGAAGAGTGGCCAAAGGATACTATCAAATGTATCAGTAACTGCGAAACACGTAAAGGCTTTTCAATGCTTACCTATTAGAGAAACCATTGTAATGCAAATCAGCCAGATCATTATCGACAAAGACGGGCATAGTTGAGGTTTCATTCAATAATCTCTCTTCAAGACCCTTTTTGTCCTCGGCGGGAACATTCAAACCTTAAATTGAGAATAGCATGTATGAGCTACTCGCGACATGTAAACAACGGCCTCAATTGAAACTTACCAGGCCAACCAATCCAAGTAAAAGACATCATCTTCTTCAAACCACTCAACCCAGTAACCAAACCACCAGACGACATTTTGAAATTGTATTCACCTGTCTTTTGATCTTTGTTCACGGTGACAGGCAATCTGTTGGAGACAACCAACAAACGAAGATTCTTATCGTTTTTTGCTACTGTACTATCTGCAGACATCTCTTTGTATATGCGTATGTGTGTTCTAGATGCTTTGATTCAGTAAAAGTTTGCTAATGTAGCAACTACATTTGTATCGATGACTTACCTAAAAGTGCTTTGTAATTATACACAAGATGAAGAAGAAGAAGAAGGAAAGGAAGGAAAAAGAAGGTAGTGTTGTATTAAAATACCTTTTTCCAAAAGATACGATCATTTGATAAAAAAAAAACTGGGTAACTCTATAGAAAATGGATCGTTCATTGGGTGGCTGTTTCAAATAATGACATATTGAGAGACGAATTTTCTATTAAAGCCTGTTGTAGGGGTCTCCATTAATCGGCTATTTAAAAATGCTATTTCTGCATTGACGATATCATTACGTATTGACCTTTGTGGTATTTTTGTATATACCGAATTTCATCTTGAAGGTCAAAATACAAGATGTAAACTCTTCAACATCTAATAAAAACAGTCAGTCAGATGACTTCTCGGTGGATCCCGTGCCCCTCCCCCTGGGCGCATTCCATCGATGAGCCTAAAGTCAATGAGAAATTGATTGGAATACGTGTATAATGTATGTGCACGGAGATGCTTTAACATGTATTACACAACCAATTTTTTTTCTCGGTTTCGGAAATCGCTCTAGAATAAATTGCTTCTATTCAGCAGTGCAAGAGTCGCCATGTTGATTTGCTTGGGGTTGCTATGGTAACTGGATTATCTCGACATATTGTCCAAATCGAGCCGGAAACGTGTACAATCTGGAAGATTTATAGGTGATGAGATGATTGATCTCGTCATTTCTCTTTTTTCACTGATCAACACAGTAGATTAAGTTATCTTGTAGCACATCAAACAAAAAGAGTAATCGATGTATACACACCTAAGCATTCATACCACATCAATGACGGATAAAGGTTGATAGCAATTGTCTTTTACATAATCCAATGTAACATTGTCGTGCTGATGGTATCAATATGTCTGCTCTGTCAGTTACATGTTCTGTAGTACCGTGCTAGTATCAACCTTTGATGGAGTTCCAATTGCTTAGAGTGATGATATTCTTTACTACATATTTTGTTCTACTGCATTCTCAAGAACAATTCTCCTGAGATTTAAGCCACACCGGGGCAATGGCTTTTTTTTTTTTTACTCTTCCACATTTGAAGCAATCTCTCCATATAAAAATGCCTGAAAAATCAACCGAAAAACGACCAGTAGCAACAGACGATGCTGAACTCAACAAAACTACAAAAAAGCAAAAGAAAGACAGCGATACAATCCCAATTCTTCGTGGTCGCTTCAAACAACGATGGTTAACAAAGCACTCACATTTGTTAAAACGTTCAGATGATGCTAGTGGTATTTTAGTGTCGTGTAGTGTAAATGCGGAGACCCGTGCTCTAGGCCAGGTATCTACTTGCCTGGAGCATTATATTACAAAGTTGTTCCCTGATCACTCAAGTACCTGGGTTAGATTTGAGGGCAAGCTTGACATTGATCAAATTGATTTTGACGACGAGGAGAAGACAGCTGATCAGAAAGAGGATAAAGCAGAGACCGAGAAAGAACGCAAAGAAAAGAAGTTTCAAGCTATCGATGCTGCTTGTGGAGGGCTTGTGTTTTACAGATTTAGGATCGATGTCAAACCCACTGAATTTGTGATTAAATTGATGGGTAATATTGATGGATTGAGATTTAAGCATTTTGACATGTCTGACATACTATTTAGATCACATTAAGCAATTGCCTGATAAAGAACGCGAGCAAGAGTTGGGAAAGCTTCGCCATTGTGCTGTAATGTCGTTTGCTATCAGGCTGCATGTGCTTAATACTGATAAACTCTATAATAGAGATGGATTCCTTTAGATTACATCTGCCCTGCTATTACAGAAAGAATTGCTTCATGTTTTGAGAGAGTCAAGGCAGATTATTTCAACACAGAGGGTGACACTACAGAGGATACAGTAGCCATCATCACAGAAATCCGCAACAACATCATGATTAAGAAAGAAGAAATCATTCAAACCATCGCACCTCTTATACCGCCCAAATACAGGTATGTATCTATCATAATATGTAGAATATCCCATCATAACCAAAATGTCCTGTTTTATTAGAGTCAATCTCAAGAAACCAACATATGTGATTTTCGTTACAGTTTTCAAGAGTGCGTGCGGAATTACAGTGTTGAAAGACTATTACGAACGAAAGAGATACAATCTAGTTGCCTACTGTCAATAACTGGACTCGATATGCTTTCCTGACAGAATTGAAGCACACAATAGGATGTCCTTCCTATCGGAAAAGAGTATTAGATTGCTTCTCTTAAATTATTCATGTATTAAAAACCTTGTTTGCTTCGACCAATTCTTGAACTGTAATCACATCTTCCACCATCTCCCCCTTTTGTAAGAGAAACGTACGGAATACACCAGGCAAGGCGCCACATTCAATTTTAGGTGTCTTCCATACATATTTACCGTCTACTGAGAATCGAATAGCAATGTTCGTGATACTTGTCTCTGTGATTTCTCTATCTTTGTTCCATAATACAACATCAAACGGTTCCTGGGCAGTTGCATGCCAATCACAGTGTGTTCTCTCTCTGGAGAAATTATACATATCACGTCGAGTCGTTTTATGTAGAATGAATGGATCATCAGTTGCTAAATCAAAAGATTCTAAATCCAAAACGACGCTAATATTGGGGCTTGAGGCGGCTGCTTCCTCTAATGATTCGAAGGATGATATTGGTGCTGGTAACTGTGTGTGCTCGACTGTTATTCTAGAATCTGTGCCAACGAGCAATCTCACCTATTGGTTTCTATGAGTACATAGTGCTCCATCCCACCAAACAAATGTGGCCTACACGCTGATAATTGCCATCATGTGGTACTTTGTTGTTCAAATGATCAATTACAGTCTGTCTTGAGACCTTCGTAGCGAATAATGTTGAATCAAGTTTTTGAAAATCTTCAATGGCATTCTCAAGTCTGTTCAAATGCTGTTCCAAAAGATAAAAGCCTATTTTGTATAGTTTTATGATTAGATATTATTTCATTTCCTTTTAGCCTCGAGTCTTCTACCAGTATCAGGGATATACAAGATTGTTTCCAGCAATTCAAAGCTATAATTGACCATTCTAATAAGAGTCGCAAAAAAAAGAGGCGTTCTTAAAGTCAATCTCCGTTTCTAAATACACAACCTTACTGCAAAATCTGCAAAATGACATTCAAGTCATATAATCATTCAAAAGTTAAGCTAGCTTTGCCCAAAAGGAACTGTGCATGCTTGGTATAGCTACCTCTATTATTCTATCATGCATTTGACTCGTGTAAAATGATTATATAGGACGAAATTATTAATCATCATCGTTTTATATACTGGAATCATCTGTAACATATATATACCGGAAAACTTGAACATAAAAGCGTCGTCGTAGCCAATCAGAGATTAAAAACCCCTCTCCCAAGAACATAACGCATCTAATTCAAGTGATTTCTTGCCTGCTATTTGACTGTGGATTGAGTAATTTGTGGTTTCAAGGGAACATGCGGTAACTTTGACCTTATTGCGGTTTTACCGTAGCGAAGCAAACGTGCAAAACTATAGTATCTAAGCAGCAAATTCGGGTTTTCATTTCCATTGTTAATAAGCTTACCAGAAACATAGCGCATCAAAGTTTGCATGAATCAGCTCTATCGAAATCAATATGCCTCCTGTTCGAATTAGAAGTTGCACAGGCTGCAGAACTGCCCTTCCAGAAGGCTTTAGCTACCAAAGATCTGATTCATGCCGTGTAAATAAAAGCCATAAAGCAAAAATACAGCCAAATTTGGCAGTTTTCTAGCCTTCATACCTTGGCATGTAGACTTTTCTGAGCCCCTGAAATGACACCAAATAATTGTACTTGAGTAATAGTAACTTTCTAACACCTTTGCTCAGCTTTTTGGGACCAAAAAAAAAATATGGCCAGAAATCGATCAAAAAGCATGAGAGGTACCTCATGAATTTTTGCCAAAATCAAACGATCGCGTTTTTTTTACCTTGGAAAAGAAGACTTTTACTATGGTATATATCAGATCAAAGTATTTCTCTCGATCCAAAGCAACCTCTGAAACCACTTTTATGAGGTTTTCATATGTAAAATATGGCTATTTTTGCTGAAAACCTCATTCCAAGTTTTACCCAATTGCTCAGTAATTTTATTCAAAGCTCCTATTATAATTAGCACCATTGAAAGCGCCTTGAAAAGTACTCCAAGAATGTATTAGGAAGCATCGGATGATAACCACAGTTCATATAGTCGAATATCATAAAACAGATTAAAGAAGTCGACAAAGGACGAAATTTGGCCAATCTTGAACAGAAAAAATAATCTGAGTTTGAATGGTTTGTTGGAGGCGACGGGCGGTGCTGTTGCTGGCCTTTCTGAAGCTGACAATTATGATGACAAGGATGATTGCGGTACTAATTAAATGGAGATCATGTAATTGAAAGAACTAATTCTTAGCCCGAATACTTTTTTTCTTAGGAGATTTACCTATAAAGGTGTCCTTTGCAATGATAATATGTCAAAAAAGTCGCTGTAGATCTTGCAAAAGTTCTGTATTTACACATGGCCAGCCTTTTGCCGCCATCTCAAGAGCAACAACAGCGAATGAATAACTTCCCTCCTGACTCTGATATAGTGTTTTTATTACTATTAATTGATTGCTTAAGACCTATTTGATATGCCAAATTTTTATTATCTCTGATTTGAAATGTCTTCGGTGAGAGCCCGCAGAGAGACGCCGTCATCGAGCGTAGCGAGATTGATCTGCTATTTATACTTATACTGTGGTACGTATCTTCTTAACATTTAGCTGCTGGGAGCATGTATACTGATCTATGGGCTGTTTGGGAAGTGAGAGAACATTATCATATATGAATAGTGATCGTCTATAACAGATAAGCGATTTATTGAAAGGACCGTTTACATCTGAGCTTATCCCTTTCGCAAATGACGATTTAGTGCTCAGATCACTTAAAAATTAAGTGTAAATTAGCTGATCCATGGATACATGGACAAGCTATTCTATTGATGTTGAGAGATCAATGAGTTTATGGGCATGGCATTATCACAAACAAGGGATGTTGGCCCTGATACGGTGGTATTCATGCACTCAAGATGGATTAGATAAGCGACATGTTCGGCTCGGTGACTACTGTCGCACGTTGTATGCTCTCAAGCAGGACAGAGGAATAATTAGGCAAAGGAATACAGTGAACAGGATCAAGCGTACAAGGTAGAACCTCCTCTTTTTCGTGCATCCGATCATTAATATGGTATGTGGCCCTACAGCACATGTATAGACTCGACTGCAACATGATGTATGAACCTGGATCAGGGATTTTGAATGAACGGATGGATGGATGAATACATAGATGAGCGGATGGATTCAATCACATCTTTGAGATACAGCGGCATACATCACATCCTAGACGAGATCTATCCAGAATTTCATGATGTGAACATTATTAACAACATGCAATTTGTATAGGCTCCCACCAAGAAGTCCACCGGTAAGAAGGTTGCTCCTTCTCCTTATCCTGTCAAGGGAAAGCAAACCACCAAGGCTGCTGCCAACCCTTTGATTGAAAAGACTCCCAAGAACTTTGGTGTCGGTCAAGATGTTCAACCCAAGCGTGATGTCTCTCGTTTCGTCAAGTGGCCCCAATATGTCAAGCTTCAACGCCAAAAGAAGATCATCTACCAACGTCTCAAGGTCCCTCCTGCTCTTAACCAATTCACCCATGTTTTGGATAAGAACACTGCTACCCAAGTCTTCAAGTTGATGCACAAGTACAGACCCGAGTCCAAGAACGAGAAGCGTGATCGTCTCCGTGCTGCTGCTCTTGCCAAATCTGAGAAGAAGGAAGTTGCCAAGACTGACAAGCCTGTTGTCATCAAGTACGGTATCAACCACATCACCGCTTTGGTTGAGGCCAAGAAGGCTCAATTGGTCGTCATTGCTGATGATGTTGACCCCATTGAGTTGGTTCTCTGGCTCCCTGCTCTCTGCCGTAAGATGGGTGTCCCTTACTGTATTGTCAAGGGCAAGGCTCGTCTCGGTACACTCGTCCACAAGAAGACTGCCACTGCTCTTGCTTTGACCGAAGTCTCTGAGGCTGATAAGGCTGAATTGGCCACCATTGTCTCTGCTGTCAACACCAACTTTGCCGAGAAGTGGGAGGATGTCCGTCGTCACTGGGGTGGCGGTATCATGGGCCCCAAGTCCAACGCCAAGATGGCCAAGCGTGCTGCTATCGCCGCTAAGGAAATTGCTGCTCGTCAATAAACGCCTTGACCTTTTAATATAGTGATTTTATGGTTTGGTACCCCATTTACATATTAATTATCATACGAAAATAAAAAAGGAATTTATATACAATAGAAAACGTGGGTCTTTTTAGTTACATGTCATGCAAACGAGAACCGCAGGATGTGCCGTGTTGCGTTATGACATTTTGCAGCAAGTGTCAAAACACAACAGCTAATTTACAGGGAGCTCCAAATGTATAAATTGGTACATGATGTTATTACAATAAGACAAACCTGAAACGAGAGATCAAATTTACTGATTAAATTGGTTTCTAGGCTCCTTTCCACGCTTCTCTTTTCCTCTCTTAACTTTGTTCTTTCCCCTTGCAACACTAGTGTCCCTTTTATCCCTTTTCTGCAAGTCTGTTTATGTGCTGCTTGCTGTTGTTGTGCGCACCACTCCTCGTTGTCTTGTCTCCTCTCCTTTTTCTTGAATATAATAATAATTCGCCATTCTACCCAAACACATAATCCCTTATCCCCTTCCTGCCCTTTTATTTTACTCCATCAGAATGAACCAAGAGAAAAAGACATTTGAAAGACGAAGTGGGATGGTCCATTCATTTGGAGCCCCCAATAGCGGCATTGTGAGCAGGGCTGTCGCTGCTGCTGCTGCCAACATAAAGAGACGATCCACACAATCATCCTCAGGCAGAGCATCCAAGCATTATTCAGTGTCTGTCTTCTATTCCATGGCAACTGAGCAAGACAGTGAAATTGAAGACGATCTCGCCAGTGGTAGATAGACATCAATCGCATGAATATCAGCCTTTATTGACACTCATGTAGTACAGAAAACATTACGTGAATTGAAGAGCAACATTTCTACGCAGTCAAAGAACAATTTCCTGTTAGAAAGAGATGTGCGATTTCTGGATTCCAGAATAGCATTGTTGATCCAAAATCGCATGGCGTTGGACGAGGTATTATTGGTGAGGACGGGGCAAATTGGATATACAAAAAAGCACGCACTGCTCACTCGTTTCTTTTAAAAAAAGCAACATGATTTCGCTAGTCATTCAGAAGATCACGATGGCACTCCTCTGGATCACTATCCTGATGGCCGCAAGATGCAGCAATACGGCAATCTGTTCTTTCTGCTGCAAAATGAGCCTCGCTACATTGCTTCGCTCTGCAGGCTCGTGAATCTCTCAGAAATCGATATGCTGCTCCAGACTGTCATGTTTACATTGTACGGCAATCAGTACGAAAGCAGGGAAGAGAATTTACTGCTGACCATGTTTCAGGTAAGTCTTAATTGCCTGCATTAAATGAGCCGTTTTATTAATTGTTTGTTGTACATTAGAATGTGTTGGCCGCCCAATTTGAAGCAGCTACTGAATTCGGTTCATTGCTGAGGGCTAATACTCCTGTTTCTCGCATGTTGACTACATACACACGAAGAGGTCCAGGCCAATCGTACCTGAAATCAGTACTATCAAAGAAAATCAACGAACTCATTGATCAGAAAGACTTGAATCTGCAGATCAACCCGCTCAAAGTGTATGATGAATTGATCGCTGCAAAGAGCAGAGAAGGCACCTTACCCCCTGGATTCGTAAAAAGCGTTACTCCTGAAATTGCTGCTGAAAACAGTGATGTTCGGGCTATTATTCAGCGGAGATTGGAGAAACTGATTGAAACAGCCAATGGATTCCTATCCACCATCATTGACTCTTTGGAGGATGTTCCATACGGTATTCGCTGGATTTGCAAACAAATCAGATCGCTTACCAAGCGCAAATACCCTCAAGCTACAGAAAGCGCTATATCCTCGTTGATAGGCGGCTTCTTTTTTCTTCGTTTCATCAACCCTGCTATTGTCACACCACAAGCCTACATGCTGATTGACTCTTATCCTGGCCCAAATCCTAGAACGACGCTCACGCTGATTGCAAAAATGCTGCAAAATCTTGCCAATAAGCCAACCTACGCCAAAGAATCCTACATGATACCTACCAATCCTTTTGTAGAGGGAAACAAGCAGCGAATACAGCAGTTTCTCAACGACATTTGCGAAGTGAGCGATTTTTACGAGTCGCTGGAAATGGATCAATACATGACATTGTCCCGCAAAGACATTTCCATCAATATCACACCGAATGAGATGTTTAGCACGCAAATGCTACTCGACCAGCACATTCAAAAACTTGCCCCTGAGCCAACGCACAGACTGCGTATTTTGCTACAGGACTTGGGCACTGTTCCCAAGCAAGTGGTTCGTACGCTCAATCGACCTATGCAATTACCGCTATTCAGTCGCTGGGAGACAACGCAGATGATGGGAGGGCAGCAGCAGCAGCAGGACGCCAGTATTCTGTTCACTTCACCGGAGAACAGTATCACACAAAACGATATTATGTACATGGAAACCAAATCAATGTTTGTGCAAATTCTGAGGTCATTGCCACACACCCAAAAATTATGTACAGCAAACAATACTTCACTTGACTTGTTACGGATCACAGAGGCAGCAGGTACGGCAAAAGATGCGCAATTGGTCAGCAAAGGTATCAAAGTACGTACCATGCTAGAAGAACTGGAAGAAGCAGGGATTGTGAGTCGAGACAATGATTATGAGTTTCTGGTGCAAGAAATCAAGCAAGAGCTCATCCATCTGGGGGACCTTAAAGACCGTGTGATATTGGAAATCATGTCGTTGGAGCAGGTTTTCAAGACTATTCAAGATCACAACAACTACTTGCAGAGTCAACTGGAAACATACAAGGCATACCTCCAGAATGTAAGAATGCAAAGCGCTGGTGGTGGTATGGCAAATCAAAGAACAATGGCACCCGAGAATAGCCATATAATAACATGTGCGTATTCTCATCAGACCGTTCAAGATCAGCAGCACCCATTCAGTGATACCATCAACACGACAACGATGCACACAACCCCAACACTGGTGAAGAGCAATAGTAACAAAAAAAAGTCTAATGGGTCATTCCGATTTACGCATCAACAGCTGGAAAAGGACGGCATCATAGTCGAGTCTGAGGTGCCAGAGTATCGACGAGCCAACATCTTCCTGATGATTCAATCACCTATCACTGGTACGTTCGTCATCTCTTTGCACTATAAGGGAAGAGAGAAACCCATACTTGAAATTGATCTGAAATTGGATGATCTTTTGGAGAAGGTAACGCGCAATAGCTTATTCGTGCATCTGATGACTGAATATAATAATAGCAAAAAGAACATACAAAGTCTCTGGATCTGGAATATGTCAAATTAAGTGTCAACAAGATAATACAACTATTGAACAAATCATTCAAGAGCAAAAGCAGCAGGTAAATTGCAGATGAGCACACGCATACATCATATATTCTAATACACTACTATAGTAGGCTGGGCTTCTTTTGATACATTATAATATTACCATTAACTGCACTACTCTACACTACTCTACAATAAACTTTTCTAATTTTTAATAAAGGTAGTGCCACTTGCGCAAATTTGATCCTTCGCACAATTAGCCACTTTTCAGGCGCACTGTGCCATCAATCTAGGTAACTAAAGGAATTCTCTTTTTAAGGCTGACAAAAGTTTGAAAGCAATCATGGAACGGTGTGAATTCATCCCCGTATTCATATCATGCAGCAAAGTTTTGACTGGTATCAAACGCTTGACTTCCTCATTGTCCGATTCTTTACTTTCAGAGAAATCATCACCATCCTTTTGTGATTTTGCATGTCGCGTTGAAGACGCAGCATTTGCTCCGTCCTCCTTTCGGTTGATATTTGGGGGTCTGCTCAATGGGTTCGTCTTGCTTTGGTAGCATCTTCTTTTAACAGCAGGACGGTGGCCATGGCAGTCGAAGTCCGTGAAAGAGCGTGTAACAACCCATCTCCCAAAAGAACTAGCCCGGAAAATGGATGGCGCTTGAGCGTATTACCTATACTTCTCCGTTATTGTAAAAGCAAAATAATGACGAGTAGGTAGGCATGGAGGATGCGCAGCATCAGCAACCATGATACTTATTGTTATTACGGAAAATTCGATGATCGACGCTGATCGTTTCCAGGGTTCAAGTAAGGAAAACTTCAAAAACTACCGTTTTTAGCGAATTTATCTATATAAAACACGGCCTTCTGACCCTGCTTTCTAATACAGGTAGAAGTAACTTCCTATGGTGCATCCAACGGTGCTAATTATATGAAATCTTTTGATTAAGAATATTGAGCAAACATTCAAAATGTAAAAGGTGGATTATGGCCAAAATGGCGAATATTTGCTTATAAAGGTTTTACAAAAGTAATTTTAGATGGTGCCCTGGATTATCAGAATCTGTTTGATCTTATAAATGCCATAGTAAAAGTCTCCATTTTTGGGGTCAAAAACGCGATCAACTGATTTTTGATGTTTCTGTAAAGGGGTAGCTCATGCTTTTTGGGAGATTTTCATTGATCCCAAAAAAAAGTGAGGAAATGCATTGAGAACCAACTGCCGGACGAGAATAATTGTCTGGTGCTATTCTGACGGCCCAAAACAGCTTCAAACTTGAAAAACGACTCATCAATGCCACCAAGTTTGGCTATGTTTTAGCCTATAATTGAGTAGTAAGAGTTAATGTCAATATGATATTTATCCGTAGAAGAATTTTTCTCATTGATATTGGCCAAAGGCATTTTAGAAAAGTCATATCTGCAGCTACAAGTAAAGCTACAGAGGATTTAGCGCAATCGATGGCACTTATATCCAGGTGAAATTGGACATCTGCCTACTTCAATCGCGGTGATACCCGTAATGAACGATGGTGAACAAAATAGAATTACACAGGGAGTAATATATGATTGTATATGCGTGAAGAGTGGTTGATAACTGTAAAGATTGTGTCTCTTGTAATACATCATTGCTATATTGTGTCATTTCTGCGCATAGTCACATCATTGTTGATGAAATCCAGGCACAAGCCTTCTTCACTGTGGCTACAGAAGCACCTGAGATAACAATAAGATGCAATCCACACAGCATGGGCATCTCACCTTGAGAGGTGATTTTTGTCTCTATAATTTCAAGCTCGTTTTTCGATATAATTCATGCAATTTTTGATCTAAAACCTTGTACACAGCATTCGGAGAGAACAATACCAAAAGGAAATGCAGCAATGATTTATAATTCGCACTTTTTCTTTCACTTTATTAATTCTTTTATGGATATCAATCAGCATGGCGCACCATGGCCTGTAGTGTCGAATATACTTGGCTGGGTAAGCATTTGCTCATCGGTTTGATTGATATATGTTCAACACAATCCATTAGTGTTACTTTTTTGCATGGTCCTTTAGTTTCTACCCTCAGGTCATTCTAAATTGGCAGAGAAAAAGGTTCTTTGGTTTGTACTCTATCTGATGCGACCAACAACTCATGCTATCTCTGTAGTGTTCAAGGACTATCCGTGGACTTTTTGTACTATAATGTGCTAGGATTCTTATGCTATTGGGTAAGCAACGCTCTTCTGAATATGGCTTGATCTAAGCAAGAATTCCAGCTATTCAATGTGGCGTTTTTCTTTAGCAAGGAAATCCAAGACGAATGTAGGCATACACGAAAATTACCAAAGGATTACTTCTTGATGAATACACTTTACTAGATAAGCAGAGAAATCAATCAAAAGCCAACCTTGTTCGCTTTAATGATGTCATGTTTGCAAGCCATGCACTCTTCATATCATTCTTTACACTGTGTCAGACATTCTACTACAAGGTAAGCAAAGTAATTGAACGGGTAGAAAACAGAGTGCGGATCACTAAGGCATGTTGGGAAACAGAGAGATAGCACTCAAATCATATCAAAAATTGCGAAATATTTCATCTTGGCATCCTTGATTGGTGCAATTGGAATGGCATTTATAGTGCTTTACGGCTATGCAATGTGGATCGATCTACTCTATTATCTGAGTTATATCAAATTGACAATTAGTTTAATCAAATACATGCCTCAAGCTTGGCTCAATTTTAAGCGCAAATCAACAATCGGATGGAGCATTCATAATATATTACTAGTAAGTGTCAGCATCAGGCGAGTGGCAGGGCATTGCGAATAAGCTCTTTCTTCAGGATTGCACAGGCGGTGTTTTGTCTATTACACAGCTGTTGTTGGATGCGTATTTGAGTGGTGATTGGAGTGGCGTATTGGGAGTAAGTAGCATTACCTCCGGTTTAGAAGTGAGGACTAACATGGAATTCAACGAGCAGAATCCTGTGAAGCTGTATGTGGTAGTATGCTCACATTTGACTGATCTGGTTAACAACTGTATCATCGTAGTGGTTTGGGCCTACAATCGATTGCATTTGACATTGTATTCATGGTGCAGCATTATATACTTTATAGAGATCACACAGCTTCCAGCTTGAATACAGTTGATGAAGAGAGAAGAAGGCTTATCATTGAGGGTCGTGTGCCCCGTATTGATGATCAAGAGGAGGAGGCATTTGTATGATAATAAAGTGATAAGGCTGAGGATTTCAAACGGATCATCAAGATGCAAAGTTTTGGTGTCACTCGAAATATAAATACCCCCCCCCCCTTTTCATTTCTTTTTGTTGCTTTTTTCATCCTTATATTTTAAATCAAAATGTCTTTATACCAAGATTTCAAAAACTGGATAACCATATGGGTGCTTACATTTGCATTCAGTTTTCCAAGGACGGATTATCCTCGCCGTGCCATCCATTACTTGCAAATGTTTTTGTATAGATCACGTTCAGACTGGATACATAAAGAAGAATCTCGTGGTCATTGGATAGCGGAAGACTTGAAGCGAAATGCAAAGAGAGAAGCCATCACTGATAGAATTTCAGAGGCAAATGTCATTTTCTTGTGGATTCCCGGTAAGCATCGTTATGCGCTTTCGTGCGAGCAAGACTTGCCAACTTGTCTATGTGTGTAGGCGGCGGATTTCGCTTCGATTTAGGAAAGCTGTACACACCCACCTTTGCGACTTGGATCCGGGCACTAGAAGCAGACAAGAGTATCAAGAGTATGGTGTTTGTTGCAGACTACAGTAGGTGTTTATTAGGGCCGTCTTTTGTAACGTGGGATTGCTGATGTGTTTGATAGAGCGTGGGCCTGAAGAGCTGTTTCCTACGGCTGTCAACCAAATAGCAGACACATACAACTGGCTCACCAACACATTGAACATTGATCCCAAAAAGATCATTATTGGAGCTGACGATGCGGGTGCTGCTATTGCACTAGATACCTTATTTACAAAGATTCCCTCAGATCAGAAACCAGCAGGCATGATTTGCGCTTCACCATACACCGGCTTAGAGGCAGGCGGTGAATCATGGAGAGCCAATTTGGGACAAGACATTATCAACGAAAACTCGGTGAATCGCATGGAATTGGCCTACTTGGGGCCAGAGAAGAATGACTCTGACGACGAATCAGACGACGGTAAGCCAGAAGTGAGTCCGTTTGTGTACTTGAGAGAGCATGTTCAACTGGGATCCTTCCTACCATCTCGCATGCTGTTCTTCTTGGGTGGAAAGGAAGTCTTGCTGGATGAAGGTGGTCTTTTGGCTTCAAGAGCCAGAGGCTCAGGTATTCAAGTTGTTGTTGTGCAAGAGCCTTCAGGTGTTCATCTTTGGTCCATGCTGCCAGATGTCTTTATCAAAGATCCGTCTGTAAAGCAGTATATGCTTGACAGGTTTGTCGACTTCGTTGCAGGAACCATTAAGAAATGAGTAAAGAGCGTCACATGTGTTTAATAAAAATGTAATTTACAGCCCTTTCATCCCTTCTTCACTCCAAGTCTGTCAATAAAGCATACCCTTCAACACAACATTAACTTGACATAGCAATCATGCTTCGATCCAATCTTGTGAGACTATCGAGCTCCATAGCTTGCCAGCCAAGAAAGACTGCAACGCATCAATTACCCAGGGTCATCCCTGCGTACACCACAATGGCATTCCGGGAAGCATCCACCAGCAACTACAGTAGAGATAAGAAGAAGCCTGCAAAGACAGCTGAATCCGAGGCAGCGCCAGTTGCAGGGCGTCGATATGTAGAAGTGGAGTCTCCATTCGCCAAAGCCAATCGGTATACCTATGCCATGCCAGATGATCCGTACGTAGCATCCGAAAAGGTAGCCAAGATCTTGGAGCTTGGAACAGTTGATGATGCTGCAGAATACATCAGAGCCCTCCCAATCTACTTGCAATCACCTGTCGTCTGGAATCAACTCATCGGTTATTGTGCAAAATACGGTCGAGCCAATTATGCAGAGCAATACTTTTCTCAGGTAAGGATTGACAGATGTGTTTATTGAAGCACTGGTAACTAAATGGGGTTCGTCTTTTATTAGATGAGGAAGCGTGGCCTTGAGCCTAACGAACGTACATTTACTCACATGCTGGTAGCTTACGGCAAGAGCTCATCCCCTCAAGCAATTCAATATGCAGAAGCATGGTTCAAGAAGATGAAGGATTTCGATATTAAGCCAGCGCCGATCCACATCAACAATCTGATGCGAGTGTATAATCATGCGGGACGTCCTGAAAAGACAGTGGAACTATTAAAGCAAATTTCTACGAGTGGTGAAATCTCACCTGATGCTGTTACTTACTCTATGGCACTGCAAGCATGTCCACAATTACCTTTCCATGACAAGGCTCGAGAAGTAAAACACATTTGGAGGGAAATATTGCATCGCATTGAGAAGAGCCAGCCCAATCAAGCGCCTTCTTTGTTATCACAAAAGGCAGCCAACATCATCTGGCAAGAAGATGCAATTCGTCACAATAAAACAAGAGATGCTGAATTGGAATTAGACGATTCTTTGGTGGTGGCCCTCCTGAGTGCCGTAACACGAACTGCAGCAACTGAAAGAGATGTACTAGTGGGAATTGATGTGATTGAGAAGCTGTATTCACTGTGCCCTCCAAAAGCAGCTGAATTTATGGAGAAGAATGGCATTTTGAGTCAAGACCGTCAACCTGGATTCGGATTTCAACCATCTGTCAAAGTACTAGACGCCATTTTACGATTCTCAGGTGGTTTGCGAGAGTTTGAATTAGGAAAGGAATACTTTGATCTGGCGTTACAGCAGTTCCCGCGATTAAAACCAGATCAGTATGTAAAAGATGCCTACGCTTGGATCGAAAAGCAGTTGAAAAGAGGACGTAATTATGAAAACAAACGCAGCAGTAGAAAACCTCGACAATTCAATACAAGATCACCAAAACAACCTTCAGCTTTCAAGCAATAATATAGACTTCTTTTTTTTTTGTAAGTAAGCACTTGTGAAGTAAAGTACAGCATATGATTCAATGAATCCAGCTAGACCTGTAGTACGAGAGCAATCAAGAACGAAAACAGTAGAGGCGTGTGTTTTGAAGTGTTACGAGATTTTTATTAATATATGAGATACATGAGACAGGATACCTTCCCCCCCCCCTCAGCAAACACCCAGAATTGATACATGATAAACTGTATATTGATAAGCTAAAATGATTCACAACTTTACATTGTCTTGCGTACAAACATCAACATGGTTGCAAACATAGCCATGAATGTCCATAAGAAATCGGGGCCTATTGTGGCAGATCCATTTGCTGGTAGTGGCGTAGCAGATTGGGTTGCATTGGGAGCAGCAGTAATAGCAGGCTGGGTGCCAGCAGCATCCAAACCAGACACTGTTTGAATGCCTGCACCAGGCAAACGTGTAGCAGTTGGGTTATTTGCAGCAGGAGTGGTATAAGCAGGAAGATCAAGACTATAACTGTAGCTATAGCTATAACTATAAGTGTAGGCAGGAATGGTGGGCACTTGGACTTGTGAAAGAGGATAGAAGCAATTGATGGCACAAGAGTTACCAGTGTCTTCGTATAGCTTTTCCAAGAACGTTTGAGAGGTCACGGTGAAGCAATTGATCTCGCCATTTGGCATATATCTTGAAGGTAATAAAACACAACTTCCAGAGACATCAGCCGTAGATAGACAGTACAATTGGTACTTGTTTGCTCCTACGGTTGTGTTTTTACAGTTATCCAAATTGTCGAGGATTTGGCTTGAGGTAAGAGCATTCTTGGCAACAACAAACGAAGACATGATGATAGATTATGATTTGATTTAATCAGAGTTGAATAAAGGGAAAAAGAGAGAGACTTGAGTAGTGATTACATCGCTTATTATTTATCTTGTGTGAAGCTGCCTTTCACAGAGATCAGTTACTCTAAAATCATCCCTTCTACCTCAGAGGACGTGTTTCGTGCTGGTCATAAATGTTGTAACAGTTATACATGAACTATACTACTTGTAACTAATTGTACCACTTGGAACCCAATTCCATCAGTTATAAACATGAATGTGGTTCTGGTACCTGATAGGCAATGAGGAGATAACAACTTGGTAAAATCAAATAATTGTCTACATTTGTTTCAAAGATACAAAACTACTTCTTAACCCAAATGCATAATATTGGATCAATACAATGTTATACTATGTTGATCCATAGTGTATATGTTGATCTGACTCATTATAATTCAAGGTACACAAAACCTTTGTGTCATCCTAAATGTTAAAATGGGCGCAGCACTTGGTTTCCAATTGAAATTAAATAATCTAAATGTTATAGAGAAGCAGAACTGACTATTGTCATCAAATTGCTAGATATATTTCGCGTGGTTTACCTTGCGATCGCTCTTTTTTCTTAAGCATGAAAATAGGGTAATGCGTCTGCTTCAAATATTGGGCCATTCAAAGCTAGCCTTGACCAAAATATCCCTCGCAAAAAATGGTAGATCATGTCAACGATATCAATCATCTCGCTGTAAAAACTTTTGCGCAGCTTTGGGTTGCCTTGATATCATTTTTGTCAGCCTTCTCTTGCCTCAATAAGGGGTGCTGGTGTCACTTTTGGTTGCATACACTACTGTAGTAATAAGTCATGTACCACTTGAAGGTTGCGTACATGTAGTTTATTGTCTAATGAAACATTGCACTGTTATATATTTAGAGGTATGGGCACAAATGACTTCACCACACCTGTTGTAGTGATGGATTAACATTTCCAGTCAGCGTTACGGCCAATTATGAGCAACAGAGTTCTGAGGTACGCCACAGTATTAACTTTGTCAGCAGCATTTGCCCATTTATATTACCATGTACTATTCTCGGTCCTCTATCGAGTAGCTGCTTTGAAGAAGTGACCAAACATTACTACAGGTATTAGGACCAGTCCTTCCACTACCATTTTGATTTATACAGCTCGAATTATGGATGCTCGAAGCACGCTCTTCTGCGCATCTATCTAGACCAGGTGAAGGCATTGCAATACAAAGTGGACTTTTATTCAGTTCTGTAGAGGAGTGCACTCTAAAAAGCTTTATCTTTTTGTTAAAACCATAGGCTTCCGCTATATCCTACTTGTCTTCCAATTAACTGATCGGCAATAGATTCTCCTCATAACATAATTCCAATGTAAACCTATGCATAGGTTTTGAAACGTTGTCGTAGCTATTTACAATTATTTTTTATACAAGCCAAATAGTATAAATATTGTAGCAAACTGTTAAAGTCAATAAAGTTTGCCTTGAAACTAATTTATTTTATTCCTTATATTATTATCACAAAATTAGTTATGGGTTGCTAATTTCACAGAAAGAGGAAAGAAATATCGATATCCATTACCAACAAAATCTGTAATAACGTCTAATGCAATAAAAACCAACGCAAAAAAAAATTGCGCATAATAGGGACTGATCTGGGAACCTCCTACTAAAAAGACGAACGCTTTACACAACGGACTAGAGCCATTAGTTACGTCGGACTTTCAATTAATTATTATATCAAGACGACAGTGCGTGGCAGCGGGAGCATATGGTATTTGTTCGCTCTTGGCGAACAAATACCATATGCCGAGAGGAGAGAAAAACAAAACTAAAAAAAAAACCAATTGAAAATCAGGCAATTTTTTCTCGCATTGAAACAGTCTGATTAGTGAGATATTCAACACAGAAGATGAAAATGTCAGGCGGAGAGAATATGAAATATTCCAGTCTAATGCTTATTGTAGCCAAGCGAACTATGCTACTGTTGTGCCAGAAGGGCTACAACTGTCTATAAAGATTAAGGTATTCTTGATGAGTAGATATGTCTGTGTTGTGCAACAACATGGACAAGCTATGATAATTGAAGTGCATCTCAGCTATCTAAATACTAAGGTTCACCAGATGTGATAAGCGTTGTACAAGATAAATTGCTACTTTGGCATTCAGAACTTAGTATAAATAGAATAACTCTTGTCTTCATCAATATATTTTTAGTTTTTGTGTCTGATCTTGTTCAAATAAGTCTTTTCTTGTTTTTATAAAATCGAACATTTTTTATAAGCTACAAATAATAATCCTTTTATTCTTTGTGCTTAACAGCTACCATCGCCTGACTTTGACAGAAAGCTTCAGGTGTTGTACCTTTTTCGTAAAATGCGCAGCACAGCTTTAAACCTTTGCCACTCGACAACGAAGCAAGTTATCACCAAGCGGTTTTGAGTACAGCATTTTCCAACATCTGATCCATCAGTCTATTACGCGTAATCATTCGTAATTAACAGGTTTTCATATGAAGCTCATTACCCGAAATTGGCTTATTTCGAAAATCTTCTGTTTCTCGACAGCAAACCCATCCAATCTAAACCCCAATTACACTATCGTCTTTCTCGCTTCAAATTGGTATAGGAACATGCTGCTTTTAGAAAACATTTGGTAAACCCGGGCCCTCATAGTTGAAAAATAGAATCTCGTCAAACTTAAGTATGTTGTAGAATAATGGTATTGGAGCAACTTTTAAGTGGGAATATTATACTGGAAATGCCTTCTTCATGAGATATTCGACATTCGAGATGCTATTTTTAAGCGGTGGAATATACATACCTTAAATTTAAAATGTTATCATTCTTGAATAAAGCAAGCTACAACTATCTAATCTTAAAAGCGAGATTTTCCATCATGTCAAGTATTTATTGATAGCTTAAAACCAGCAAGTTAATATGGCCCTTTTCGCACGCTCCAATTTTTAAAATGCTCGGTCAAATTTATCCTTGTGTCGCGTACGCATGCGAAGGCTAAACGGAGCTTCAATCTATATTGTTCTGAATGAGGATTCATAGGATTCCTAAATCTATCGACCTTAAAATTACGCGTTTCTTGATAGTAAACACCCCTTCAAACTTATATGAGACATGTAGAGAATTCAAAGGAGAATACAATGGTATTTATATCAAGTCTCTGGTGTACATTTTTTACCTGATATTTGGTAAGTTAACTTTTGCGACTTTTTTACTGTTTTCTAAAGATTAATCAGTATCTGTCATTAAAACATTTTGTTAAGCATTACTTAACATTGTAGACCAAAAAGTTTTCTATCAAATGAGCTATTGCTTGAAGCTCTGGCATGACTCTATCATGAAATATTGACAATCTTTTCCTGACCAAAAAATCGTCGCCAGGTTTTTTGCTTGCTATCACACGTAGATTTTGAACAAAAATCCATGATTTTGCATGATACCCTTTTTTGAACATATCTCGTCAAATACTCACTGAATTCGCACAAAACATAGACCATTCAATAGCTCTATGTTACATTCATTATAATATAAGGGTTTCAAGTACCAGATGTATGTTCCCTTCATAAATTTGCTCAAAATGATATATTTTATGAGCTACAAGCAGGGGATAACTAGAACTCAAAAAATAATTGTATAAAGGCCATACCATCGTATAGAGAAATAGAAAAGAAACAGAAGCTATTACTGTGGAATACATCCACTATGATCTGCATTCCGACAGTTCATCCAGTTACCAGATTTAGATATAAACTGTATGTACACTGGATTAGATGTACGATATCGATTTTATACAATAAGAAGATATGGACTTCAGATACGCTAGTACTATCAGATTCATATTATATAAGATATAGGCTATAGATGGCTCCACGGACATGGATGGCGCTATAGACTTATACTTGTATTCCGACATTGACTACGGATGTTTATCATATCTGGATATGGCTCCAAGACTAATGCAATATGAGCTTGTTGCTTCAGATATGCACTTTATGATCCACGCTATAAGACACATGCTTATATCCGTGATACTAGCTACAGATACTTTATGTACTACAGACACTACGGCCCAACTGATGTGCTCATTTGAGAACATCAAATAGATTCTCATATGGGAACATCGGCGTTCCTAAAGATCTATTATAAGTCGGCCGATGTTCTTATGAGAACATCCAAAATGTTCCCATGTGAGCACATCCATATTCTTGTATGAGCACATCCATATTCTTGTATGAGCACATCCATATTCTTGTATGAGCACATCCATATTCTTGTATGAGCACATCCATATTCTTGTATGAGCACATCCATATTCTTGTATGAGCACATCCATATTCTTGTATGAGCACATCCATATTCTTGTATGAGCACATCCATATTCTTGTATGAGCACATCCATATTCTTGTATGAGCACATCCATATTCTTGTATGAGCACATCCATATTCTTGTATGAGCACATCCATATTCTTGTATGAGCACATCCATATTCTTGTATGAGCACATCCATATTCTTGTATGAGCACATCCATATTCTTGTATGAGCACATCCATATTCTTGTATGAGCACATCCATATTCTTGTATGAGCACATCCATATTCTTGTATGAGCACATCCATATTCTTGTATGAGCACATCCATATTCTTGTATGAGCACATCCATATTCTTGTATGAGCACATCCATATTCTTGTATGAGCACATCCATATTCTTGTATGAGCACATCCATATTCTTGTATGAGCACATCCATATTCTTGTATGAGCACATCCATATTCTTGTATGAGCACATCCATATTCTTGTATGAGCACATCCATATTCTTGTATGAGCACATCCATATTCTTGTATGAGCACATCCATATTCTTGTATGAGCACATCCATATTCTTGTATGAGCACATCCATATTCTTGTATGAGCACATCCATATTCTTGTATGAGCACATCCATATTCTTGTATGAGCACATCCATATTCTTGTATGAGCACATCCATATTCTTGTATGAGCACATCCATATTCTTGTATGAGCACATCCATATTCTTGTATGAGCACATCGATTTTCAGAAATTTGAAATAAAGAATGCTAGTACCGGGGTCGAACCCACAACCTATCGGTTGTGGATCTGACATTCTTCCCACTAAACTACTCGAATATCTTATTGAAATATATTCTTTTACTCTGTAATGAAATAGCCACCCAAACGCAACTTAATTGAAAACCAAAGTTCATCAAATAGCACTCATTCAAATTCATGCTATTTGGATCTATTAATGAAAGCGCTCAAATGTACATCAAAAAACCCATTTAACAATACTAAAGTAAAGATGCATGCTTATATCGCACATCGTGTGAATGAATCACTCCTGATCACAGTGTATTCAATCACACCCATGATGGTCGTAATAAGTGATGGTATCTTTATCCAAAAAGAATCAAATCAATAACAAGCATATTCAAATATGACAACTATGCCCTGCTGCCATAGTTGCACAATATCCCAGATAAAGGATTCCATACTTCAATAACAAACATCACACTTTAAACCATCAAGGTTACATTAAATCATGCTATGACGATAGCTCACCCAAGCCCATCAAGGTTACTCAAATCGACCCTTATGGCCAGTGCTCTTGCATTGATTACCACTTTAAATCAAACATCAACAACATTTGCCAGATAACGCAATAGCAGCACCTATTGCTCTCTATCATCACTAATCCTACAAGCTAGATGCAAATGTATAAATACTCTTCTTTTTTTTACTCAATTCCAGGATCTTCAGTTCATTTTATACACAAAATAAAATACAGTTGATTTCTATTGTATTTTACTATTGCTTTATTTTTTTTGTGAAATCTATTTAAACCTGATTTCACTGCAACACCTTCTCAAATGAGAACATTAACGTGCTCATGAGAACATCGATGTTCCCAAAAGAGCACATCCATGTTCTGTGAGAACATCAGTTGGGCCGTAGTGACAGTTTGATAGTCTGCAAAGGATAGCGCTGGTGGTAAATGGAAGCCATGGACAGTAAGCGAGTTACCAATCACGATACTGAGCTTGTTGTGTTGTGTGGTTGTTGGATCAGTGCTACGGTGAACATAGTGAGGAAAATGAGGTCGAATTAGAAATGTCAAACCACCATTGCCTTTGGACGCATCACCTGAGATGGTAGCATATTGATGATGTTGAGCCCATTGAGTGAATAGATCGCCTTTGAGCAAGAAGGTTTCCGTGAGTAGTAAAATGTCAATGTGATGTGTTTCTATATAGTGTATCACTAAGTCCAAGGACGTAGAGATACCAGAAACGTTGAGCATTGCAAGGTTGAGAGTAGGCTGTGAGTCTACAATCATTGATTCGTATCCATGGGGCTGGAGCCAGCGTTACTAGCAGCAGTCAGAGGTGGAGGATTTGAACCAGGTTGAGAAATGCTGGCATCGGCATTGTTGGTGGAGGCTGTAAGAGAGGCAAACAAGTTGGAGGCATCAAAGCCTTTGAGAACAGAAGAGCGAGCAGTGTTGGCAGCACCGATTTTGCGAACGCAATCAGGCTTCAGCTTGATGAACTCATCAATAATGACAGGCGGGATAAAGTGATTATCAGCACTGTCAAGACCATTGAAGAACTTGAGGATGGCCAGACCCATACGGGATTCACGAAGTTGAGTAGCAGCTTGGAGCATGCGGTTGTAGTAGATGGCCTTAGCTTTATCATCCAGTTGTTGAGCATTAAGAGTCTTCAAAAGATGGGGATCACCCAGATTTTTACCAGAGATAGGATTGAAATCAGTGATGGGATGAAGTTCGTCCTTTTCACAGATCTTAAGGATTTCAGCAGCATAGTGGGAGTGTACCAGAAGAGAGACAATATGCTTGGCAGGACGTTGGATGGCATATACACGTTTGAGGTTGATTTTGAGCAACTCTAAACGAGTGCGAAGATCGGCGTGCTTGGTTTTGTGGCTACAAGGAAGGTAGACACAAGTATAACCAGGAGGAGGCAGAGTTGAAGTGGCAGTATTAGAGGAGGAAGACATTTGCATATCATCACCATCAGTTGAGTCAGTAGCAGTAGGAGTAGAAAATAGACGTAAAGCCCATTTCTTGGCTTCAGCAGCATCAGAAGGGACTTTGGCTTTAGAAGAAGACTTCTTGGAAGTTTTCTTGTTAGAACCAGAGCTCTTCTTGGAGTTGGCAGTAGTGGTGGCAGTGTTGGCAGTAGATTTGGCATTGGCAGATCCCTTTTTGGTACCTGAATTCAAGGTTGGGAAATCCTTTTCCGATGCATAACGAGATGCAGCAGATCCAGATTTGGTACGTGTGAAGTTGACATTTGGAGTAAAATTCAAACGATTGGTTGAGGCAGCAGAAGTATTGGTAGCAGTAGTAAGGGTGGATCGTTCCAGTAAACGGGTGAGAATCAGATTCTGTTCTTGGAGCTTGACTACCAGATCAATCAACTCTGACTGCTTCAAGTTATTGTAATAATCACGGCCGGCAATGTCTTGCTGCATTGAATCGCGGCGGCGCTTATTGGAGGTGGAGGTGGATGCATTGACGGGAGCTGAGGCAGATCCAGAGGCGGTCATAGTGGAAGTCCAATCGACGGATGGTGCTTCGATTGATTGTGCTGCACCGGTAGAACTCGGTGGAGCAGGATTTAGATTCGGCGGGATCGGCAAACCTGGCATTCGGAAAAGCGAAAGATTGAGATGGTTGGGGTGATTAAGCGGCTAAACAGGCGGCTGAACGGCAAGAGGTTTTTCCGAAAAAGTATAAATACTGCTGATGTCTACACGCGTAGAGTCGATAGTGTCAGGGTTGAAGGGTATTCTGACAGTGATTTAGATCTGCAGGATATCATTGACAGACTAAACACAAACAAGAATAAGAAGCGCAGGTTTAAACCTAGAGCGCCAGCTACCAGGAACATTAAACAGCGATTAACCTGGATAGCGCACAACATTACACAAACTATATTGGATAAAATCAATGTTCAAATCTAATATTAATAAAGTACCTTTTTATCCATTCAACTAAAAGGCTATATACATTCCTGCATAATCCCTACATCTATATCTATATCTATCTCGATCAGATCTCAGATTGCATATACTATCTCTACGTATTCGCATCTGACAATAGTATCTCCTCCTCAATGGTCCAGTTTAAATGTTAATTTATTATAAAAGGGAGGATTTTAGGCTTCGTCCCTGTAGGGCAATACAATGGCCATCCCAGTAATTAAAGATAATTGAGTTGAAAAGGTGGAGCAATGAAAAAAAAACACTAGTAGAGAAGTGAAAAATTGCATCCAAAAAGTAAAGAAATGTCAAAATAAAGTTGTGTAAAATGTGGGGTAGAGCACACCCAAAAAAAGAAATTGAAAGATATATCTTTGATCTGAAACAAAGAGATAGCCAAAATAGGGTTTGTACTACAAACAAGGTAGAGCACGACCACCTAATAAAAGAACAAGGGTTGAAAATAGAGTAATTTCCAATCATGAAACTTCAACATCTCGAGCGAAACATATCATAAACAAGTAGGATCAAAACACCCAACCTCTCAATGAGAATCACAGGGAGCGAATTTCCAAAAAATAGACTACAGAATGTGTTAGACATCATATACAAAGCGTAAATTTAAGGAGAAGATCAATGTTATAGATGTTGAATGAGTTGTTGCTGCTGTTGCTGTCGTTGCTGTTGCTGCTGTTGTTGAAAGTGATGTTGTTGAGTCAAATAATGTTCAAAAAGCTCTCCAGAAGGAGGTTCCTCAGCAAAAGATCCAGCAGGATGGTTTGCAATGTCAATTTGAGTAATCAGCTCAAGAACAAGAGGCCAAATTCTCTCCCAGTGTGTGCCCAGACAGAAAGACAGATTAGAAGGTAGCGAATTCAGAATACGATCCAGAATATGAGTGGTAGCGATACCTTGGTCATCATAGGATTCATCCAAAGGAATGGAGTCATCAGGCAGATTGAGATGGATGCGGTTGACAATGTCTTGAACCAGAGGACAGGCGGCTAGATAATGAAATCTATTTGCACTAGGTGCGCCACAACGACAAGCTGAGAGAGGGAAACTTGGGAGATGATGAAAACGCCATCGAATCAGACGCAATCGCTCCAACCGAGTACACGGATAAAACAAGAGAGGGTCATATCCAGTTGTGTCTTCACGCAGAGCACGCAAACACGATGATTTTTGACTAGTCCATCTCAACATTTGAGCATCTTGAAACTCTTCACAGATGAGACGGGGAGTGGTGTGAGTGGGGGACGATTTGTACAACTTCCAGATCTTGTTGGAGCTAAGACGACGCCACAGAGCAGGAGCAATTTTAAGACGCTGATGCGTATACAGGATGCATTCCACCAAAGTAAAAGGACGAGCTTTCAACTGAAGCGAATACCAAAACTTGAAAGTCAAGATCTGGGCACGAGTATACATGGTAGGCAGATTGCCCATCATATTGAGAACCATGGACGGGGCGTTGTGCCGTTCAGATTGATTGAGAGTCATTTTCAGACAGCTAGCTTGAGTGCGATCAATAGCCATAGCAGAAGTAGCATTCAGACCAAGAAGAGCAAGAGCATATTCCATGATGGGGCGTACAAACACCCGATACACTTGAAGTGCCAACATGAGACCAAAGCCATACTGATGGACACCAAGACGACGAAAGAGAGCCATGGTAGACTTGGCCTTCTTTGTGCTAACATTGAGGAACGCAATGTTATCAATACCAGAGGCATTGAAGGGCACGCCGAGATACTCATAGCTAGGAACAATAGGGACATTGATACCATACAATTGAATAGGCCTACGCCTAGAGTGATAGTTGACAAGAGCACACTTGGTTGGACTCCACTTGAAATCAAATCGCAACGAGTACTCCTCACACAGTTGAACCAGTAACGGCATATCACGACGATGGGCAATAAGACAGACATCATCAGCATACAAGAGAGAGTGGATAGCTGTTTTTTGACGAACAACACCAAGACGAGGAGAGCAGCTGCTGGCAGTTTCAGACAAGCGTGGACCTGCACCGTATTTCACAAGAGCAAAACTAGGTTCAGTAATGTCCGCTGAAGGACCATCACCATCAGTACGAGCACGAGTAGCGATATCCACATAGAGTGGAAAACGTACAGGCGCAGTACGCAACAGAGCAGGCAGTTGATTGATAAAGATGGCATACAAAAATGGAGACAAGATGGAGCCTTGGAGCAAACCACGCTTTGGATGGATTGGCAGTGATGTAGCATTGTTAATGACTACATTGAGAGTGACATGATCAAAAAGATGCCGCAGGGTGTAAAACAGAGCCTTTGGTAGATGAGGATGAAGTAGTTGCCAGATCTTGGATCGAGTGACACTGTCATATGCTTTGCTGATATCCATAAAGATGAGTGCTGGTGAGACACCGTATTGCTGCTCAAATTGCTTTTGTAAAGCCAAGAGATTCCATGCTTGACTGATTCCACTGCGAGCGGCTCGAAAGCCACCTTGAGCAACATCAAGAGACGGCATGTGGGTCAAAAGACAAAATTTGAGACATCGTTCATAGAGCTTTCTGAAAGTGTTGGTGAGGCTGATGGGCCTATAGTTTGCAGCTGAGTTGGGATCACCCTTCTTGAAGATAGGGACAATAAGACCAGATCGAAAAGAGGTAGGTGTCCAGGCAAATGTATAGCACAAAGTAAAGAACTCAGAGAGGAAATTACAAAGAGGATACCATATAGGCATGAGCATCTCCTTTACAATATGATCATCTCCAGGTGCCTTACGATTACCCATTGCTGATAGTTGCTGCTTGATTGCTGAAGCAGAAAAGAATGTTGGTTTAGTGGTGTGCTGGTGGAGTGGTGATCTGCTGGCTCTCCATGTTGAATAATCCAATTGATCTCCCCCCAAAAATGTGTCTTTGATAATCTGCCATTACATTTGCAGCTACTTCAGGTCCTTCACTATGCGAAAAACAATGATTAGTAGTGTGTTTCTTTCTTAAGCGTTTTAGAACGGAATACACCTGATTTGAAGAGGAATCACTCATGTCATTACAAAATTTCTTCCAATGTCTTCGTTTAGCAGCCTTGATAGCCTTCTTGAGGTTGTTGCAAGCTTGTTGATAAAGAGACCAGAGGTGTGTTGAGCCAATCAATGATCTTCTGTGGTGCTTGTGTTGTTTCCAATCAGTGTAGCATTGTTGTCTAATGTCAGCCAAATGTTGTAATTCTGCATCCCAAAAGAATTTCCAGGTTTTAGGCCTAGGTGTTCTTGGTGTTACTGAATTATCAAGTGCTGAGTGGATCGCTTGGATCATTTCGATGCCAACACGGTTAATGAAATCCTTGGGAGATTCCACAACCTCGAAATAGAAACCATTAGTAGCATTGATCCGTTGATTGATAGTAGCCTCCTTCCGATGCTTAGTTGCTGTGTCACCAGAGAGCACAAACAAATTGGGGTGTTGCTATTGTTGAAAAGCCATAAAGTGCTTGACCTCTTGTTGCAGTTTGAAAATGTTGGAAAAGAAATTTTTGCGATATAGTTCAAATACGTCTTTTTCTTCCAAACGTTGCAAGTTCCAAAGACGACGGTTGCCAGCCAAAGTCGATGTTGGGAGGAGTTGAGGTTGTTGGTGTAGCTTAAACGAAAATTGCACAAGGTGATGATCCGAGTTGAGATTGATATCACTTTCAATAGATAACAAGGGATTAGCCGAGAATATATTGGGGCGTGAAATCACGAAATCAATGATGCTTGTGCCTCGATTAGACTCAAATGTAGGTTGTCCGAATGTAGAAATACGATTCCAGAGATTAGCCTGATGGACTGTAAGCCAGTTGAGGAGATAGTTGCTACGAGGATTCGTATTACGGGTATCACCAGTGAATGAGCCGAGACGAGTGTTGAAATCACCAAGACAAATAACTGACGATGAAGAGTTGAAGTCAACACTACCCAATACAGTTTGATAGTCTGCAAAGGATAGCGCTGGTGGTAAATGGAAGCCATGGACAGTAAGCGAGTTACCAATCACGATACTGAGCTTGTTGTGTTGTGTGGTTGTTGGATCAGTGCTACGGTGAACATAGTGAGGAAAATGAGGTCGAATTAGAAATGTCAAACCACCATTGCCTTTGGACGCATCACCTGAGATGGTAGCATATTGATGATGTTGAGCCCATTGAGTGAATAGATCACCTTTGAGCAAGAAGGTTTCCGTGAGTAGTAAAATGTCAATGTGATGTGTTTCTATATAGTGTATCACTAAATCCAAGGATGTAGAGATACCAGAAACATTAAGCATTGCAAGGTTAAGAGTAGGCTGTGAGTCTACAATCATTGATTCGTATCCATGGGACTGGAGCCAGCGTTACTAGCAGCAGTCAGAGGTGGAGGATTTGAACCAGGTTGAGAAATGCTGGCATCGGCATTGTTGGTGGAGGTAGTAAGAGAGGCAAACAAGTTGGAGGCATCAAAGCCTTTGAGAACAGAAGAGCGAGCAGTGTTGGCAGCACCGATTTTGCGAACGCAATCAGGCTTCAGCTTGATGAACTCATCAATAATGACAGGCGGGATAAAGTGATTATCAGCACTGTCAAGACCATTGAAGAACTTGAGGATGGCCAGACCCATACGGGATTCACGAAGTTGAGTAGCAGCTTGGAGCATGCGGTTGTAGTAGATGGCCTTAGCTTTATCATCCAGTTGTTGAGCATTAAGAGTCTTCAAAAGATGGGGATCACCCAGATTTTTACCAGAGATAGGATTGAAATCAGTGATGGGATAAAGTTCGTCCTTTTCACAGATCTTAAGGATTTCAGCAGCATAGTGGGAGTGTACCAGAAGAGAGACAATATGCTTGGCAGGACGTTGGATGGCATATACACGTTTGAGGTTGATTTTGAGCAACTCTAAACGAGTGCGAAGATCGGCGTGCTTGGTTTTGTGGCTACAAGGAAGGTAGACACAAGTATAACCAGGAGGAGGCAGAGTTGAAGTGGCAGTATTAGAGGAGGAAGACATTTGCATATCATCACCATCAGTTGAGTCAGTAGCAGTAGGAGTAGAAAATAGACGTAAAGCCCATTTCTTGGCTTCAGCAGCATCAGAAGGGACTTTGGCTTTAGAAGAAGACTTCTTGGAAGTTTTCTTGTTAGAACCAGAGCTCTTCTTGGAGTTGGCAGTAGTGGTGGCAGTGTTGGCAGTAGATTTGGCATTGGCAGATCCCTTTTTGGTACCTGAATTCAAGGTTGGGAAATCCTTTTCCGATGCATAACGAGATGCAGCAGATCCAGATTTGGTACGTGTGAAGCTGACATTTGGAGTAAGATTCAGACGAGTGGCTGAGGCAGCAGAGGTATTATTGGTAGCAGCAGTGAGGGTGGATCGTTCCAGTAAACGGGTGAGAATCAGATTCTGTTCTTGGAGCTTGACTACCAGATCAATCAACTCTGATTGCTTCAAGTTATTGTAATAATCACGGCCGGCAATGTCTTGCTGCATTGAATCGCGGCGGCGCTTATTGGAGGTGGAGGTGGATGCATTGGTAGAAGCTGAGGCAGATCCAGAGGTGGTGATCATAGTGGAGGTCCAATCGGAGGATGGTGCCTCGATGGATTGTGCTGCACCGGTAGAACTCGGTGGAGCAGAGTTTAGATTCGGCGGGATCGGCGAACCTGGCATTCGGAAAAGCGAAAGATTAAGATGGTTGGGGTGATTAAGCGGCTAAAAATGCGGCTGAATGGCAAGAGGTTTTTCCGAAAAAGTATAAATACTGCTGATGTCTACACGCGTAGAGTCGATAGTATCTCCTCCTCAATGGTCCAACGGCTAGGATTTATCGCTTTCACCGATACGGCCGGGGTTCGACTCCCCGTTGGGGAACATTTTACCTCCTTTACGAAGAGAGGTGCATGTAGACGCTGATAAAGTGTTACGAATTGACTTTGCTATTACGTCTATTTCTCTTTTCTTTTGCTGTATTTTGTGTTTAGAATAGCGGAATACAGACAGACGATATACGATTAATACTATTACAGGCGAGTTGGTAGTAGTGGATATAGTTTTTATAAAAGAATATGAAAGAGATAGTAAATTAGCCAAAGCAGATCTAACTATCAAATGAGCATCAGGTTTATAGTTGTCCAACTAGAATAAACAAATAAACAGAAGCAAAAGTAGAAAACAGAAAATAATACAGAGATGTATATAAAAGAGTTTGCTCTAAATAATAAGATGACGACATAAAACTGGTCATAGATAAATATAAGACTTGTGTAAGATCTACAGCGGCTTTTTTGAAATATTGTCATTGCAAGAGACACCTTCATGAGACAAAGCTCCCCAAAAAAAAGTATTTGTGCTAAGCAATTGTCCTTTCAACTCCATGATCCCCATTTAGTCAGTATCGTAATTATTATTGTTATTAATAGAAAGGTATTTAGGTCTGCCAGCAGCAATGCCTCCGCCAAAATTGATTCAAACCCAGTTTATTTTTTCTATTTAAGATTGGACAAATTTTGTCTTCGTTCAACTTCTTTAATTTATTTTAAGATATTCGACTATGTAAATTGTGATAATCATCCTACGTTTCCTAATACACTCTTAGAGTACTTTTCAAGGCGTCTCCAATGGAGCCAAGTAAAATAGATGTTTTGAATAAACTTATTGAGCAATTCAAGAGAATATGAAATACGGTTATTGGTCAAAATGTTAAAATTTTGCATATGAGTACCTCATACAAGTGGTTTCAGAAATTGCTTTGGGTTTAGAGAAACATATTGAATTAATATCATAACATAGTAAATGTTCAGTCCTTAGACACTTTACAACCCTAATATGGAACCTGAGTTTCAAGGCATCTGTCTGGCCTAGCTCATATGAGAACATTGACTTTACAATCAGTCAACAAAAACCACTATTAGTTCTACCCTCTTTCCTCTGCTCAATGCTGTCAACGTTTTATTTGAACGACGTCTCAGAGCCTCAGAGATTTCACTACTTACTGCAGACATCTTACACAGCCCATGAATCGTCAATGTCCAGAATAACGTTATTCAATATAGAATGCAAGTGATGAATTCGTAATAATAAGTCGATGATAATAATCAGTTGTCAACTGTATCTAAAACGAAAGCCAAGAGCTTCTTTATTACAGGGCATCTAGCTTGCTTAAATATGGTAGATCCCTGGTCAATGACTACTACGTTGAGATGGTATATAAATAGCAGGCCACTGGGGCCTTATGGATTGTTGGTATAGCTTGTTGAGAGGCCACCTAAGTCGATATATTTCATGTAGTGTAGGTGGATCTCGATATCTTGACATTGGGGAGATTGAATGTATTGTAGTTCCTGAGGCACCTGTGCACACACAATTGACTGGACTTGTAAACATAGATGTGATGTGATACGATAAACATCATCTATGCTGCTACACTGTAAAAGGTGGCTTGAGGAGAAAGTGAATGTAGCCTAAGATGCATGCTTGTATGCAACAGCAAGACGATGTCATTATGAACGATATAGAATGCAATATAATACCATTATAAACGATAGCGCTATGGCCTGCCACCTACTTTTCATACGCTTCAAGAGCATTCAGTACTGTTGTGGAATTTGAGGCTTGATAGACTAAAATTCACGGAAAAAAAAGAATAAAAAAAACAGTAATGTCAACTTGATAAAGGTATGTTTTATTATCAAACTGACAGGTGTAAAGTAAACTGAAGTCTCTCTACCGGCCAGGTAGATGATCCTTCTTATATACTATAACAATGGATAAAAGTTCTATTAATTAGATTAACAAATAAGTCAACTCAGATCAACTAATGTCTAATCATGCTAAAAGACAACTCCAGCAAGCTAATCATGACTTAGCTTTGCCTGGATGAATAATTAGACTCTCATCCGAAGTACCCTGCTCTATCCTTTCTATAAGGATAATTAATATCGATCTAGTAGCATGTATCCGATAGTAGGTACAGTCTCCTTAGTCTATATCAATAGTACATATCTGAGTGTATATCGCTAAGCATACATCTTTAGCATGTATCTGGATATATGGCATGTCTATAGCATATCGTATGCATGTCTATAGCATGTCTCATATATAGTACAAGTCTGTAGTACATAGAGTATCTGTAGCTAGTATCACGGATATAAGCATGTGTCTTATAGCGTGGATCATGAAGTGCACATCTGAAGCAACAAGCTCATATTGCATTAATCTTGGTGCCTATCCAGATATGGTAAACATCCGTAGTCAATGTCGGAATACAAGTATAAGTCTATAGCGCCATCCATGTCCGTGGTGCCATCTATAGCCTATATCTTATATAGTATGAATCTTATAGTACTAGCGTATCTGAAGTCCATATCTTCTTATAGTATAAATCGATATCGCACATCTAATCCAGTGTACATACAGTTTATATCTAAATCTGGTAACTGGATGAACAGTCGGAATGCAGATCATAGTGGATGTATTCCACAATATCCACTACTACCGACTCGCCTGTAATAGTATTAATCGTATATCGTCTGTCTTTATTCCGCTATTCTAAACACAAAATACAGCAAAAGAAAAGAGAAATAGACGTAATAGCAAAGTCAATTCGTAACACTTTATCAGCGTCTACATGCACCTCTCTTCGTAAAGGAGGTAAAATGTTCCCCAACGGGGAGTCGAACCCCGGCCGTATCGGTGAAAGCGATAAATCCTAGCCGTTGGACCATTGAGGAGGAGATACTATCGACTCTACGCGTGTAGACATCAGCAGTATTTATACTTTTTCGGAAAAACCTCTTGCCATTCAGCCGCATTTTTAGCCGCTTAATCACCCCAACCATCTTAATCTTTCGCTTTTCCGAATGCCAGGTTCGCCGATCCCGCCGAATCTAAACTCTGCTCCACCGAGTTCTACCGGTGCAGCACAATCCATCGAGGCACCATCCTCCGATTGGACCTCCACTATGATCACCACCTCTGGATCTGCCTCAGCTTCTACCAATGCATCCACCTCCACCTCCAATAAGCGCCGCCGCGATTCAATGCAGCAAGACATTGCCGGCCGTGATTATTACAATAACTTGAAGCAATCAGAGTTGATTGATCTGGTAGTCAAGCTCCAAGAACAGAATCTGATTCTCACCCGTTTACTGGAACGATCCACCCTCACTGCTGCTACCAATAATACCTCTGCTGCCTCAGCCACTCGTCTGAATCTTACTCCAAATGTCAGCTTCACACGTACCAAATCTGGATCTGCTGCATCTCGTTATGCATCGGAAAAGGATTTCCCAACCTTGAATTCAGGTACCAAAAAGGGATCTGCCAATGCCAAACCTACTGCCAACTCTGCCACCACTACTGCCAACTCCAAGAAGAGCTCTGGTTCTAACAAGAAAACTTCCAAGAAGTCTTCTTCTAAAGCCAAAGTCCCTTCTGATGCTGCTGAAGCCAAGAAATGGGCTTTACGTCTATTTTCTACTCCTACTGCTACTGACTCAACTGATGGTGATGATATGCAAATGTCTTCCTCCTCTAATACCGCCACTTCAGCTCTGCCTCCTCCTGGTTATACTTGTGTCTACCTTCCTTGTAGCCACAAAACCAAGCACGCCGATCTTCGCACTCGTTTAGAGTTGCTCAAAATCAACCTCAAACGTGTATATGCCATCCAACGTCCTGCCAAGCATGTTGTCTCTCTTCTGGTACACTCCCACTATGCTACTGAAATTCTTAAGATCTGTGAAAAGGACGAACTTTATCCCATCACTGATTTCAATCCTATCTCTGGTAAAAATCTGGGTGATCCCCATCTTTTGAAGACTTTTAATGCTCAACAACTGGATGATAAAGCTAAGGCCATCTACTACAACCGCATGCTCCAAGCTGCTACTCAACTTCGTGAATCCCGTATGGGTCTGGCCATCCTCAAGTTCTTCAATGCCCTTGATAGTACTGATAATCACCATGTCCCGCCTGTCATTATTGATGAGTTCATCAAGCTGAAGCCTGATTGCGTTCGCAAAATCGGTGCTGCCAACACTGCTCGCTCTGTTCTCAAAGGCTTTGATGCCTCCAGCTTGTTTGCCTCTCTTACTACCTCCACCAACAATACCGATGCCAGCATTTCTCAACCTGGTTCAAATCCTCCACCTCTGACTGCTGCTAGTAACGCTGGCTCCAGCCCCATGGATACGAATCAATGATTGTAGACTCACAGCCTACTTTCAACCTTGCAATGCTCAACGTTTCTGGTATCTCTACGTCCTTGGATTTAGTGATACACTATATAGAAACACATCACATCGACATTTTACTACTCACGGAAACCTTCTTGCTCAAAGGTGATCTATTCACTCAATGGGCTCAACATCATCAATATGCTACCATCTCAGGTGATGCATCCAAAGGCAATGGTGGTTTGACATTTCTAATTCGACCTCATTTTCCTCACTACGTTCACCGTAGCACTGATCCAACAACCACACAACACAACAAGCTCAGTATCGTGATTGGTAACTCGCTTACTGTCCATGGCTTCTATTTACCACCAGCGCTATCTTTTGCAGACTATCAAACTGTATTGAGTAGTGTTGACTTCAACTCTTCATCGTCAGTTATTTGTCTTGGTGATTTCAACACTCGTCTTGGCTCATTCACTGGTGATACCCGTAGTACGAACCCTCGTAGCAATTACCTCCTCAATTGGCTTACAGTCCATCAGGCTAATCTCTGGAATCGTATTTCTACATTTGGACAACCTACATTTGAGTCTAATCGAGGCACAAGCATCATTGATTTCGTGATTTCACGCCCCAATATATTCTCGGCTAGTCCCTTGTTATCTATTGAAAGTGATATCAATCTCAACTCGGATCATCACCTTGTGCAATTCTCGTTTAAGCTACACCAACAACCTCAACTCCTCCCAACATCGACTTTGGCTGGCAGCCGTCGTCTTTGGAACTTGCAACGTTTGGAAGAAAAAGACGTATTTGAATTATATCGCAAAAATTTCTTTTCCAACATTTTCAAACTGCAACAAGAGGTCAAGCACTTTATGGCTTTTCAACAACAGCAACACCCCAATTTGTTTGTGCTCTCTGGTGACACAGCAACTAAGCATCGGAAGGAGGCTACTATCAATCAACGGATCAATGCTACTAATGGTTTCTATTTCGAGGTTGTGGAATCTCCCAAGGATTTCATTAACCGTGTTGGCATCGAAATGATCCAAGCGATCCACTCAGCACTTGACAATTCAGTAACACCAAGAACATCTAGGCCCAAAACCTGGAAATTCTTTTGGGATGCAGAGTTACAACATTTGGCTGACATTAGACAACAATGCTACACTGATTGGAAACAACACAAGCACCACAGAAGATCATTGATTGGCTCAACACACCTCTGGTCTCTCTATCAACAAGCTTGCAACAACCTCAAGAAGGCTATCAAGGCTGCTAAACGAAGACATTGGAAGAAATTTTGTAATGACATGAGTGATTCCTCTTCAAATCAGGTGTATTCCGTTCTAAAACGCTTAAGAAAGAAACACACTACTAATCATTGTTTTTCGCATAGTGAAGGACCTGAAGTAGCTGCAAATGTAATGGCAGATTATCAAAGACACATTTTTGGGGGGAGATCAATTGGATTATTCAACATGGAGAGCCAGCAGATCACCACTCCACCAGCACACCACTAAACCAACATTCTTTTCTGCTTCAGCAATCAAGCAACAACTATCAGCAATGGGTAATCGTAAGGCACCTGGAGATGATCATATTGTAAAGGAGATGCTCATGCCTATATGGTATCCTCTTTGTAATTTCCTCTCTGAGTTCTTTACTTTGTGCTATACATTTGCCTGGACACCTGCCTCTTTTCGATCTGGTCTTATTGTCCCTATCTTCAAGAAGGGTGATCCCAACTCAGCTGCAAACTATAGGCCCATCAGCCTCACCAACACTTTCAGAAAGCTCTATGAACGATGTCTCAAATTCTGTCTTTTGACCCACATGCCGTCTCTTGATGTTGCTCAAGGTGGCTTTCGAGCCGCTCGCAGTGGAATCAGTCAAGCATGGAATCTCTTGGCTTTACAAAAGCAATTTGAGCAGCAATACGGTGTCTCACCAGCACTCATCTTTATGGATATCAGCAAAGCATATGACAGCGTCACTCGATCCAAGATCTGGCAACTACTTCATCCTCATCTACCAAAGGCTCTGTTTTACACCCTGCGGCATCTTTTTGATCATGTCACTCTCAATGTGGTCATCAACAATGCTACATCATTGCCAATCCATCCAAAGCGTGGTTTGCTCCAAGGCTCCATCTTGTCTCCATTTTTGTATGCCATCTTTATCAATCAACTGCCTGCTCTGTTGCGTACTGCGCCTGTACGTTTTCCACTCTATGTGGATATCGCTACTCGTGCTCGTACTGATGGTGATGGTCCTTCAGCGGACATTACTGAACCTAGTTTTGCTCTTGTGAAATACGGTGCAGGTCCACGTTTGTCTGAAACTGCTAGCAGCTGCTCTCCTCGTCTTGGTGTTGTTCGTCAAAAAACAGCTATCCACTCTCTCTTGTATGCTGATGATGTCTGTCTTATTGCCCATCGTCGTGATATGCCGTTACTGGTTCAACTGTGTGAGGAGTACTCGTTGCGTTTTGATTTCAAGTGGAGTCCAACCAAGTGTGCTCTTGTCAACTATCACTCTAGGCGTAGGCCTATTCAATTGTATGGTATCAATGTCCCTATTGTTCCTAGCTATGAGTATCTCGGTGTGCCCTTCAATGCCTCTGGTATTGATAACATTGCGTTCCTCAATGCTAGCACAAAGAAGGCCAAGTCTACCATGGCTCTCTTTCGTCGTCTTGGTGTCCATCAGTATGGCTTTGGTCTCATGTTGGCACTTCAAGTGTATCGGGTGTTTGTACGCCCCATCATGGAATATGCTCTTGCTCTTCTTGCTTTGAATGCTACCTCTGCTATGGCTATTGATCGCACTCAAGCTAGCTGTCTGAAAATGACTCTCAATCAATCTGAACGGCACAACGCCCCATCCATGGTTCTCAATATGATGGGCAATCTGCCTACCATGTATACTCGTGCCCAGATCTTGACTTTCAAGTTTTGGTATTCGCTTCAGTTGAAAGCTCGTCCTTTTACTTTGGTGGAATGCATCCTGTATACGCATCAGCGTCTTAAAATTGCTCCTGCTCTGTGGCGTCGTCTTAGCTCCAACAAGATCTGGAAGTTGTACAAATCGTCCCCCACTCACACCACTCCCCGTCTCATCTGTGAAGAGTTTCAAGATGCTCAAATGTTGAAATGGACTAGTCAAAAATCATCGTGTTTGCGTGCTCTGCGTGAAGACACAACTGGATATGACCCTCTCTTGTTTTATCCGTGTACTCGGTTGGAGCGATTGCGTCTGATTCGATGGCGTTTTCATCACCTCCCAAGCTTCCCTCTCTCTGCGTGTCGTTGTGGCGCACCTAGTGCAAATAGATTTCATTATCTAGCCGCCTGTCCTCTGGTTCAAGACATTGTCAACCGCATCCATCTCAATCTACCTGATGATTCCATTTCTTTGGATGAATCCTATGATGACCAAGGTATCGCTACCACTCATATTCTGGATCGTATTCTAAATTCGCTACCTTCTAATCTGTCTTTCTGTCTGTGCACACACTGGGAGAGGACTTGGCCTCTTGTTCTTGAGCTGATTACTCAAATTGACATTGCAAACCATCCTGCTGGATCTTTTGCTGAGGAACCTCCTTCTGGAGAGCTTTTTGAACATTATTTGACTCAACAACATCACTTTCAACAACAGCAGCAACAGCAACGACAGCAACAGCAGCAACAACTCATTCAACATCTATAACATTGATCTTCTCCTTAAATTTACGCTTTGTATATGATGTCTAACACATTCTGTAGTCTATTTTTTGGAAATTCGCTCCCTGTGATTCTCATTGAGAGGTTGGGTGTTTTGATCCTACTTGTTTATGATATGTTTCGCTCGAGATGTTGAAGTTTCATGAATGGAAGCTACTCTTTTTCAACCCTTGTTCTTTTATTAGGTGGTCGTGCTCTACCTTGTTTGTAGTACAAACCCTATTTTGGCTATTTCTTTGTTTCAGATCAAAGATATATCTTTCAATTTCTTTTTTTGGGTGTGCTCTACCCCACATTATACACAACTTTATTTTGACATTTCTTTACTTTTTGGATGCAATTTTTCACTTCTCTACTAGTGTTTTTTTTTCATTGCTCCACCTTTTCAACTCAATTATCTTTAATTACTGGGATGGCCATTGTATTGCCCTACAAGGACGAAGCCAAAAATCCTCTCTTTTATAATAAATTAACATTTAAACTGGACCATTGAGGAGGAGATACTATTGTCAGGGTTAAAGGATATTCTGACAGTAATCTTGATCTGCAGGATATCGTTGAGCGATTGAATACAAACAAGAACAAAAAGCGCAGGTTCAAACCTAGAGTGCTAGCATCCCGTAATATCAAACAGCGATTAACGTGTATTGCTCACAACATCACACAAAGGATATTGGATAAAATAAATCCTCAAATACAATAATAATAAAGACGCCTTTTTATCCATTCTACTAAAAAGCTATAACCTTCCTGCACACATCCTACATCTATATCTCTATTATCTCAATCAGATCTCAGATTGCAAATACTAAATCTATATATTCACCCCTGACACTATAATACGTGTGTATTTTTCTTTTGATTACTTGGCTCTATCTTGACTTCCTGAAAAGGCAATATACCATATATGGAAAAGGCGCAAAAGGTGGTGGATTCAAGGTGTAATTCTATACTTTATCTACTATGTTTTACTTGAAAGGTTACTCGTTGGTGTGGTGTTCTGGTGCATTGACACACTCATATAATTGCTATAAAATTGTATATTATCTCTTGATGGTGCGTTGGTACTGTTATTCTAGTCAATGCGATCTTTATTTGGTGCGTTGCTAATCAATGTTGGTGTTTACTCATTGGTGCCGTTTCTGTTTTGTTGTTGTTACATATCCGTTTACTCATGCTTCTTGTCAAGTTTAGCCAAAGATCTAATCAATATTTGGAGCCGATATTTGTTGAATCAATGGATTAGTCAGGGGATCTAAACGAGATTGCGCGCTAATAGCCAAGGATTACCAATTTGAACTGTGGATTTGACTCTGGACTTTGACTCAGGGTAGATGCAAACCAATTGATGTTGAATCAATGCAATATTATCCAAGTGGAATTACAACAATGGAATTGGGGCATTACCATTTTAAACATTGGAATCGACTCAAGAACGCGGGTACATGAAGTTGACATTAAATTAAAGGCAATCCAATTTGGAGTTACATTTTGATCAGGGCATTGATATTCTGATCTGAATTGAGTTTGACAGGAGGATAACAACAGAACAATAACATGTATAAATAATATTTTGAAACTGCATCTTAATAAACATTGTTGTAGAGCTGAAAAGTACATGAGAATGGATGTAGGTTTATTTTTAATCAAAATCAGATGAAGAGGAAAGGGAAGAGTGAATGTCTAATGCTATTTATATGTACGATTTATGGATTGCTTACCCTCCGTCTAGAATGGTGTTCTCAAGCTAAGTTTTTGTGTCAATCCTCATGCTAAATGGTAATTATTTCAGATATAGATGATCGGTCTAAATATCTTTAGTTGCTCTTGTCAACGTTAATTACTTACATTCCTTATCTGCTATCTTTTGACATATAAAGAATAGCTTACTGAAACTTAGCTTATGTGAATATCATTCCTATCGTTTACATGTTGATACAGTTTATTTACATATGCTCCATATGTGCATAGTTTATTACTGAATTCAATCTACGATATTGTGATTCAGGAACAGTTATATGTGTGAATACAACAAACATTACCCATTTTCTTCTTATTAATCTGAAGTTTAGTTACTAGTGCCAATCTAGTACAAACATACCTAAAGAACCCTCTAAATTCATGTCTCATAACTATTGGGATAGTTCTTACAGTCTTCCTTTCCTTCAAACAATAATTATATCTTGATTACCAAGTACAAAGGAAATCATTAAAGAAAGCTTGATGTTATATCAAATGTCATAACAAAGCCTCACACTAAAGGTTTCGGGCTATTCTTAGGTCCTTTGGTAAATCATGCTAATCATGATTTACAAATCATTTGTTGGGTAGATAGTAGAAAACCTATTTGTATTATAGTTCATTATCATGCTCTAAATCCTAGCATAATGAAAAGTATATAAATGCATCCTCGGGATGCATTCTCCGTAAAAGCGTAGCTCTTTGACAGATTCAATTTTACATTGTATTTTGACTTAAAACTTGATATTAATCAGTTTTGATGCAAAGGTAGAGCAAATTAGTTGTTTGTACTCTAAAAAAACGGCAGTACCAGAAACTGAAGTTGAACTGTTACCCAATCAAAATTAAGTTCCTGAAATGATGTTTAATTCTGTAGCACTCCATATTATATTTATTTGACATAATGTATATTTGATTCGATGTTCAATATAACTCTAGGGTAGTAAATTGAACTTTTTTACGATTAAATCTTTTGGATGGTGCATAACTTTGTATACATTTTATCGCTGAGATATCATTTACAGCAAACTTATTACAACACATCAGCACCTTTAAACAGCCTTAATAGTTTGGTTTTGTCTTGAGAGAATGGAGTGTAACTGCAAAATCTTCCACTCCTTTCGCTACACATTTCGTAAAATCAGCACCGCAGAGTATCAATTTTTTGTGCTTGCGCATAGTAATAATGCTTTAAGCCATTGAGAGCAACTTACCATATAATTTGCTCCTCTCTCTGTGGTTTTGCTCGTTTTTTGTCATTGATTTATCCGCTCCTTATTATCATTTCAGGACTGTATGTGCATAAAAATTTCGGTAAAATCCTTGTTAGCACTGTAGAAAGTTTTTCTTGTATTTTCGTTTACTAAAACAATTGTATAGTATAGTTATAGATTTGGAAATACAGCAAGTATAGGATCAAAATCTAGAGCCTGTCGCACAGCTTTATCAGTCCTGGATCTACAACATCTGCGCTTTTGCTAAGTCTAAGAGCCATACGGAGTGTATATACAGTGAGTCTCAAGACGATTTTTAGACACATATGATTAGTAATGCCGACAAGAAATATGAGGAAGACTTGGCCCTGAATTTTCTGGTGATTTCAGACAAAACAAACGCCATCTATCAAGATGACAAATCAATTGGATGAAATAATAAAAAAAAAAAAATTGATCAACCGCGATGATATAAATTGAGTCAACCAGTTAAAGCCAACACCCTTCTTCTTTATTTTTTTCATCAAACATTAACAAAACTCGAATTCCTATCGAGTTTTTCTTACAAATCAACCACAAAAACTGTCTTACATAACCAAAAGAATGCTGTCAGCAAAGCCAGTTTACGACTACCTTGTCATTGGAGGTGGTTCTGGTGGCCTTGCTTCTGCTCGTCGTGCTAGTGGTATCCACGGTGCCAAAGTCGCTCTCATCGAAGCTCAACATCGTCTCGGTGGCACTTGTGTCAATGTTGGCTGCGTTCCCAAGAAGGTAATGTGGAATGCTGCTTCTATTGCTGAATCCCTTCGCGATGCCAAGTTGTATGGTTTCGGTGATCATGAGCCTGTTAAATTCGATTGGCAATTCTTCAAGGAGAAGCGTGATGCCTACGTTAAACGACTCAATGGTATCTATGAGAGAAATCTGGGTAATGACAAGGTAGAGCACATCCAAGGTTTTGCCAGTTTCATCGATAAGAATACCGTCCGTGTTCAAAAATCAGAGACTGAATCCATCGAGGTGCAAGCAAAGAAGATTTTGATTGCTACTGGTAAGTGTAAAGGACAGGAAAAAAGGATGGGGAATATTAAGCATTGTATACCCAGGTGGTCATCCTTTGATTCCCGATATTCCTGGAGCTCATCTCGGTATTGACTCTGATGGCTTTTTCGATCTTGAACATCAACCCAAGCGAGTTGCAGTCATTGGTACTGGTTACATTGGTATTGAATTGGCTGGTATTTTCAACACTTTGGGAACAAAGACTACTGTCTTTTCTCGTACAAAGCATATTCTTCGTAGTTTCGACAGCATCATCCGCGAAAACTTGCTAAAGGAGATGCAAACTGTAGGCGTTGACTTCGCCTTTGATTCCAGCGTCAAGGCATTGGTTCGTGAAGGAGAATCTGGTCCTATTACTGTTCAATATGAGTCTGATGGTAAACCTGCTACATTGGAAGTAGATACCGTTGTTTGGGCTGTTGGTCGCTTGCCCAATATCAAAAAGCTCAATTTAAAGTCTGCAAATGTCGATTTGACCGAAAAGGGTTACATTGCTGTTGACGATTATCAAAACACAACCTCCGACAGCGTTTTTGCTTTGGGCGATGCTTGTGGTAAAGCTGAATTAACACCAGGTATGTACAAAGCATTGTGGGTTTTTTTAAAAATTGTTAAACGGGGTAAAACTAGTTGCTATTGCTGCCGGTCGTAAATTGTCTGACCGTCTCTTTGGTGGTGAACAATTCAAGGATTCCAAGCTTGATTATGAAAACATTCCTACTGTCGTTTTCTCTCATCCCACTGCTGGTACCATTGGCTATACCGAAGACGAAGCTCGTGCCAAGTTTGGCGATGAAAATGTCAAGACTTATACTAGCAAATTCACCAACATGTATTTCGCTATGCTTGAACACAAGGAACCCACTGCCTATAAACTCGTCTGTGCTGGTGCTGATGAAAAAGTTGTTGGTGTCCACATTTTAGGTAGAGGCAGTGATGAGATCCTTCAAGGTTTCGGTGTTGCTGTTCGTATGGGTGCTACCAAGGCCAACTTTGACGCTTGTGTTGCTATTCACCCTTCGGCTGCTGAGGAATTGGTAAGTGTTGTGTGTCTATTGAATCCGTGATGGTCAGTCTAATGTAATTTTATAGGTCACCATGCGTTAAACCAGATCAACCAACATGTGTATTTATACTATCATAGAGCTATTTAAATGAAATAAAGAAAAAAGCATTCAATAAAAATTCTTTGACATTAGTTTTTATTAAAATTAACATATTATGCCATTGGATTATCATCGATGAACATGAATTTGTTCATCTTTCTGGGACTAAAGTATCTAAATTTTGGTTGGTTTTTCATACTTGCTTGTTGTTGCTGTTGCTGGCGTGATGATGGCGATGATGATAGAGGAGATGAATGAGGATTATATTGTACAAAAGAGGAGGAAGTGGTGGTGTTGGATGATGCCGAAAATGTAGTAGAGACAAATTGCATAGTGTTTATATTGTTGGTGAAATGAGCCGAGGGTTTTCTTAATTGAGAGGGTCTTTCCGTAAGTAAGTGAGGGGTAGGTGTCTTGCTATATTGATGGTATTGACTAGTAGAGGGTGGATATGAGGATGATGGCGATATGGTGGATAATGGTGATGGTGTGGGCGGTGGTGACATGAAGGATGCAGTATCCGTGCTCGTTGTAGACGATGTAGACAAGCGCCGAATCAAGTCAGTTTGGCTCTTGACTGTGTCAATCATGCCTGCACGTCGCTTCTTTTCAGCATCTGATTTCAAGTTGGCCAAAAAGAAGGTTGGATGTTGCCTATCTTGAGTTACTCCACTACTGTCATGAGGCCTTGAGCGAGGACTTGAATAGAGCTCGTGCCTGCGAATCTCTACTTCCAGCCAGTCTGCCACCTGTATCCAGTTTCTACTGAGAGTCTCAAACTCCATAGTGCTTTTCAAGATTTCCAGGGCTCTGGTCAATCCATTTTCAAATTCGATAGCGCTGATATTGTGGAGGATGATTGCACGGTCTTCAATGGAAGCACAAGTGCGGTAGATATCCATAGCCATAGTGATGATCTCACCTGCTCTCCATAGTTCATCACGATCAAATGCACAGCGACCATCGGGAAGGAATGTATGCGAATTCAATGTGGGCAGCTGCTTCAAAGCCATCTCCAAGCATATATTCAGGGACTCCAAGGATGACTTGCTCGGCCGAGAATCAGTAACGTCAGGTACAAACAGCTTGTGAAGAATGATGCGGGTTGCATTGTACTCAATATTCACACGGATACAGGCCAACAGTAAATCTTCGTGCCCATACTCAAAGCCACTATCAAACTTGAGGTATTCTGGTAATTCTGCATAGAATGCGAGTAACTGTCGATCATACTCCTGGAGCTGTTCTACAGTCATGTCTGATTCTTGTTCGTAGACAGTAGAGATAAAATGTGCCTGGATTTTCCACAATCGTAAGCAGTGGATGTAGGCAATCACAGCAATTTCATTGTCGTCAATGTCTTGTTCCATGATACGAGGCAGATCAATTTCGCTACCAGGCACCCTTGGCTGAGGCGTATTTTTAGGATGTCCAGAGGAATAGAGGTAAAAGTCCCATGCCCAGACGAACCACCATAAGCGGGTATCCATTTCTTTTTCATAAGAGTCATCATCTGCTTCATCAATTGTACGAGGGTAAATCTCCAATTCATGAAGGGCAGACACAGCCATGCCAGCATAGTGATGTCGACGGCTGGGCTCTGCTCTGAAAATGATGAGTGAGACGCCAATGATAGTAAATCGGTCAGGGTCGTCAAATGATTGCGACAGGCAGTCTCTTGCCTTGACGAAAAAGTACTCTTCTTGCTCCAACATGGTGTCTTGATCTCCAACAAAGTGCTCCAGTCCAGGCTGAGAATGATGCAGCACCATATGTCTAAACACACAGACACACATGGCGTTGACAATCAGCGTGTTCATTGGATCAGGCTGAGCTTCATACCACGCCATGAATTCTTCTCTTCGTAAAATAGGCGGATTCCTGACCCAACAGTCAAAGTAAGTAGCCACGCAGGCGTCTGCTACTTGCTTGAGGCTCATTTGACCATGCTTGGAGTGTGGGTGTGAAAGCTGACCGAGTCTTCCAACGGATGCAAAGTAGTTGATTGGCTTTAATTTATGCGATTTGTTTCTGCAAAGTGTGATACCGCTGCCTGAACTTGCGACAGACTGATTTGATGAAAAGCAATTGCTGTTGTACTCATCACCTGAGTTAGTTGATGGTGATTGGGGAGACAAAGACATGGAGTGAGAAAGTGGGTCATGTGATGACACGGACGAAGTGTTACAAAGTTTACTGAATGCATCTATGAGAGAATGCAGATCTGATGCACTTGTAACATTGGCTTCCATATTGATGCCTACATCAGTGTACGAGAGGTTGAATTTCGACCAAATATCCAGCTCATTAGTAGAAGGAAAGGCTATCTTGGGCTGGTTCCAGAAAGATGAATCCATGGCTGATGAGAGAGAATAGACTGAGGACTGGAGATCGCTGCTATTACTGCTTTGCTGGTGCGATGATGTGTCAATCAGGTCAGAGATGGTGCTGAGAGGCGATGTCCCCCTGGATGATGTGTTGCTGAATTTCCTGTTGTTGTTGTTGTGGTTATTGGCGAATGACTCTTTGCTGTTGGGGCTGAATTTTGCTGATTTCACAAACAGAGATGGTGGGAAATCGAATGACGAATACAAGTCATCTTGATCCTCATCTTCCAATGATGAGAATATACATTTTAAACGCTTTTGAGATCTTCCTACAGTATCGAATGGCATTTAGGAAAAAAGGTGAAAACGAGAGAAAAAAAGCGAAAATAATACTGTGCGAAACACTGCTGGAGATATAATACCCTTTGATGAGTGACACAAGCAAAGTGTGATTACTGTAATCAAACTTTGTACAGTGAGAACGGTAAATTTTGTCACACTTTGACCTAAAAATGAAGGGAGTTTTATAATAACATTGAGTGATCTATCGTTTAGAATGACTGGCAAAGTTGTATAGAATTTCAGCAGGTACAGCGCGGCTGATAAGTTTTACTAGATGAATGTTTTGCCATGAAAAAGGAAACTGCTTGAGTAATATAAGCACTAACACCATTATCGCTTTAACTTCAAATTAATGCTTTTAGCATTTTGTATTCATATTTGGACTTGTCACTAGGAAATCGGTGTAGACTTTATTTCTTCCTTTCAGACCTAATCTTCTCATCTCATTATGGGTTTGCTTGAGAACAGTCTGAAATGAAAGTTGGAGGGATAGGGGTTGATCAAACAATGGCTATATTTGGAGCCATTTTCACTGTGTCTGTGGGTCAAATTGTGCGTCTATGAATAAGTACGCATCCTATTCATACTTACCTCGGTCGACGCCATATGTATACCATACTGGATCATGTAAAAACTTTTCTAATTTTCAATTCAAGAGTAACATTTCACTTTCATTCAATCTTATTAATTATTTCTGATAAACCAGGAACCTTTTTATTTTTATTTAAATCAGATTTCTTGAAAATGGATTACAAAGCAGAGTTGTCTTATCTACTCTTTAAATTTGAGTAACAAATAACGCAATTCGTTATATTAGATAGTTGGCAATAAATATTTTATTCCGAACAATGGTTCTTCCTATAGCGAATCTTATCAGCACTGGCATTAAATTGCTTCATGTTGATACTTGACCTTCAAAACTGATCATGAACATGGATGAGGTAACAAGCGTTAAAAATATTAATGGGGATCTAAACGATTAAGCATATGCCTTGATTGCTGGCTTTTAAAGTAGTAATGACAACCTATCCCTACATGTATTTTCAAGATGGAAAACATGTAGTCATAATAATCAAGATTGAAATTTCTTGTTAGTTTTAAGTAATAATAAAAGTATAATAGACGACATTCATATATGTATATCATCATAACATAATAAATGCTCAATCCCTAGACACTTTTACAACACCAATATGGAAACTGAGTTGCCACGTTTTTGTCATAAATGATTAGAGATTTTATATTAAATTACTACCAATCAATAACCTAACACTTTAGTTAATCTTAATTTTGCAATATTAGCCAAAGGCCCACGGCAACGCGAGCCACCTGAACGTAGGTTAGTTTCCACCAAAGCAAAGCGTAGGTCAGGAAACCAACGAAAGAGCCGAAATGTTCATCGTAACGTAATAAATTTATGGTCCCTACTAGACACTTTCAAAGCTTCAAAAAGGAAAGAAGTTGATCTAGCAAGTATTACAATAGGCTGATGTTATTAAGTATAGAATGCAAAAAAAATAGCATGGCTAAAGAGAGTGCTATTTAATTTGCCACCTACTTTCCATACGCTCCTAAAGCATCTATTATTGTATTGCCTTCATGATGAAAAGGGCATTGAGTTGGCCAGCCAGCCCCACCAGCCAAAATTAATTCAAACTCAGACTCATAATCTGTTCTAGATTGGCCAGATTTTGATAGTTTTTCGACTCGATTGAACTATTTTAGCAGATTCGATTAAGTAAAATATGATGATCACTCCATGCTCCCTTAAGCTTTCCTGGGGTACTTTCCAAGGCGCATCTAATGATACCAAGTAACGTAGATGTTTGAATAAATTTATTGAATAATTTACAAAAATATGAAAAGAGGTTTCTGGACTAAAAGACGAAATTTTACATATCAAAGTTCCACAAAGATGACTTTAGTCGTTACGTTGGATCAATAGAAACATTTTGATTCAAGATATACCATAGTAAAAGTCTTCGTTATCAAGGTAAAAACCGCGATCGTTTTATTTTCAATGAAAACTGTGAGGGGTACCTCATGCTTTTTGGTCGAATTTTGGCCATGTTTTTTTGGTCCTCAAAAATTTGAGCCAATGTGTCAGAAAGTAACTGTCAGACGAGAGCAATTGTTTGGTGCTATTTTGATGATCCAAAACGTCCTTGAACGCAAAAAAAAACGCAGCGCAAATACGCCCATATTTTGCTGTATTAGACACATTCTTGACTAGAAAGGGATAATATCTGTATGATACTTGCGCGTATATGAAATAACTGCGTGTATATAGATGTAGAGCATCACATAAGAACCAGATTCACAGATAATATAAAAGGTTTTTATATGTAAGTGGAGGGTCAAAATGAAAGTAACAGCATTTTGATATGATACGCAAGAGCAATCAGTAGCACGAGCTGCCGCTGTGCAGGTTGGTTCTTACCGAAGCGAAGGGAAGGTAAAGAACCATCCGAAGCATAAACTCTCGTATGATTGGTAATTTTACATCAATCAACAATCCAGGGTTCTTCTGACATTTTAGCTATATTAATTTTGCGATATTAGTAAATGACCCGCGGCAGCGCGAGCCGTTTGAACGTAGGTTGGTTTTCATCGAAGCAAAGCGTAGGTCAGGAAACCACCCAAAATGTCGAAAGGCTCGTTATTTATAAAATTTGCACAGTAATTAGTTGCTTTGATTGATTTGACGCATGGTAGAAGAGGTACAAGTCATTCAATATGTTGGGTCATTGTTGCTGTGAATGCTATCATGTCGCAGCCCACTGACAAAGTATGTCAGAGCCTACTTGTATTGCATTACGAGTATAATATTCTTGAAGCAGCGTTAAAAAAATTAAAATATTGAACACTGGATAAGGCTCAAAGAACCTTTGTTTGCATTTACAAGCGTATCCCCGAGATATTGAGCGAAGAAGAAAGGCAAGCCTAAAATCACATCAACGAGAATGCTTCCATTCGGCTTAACTCTCAAATGAGATAGCAGGAGCTAATTGTTGGCGACGATAAGCGCACTCAGAAACTTCCAACTGTCAACGCGATTGCAGTCATTATTTCTTATGAACATTCTAATTTTAAAGATATTCCTCATTAGATATCCAGGTAGCTTATTAGCCAGTAGCAGTAGTCTCTTCCAAACGAATCAATGAACGCATTCTGCCTACATGCTATTTTAATATGCTTCAAGTTATAACTGTGAGGCTGCGATTATATATATCTTGGTGGCGAGCCAGACTGACTGGCGTTGTCAAATATGAGAATCCCTAACAAAAGCATTCATGATCTAGCCAGCAGCGCACGCCAGAATTAATTCAAACCCAAAATATTTTTATCATTCAAGATTGGACAAATTTTGTCTTTTATCGACTTCTTTAATCTTTTTTGTCCACTGTTCGCCAGACAGTGGAAGAGGACCAAATCCATTCCCTCTTGTAGTTAGATAGTTTAGATAGTTCTTTAGATTAGATTAATTAGTATTTTATGTTCTTATAATATTTCCTCTCAATTGCACCCGCCTCTTCACTTCGACCCATTACTCCTAGTGTACGCGGCTCAATCAATAAACAAAATTTTTAAAAAAAAAATCTTTCTTGTGATATTCGGCTATATAAGTTGTGATGATCGGCCCATACTTCTTAATACATTCTTGGAGTACATTTTATGGTGCTTCCAATGGTGCCAAGTAAAACAGATGTTTTGACTGAACTTACCGAATCATTTCACAAAATATGAAATGAGGTTTTTGGTTAGAATGCCGAAAATTTTAATATGAATGCCTCACAAATGTGGTTTCAGGGGCTGTCTCAGATCGACAAGAACATTTTGATCTAATATATACCATAGTAAAAGTCTTCATTTTCAAGGTGAAAAATGCGATAGTTTGATTTTCGATGAAAACCATGAGGTACCCCTCATGGTTTTTGATCGATTTTTGGCCATGTGTTTTGGGTCTTCAAAAAGTTGAGCAAAGGTGTTAGGAAGTTACAACTACTCAAGCACAATTGTTTGGCGTTATTCCGGTGGCTCAGAAAGGTCTACATGTCAGGATATGAAGGCTTAAAAACTGTCCAATTTGGTTATGTATTGCTTTTTGGCTTTTATTTACATGGCATGAATCACATCTTTAGTAGCTGAAGTCTTCTGGAAGGGCAGTTCTGCAGCATGTACAGCTTCTAATTCGAACAGGAGGCATATTGATTTCGATAAAGCTGATTCATGCAAATTTTGATGTGATATATTACGGGTAAGCTTATTGACAATGGAAATGATAACCCGAATTTGCTGCTTGAATACTATGGTTTTGCATCTTCGCTTCGCTGCGATCAAGCCCTCATATAGATCAATGCTACCAAATGTTAAATTAGATGCTTAGTTGTCATAGGTTTTGCATCTTTGCTTCGCTACGGTAAATCCCCCAAACCCCCCTCCCCATTGCCGGCTTCGCCGGTGGTTTTATTCATCTTGTACGGCACACAATTCTACAAAATTTTGAAAGGATATGATTGACTTGTCTACTTTTTTTTTGAATTGGGATGCAAAATTGAGGATGAGCAATCCCACTTTTGGCAGTCTGCTTGGTTATCGTGTAATTGTGCAAGCAAATCGCGTCAAACTAATCTCGAGCTCAAGTCTCTTGCAACAAGGCGTCGGCTCTACTTTTTTTTTTTTTTTTTTTTTTTTTTTTTTTTTTTTTTTTGCATATAAGATTACCAATGCTTCAACTACAGATGCAAATACTGATAACCTTTGAGCTAGATAAGCTAACGAAGGATGGTGTATTAATTATTCTCACAGTTTATACAGCTGGTGTTACATTTAGAAATATAAAAGTGCTTTATCGTTATTTCCTTCATACCTTGTCAGTCATTTTTGTACCATCCCATCGAGTCCTATCATTAATTTCCTTTTAAAAGAGATGAGGTACCATGTGCCGTTTATTTTTAATTCTTTATTGCCTAGATTTAGTAAATCAACAAAAAGATATTTCATTTGTATCTCGGAAGGTTGCATTATCTAAAAAAAGTGAATGGGAAGAAGCGGTATCATCTCATGGCTATCAATTTGATGCAAACATTGTCTCTTTCCAAGATTTAGGACAAATTTTTTGAGCAGGTTTCATAAAATGCCATCAAACTGGCTGATGCATGCACCATAAGTATCACTTATGGTGTCAAATGGTATTCCACGGGTGAGCTTTTGTGATTCATTGATATACCATTCATGGTCAAGGGCGATCACCCTGAGGTTTCTCATAAAATGATATGGATTATGTATCCCTCATTTAGTCATCTGAAAGTGAAGATGTTTTTATAGATGAACTTGGTAATTTAGGCCCTAAAAACGAGGATTTTCCCATGTAAGCAACTCGTATCACAACTGCTTTGTACTTGGTGAATCTTGGACGCCGGATAAACATACTAATGATTCTCACAAGCACATTAAATGGACAAATCCAACAAAGCCTAGCATTAAATACACTAAAGCCAAGCAGAAATCAGCACTTTTAAGGACCCACTTCTCATCGCCTAGACTATTACCAGCGCTTAAATTGGTACCATACAATTGCCCTCGATCATCAGTATCAATCTCACTCACTTTCTCAATTTTTTGCAGATCATCGAAAATCCTTCGATTTGGACGAGGCACCCTAGGGCCAAATCCTTTAATGTAACAAATCTCGTATTTTCAGTTTAAAAAATGCAGTTTTTTGGCAATACATTTGCTGCGACCCAGGGCCTCAAATTAGCGTGTCTTTGCATTGGAAACGTAAAATAAAGGTCTCCAGATATATTTTTCAGAGCTTCCATCGATTTGTTGAAATTCAACATACGTGAAAACTGCGAGGCAATTTATGAGAAAAAAAAAAAACAAAAAATGGGAGGGCATAGAGCATGTCGAAAAACACATGTTTTGTTAGAGACATTGTTCATGTTACATAGCAGCTTTGGATAGTAAGAATTCTTTAAAGGTGTAGAAAATTTCAAAAAATGTCAAAACCATAAAAAATTTCATGGTTTAACGACGCCTTTTAAATCCCATTGAACACCAGTGCTCCTACTGTGGAAGTGATGTGCTTGGGATGTAAATTCTTGACATTTCTGAATCAACGCTAATGGGCTAAACGAAAAAAAAAAACTTTTTGTTGAACAAACTAGGTATATTATCTAAGAGGGGCATTACAAAAAGGGCATCTTTCACCTCTAGGAGAAGCGGCAAGGCGTCTAATTTTACCACATTCAGAGTCAAGTGTATGTCCACATGGCAACTTGCAGCTCAATGGCTTGATGCAAGGCCCACATGCTTCACAACAGCGACGCATACATTGGTGGTTGCAATTTAAAATCTTTTCGCACTGTTGTTTGCAGCGGTAATCGCTGTGATCGTAAGGGTGACACTTTAAGGTACACTACAATGGTCCAATGTGAGCATCGTCTCAGTATGTTTTGTAATAATTTACTTACTCTGTGACCACAGGGCAACATCTCATTACATTGTTGCTGACAGCCGCCCTCCTCAACTGTTGTAAAGTCAACAGGCCATTGAATCTCTGTGGGTTGGCCATGGCGTTGACACTTGAGAACTAGTTTGGTGCCAATCATATTTCCATTCTGTTCTTCCAAGTTGCCAACAATCTCATTCCAGAGATCACTCTTTTCACACAAGAGTCGAGCATTGCCGAGTATATAGAAGCCCTACAAATCAGTTAGTAAATGCACCAAATGACGTGTTTGCTTCACAACAACTTACATGCTGAGCTCTAGATAAGGAAACACACACACGATTGACCACCTTCAAGAAACCAATTTGACCAGCAGCATTACTACGGACCAGAGACAGAATGACAATCTTGTTCTCTTCACCTTGATAGCCATCCACACTGCTCACCAGGATTGGCCCTGGATCAACATCAGGTCTTCTCTCTTCGCAAAGAGCACGCTTGATCATGGTCTTTTGACCTGAGTACATGGTAATGATGGTAATTTCTTCAGGCTGGTAACCTTGCAGTATCAAATAGACGGCTAATTTGGCTGCCATTTTGGCTTCATGCTCATTCACCTTGGAAGCAGATTCGCTCATGTTGGTTTCGTCCTCATTGTGAGCCAAAAAGTATAGAGATTGATCCATACCAAGAATGGGAGGATAGGCTGCCACGTCTGGATGGTCCATGAGTGGAGGGTCTTTGTAGATGGGGTTGATCAATGCGCGAATTTCAGGACGCATACGTCTTTGATGAGACAGACGAGTAAAAGGGAAATTGTTCATTACAAGACGCTCAAAGAGAGAAACACCCAGGGCATGATTCTCAGCCAGTTCGTGAACTGAAGTAGAGGGTCTCAGTTGCTGATGATCACTGCGCATCAAGGGTTAGTATGAGATCCATACGGAGGGTGGTTTGGCTTGCTTACCCAATCAAGATGAGATGTTCCAGTGAGTTGGTCAATGCAGAAATAATATGAGACTCCAGCATTTCAGCAGCTTCTTCTACCACCATGACTCTGGGACGCATCTCTTCCAATAAATCGTGGTATTTAGCCTAAAAGACGAATTGAGTGTCTTTTTCTCTATTACTTGGCGAACATCATACTTACGGCAGCAGTACTTGTCATGCCAACAACTCGGTTTTGTCTACAAATCTTGGCCTCATAATTAGCAGTGCACTTGCGAATAGCCTGCGATTTTTCATAGTACTGCCTCATCAAGGCATTCAGCTTGGCCTCAAGACCAGCATTGCGTTGATCGATCCATTGCTTGTGAGCTTTCAAACGGACCTGCAGAGGCCACATGGATAAGTCGTCGTCCTTCATCCATCTGTCCAGTGAATATTTGTAGCTGTCCTCCTCCTGCAATACTTGTTCAATATTGTCATCGAAAAAGTTGAATTTACTGGCATCAAACGTGTTGCTGGTCTTTATCTTGCTATAGTTGACAATCTTTCTTTCAGGGCGTTCACCCAAGCCCACTTCAGTCTGGCGCTTGTAGTTTTTGCCAATCTGAATGAATGGGAACTTTAGCTCTTGATCGTCACCTTGGAATTGAACAATCACTTCCTGAAGCTCTTCTTCTTCAATCATATCACTCTCGTCATTGATATCGTCAAAAACGAGTCCCTTGTCTTGCTCCAAGATGCTTTCCTTCAAGTCATTCGCCAGAGACGACATTTCTCCAGCGTCATCGACATAATCGATAGCATCCTTCAGCCACACTTCCACAGGGTTTGATGTTTTTTCCTTAACAGGGCTGGCCATGTTGGGATTGCCACCAGCCCAATCATGCTTGATACCTCTCGAGTCGTTTCTGCCTCTGTTAGATTGCTGTTGCTTTCGTTGGTTGTTGTTCTTTCTGTTGTTAATGGGAGCTGGGCCCTTGAGAGTAGGAGCAGCGCCAATGACCCAATCATCGTCCGAATCACTATCTACCACATAACTGTTCAAGCTAGTAGCAGCAGCAACAGGCTTGTTCTTTTCACGCTCGGCCGCTCTTCTCAACGAATCGATCTGCTTGGGCCTCAATCCTCTGATGCTCTCGATGAATTCAATAGTAACGCAGGGCTCTTCATATAGCTGGATGATGGTATTTTTGACCTCTTTAATGAGGCTATCACGTTCACGATACAATCGACCGATACCACGAGGTCTGTCATACGTCTTTTTCAGCTCGAATAATGTGTGATCCTTCAGCAGCTCTGATTTGGATCGACCGCCCACACGCACAATCTCATTGCTGTAGTCCAAGATGTGTTCCAGAAACTGATCCAAAGCTGTCAAAGGAAAGTCTGCTTAACACAATGCCTTCAATCTCACTGATGGGTCCACTCTTACCATGATTTGTCTGACAGATACATACAATAGGGCCCAGCGAGCCATCATAGTTGTTCAGGAGCACGCGCATAGCGTAAGTACCAACATACGTTTTACCCGTACCAGGAGGACCTTGAACGATAGAAAGATTGTGTGATAAAATAGTTCTCAGAGCATCCATCTGTGTACGATCCATGCCAGTAGGGTATTGGGGCCAATTCTGCAAAATGTCAACAGGCCAACGATCTCGACGAATATTCTTAGACCGCACGTTGATATCATAGATTCGTTTCGTGGCAGCATAGTGGGGCACCAAGACTTCGTTTGACAACTTGACCAAGTAATCAGAAAATGGTAGTTCGTTTGGCTTGACATTCTTAAAGACCTTCAACACATGACGGTAGGCCTCAAAATAACCATCCGTAGCTTCGATCATAACATAGGTGTCATCCTCTGCCAAAGATGGATCGCCAAAACCAAAGGGCTGTTCACTGTTGTCTCTTTCAAGGTAGATGTCTACTAGAAATTCAAAGCGGTTGGATCCACGCATAGGCTCGTCACCACGATTGACGATGGTTGCAATTTTCAAGTCCTTTTCAAAATGATCCTTGGATAACAAGACCAACGAACCAGGCATCAGGCGCTTGGATTGCTGCCAGTTGACATGTGCATAGTAGGGCAAGCGAAAGCTGACTCTGTAAAGCGGTTGACGACTACCAAACACGATGGCATTCAAATGGACCTTGTTGAGATGGATCAGTTACCGGCCGCTGATGTACAGAAGCGGCATACTTACATGTTCATATAATCTGTAGGGTCTCTGCTGCGAAACTTGCTCCATTGCCACACCAACGTCTTCTTGATTTTTGGCGTAATTGAAGGCCACCTTGTATCCTCTCACAGCCTTCTGCAAAGGGATCAAAAAGTCTTGCCGCATCAATTCGAAATGGGTATATAGGTATTCATCAATGGTGTCGTAGGGTGTCTTGACACGGTTGATGGGAACGTCAGGAAAGGGGTCTCTCCAGCCTCGTGATTCCCATTCCTCTGGATCCTTTAATTCATCACAGGCAACAATCTGCTCAAAGTCAGGCACGATATCCTGTTTGCGAAATGCTGTGTAGTCGGTGACTTTAGAGAATACGGGTGCATCTTCGATATCCAGGTTTAATCTGAACGTGGTGGCTGATGTTTCTCGTGTGCTGAATTTATCAGCTGTGTACTCTTGTTCATCTTCCTGGTGGTTCCAAGCTGTGTGATTGTCAGGCGTAGCGCCCCAACCGTATTGCGATTCCATGGCCCAGCTCTGTGATGGCGCTGCATTCCCAAAGTCAAATTTAGATCGTGTTGGAGGGCGTCTGCTGGGAGTCACCTCAAACTCGTTTGTCAAACCATTAAAGTTGGCAGTGATGACATCTGGACCAGCACTACACACGAACATTGATTAGCATTGATTAACATTGTGTCTTCATTATAATGCGGTGTCTTTATTACAAGGGAGAGTCCCAGCTTGCTTTGTTGTCGTTGTAGCGTGACATTAGCGTTAAATACAAAGAAAGAAACAAGTATTCGAGGATTATTTTCAGCCAAAATGAGTTTTAAAGTGTTTTATTAGTGAAGAGAAAGAGGTCATTCAAATTATCATCCGTAAAAAACATCGAAAATTCCTTTGCAATCAACTCCTCCATGCTTGGATTATCACAATCTATATGATATTCATTGAATACAGCAGTGGGTGCAAGTGAAAGGTTTGAAATGCTACTCTCAGTTGGTGCCTGTGAAAGATATGGATGAGCACCATTTAAATAAGGGGCGTTAAGATTTGAATTGCTGCTGTCGATGGGTAGATTTGAAGGATTTGACAAGAAATTATCGAAATGTAGAGTATGCTGATTTGAAGCTATTAAACCATGGCATGAAATATTTTTGGGCGTCTCGCTAGTGCTCTTTTCTAATCGATTTTCTGGTATAACATTTAAATCGCTGGGACGTACGGTTGACTTACTTGCTGTGGGTGTCAGTGATCTCTGTAATGGTGTCCCTTTTTGAGTCAATGCAGAGGTTTTCTTCTTTCTAGGTGGTTTTGGTCTATATTTCCAATTTGGATAGTTTGCGCTATGCTTCAATTTCTCTATTTCAGACTCACGGGCGTAGTATTTGTGCTCTTCATCGGACAGTTGCCACCATTTCTCCTTTGCTAATCTTGAAATCTCGGATGCATGAAGTTCCTTGTGAAATGGGCGAATTTTTCTTTTGCGAAAAATCATAAAAGCGTTTTCAGGACGTCTGATGTGCTTCACGGCAGGTCCATCTTTTTTAGCTATTGACTTTTTATTGATTTCTTCTGTGACCCAAAGAAGTTCCATCATTTGCAGGACTGAGAATAATGAGGAAGAGAAAGAAGTATCCATCATATGTGAATTAAGCACAGATCTTTATATAATTTTAAGAACAATGAAATTAGAAAATGCAGCTCAGGGGTTACACGGTAAGCATATACTGCATTTCATTAGCACTCAAGTTCAGCAAATCATAATTCAAATGATCTTTACTGTCAAGTTACGTGCATTGTATTGTTCTCACCAACATTTCATTGTGTTTTCTTGTATTTTCATGAAGAACATGGTAGAAAGTAGGTATAGGTCGCCTGAATTGCAATGAGAGCTGCTCTTGAGGAGCGATATAATGCGAGATAATAGAATGTTCATTACTGTAAACTATGCAGGCTACTTCTAATGGAGATGGTGTAAGTTTTGCTGTAGCGCAATAAAAACAATTAAAGAGTAAGTCTTTTGTATTTTCTTGAGCAATAGTTGCTAACCAAGGATTTAGTTAGCTAGAATTATGTAACATGGCCCTGAAGGCGATAAATTTAATAAGTATCATAGTGCGAATGGTTGGGCGAATAATGGATAGATACTATGAGCGGCTGATGCACTTTTCAAGGATGCGGAATTTTGTATACAAGATCCAACATGTCTTTTGAGGTACTTGCTATATTTTACATCACGTTTTTGAAATAAGATCAGTAAGTTCAAAATGCCACTTTCAATGGGCAGTTTCACACACGGTTTTATCAGTCTGGTGTAGCATACTGATGGCTATCTACGTCATATTCTTTTGATTGAGGGGAAATCAGAGCTTTAAATAGACCGTGGCCCGCTAGAAATCTAATGTCAAACTATGTTTGCTACCAAACCTAGTTCTCGAGAAGTAGCGAGAAATCTTAATGAAGAATATTCCTCATACCCAGGCATCAACAGCGCCCCCAAACTACGCCATTCAACCACGGAAGACTTGGCAACACCTACTTGGATAACAAATGAAAGCAAGATAAGACAAGCAACGAGCATAGGCACCTTTTCCCCGCCAGGCACCACACGATCCAACAAGAGTAATGAAGGAGGTTTCTTTTCCTTGTTCAAAGGCACCATAGATCCAGACCTACAGAGCGACCTTTCGACACGACATATTCAAGATGAGGATGGTAAGGACACGGGAAATCGCTTTGAAATATGGAGTCGAGTTTTACCTACGAGTGGAAGCCGCGGCCAACACCATTTCGTCCTGTCTGATAACCTCAAATTCATACTAAACTGTTGCATGTGGTATCTCTCCAGCTCACTGACCAACAATGTGGGTAAATCCATCATGAATGCGTTCCAGTTTCCAGTGACACTGACATTTGTGCAATTTGGGTTGGTTGCTTTTTGGTGCTATGTGATTGCCGTGATCAAGTCGAGTCGCATTCGATCACCCACACACGATATCCTCAAGACAATTACACCACTGGCCTTGTTTTTGATTGTGGGGCATGTGTTTTCTAGCATTGCTATTAGCAGAGTCCCTGTGAGTTTGGTCCATACAATCAAGGTAAGTAACTACTTGTCATTGTAATAGGGTCTATCCCACTCAATCTAACCATGTGCAGGCACTGGCACCATTGTTCACTGTGCTGTTTTATCGACTGGTCTTCCAAGTCAGCTACACACAAAGGGTCTATGTGTCCCTGATACCACTAACAGTTGGCGTGATTCTTGCTTGCTCGTTTACGTTTTCCAACAACATTGTTGGCTTATCGTGCGCCCTGGGTTCATGCTTCATCTTTGTCACTCAAAATATCTTTAGCAAGAAGCTGCTGTTCAAAGAGTCGAAACTAGGAGATCGAAACCCCAACAAGCTGGACAAATTAAACGTATTGTATTACTCTTCCATCATCTCCTTCATCTTGATGGTGCCACTATGGATGTATTACGACGGTAACGGCTTGTTCTTTGATCAACAGCAACCACCAATCAACGGTGCTGAATATACCATGTCTACATCCAAGCTGATCATCTACTTGTTTCTGAATGGCACCATGAACTTTTCCCAGAACTGGTTTGCATTCACCACCCTTAGCTTAACGTCGCCTGTCACTTACTCCATCTTGTCGCTGCTAAAGAGAATCTTTGTCATTGTCATGAGCATTGTGTGGTTTGGACAGCATATTTCATTGACGCAATTTGTCGGCATCTTTTTGACGTTTGTTGGATTGTGGATGTATCAAAAGGCGAAATCAGACGTGGACAAGGGCGAAATCAAAATCAGAGAAAAGGAATCCATAGACATGCTGCCCATCCAACGGGAATTGGATGGCATTGATATCAAGCTTAAATAAATAAAGTGTGGTAGCCATTGTAGCATAGTTGGCAGGTACTTTTCTCTGCACTGCTGGTCAGAACGATTCAAACGTCATATTACACGTCGAATGAATCTCAGTGCTTTGCTATTTTGTCTTTTTTCTCTCTTGACACCACCACCACCACAACAACAACAATGGGACCAAGGAAACCAGAAGTCGAATACATCTCATTACGAAAACTGCAGCTTCAGAAACAAACCGGACCCACAGAGAGAACAGCAGAAGCTTACAAATGCTTGGAGAGACTCGCCAACAGCGCTTTGAACAATGGACCCTTTAGCGTAACGTTTGATAAGAAGCAGCCTCACATGGCCCCTACTGGCGATGCCCGAGATTTTCTCAGCTATGCTCCGTAAATATACAATACATGCACATATTTGCTTTGAGTTAATGAATATATACGACATGTATATTCTAGATATTGGTGGCCTGTAAGACGAGCTCTGAATTCATGCAATTGCAGTATCTAAAATGCTTGCATTAATAGGAAAACCCTCAGGATCCCAACACAAGGTACATTCGTAAAGATGGCAAGCGAAACCCAGGTAAGACGCTTTCATCAGAATGCGCATGCGTGCCTTTGCTAACAAGGCCTGACAGACATTGGCCATGTCAAGGATCAGTTTCAATTGGAGTCAGTGGCCGAGAACCTTCAGTTTCTATGCTTGGGATACTACTTTTTCAACAATGAAAACTATGCCATTTACGCTGTAGCATTGCTGGACACCTTCTTTGTAAATGAAAAGACTCGCATGAACCCCAACCTGAATTACGCTCAATTTGTCAGAGGCTCTCAGAACCATTCACCATTTGGACGTGGAGAAGGAGTCATTAGCTCGCGTGTGTAAGGAAGTGGCATCCGTTGATTTGTTTATCACCGATCAGGCTAAATTAATCGCTTCTATTCGCAGGTTATCCCGTATCGTGAACCTGTTACCGCTTTTAGATGCATTCCATGGCTATTATGCATTAAAGCAATATATACACTCTTGGTTCGGCAGCTACTTGCATTGGCTTCAGACCAGTCCTGTCGCTTTAGAAGCAGCAGCAGCCAGAAACAACATTCATACGTGGTATATTGTGCAATTGGCGTCCATTGAACAGTTCCTGAACCCGGTGTCGCCTCAGGTATCCAATGTCCTGTTCCGGTTCTTTAATGAATCGCTGCCAAAGCAGATGAATCCCAAGACGGGCAATCAGCCATACGAATCAAAGCGAACAAAACCACTGCACTATTTAGCCTTCAACTTGCAGGCTATCGTCATCTTGGCAGAGCTCGCCAAAGACGCCGGTCTGGATATGTATCGCTCACATGAATTGACCCTGTTAGCCACCTACATCGCCAACAAGTACGGATCTGACGAGACGCAAGACATTACAGAGGCAGTGCGATGCATCGAGATCATTTCCCATGCCATTCAAGACCAAAACGAGGTGTGTAGATGCTTTGTCGAAAAAGCGTATCATTGCAAGTTTTCAGACAGGTTGGGTGGCCCTAAAAATGCACTCTATGTGCTGTGGTTCTAATGATCGACCGATCTGATGCATATGAGCTGTCAATATTTTGATGCGTTTCTTATTTAACAATAAAGTAGGTTTTGATACGCAAACATTGAAATTATACTTGATTTAGATATATCGTTTTTTCCATGCTCATGATCCATATTGTGCACTTACAAGTAGCATTTGCTGTACCCTTTTTCCCTCATTCTTTCGTTTTACAACTGCGTACATGAAGCCTAACCTGATAAGCATCTCGTTCAATCTGAGCAAGTTGTTAGATTCAAGTTCGCATAGTATCACTGACGCTCAAATTTTAAAATCACTGTATTATTCGAGCAACTCAAAAAGATCTGAGCCTCAGTGATTTATCAGAAATAAATTATTTATAAAAAAAAGAGCATGAAATTAATCAGGTAAAGAATATCGTTTATTACATTGAAAATAAGAGGGTCTATATACTATTCGAATTGAGGGGTTTGATGTGAGGATAAGGTATTAGATGAGTTGATTTGGGTGATAGGATAATAGATCCAATCTATTATCCTGAACATGCCATGATACGGATCGTAACTGAATCCTGTTTCATGTCAAAGTTTATGATCTGATGTGATCGGTGCTTGAACTGCTTGTTTCTACGCATTTGGAGATCCGGTTTAGAAATGATACATCACTCAGCATTAGAATACAAGTGTTGATCGCTTAGAGGTTGAGTTCCGTACAATGCAGAAAATTAGGGGCATTAGACAGAGCTAAAATCTACATAATTTTTTGGCAGCACAATATACTACTCCTTATTTTTAGGCCAAATTCTGTCCAAATTTAGCCATTTTGAAGCACGAATAACTCATGCTACAAAGCGTTCTGTGCGCTTGGAATAGCACCAAACGACTCTCCTTTGATACGCCTTACTTACTGATGCCTTATCTCAATTTTTTTTTGCGTCAATGCAAATCCATGAAAATCCTCATATTTTTCATGTGTACTAGCAAGGGAAAGTTTTTGAAAATCAAACGATCGCGGTTTTCACCTCAAAAATGAAGATTTTTCTTATGATACATATTAGATCAAATGGATCGTAAAGGTGGAATGCAACACTGGAAAATCTTTCTATAAGACTTTTATATGCTAAATTTTGACATATCCATAGAAAACCTGTTTTCATACCTTTACGAATTGCTGGTTATTTTCAGTCTAAAAACTGAATGTAACTAGCATCATTCGATGTACCATCATTGACTCTTTATAAATGCAATAGAAAGTAAACTATAGCAACGACAATTTTCATAGTCAAAACTGGCAAAAACGTTTCAAGAATGTCAAATCAAGTCAAATTTGAACACGAAAATGACAATTGCACAAATCCAAATTTGAATGCCGCGACGACAGCTGCTACGGCAGAAGACTGAGATTAAATCTACTTGCCGTGACGTCCGATAGGGCGCCCTCTCATTTTTCCATACGGTACCTCTTTTTTTCCATTTTTGCAAAACGCGTTTATTATCAAACCATGTTGGTTTTGGAACCATATTGATTGAAAATAACACTCTAGCTTCTGATTACACGGTCTTTTACAGTCAGAAGGAATTGACACAGTTTTTTTTAAAGTGGAATATATTAGGTACCATTCGATGATAACGAGTACTGGAAGGCGTGGAATGAACATTAATTGAATTTGTCTATTAGGTTTTGATAATTTTTTGTCTGTTTGACGTGGGTGCTGGTGCCATTACTTCTTTGGTCTCTATCTTTGGCGACTGCTTCTTTAGTCTTTGTCTGGTCTCTTCTGGTGTCGCTCGTTCTTCGATTTTTCTATGGCGTTGGTGTTGTTGCTACTGGTGTTATTGCTGGTGATGTTACTGCTGGTGTTACTGCTAGTGTTACTGCTAGTGTTACTGCTAGTGTTGCTTCTGGTGTTGCTGCTGCTAGTCTGGTCTTTCTTGGTCTGCTCTCTCTGTTTTATGCTTGTTCTCTGGTCTACCCGTGGCTGTGGTAAGTGGTAAGTATCGTTTTTTCTTGTGGTTGCAATGATATAAAGCTTCTCTGGACGTTTGTATTATTGCTTTCTTTCTCGTGATAATGCATTTTATCATGGTATTTGTTTTGTTGCGTTTTTCTTTTTCTTTTGTTGGTTTTATTGCCTCCGTGGCTTCATATGAAACAACATTATTAGTCATTATGTTCTATGGCAAACTTATAATACCACTGTTGCTTTTGCAGTTGTGCGTGTTTGCGTTGCTTTACATACGACTATTACCATACATGTTGCTAATGTATGTTGTATTTTTGTTGCAACAACAACGAGCTGTTCTGAACATCTCTAACGTAGTATTTGTTCTGCTTTTTTTTTGACTCATTGCGAGTACCCCATTTTTGTCTATATACTACTATAATCCTATAGTAGTACGTTCTTTTCTTCTTTCTTTTATTCTTATTATGTTTCTTTTGAAGCATATCTTTTTTACGTTGTGTGGATGTGCCTATCCCTGAAGCTCAACAAGACTTTATCCGAGGCTAGGAGGTAGATAGGCCGCCTCCACTTGGTTATCGCTACTTACTTTAGTGATGATTGAGGGTCTCAGTGCCTGAATTTAAAGCTAGGTGGTGTAAGTAAGGCACGCTCTAGCACCTGGGGGGAATTTGATGATAGTAACAGCTATATTGCTATATAGCGGCGCTTAAAATTTTGCCTCACATCAAAACAGGGGGAAACCCTCGCAAATTTTTTTTAGGTCAGCGGAGTTTTCAAGCAATATGATTGGCTCAGAGGTCGAAGTAACGAAGGGTTACAACTAGTTGATTTCCTATTGATCTGTCAATTATCATGATTTTGTAATTGTAATAAAAGGATATCTAAATAGATACGATTTAAGTTCTTTTTATTTCAAAGATAAGATACAAGTGCAATCATTCGATCTGGCATCTATCACACAGCTTTATGCGAGGAATATTCTTTAATATTATATTCACTATGCGAGGAAAATCATATAGGTACAGTAGGACACTCGGGACTAAATCCTCCCAATGAACTATGTATGATACCTATTGTAAGATGCTAATGTGAAGTGATGACGAGCCATGGATGGATGGATTAGATGTTGGGAGACGTTGTATATTGAAAACCGTTTGGTACGATTTTTTTGGCAAAGGGTTTGAAGCGTGCTGCAAATTTCAGCAAAAGGGGGAGGGGGGGGGATTGCTTTTTCATGCCACATGTTGATGCTAGAGACTTGATGTCAGAACAATCATATGCTTACTCTGAGACGTTTGTAAACATATGAACGAATTTTCAGTCGCTACTACATTGGTTGTTAAATAATTAGGCGAGCAAAGTCTAAAGTAGCCAATATCATATAAAAAAAACACTCGGTGTTTTGACACTAGTATCGGTACAGCTGTTAATACAGCCAGGCTTTTTGTCTATTGACTAAATTTTTCTTCCCTGTGTTTGCTTTATAAAAAAAAACATTGTTTGGGCACCTGCGATGTTCTGTTGTAAAAATCGATTTTTGAACCCCCCAGATTGAAGTTTACAGTAGAGTGGCACCATTCGCTACGTATTTATACTCTGTACAAACTTACTATGTACTGAGCGCAATATTTACTATTGAACAGAATACATTTCAGCAATCGAAGTTCCAACACTTTTGGACCTTCCAATACCGAGTTTTTATACTGATGCTAGAGCTTTGGAAGTAGCATTTTCCTAAGCTATGCTAATTTTAAAACTTGCAAATTTTGAGCAGATGCTGCTAGTAAAAGTTCTTGAGTTTATATGTAAGTGCTAGGTGCAAGTGTAGTGAAAGTTGTAGAGGGGCTTTGTTTGACTATGACGGGTTTATGAGAGCGATGTCGATGAGTAATAACGTGAGATAAGTAATTGATCAATGTTCTTCAAACTGTCATTGATTCCTGCAATAAGGTTTCGGAAACACTTTTCATCATGACTATCAAAAGTAGCACATTTCTCGCTTACTAAGTAAACACTCCGAGGGAAAAAATCGATAATCTTGAAATGCATGTGCCTGAATAAATGAGCATTGCTTTCTCTCTCTTGCTTTACACACCCAACCTACACAATGAGTACAACAATATTCGAGGCAGCCGCCGAGGGCAACTTGGACTACTTGAAAAAGAACATCAAGCTTGTGAATGATAAAAATGAACGCGGCTGGACGCCTTTGCATTTTGCAGCACGTTTTGGACAATTGGAGGCAGCCAAGTTTCTCAAAGACAGTAAAGCAGACTTGTCTATTGTGAATGGAGAGGGTAAAACTGCAGCACAGGTAGCTAGCTTCTGGGGAAACGATCAAATTACAAAGCTTTTGACAGTTGTTGCATCACCTGCTCCTGGGAGCTCAGCACAAGGGCTTGCAGCAGGTTCTCCTTTTCCTGATAATTACACTGCGGTCTTTGCCGGAAATCCTCTCAACAGGTAAGGAGATGCACAACGCGAATAATTGAGAGCGAAACTGAGCATGCATCTTGCGAAATACCATTATTAGGTTCGGCTGGAATCGTGATAAGCCAGAATTTCTTGCTAGACTTGCCCGTTCACCAAAGGCAAAATACATCATCTTGAATAGATTGAAGGCATTGTATGACTCTGATGGAAATTTGCATTATGTTGGATATGATCAAGTGTCGTCTGTCGTGGATCGAGTTTATACCGAGAACGAGTTGGTCCCAAACAACACTGACATTATCTTGGTTTTCATGGGCATTGATGAGAGCCAAGGTCAAGGCGAGGATGGAGAGTTTATTTGGGCCCTTGACTTGACACCAGAAGGCGTCAACGAGGAGGAATACAGCAAATTAGTGAGAGGTTTGAGAGATTGAAGCATAAAATACTTTGGGACAATGCTAATAATGCTTTTTTTTTTTTTTTTTTTTTTTTTTTTTTTTTTTTTTTTGCTACAGGTTTTGAAGCGCAGGATCTCGAGTTCTCACCTACTCTTCCACGTGCATTTGTGATGGAAAAGTCAGTTAGTGCCATCATTGCACAAGCAGCTGCTATGGGTAAAACGAAACGACGAGCCACACCTTTGCCATCACAACTAACTACTCGGTGATATAGTTGATTGGAATGCCAGAACCAAATTCTGTTCAGCCTGTGGCAAACGCACGACTTCTCAAGAAGCTGGTTATAAACGTAATTGTCCAGCGCTGGTTGGTCAAGAGAATGGGGAAAAGTGCATTAGCCACACCGGCATCCAAAACTTCGCCTATCCTAGAACAGGTAGTTTATTGCTTTGCAAGTTGGAGAGTTATTTTTAAACATGAGCATTTGCCTTGGTAGATGCTGTGGTTATTGTCTGTATCGTTCATCCCAATGGCGACAAGATTTTATTGGGTCGCCAAAAGAGATGGCCCAACAAGATGTTCTCTTGCATTTCAGGTACAATGATATACTCAAATGAGAAGCTGAAGAAGCAGTGCAGCTAAACATATATTAGGCTTTGTTGAAGCGGCGGAAACTCTCGAGGAAGCTGTACGCCGTGAGGCATTTGAAGAAACAGGCGTAATTGTTGATCGTGTGGCCTATCACAGTAGTCAGCCTTGGGTAAACAAATGCCAAGCAAAACAGTTTGACAAAACGAGTACTGATATATACTATGCATTAGCCATTCCCCAACTCGCTCATGCTTGGATTTATTGCTGAAGCTGTGTCTACGGACATCCATTTCCGTGATGATGAATTGGAAGCTGCTGAATGGTTTACTCGCTCGGAGGTGATTGCAGCCGTAAAGGGTGATAAGAGCTCTACATTTTCCATGGCACCCAAGGGATCACTTGCATCTACGCTGGTACATGCTTGGATCAATGACAAGAAGTGGCAGCAGCCTACGCCAACCACTAATGCAAAGATGTAATAAAAGTACTTGCTTTGCTCGGGGCGGGGTTACGTATCAATTTAGTATTACATGAGGGTCATCCGTGTGTGTGTGTGTGTGTGTGTTTGCTGTATTCTGGTATAAATAAAGTTTCTTCTGTTCGCGTATAGCTTAGCTTTTTCTTTTCCTTTACTTTATTTTTTTTTACAAACAAAATCAACCAAATGTCTTATCAACCTCCACCACCATCTTACGGAGCTCCTCCTCCCGCTGGTCAAAGACCTCCACAACAGCAATATCAACAACAAGGTTACCAACAACAAGGCTACGGCCAACAAGGTCAAGCACAGCAAAACTATGGTGGTAAGTAGACATTCTAGCATGGTACTTTTCGAGGTCAGGTATCTAACAAGGCGCTCGATAGCCCCTCCTCCCCCTGCTGGGCCTCCACCAGGCGTTGATCAACAGCTTTATTCATGGTTCAAAGCAGTGGGTAAGTAATTTAGGCTTTGGTTTTTAAAGCATATTTGGTAAAATCCGAAATCCGAAGAGTACTCATAATTATATCATCATGAATCTAGACACTGATGGCTCTGGTCAACTTTCTGCTGATGAACTTCAAAAGGCCTTGATTAACGGTGATTGGAGTCCTTTCAACATTGAAACTGTTCGCTTGATGGTTAACATGTTCGATACGGGTAAGTTTTTATATAGACAAGATGGCTGCCAAGAGCGATATGCTTAGACATGGTTCAATAGATAACAGTGGCACCATCAACTTTAACGAGTTTGCCGGCTTATGGAAATATATCGAGGATTGGAAGAGATGCTTCCAAGCATTTGATGCTGATCGTTCTGGCAGTATCAACCAAGCTGAAATGGGCAACGCCTTGAGATCATTTGGTTTCAATGTTTCACCCAAGTTTATAAGTACTTTGATTCAAAAGTTCGATCGTTATGGTAAAGTATCTTTCAGTAGAAGCCTTCCTCCTATATCTAACGTGCAATATTAACAGCCACCATTAAAAATACAGGAAAGGGCGATGTCTCCTTTGACAATTTCGTGCAAGCATGCGTTACAATGAAGACCTTGACCGACTCTTTCAGACAATTTGATACTGACGGTGATGGTTGGGTTCAAATCAACTATGAACAGGTAATTTTAATGCAACTTGTGTAGGTAATACGAAGCTAATATTTCTTGCAGTTCTTGGATCTGGTCGTTCGTCAACGTGCTTAATCAACATATTACCCCCATCCACTCTACTCAATCACCGTAAATAAAAATTTGAATATCTCTTAGCTAGTACAAATTGTCAGTTAGAATGACCGCAACAAAGACAGCCTCTCGAGAGAGAAGCTGTTTCCGAGTGTATTCTAGACACTGGTAGATACTCTCAATTTCTGATGTGCTGTCTACTCCATGAAGAGTGAATTGTATACCACAACGACATATTTCATTGACAGACTCCAGGTATGTAATAAAACATGAACCAAATAGAGAAAACATGAATGATGTCCAAGTTGCGTAGCATGTGAGTATAGAGGCGGGCATCAGCTTAGCAGCATAGCATGATATAGAGACCTCTAAACAAAACGAAACAGGTCCTAAAATGGTGGTTTAATGATGACAAGCCTGTGCACTCGTGAATATCTGTAAATCAAATTTGGTTGTAGCTAATTTTAACATGTTTATAAATAAGGCTCATTTGTTTTTACTTTCTTTTCCTTTTCTCTTACACTCTTTTACTATTGAAACCTGCAAGTGATATGGAAGTAGTACAAGTTCAACCGAGAGATTCTTATTTACATAATATTTACGTACCTACTAAAGGTACCGTCATACGATGGTCTTTTACGACAAAGAAGAACAACATTGCATTCGGCTTGTTTCGTCGCAAAGAAAGGGAGCCTTTGCCAAACTCATCCGAGATCGTATTCAGGGCTCAGCAGCAACTGCAAAAGCGACAGATGTCTTTTCCCTCAGACGTGGGAGCAAATAGAAACAATAGTCAAGGTAAAAAAAAGAGGGAAAAGTGGGGAACCAGATAATAGAGCGTAAATTAAATTGAACTCAAAATTTACAGAATCCACATCCACAGTAGGGGATGATGATATCGAATCCAATTACATTCATTCCTCGAATCAGTCTATCCACAGTCAAAACAACTCTTCGCATCACAGCACTAGGCCCCGCTCCAAGTCTGTGGCAACCATCAAGCTAAAAGACAGTGGCATGGATGAGATCATTCCTATACAGCATGCTCAGTCGTCTGACCAGAAGGTGGAAGGAACTTTTGTGGTGGATGAACCAGGAAACTATGTATTGGTATTCGGTAAGCAGTGGATTGCTTGGAACATTTAGTGGAAGGCTGATGCATCCCAGACAATACCTTTTCAAGGAACACTCCCAAGAAGTTGACATATTCTGTGGCGTTGGGCAATCCTGAGGATGTCAAGGTGCCCGTAAACGAGATGTCAGGCTGGCTGTTGAAAAAGAAGCGAAAGAGAATGCAGGGCTGGGCTAAACGCTGGTTTACACTGTCTCCCACAGGTGTGCTCTCCTACTCTACATCGCAAAACAGTGTCACCCGAGGCTCAATTCAGATTCTTGTATCCACCATATCCTACAATCCTAATTTGCGCCAAATCAACATTGATTCGGGTACCATGCTCTATCATCTCAAGACATTGACCGAGTCAGACTACGATTTATGGCAATCCGCATTGACCGAGACTCGTAGAAAGAATGGCGAATACGACGATTCCCCTATACCTCAAATCGAGCACAGCAAGAGCATTGTTAGTGTTGCTGCCAGCAAGCGCCATTCCAGTCGCTATGGAGAGAACAAGAAGATTAGAGCCGAGATTGAGCAGGGCCTGGAAACATCTAGTTTGCATCAACAAAATACTCTGTTTTTAGCCAAGATTATTGAGGAACTCGAGCAAGTTTTGATCAGGAATGATTTGCAGTCAATTCAGCCACTAATGGAGAAACTGGATCATCAGAAACTGCAAATGGTAGCAGACGCAAATGAGCAAATTTCTCAGTGGAAGAATGTGCAAAACTACTTTGCTTCCAGTGGCCTTCGTCGCTCTGGCTCTATCTCACCCATTATTAGTAGCGCTCAGCAAACACAAGGGGACGACACTATTCATGAAGACTATGAGCATCTTCATCGCTCCTCCAGTGTGTATTCTCGCATGTCTGGCTATTCGGATCAATTCTTCGATGCTGAAGATATTGTACTTAGTGGCGGAGAGGATGAGGACGATGCGATTGAGGCTGGATCCAGTATCGACGATGAGAGCAGTGACGAAGATAGTGGTAGGTTGGCCTGTATGAAACAGTCTATAAATGGAGTAATTAACATGATGAAAACATGACAATAACAGAACAAAGCAGTGGCACAGAAGTGCTTGATTTGACTTCAATGAGCGATTGTGCTCGTCGCACAAAACTACCCTCTCCAGCTGTTGCAGATGCAGGATCAGCCCTTTCTGTGTTTAGAAAGAATGTCGGCAAGGATTTATCCACCATTGCAATGCCAATCAGTATGAACGAGCCATTGAACATGTTGCAAAAGGCATGCGAGGAATTGGAGTATTGTGAGCTATTGGAAAAGGCATCTACATTGACAGATGCTATGGAACGTCTGATGTATGTCACTGCGTTCTCTATTTCGTCTTATGCCTCGAGCCAGTATCGCACAGGAAGAAAGCCATTCAACCCAATGATGACTGAAACTTACGAGAATATTCGCCCTGACAAAGGTTTCCGATTCATTTCTGAGAAGGTATCACACAACCCACTGGTGATTGCAGCACATGCCGAGGCAAAGGGCTTCAAATACTGGCAATCTACACAGATCAAGAGCAAATTCTGGGGTAAATCCATGGAGTTTATGACTGAAGGCACTTTCCATGTGACATTGACGGGTCATGACGACCATTATACCTTCTTCAAGCCATCCAGCTGGATGAAGAACATGATTGCTGGCGAGAAATATCTGGAACATTCAGGCGAATGCAAGGTTGTGAATAAGACCACGGGCGATTATGCTGTCATTACATTCAAAGAAGGCTCTGGTGGTGGTTTATTTGGTGCTCCCACAAAGCGAAATGATGTCATTGCAACACTGTATGATGCTAATGACAAGAAGGTACGACGCGTAGTGGGTAAATGGAGTGAATCTCTGGCAGAAGAAGTTGGGCTAGATAAGAAGAAGCTGTCTGTTATATGGAATGCCCGTGCTCCTGGCATCAAGGATTACGAAAAATACTTTGGTTTTACAAAGTTTGCTACTGAGCTCAATGAACTGACTGAATTAGAGCGAGATAAGCTTCCAATGACTGACACAAGATTGAGACCTGATCAACAACTGTATGAAAAAGGTATTTACAGTATATATATATACACACACACACACACACACAAACAAAGGGTTGACATGTATCCATTAGGCCATGTTGATGAGGCTGACGAAGAAAAGCTCAGGATTGAGCAACAACAGCGAGACAAGCGCAAAGAATTTGAGTCGCAGGGTAAAGAATGGCTACCTCGATGGTTTGCTCGTGAGGGTGAAGAATGGCTGTATTCTGGTCAATACTGGCCGACTCGAGAGACTGGCCAATGGCCCAAAGATCAATTCCCATTGTGGTAATGCAATAAAGGATTTCATAGACTATAGAGTTGTGACAAAAAAAGACATTTGTGGGTTTTTAATATGTAAAAATATTATTTGGATCGTCTCTTGTGCTTTCTTGTGTATATTTTATGTTGTACTAGTTTTGTATATAAATAATGTCTAATTTTAACAATACGAGATGTCAAATTTATTTGTTGCCCTATAGGAAAAAAAAAAAAAAAAAAAAAAAAACAGTGTCAGTTGAAGCACTCTATGCCATGATCAAAATACATACACGAGCCATGTTGATGGCACCCCAGAGAGAACCAGCAACACCGGTACCAAGAACGAGGAAGGTGGTGTAGACAAAGAGCTTATCTCTGGGACCACGGAGGAACAAGAGAGTGTTGGAGGGAGCCTAGATCAACATTTCAGTCAGTTTTCATGGTTTCTGATCATTGATGTGGATACTTTACTTGGAAGAATCTTTGTTGAGCAGCAACGTTGTTGGGTCTGTTGACGAGGGACATTTTTGAATATAGGAAAAAAAAGAGAGTGGGGTTGAAGAAAGAAAGAAATTTGATGAGGTATTATATGAATCAAATCAAAACAAATTTCTTGTTCAGCATTTGCACGGGGGGAAGTTTTCAAATCGCTACGTCACTTGTTTAATCTCTTTCCTCTCCTATGTTAGTGCCTTAAACCAACTTTTTTTCTCTCATCATCCCACCTCCTTATTCCCCACATCATGACAGAAGCCGTGATTCCCTTAGATACCACTACACATTTAACCAAAGATGCCGTCATAAACAATGAGCGAATGCTGAATGAGTTTAGAGATCTGTTTGATCCTGGTAAATCCTACCCGACATTAGCCAGTTTACGTTCAGAAGTAGCAAACTTTGGCCAAAAGCATAACATAGTCATGAGCATTAAAAATTCAAACTTTCGAAGTGTCCATCTCTGGTGCAAACATGCAGGTGTATACACCAAAATAGAGAGAAAGCCGAAAAAGCCTGTCAATAGCACTAACAAAGTAGTTAAGCCAAGAAAAAAGAGCACGCAGAGGACAGATTGCCAGTGTTTCATAAAAGCCAAGTCGATCAACGAAATCTGGGTGATTGAGCGCAGCCATGGAGAGCATAACCACATTATACCCAGAAATAAGACAGTTTACAGCGCCCATAGACGACAGAGCGAGCAAACAAAAGATCTCATCCTACAGCTATTGAAGAGCGGCCAAAAGGTCAACAGCATCTTGGAGTATCTGCACATGATTGGCATCAGCAACATCATCAAGAAAGACATTGAGAATTTGCAGCAATACTTTAGAAGAGCAGACAGATTGACCGTCAAGAGAGAGGAAGAATGTGATCAACTACCAAATCACCAGGATACATCCACCGTTGCTACATTGCCCATTGTCATACCCGACTTGGCTCCACCCGATACCTCAAACAACCATCACCAATTCACTTTTGTTGAACAGAAAAATATCCTTTACTAATCCCAAAGATATGAAATTAAGCTGTTACAGAAATATTACCCCTCATTCATTCCCTTATACAATATCCCACTATGACATACAATATCTATGAAATACCCCCCCCCCACAAATTTTACAATAAAAAACTGCCAGACGTTTACATGAACCAATGCCATACCATGCCTCTTTTCGCTCTAACTATTGAATCTATGCATACCTGCCGAAATACTGTAACCAGAGCATACCTGTCAAATGTCTCGTAAGACATACATTGCTAAAACGTGTCTCTCCTAGATGTTGATTTGATAACAACGTTTTTAGCATCTTACTTTTATAAGTAATAGCATCGCTTAAAGTAGTTTCCACAAGTAAACCACCTACACTTGCTACAGAGCTTCTATCTTGATTGACCTTAAAGAATCAATGTAATAGTCAAAGACATTTGACAGCGGCAATTCAAACCATTGCAAACGAACCTTGTATGCGAGGGAACTATGGCCGCTATTTGCTGCACAGGTAGTTAGTTAAGATAACGTCTTATACAAAAATATAGGTCTTTGTCTGAAGCTGGGCAGAGTAAGCATAGGCATTCACAACATTGTATTGAATACACAATCTCCAAATAAATGCCATTTGAGTAACAGGCAGCCTTCATCCAATGTTAGCCTCCGGACCGGAGATTGGTGATGGAAAGTGGACAATTGTTTGAGGAGCACAGTGGGGGGCGTTGAGATTCGTCGAAAAAAAGAATAAACATGGTCAGGTCAGATGCAAGCTATACAATCCTCCTCTTTAGAGAAACGTGGTAGACGATATAACAATGGCCAACCAAGGTAATCAGATGAATGGATGATATTGGATGTATAGATTGTAGATGGGAAAGAGAGATACAAGGGCATGGATGATGGATGACAATCTTGGATGAGGGTGTGGATGCATTATCAGCAGTCGATTTCAAAATACACCCACTGAATCAATACGATACCAACGCCTGATCATTAGAGCGAAATTGATACATGCAATCAAACGCAATATTCATGCAGTAACCTATCACGGATGATTCCCATACAACTTGATCAATGCTCGGCACTTTCTCTCTTTCTATCAACATGTCAATACGTCCTGTATCATGGTATCATGTTTGAATGCGTCTTCTAACTTGGTATATGTGTTTAATAGCTTCCGCCAAGGCTCTTAACGCCAAGAAGTCCGCTCTTAAGGGTGTTCACGGTAAGGCTGTGCGCAAGATCCGCACTTCCACCCACTTCCACATCCCTAAGACTTTGGTTTTGAACCGTGCTCCCAAGTACGCTCGCAAGTCTGTTGCTCATGCTCCCCGCATGGATCAATACCGTGTCATTCGTCAACCTCTCAACACCGAGACTGCCATGAAGAAGATTGAGGAACACAACACCTTGACTTTCCTCGTTGACGTTAAGGCCAACAAGAACCAAATCAAGGATGCCGTTAAGCGTCTTTATGATGTTGAGGCTGCCAAGATCAACACCCTCATCAGGTAAGCAGTTTTTGTCTGGTTGTTTGAAAGTGAGGAGCGAAATGTTGATTCCCCTCTGTTTCTCTATAGACCCGATGGTTACAAGAAGGCTTTCGTCCGCCTCACCGCCGATGTCGATGCTCTCGATGTTGCTAACAAAATCGGCTTCATCTAATCTCTTGACAGCTTCTTCGTTGACATTCCTAGTTTACAAGGAATAAAGTTTTGAAGGGATAGTGTGGTTCATATTATACACTGTAATTCTCTTGTCGCATTCGTTACTACCATTAAGCATTTACACATCGAAAAGCCAGGGAATACAAGTGGAATTCACGGGTAGCATGTGCAACTCTGGATAGAATCAAAATTTGCCATTTCACACTTGGATAAGCAATTTTTAGCGTTTATAACTGTGCATTAACTATAACATTGAGCAACAATCGCAAAGAAAAAAATGTGTAATGCATTTCAATTCGCAATCCCCATAGTATTAGCATCACAAACTTCAATTGTCTCTCCATGAGAGAGGGGTTCTAACCAGCAGCCAAAATTAATTGATATTCCGCTAGACGTCTACTCCAGATTGGATAAATTCTACTGTTTTGCGACTTAATCGACCTATTTTGCGAAACTCGACTATGTAAATTGTGATGATCATCTAATGCTTCTTTAAGCTTTCTTGGAGTGCTTTTCAAGGCGCACCCAATGGTACAAAGTAAGATAGATGTTTTGAATAAACTTGCTGAGTAATTTACGAAAATATGAAAAGAGGTTTTTGGCCAAAAAGTCGAAATTTTACATATCAAAGTCCCACAAAGATGATTTCAAGGGTTATGTTGGATCGATAAAAGCATTTTGATTCAATACTTACTATAGTAAAAGTCTTCGTTAACAAGGTCAAAAACGCGATCATTTGATTTTCAATGAAAATCATGAGGGGTACCTCATGCTTTTTGGTCGAATTTTGTTCATTTTTTTTTAGTCTCCAAAAAGTTGAGCAAAGGTGTTAGAAAGTAACTGCTAGATCAGAGCAAGTATTTGGTGCTACTCTGATGGTCCAAAACGGCCTTTAACATGAGAAAATGCGGCTCAAATGCAACCAGATTTCACAGTTATTTGCGTACATTTGAGTGATAAGAGGTAATGCGAGTATACTGTCCACTCGTATATTTTTTACTAGTTGATACAGACGCAGGACATCCTAGAGACGTCAAATCCACCGTTACAGGTTTCTTATGGATAGTTTACATGTGATAGCAAATAGTGGAAAAGTGTAATTCCAGTGTATTTTGGCAGGATTTCGAAGATATAAGTGTAATAGTGTGTGGTATGTATTGAGCGATAAATGATGGGGAGCATCATCAAGTCAAGAAGATGTATTTAGAGCGTTTGGAGTAGATTAAAGCACTGGATACAGGTAAAGAGCGCAATTCGTCGGGTGAAGTACATTGATAATCATCATTGGCGAATGATACATTAATCAGATAGGCAATAGGTAAAGATCAGTAACTTTCAAAGTTACAGCGTCATGGCCAACCTGAAAATGTGCACTGTAGCAGACCGTTTACTGAATTTGTAGAGAGACTGAGGGTGTGAATATAAGAGTCAATGACTTGATTTCATGGATGATGCTTGTTTGCTAGAAGAGATATCGTATTGCTTCAGCTAAAAGGTTCATCCGGTCCGAGCATGAAAGAATTTTAAAACTTCTTGGGGGGTCTGCCTATCAACCACCCCTCGCCTCTTTTTGTTCAGCTCTTTAAACGTTTTGTTTGAAACATCCTTCTTCATGTATCAAACACGATTACTCTCTAATAAATGGCTCCGTCTCGGCAGCAGCCGGTCTGCTGCTCATGTACGCTACATGCAACAATTGACTTCACCAGAGCTTCGCTCCACCTTCATCAAGTATTTTGAGAAACAAGGGCATACACCTGTCAAAAGCGCCAGTCTTGTGCCTCACAATGACAAGAGTTTGCTGTTTACAAACGCAGGTAATTACCCGGAATCAAGCGTCAATGAAAACAGTTACTTACTGCACTCACTGTTTGTAGGTATGGTTCCTTTCAAGGAGCACTTTCTCAAGCCTAATGCAGCACCGTTTCAATGCGCCACCAGTGTTCAGAAATGCATGAGAGCAGGCGGCAAACACAATGACCTTGATAATGTGGGATACACTCCTCGTCACCACACGTTTTTCGAAATGCTGGGCAATTTCTCATTTGGTAAATACTCCAAGGCCGAAGCCATCAGTTATGCATGGAAGTTTTTACTGGAAGAGCTGAAATTGCCAATCAGTCGACTTCGGGTCACGTAAGATCTGTGCACTAGGCGGCTCAAGATGTAGCCAACTCACTTTTTATATTGTAGCGTTTTGGAAGGAGACGACGAAGGCTATCAATTGTGGAAAAAACAGGGATTGACAGATGATATGATTGTCAAGTGTGGACCAGAGGATAACTTCTGGACAATGGGAGACGGTGAAGGGCCCTGTGGATCCTGTACTGAAATTTTTTGGGACACACAAGACGCATCATTGGACGATCCATGGCTCGAAATCTGGAATCTTGTGTTTATGGAAAAGTACAGAAATGCACAGGGCGAATTGAGCGACCTGCCTATTCCTTGCATTGATACGGGCATGGGTTTGGAGAGAATGGTGTCCGTGCTTCAGGGAAAGAAAAACAACTTTCAAATTGATCAATTCGAGACACTAATCACTGGTCTGAGGGAGCTCATGGCAGCGCGTGGACTCAAGGTGAGTTTGCAAGTGAGTAGCTGTATAATTCTGATGAGCTAATCCGTCTTGAAGAGCTCCACCGATATTGATCCAAGCGCACATGAAAAGATTGTAGCTGATCACTTCAGGGCCATGTGTTTCTTGATTGGCGACGGCGTTGTGCCTAGCAACATTGGTCGTGGCTATGTTTTGAGACGTATTATCAGACGTGCGCTTCGATCAGCCAAGCAATTGGGATTGAATGGTAAATGCTTTTCGTGCTATCGATCCTTTGCTTATGCTAATATGCCCTGTAGAACCTTTTTTGACAGATCTGTACCCATCTTTGCTGGCTGGATTTACTGATGGATCTTACCCGGAGCTCGCTAGTCGTGCATCATCTATTCGCAGCATCATCACCAACGAAGAAACTGCATTTTTGGCTACACTGGACAGAGGCATGGCCTTGTTGGAAAACGTATTCAGCCAAAGCGATTTTCAGGCAACAAAGCAAATTCCACCTCAGATTGCCTTTCAATTGTATGACACATATGGATTCCCATTCGATTTGACTTTAATTATTGCTCGTGAAAGAGGCTGGTCTGTTGACATTGAAGGTATTTGACACACAACTCACATGCATAAGTATATGCCAACCTATTTATGGATCTAGCTGTGGAGGCACTGAGAGAAAAGCAAAAGATTACAGGCAGAGAATCATGGAAATCTGAAAGCATGGCAGACAAATCAAGATTATCCGAATGGAAAGCCCTTAACATTAAACCTCAATTCACTGGGTATGATCACAGTCTACTTCACCAGGAATCAGAGATTTTAGCAGTGGATACTGTCAAGAAGGGAAAGAAGGTAGAAGTCAACATTGCCATCGATCCATGTCCATTTTACGGTCTAGGCGGTGGCCAAGTCCCTGATAATGGCACGATTGAGCTCTCCAATGGACATAACTGGCAAGTAGTGGATGTCACTCAGCCTTACGAAGGCGGCATGGCTCTGAAAATTGTTCCCGCCGACTTGAAGCCTGGAGAGGATATTGCTCAACGTATTGAAGCGGATAGAGAATATTTGCAACAAGGCCATTTAGTAAGAACTCAAGTGGATATGAGACGTCGTGAGGGTGCAGAAATCCATCATACTGCTACTCATTTATTGAATGCTGGTCTTAGAAGAGTGCTCAAGTCTGATGATATCGTACAAGCTGGCTCAACTGTCGAGCCCAAAAAACTGAGATTTGACTTTACCTACGGAAAGCCTTTAAAGCATGATCAATTAACCAAGATCGAAGACTGGGTGAACGAAGTTGCATTGCACGGTGGCGAAACTAGTGTCAAGGTAAATGGTAGAGTTTAGCTATGTGTGAGATGCATTAACTGGGCTCCTTTTGAATAGCATATGAGGTTGACAGACGCAGTGAATTCAGGTGCCATTGCAGCTTTTTCTGAGAAATATGGTGATACTGTTCGAGTCATTGATGTGCCTGGTATCAGTAAAGAGCTCTGTGGTGGCACACACGTAGATAACATTCGCAAATTATATCCTTTCAAGATTTTGAACGAAACCTCTGTTGCTGCTGGTACCCGTAGAATTGAAGCTACAGCTGGACTATCCTGTGTTGAATGGTACAGAAAGGCTTATGAACCCATTCCCAAAGCGCTTCAGTTATTGCGTGCCAATGGTACCAATGAAATCATAGACAAACTCGAGAAATCGTTACAGCAAACCAAAGATCTTCAAAAGCGTGTAGAGCTCATGAATGACAAGTTGGCTACTGCTGGTGAAGTAGCCATGAAACCTATTTCAAGCAAAATCAAAGGTAAGGCATTACTTGGTATCTTTTCTATCGATATTAACTTGAGGTGCTCCTAGATATTGACGTCAAGATTCACTTGATTGATTCTGATTTGGACGCCAACTTTATGCAAAAGCGTGCCAATGTCCTGAAAGAAAGTCAGTCAGATGCTGCACATATCTTGGTCAATGGCAACACAATTGTTGTGGCATTGAATGGTGAGCAAATCAAGTCTGAAACTGCCAACTCGGTAAGTACATCACGCATACAAAAGCCCGATAGTTCACTCACCGTACGTTAGATTTTGAAGCAAATGCTGAAACACATCAAGGGTGGCGGTGGAGGTCAAAAGGAAATGGCTCAAGGTCGTTTAGCCGAGGCAGTTGCAAGTGAAACTGACATTATTACCAAATTAGTTCCTGCCTTGGAAAAATGCTAGATTTGAAGATAGATACCCAACGTTAATAAAAACTTCCGCTACAAGATGATGTCGAGTAGCAAAGTGATAGAGACAAATTATACATTTTATTCAATGAAACATATTTTACTGTACAATACCCTTCATAGTTGCAGGACAATCGGGCTGGTTATAAGGATGCGATATTCTAAATTCGGGTAATGTCATTAACGTGTTTCTGATCCTTGTGATGTAAGGAAACGGCTTCATGTCCACCTGATGAAACTTGGTGGCAGCAAATACCATTGGCACTAGGCAGAAATCCGCAATAGAGATCTGGTCGGCTACGCAGTATGTACCAGACAGGTTTTCCAAACGTTTCTCTAAACCTTCAAACCCCATTTCGAATATCTTGCGAGCATATTCCTCTCGTTTGGCCAATTCAACATCAACCAGCCTCAGCACTTTTTTGGCTTGCAATGGCTGAATGTCGCAAGCAATTTCCAAGGCTATCGAAAATGCTTCTGCTTTGTGAAATGGCCCTTTCGGCATCATTGGTCTCTCTTTGTAATGCATGAGAAATCAAACCTTAATATTAATTCCCGTGATGCCCACACAACACACGAGTACTTACCTGGATACATGGCCTCAAGATATTCAATAATGGCTAGACTTTGAGTCAAGATTTTGCCGGTTTTAGTGATAAAACAAGGTAGTTTTTTGCATGGATTGAGCAGCACATACTCTTCAGACAGCTGCAATTGCACTATTAATACAAATACCATCATCTGTGCACCCAGCTTACATGTTCACCAGCATCCATATCAACGTAGCGAGTTTCATATTCCACGCCTTTCCATGCCAATGCAATTCTGACTCGCCATGAAGTATCTGATGCGTAGCTACTATACAGAATTGGCAATTGAGTACAAGGTGATGGTTTCTATTGCGTTATTAGACTCCTAGTGCAATTGACTAAAATGAACACTTACTCTATCTGACTCAATGTCGGCCATAGTGATAAGAATGTTTGTAAAAGAAGAACTATCAGCAATACTCGGTGCATTATCAGCTTATATAGCCGCCTATTCTATAGTCTGGGTCACACCGCTGTATCTGCATGTTCTTTTTCTTCTTTTTGCTATATAACGTCATTCTCTTCAGGGCCAACAGTTTTCAAGGTTTCATCCATTACCAACCCGTGAATGGGTGAGGTAGCATTTTTTTTTTGCCATTTTCCTGGGTTTATTGCACCTGAAACATGTCAGCATTGAATGGTTTATCCACAGAATGCCGTGAGAAGCAATATGCAAATACACACTGTACATTTTAAACTTTCAACATTTGAATGCTTCGAAATGATACGCATATCTCGCACTAGTTCCAATGTAAATGTTATGCAAATCTACGTAAAAGATACAATATACGATTTACTACCACCGACTATTACTCCACCTGCGGCTGTTGCACCTTGTTGAACTAGCCATTGTTGCGTACTCACCTTGATGAGATCTGGAGCCTATGCTGAAATCAACATCTCCAACGCATGAAATTCTCATTCATATTTTCCCTATTTTCAATTGAATCGCATTAAAAATAGCCTGAGCAATTGTTTAAATTGATGTTGTACCGAGCTGCTTGTTACATTCTTTGTAAAATGGTTGAATGCGTTTACAGCACACAAGGATCATGCATTGAACTTTCAATTTCGGTGGCACGATAAAAGAAAAATGCAACATGCTGGTGCAGCCTGTGATTGAAATGGCCAATGATATTGATTCCCCCCCCCCTGATCATCAGCCATATTACATATTTCTCGATCTGTTTGAAGGTTGCATTTTTCCTGCAAACCCTCCGAAAATGCAAGCATTTGAGGCTGTGGCGCTTTATGTAAAATGTATATTTAGAAATGCAATACTCGTACTCTTAACATTTACGAACGAACTCTCTATTCTCAATCTGTATTACCATTTTTTGGAAAAATTTCATGTAGTTATTTATATGTTTTCATTTGTATTTGCACCATTCTTTCGACTGCAGTTAGCGTTTATGATGCTGTCCAATAGATGCTTAACAATGCCTGCTCAGCATATGCTATGAATATTGAATTAAAAGTGAAAGACTCCCAGGATATGTTGCACATTTAGCATTTACAGCATTGGTTGTATTACAGCCTGCTTTTCATTTGTTAAGAAGCCAATCGTGATCCCTGCTTGGTAACAATGCGTGTATCACTATACCAAACAATATTTGGTTACCTGAAGTAAACTATAGAACAGAGGAACCTAGTCATTAAAAACTGTGCTGCTGTGAACTAAATGACTTCAATGGGGGTAGATCAGATGAATATGAGAGTTTCTTTGCTTTCGGAATCACATTCAACCAGAGTGCTATTTTGCTTCGTGAATAGCACATGTAGATGCTTTCATGGAAAGCCATGAGATGAGAAAGAAAAGGCTCGAGAACTTTTCTGAAGGTCTGACAGAAGTACCTTCCGGTATTGAAGCATCCATCTTGTATATAAAGACAAGCATTGACATTTTTATTTTTTAATCTCTATCAATCACTTATTAATATGCGCGCCTTCTCTACTGTACTCGTTGCTGCTGCCTTCGTTTTCTCTGCTCATGCTGCTGCCCTTGACAAGAGAGCCATCTCTGCTCCTGTTCAACTTTGTATCGACGACATCAACTCTGCTGCTGCCCAACTGGCTATTGTTAAGGCCGATGTGAGTTGTAAATAATTCATTGTCATTATGAAATTCACACAGTATGTATTATACTAGGTTGATGCCTTCATTAGCTCAAAGGGTTACTCTGGTGCTTTGGCCATCCACAACAAGGAACAGGTCCTCGAAACACGTCTCAAGAAAGCTGGTACTGACTGCTGCGCATTTACTGGTACCGTTACCACCGAGGAAGCTGATGCCGTTCTCAACACCGTAAGCACTCTTGTCCCTCAAGTTTCCGCTGCTTTGACGTCCATCGTCACCAAGAAGCCTCAATTCGATGCCATCTTGCTCGCTACCACTTTGGTAAAGAGCGACATCAAGAACTTGGATTCTCAAACCAAGACTTTGGATACTTGCTTGCTTGCCAAGACACCTTCTACTCATTTGGATGCTGCCAATGCTTTGGTCAATCAAATCAATACTTCCTTCTCTACCGCCAAAACCGCTTATGGCATTTAAATATGAACATCCAAATTGGTTTTGACATTTGTCTAGTTTATTGCATGCAGCCCTTTGGAATTAGCAAAAATTGATTCTCTTCACAATAAACTATTCTAAATATTACTTTTTGAATATTCATTAAATGAGATCAGTTTATAAGCAGCCTGGAATTGATGATCTAACTTTTTTAGAGTGCCTTGCGTCTGTATCAATTAGAACAATCTATTTACAGACAGAGACAGCGTACTCATTCTATCCTATTAATACCCGAAAGTACCCAAACTACAGTGAAATTTGGATACATTTGAGCCGCATTTTCTCGTGTTAAGGGCCGTTTTGGGCCACCACAAGAGCACCAAATAATTGCTCTGATCTAGCAGTTACTTTCTAACACCTTTGCTCAACTTTTTGGGCACCAAAAAAACATGGCCAAAAATCGATCCAAAACCATGAGGTACCCCTCATGATTTTCATTGAAAATCAAATGATCGCGTTTTTGACCTTGTTAACGAAGACTTTTACTATGGCATATATTATATTAAAATGTTTCTATGGACCCAAAGCAACCCTTGAAACCTTATTTATGCGACCCTTATATACCAGATCTCGACATTTTCGCCTGAAACCTCATTTCATATTTTCCAAAATTACTCAATAAATTTATTCAAAACATCTCTTGTAATTAGCACGATTGGATGCGCCTTCAAAAGTACTTTGAGGAAGCTTAAGGGGGCATGAGGTGATTGTCATTATTTATATAGTCGAATCTAGCAAAATAAATCTTTTGAGTCGATTTTGAACAAAATTTGACAAGTCTTGAGCAAAAGAACTGATCTGAGTCTAAACCTGTTTTTGCGTGCTGTTGGCAAAGTGTCAGAAATGACCTTTATCATGAAAACAATCGATGTTTTTGGAGCTATCAAGAAGTGGATCGCGCATTATAAGTACTGCGGCTTAAACTTTCAATTATTTTTAGCTTCTTTTTTACATTTTATATTCAATGCGTAGATTTATTAGCTGCTGGTTGCCCAACCAAATGCCAAACGCGATATTGTCTCCCGATTCAACACTTTGGCACTTTGAGTGTGCACTCCAGTTGATTCAACATTATAATTTAATTTTAATTGCAAACCAGGTAGCTTGGTCAATGCAATTCATAAAATGACAAGTTCAAAGATAAAAAATGCTTTTATTGATGGCATATAAGAGTTTAAATCAGGGCAGCTAAAGTAGATTGCTGATTTCGATACAAAAGTTTTCATTTTCCTCATCTTCTTTCATACGAAATTGAATTCCATCAGCAATAAGGAACCTCAAAGATTCTATCAGGTCATTGCTTTTTACAGCAAATTTTACCTTATGAGAGCGTATGGCTTTGATGATATTCAGTGTGCGGTGCAAATTGTTGCTCGATAGTATCAATGGCTTTTCTACGTCAATATCAATTGTATCAGTATTGGGGTACTTGAACAACAGATATTCCAGAAGATCCGATCGACATTCACGGGTGATCACCAGTTTTTTGACAGTGTTTACAATTTTCACATTGATAGGCGCCCAAGCTTCCACCTCGCTTTTTACATGTAATCTATCATTGAAGTACACCTTCACTGTCAGTTCCTTCAATCGAGAGCACCCAGCCAAGGCATCTTCAAGGTCGAAAACAGCTTCCAGGTCTGCTTCCAATTCAAACTTGGTCAAGTTTACAAAGGATTCAAATCTTGAGAGATCCCAAGTAGAACTGTAATCTTCTCCATTCTCATCTCGAAGTGAAAAAGTAATTTCTTCCAAAGTAGACTTAAAGTTAAGCAGAGCACAGTTGTAGACTACAGAGTAGCATGAGGGGTGAGGTATGGCTTTCAATTTATCAAATTTGTCTCTGGCTTTGTCTGCAATGCTGCTCATCAATAGGTAAAAGTCGTCATCGTCAATTTCGCCAGTGATCCTCTCCATGCTAGGCGTAAAGGCAAGGCGTAATAATTCATGTTGTATAGCCACTGGCAGGAAATCTTCTTCGAAATGCAAGTGGTTGATGAGTTTTCCGTAATTTGGTCGTCTGTACAAATGACCATAGAATGCAAGAGCGGCGTATGACGAGCTGATCTTTATGCGTCTACTAAACATCAATGGCTCCGCAATGACATTCCACGACTTGCAAACCAGGCGAAATTGAGCTAGATTTGCCACTGAATCGCTACAGTTTATGATCTTGGTTACCAGTGTTCCAGGTATGTCAGGAAGCTTTGTTGAACGTCTACTGTCTAACAACGGCTTTGCAATGACACTCCACAGTTTGCAAACCAAACAGTACTGTACTAAATCTGTCATAGAGTCGCTATAGTCCATGACCTTGATCAACAGGTTTTTAGGTATGTCTGTAAACATTGTTGTTTAAGATTGACACGTTTGTATTGAACTGAAAAGAAAGAAGAGAAACGTTGTATAAAACTTTGATCAAATACTCACTAAATACAGTCATTGTCACTCGAACAAATGAAGCTGATACTTTGGAATTAATCAGTGTATATGCCAGGTTCATGCAAGCGCAGTGATCGAAGTAACGGTCTCCGGTATTGGTGATCTTGAGAGATTGCCAACATGTTTCTTAGACAAAAGACTCCAAGTGAAGTCTAATGATCACAGCCCTGATCTCACTAGATCGATACCTAGTAGGACGAGCTCGTAATTCATGGCAGCTTCTGAGTATAGCATATACTTGCTATTATCTTTACATGAAAAGCGCAAATGCCATACTAAGCAGCGGCATTGGGTAGTGTGTTTATATCAATTAGCCAGAGCACCCACCAATGACCCAATCAATGATTCAGTAGCCATCCAATGGTTATATTCAGTATCAAGTCTTATGTATCATGAATCTAATCAGTTGAATATGACTCGGTAGTAGTATACATGTATCAAGTAGCCTCATGGGCCATGCATCTCTGTTCAAATCCTGTCTTGAGCCTGCAATGGTGTTTGGCTTGCTGTCAAATCAAACATTAGATTCGGTCAACAAGGAGTAGACGTCAGATTTTAGTAGAAAAAATAATTCGAATGAGATCATATGCTGTCTACAGCGATCCTATCGATCCATAGACTCATTTGCACTGATCTGAAGGGGCCATTATATAGCATTTCATGACAATGCACATCTCATCTGTCAGATCGGGAGTTGTAATAGAGCTAATGACGTCGCAAGGTAAATACCCCCAGGCTGTGAAAGGCAAATGAGAAGAGGAATCGAAAAAATAACATGAGAGAGTAGAAAAACACCGCCTTCAACATTTCTCTTTTTCTTATATCTCTCCCCTCTCTCTCTTTATTTCTTTAAATCTTTATAAAATGCTTCGTACCGCTGCTATTCGTACTCGTGTTGGTGCTGCTCGTGTTATCGGTCGCCGTAACGCCTCCAGCAATGTTGCTGTTCAAAACATTGAGACTCGTTGGAAGACTCTTTCCACCGCTGAACAAAACACCATCGCCAAGCAACTTGAAGAAGCACAAAAGGGTGATTGGAAGTCCCTCTCTCTCGACGAAAAGAAGGCTGCCTGTAAGTGTTTTAGTTGATCCAACAACAGCGAATCCAATGTACTTAGAGATTGCAATTAGACTACATTGCCTTCGGTGCTCACGGTCCCCGTGAACCCTTGACCAAGCCTGGCCATGCCATGAAGGTCTTTGGTGGTGTTACTGGTGTTCTCGCTGCCTCTGGTGCTCTCTTCTATGCCATCCGTGTCAATGGTAAGTATACAATGTCTATTTTATAGTTTGGCGGGGGTGTTTCACGGCAAATATATTTGAAGCGGGGGGGGATTTGCAGTGGAAGGAAATTTTTTCTAACCTTTTTTGTGTCAAATGTAGGTCAAGAAACCCCTCACACCATCAGCAAGGAATGGGAGGAGAAGACCAACGAGTACCTCAAGAGCCAAAACTCCAATCCTATCTCTGGTATCTCCTCAGAAGGATACAAGGGAACTGGTTATGTCGTCAGCAAATAAACAACATCTTAATATTATTTACAACTGCACAAAAGAAAATTATATATCACGTTTTAGAGATTTTCGCTTACAAAACGTCCCTTCTTGTTATGTTTGTTATAAAGAAAAAGAAAAAGCTATTTATATTATAAACATCCATTATTCGAAAAAAAAAATCGGATCATTTCTAGTGTCAAGGTTATACAGATTTGTGTGGAGTGTGTCTCGAGGGCAACATGTCAAAGTGGATCTGACTGTAGGTGCTGTAGGATGACAATGAGAGTCAATTGACAATTTTAATTCAGGCACATGTTTATTGTTTGTTAATGTGTTGAGCAATGTCAACGGTGATCTGATCATGGATCCATCCTTCATTTAGGCTTGTGTTGTATTTCAAGCAATATCCCACGGCAAGATGCTCGAAATTCATGGTCTGTCATCAACTATAGACTTTTTTTTTATGTATTGCGCTTCTGTTTTTACATGGATGTTAAGCTTTCAGAGGCGATTTACAAGGACACTGCAACTAGCCAATGTCTGGCATGATGGGCGATGGGCATAGTTGTCTTGAAACCACACTACAAACATTTGCTCGCTAGAGTACAAACCTTGTGCTTGACTCTGCCATGGTCAATCTGGATCTCCCTTCATAGCAAGCCAATCTGCTTTTACACACTGCTAATAAACAAGTAAACATCCACACACGAATCTGCCTTGAAGAGCAACAAATTCGATGATCTGACTGCCAAAATTGCAGTAAAATATTTCGCACCTGTATTTCAGTGTTGCTATACCTGCTTTATAACCCTAACCACCATGTCTCAACAACAAGTTAACATTGCTGATCTTGATTTGTCTTCTTTGCAACAAGTCAAAACACAATTGGAAGAGGTTCTGTTTGCACAAGATGACCGAGAAATTGGCAGCACCTAACCGTTGCAATAGGAATTAAGCCATCTGACTCAATCTTACAGCAAGCTCAAGAGTGTTCAAGGAAGATTCACCGACTGTGCTGATAGCGTTGATTCATTGAAAGCCGAGAAAGCTGATGGTAAGCCTTTGCATCGAGAGCTGAGGCATGAAAGAATAGGTTGCTAACGCGTTTACCCGTAGACAAGACTATTCTTGTGCCCCTCACATCATCTATATCCTTTTCATCATAATTTATCGATCCCTAATCTACTAATATTGCAGCGCTATGTTATATTCCTTAACCAGTGCCATACCTCTATGTTCCAGGTAAATTAAGTAACGTCAACAAGGTCATTGTGGATGTCGGTACAGGCTATTACATTGAAAAGGTAAATTCTTACCATCCACATTGGAAGGAATCACTGCTAAAATTACCGCGTATCACAGTCGGTGTCAGATGCCTCCAAGTTCTACAATGACAAGGTTGGCTATGTTAAAAAGAACCTCGGCACACTTGAAAAGACCATTACAGATAAACAAAGCACGCTGAGAGGTACATGCCAATTAGGATACATTTAGCAATCAACATCTCCACTAACTCCTCCGTTTCCAGCCATTGTCAATGTCATGCAAGACAAGATTCAACAAGACCAAAAGTAAACTTGTCAATAAAAGCGACGTGCAATCTGCTTATTGCAATGAGCACCTGTCATTGACTATCATAACCATATGTACTATTCAGGCACCATATTCTAATTGGTTTTATTACAATGATTCACCGACTAAGCGGGTGTCCTCACATTGCCAGTCTGGCGTGCAAAGACATGTGAATAAGTGGGGGATAAGACGTACCTATAAAAAAAGTAAGAGGTCAAAAAATCTGCTGATAGATCCCAATGAAAAGGCCAACTTACTTATCAGGATTTTGAACTCGACTGAAAGGAGGCAACACCTTGTTGTCAAGTGAGACCAGTGCCGAAAAACCAAAGAGGGCAATGTTACTCGCTCCTTGCTCATCACGATTCATGGTAGTTTGTTTAGCCAGCCTTTTTGGACACTCAGGGTTAAAGCATGTAACGGCACCGAGGTTCCTCTTCATTCTATTATCCTCATCACGCGCCAGTTGTTTCTGTGTCTCCTTGAAACAGGAGCAGCAAATTTTTGTAGAATTGTATTCGTCCACCAATCTGACTGTGCTTCTTGTGGACAACGTTGACATGTACGGCTTCATACTTCGAGTGCTGTGGCCACGGAGGTACTGAGTATTGCGACGCCAGTTTCCTATGAAGGAAACCATCTTTGGCTTGTTGAAGGTGGACATGGTTGCAGCAGATCTGGCTTCACTGGCTACCAAATGTTGGTGAAGTTTCTTCAAGCGGATTTGTCCAGTTGCCCTTCCTTTCTGTAGCTTCTTGACTGATAACTTCTTCCTCTTCTTTCGCCTATTGGAGAGGACAGCATTACCGACTTTGTTGGCTGTCATTTCATACTTGACGAATGTTTCTCCGTTTCCACGAGAGGTTGCAGTGTCAGAATACTCTTGCAGCATTTGAAACCGATTGATCGACTCAAAAAGAGTGAGAGAAGCCACGAAAAACGAATAATTCCTAAACACTGGCACTGATGTCGTCAATAATTGCAATGGGCTTGACACTCTTACTCAAACCACAATCAAATAAATCAACAGCTTTGATGTCAAAGAAAGACATCTTTTTCTGTGTCGCATGTTGGATGAGGATAACATTACCATCTCTGAGATTGGACATATAGCGAAATACTGTATAGGCAATGTATTGTGTATATCATTCTACCACAGCTCAGATTTCGTATGATACCTTGTTACAGACTATGTTACTTGATTCCATAAGCACAGTACTTGATGATGGCTATTAGGTATTGACAAGGCCCATGTATTTTGCTTGCCTGAACATTTACATGAGGCACATTTCATGATTATTGAATAGTGCATGCCTCTTTTTTTTTTTTTTTTTTTTTTTTTTTTTTTTTTTAACTTCAAGAGATCTCGCAGCTTTTTTCAGGCACCAAATCAACAGTATTGAACATAGTAGGGTAGGTCTTGACAAAAATCACCTTTTATAGCTCTATGAAACCACTGCTTGATGAATAATCACCTTTTATGTTAATGTTTGGATGAAAGCTTGTTGTGTTCCTAAATTGGTCACACCTACAAGTTTACAATAGAATGCAATTGTGCCCTGCAACATGTTATTGCCTCCAAAAAGCGACAAGTTGAGTTAGGTTGCGCCTTAATAATCCGAAGACACAAATTGTGTCCTAGCAGTGTCCTTCGCCCTATTCTAATTTACTTTCATAAAAGCGGAGGTTCATTCTGCTAATTTGTGCTTGTGTTCTTCCCTAAATGAATGTCTATAAAAAACGGATGACACACACACTCCTCCCTAATTTCTTGTTTCTTTTCTCTCTCTCTTTATCACACATACTTGATTGAGAAAATGGACCTCTTCAACCGAGGCAAATCAAAAGGGAAAAAGCGGCCGATTATTGATCCACCTTTAATACAAACAACGACAACGACCAACACCATACAAACCAGCACCACCACCCCTCAATCTCCTAAAAGCCCTCCTCATCAGCAGGATGACTATTTTGCAGCAGGTACCGTTTTTAATTGATCCAAATACAAGGCATATTTTGGTTTATAAACCTAGTTGAAGGATAGGTCGCCTAGTAGATAACACTTCTTCCATCAGAAGCTCCCAATCATCCTCTATACCAAGCACTGACAGTGATTATACCAATGTGGACGCAATGACTGAAGCTGAGATAGAAGACTTCTTTGAACGCATGCTAGTAAGGACCATTACTATTTAAGTATCAATGGAGTGTGCTGCTGACAATTACTCAAGACAAGAAGAGGCATTCACGATAATAATGCTCGGTTGAAAATGTCTTCATTTTCAGTGGAAAAGAAGAGATTAATGGTTGCCCAAGATATACAATCGGAGACCAATGTACCTGCAGCACCTTCATCAAGACGAGGAGTCGATAAGAAGGCAGATTATCAATCGGAAAGCAAAGGTCCCGAGTACTATGTTCGAAAACTAGCAGACATGTCAAAAGGCGTTAATACAAAAGTGGTGTCGCATTTGGCAGTTGGATTGAGAACAATGCCATTGAGGTCAGTTTGCGTCATGATGAACCATCTCTCCCTGCTTGAAGATTAACATGATTCGAATTATTATAGCTGGGTGCGTCAGTTTATCGATATGCAGGGCTTGCAAGTCATTACAGATTTGTTAAAGGCACTCAACAAGAGCACAAACAAGTAAGCATCAGTAACAGATCATGCTGAATGCGTGGACTCACGCACTCAATGTAGACAAGAATCGACTTTGTCAGTGGAAGCAGACATCTTAAAGTGCTTCAAGGCATTACTGAACAATAGGGTAGGCGAAAAAAAAGCACCCTACAATTCACATGCTGAACGTTTCTAATTTTGGCAATCTCAACAATTTCAGGTGGGAGCACGAGAGGCGCTGAAGCACCCACAATGTGTACAGCAAATTGTTCATTGTATTGTTTCACCTTCCATCAACTCACGACGATTGGTATGCGAAGTGCTTGTGTTCATGTGCTATTACGAAGTGCCTGTAGGCCAAGATCTCGTATTAAAAGCCATGGATCAATTGCGAGACAAACAGAGGGGACTAGGCAGATTCGATGCGTGGCTATCAGAGCTTGAAATCACGCTGGGCGGACGTGGAAGAATGGGCAGCATGGTGGGTGCCAGTGAGGATTTCAAGCGCATGGCTGCCTATGGTCCACCTGATGGCCAATTAACAGAGTACGCAGTAAGTTCTTTTGTATTATCGTCAGAGTGGGACAAGCAATTAAATGGAATTCTCTGCAGTTGTACAACATGATCTTGGTCAATGCAATCATCAACGTCGTCGATGACCCTGAAATCAGAATCCACCTTAGAAACCAGATGACAGCATCAGGGTTGGAGCGAATCATGGAAAAGATGAACGAACTGTGCGATGAGCATGTGGATCGCCAAGTCCGAGAGTTCAAGTCATTGGCGGAGAACGACCAGGACGAAGTAATGGAGATGTACCACGAGCATGTACTCAGCGATCAAAACGATCCAAGGGATGTGTTTGAGTGCATCTTGAGCAGCGTGGAGGGCACCAGAGGCTATGATTTTTTCCTTAGCTGTTTGCAGCACCTATTACTAGTCAACAGCGAGGAATCTGGCATCAAATCGAGATACTACCAAATCATTGACAATTTGGTAGCCCAAGTGGTGCTTGATCACAAAGGGCTGGCGGACGATTTTTCTGCAGACTACACAACCACGGTCCAACATTTGATTAGCAAATTTGCAGATCAGGATCAGCTCAAAGCAACGTTGGAGGATATCAAAGAGCTACAGCAAAGCTATGATGAACTGGAGCGAGAGCGTGATTTACTGCGAGAGCAATTATCGCATCAAGGAGGTAGATTTTCGACATGCCTCCTGGCTGAATTAATATTCATTTATTTATTTAGATGCATTGGAAATTGTGCAACTTAAAGAAAAGACAGTGTCCCTGGAAGATTTGCTGAGAATGTCACGCCACACCATATCAACACTGCAGCGAAAGTTACGGGATTTGCAGAGTGATTACGACGCAAGTCTGGAGAAGGCAGAGCGACAAATGGAGGAGTTCTCCAAGGTAGTGGGTGTTACTGAGGAATCCAACGAGGAGGAGGGAGACGTCGTTATATCTCGAAAGAGCATTGCGACAGCCTTTGGACGCATTCGTGCTCAGGAAATGCTAGAAGGTCGCAACAGAAACGAATTCAAATCAAGCGAGCCCTCGCTGAGCCCCTTGGAAGACAACGGCAGCAAACACAAGTCCATGGCATTGGGATTATCCGAGGAGTTCAAGAGTCAGTTGGCTCGTCAGTTTGGCTCGAGCAGTGGACTGGGCGAGTTTGTGCTTCCAGGTACAATGCCACTCATGGGATCTGCAGTGAGACGCTCCAACAACCGTCGCAGACAAGTGCAGATTGAAGTTGCGCCACTTATGCCTCTAGAGCAGGCTTCCACAGAGGATGTACCTACCTACAACAAACGCAAAGATTCCTTAGACGGAGGCATCAAGAGCCCTCGATCTACAAAAAGTACCTCAATCAGTAGACGAGATAATGGAAGTAGGAAGAATAGCTATACATTCAGCAAAGAGGAGAGCGACAGCGATAACATTCTTTCGTCCATGATTACATCTATTAACGAGGAAGAGTCTGAAATACCTACCCCTACTACACAAGTTGAACAGCTTAGCATACCCACTTCAGAGCATGTTCATGATCTACCACCTCCGCCTCCACCGCCACCACCACCGTCTTCTCAGCCTTCAGTGACAGGAAGCATGCCTCCACCTCCACCGCCACCGCCACCGCCACCTCCACCACAGCCGTCAGAAATGAACAGCGCTTTGTCTATACCACCACCACCTCCTCCACCTCCACCCATGTCAGGATCGACTACAGATCTCTCAAGATCAGCAGCTGCCCCACCAGCGCCGCCACCACCACCCTCTTCATCATTACCGCCGCCCCCACCTCCACCACCATCCGTTCCATCACCACCCAACGCACCTGGCGCAATGAACATGCTTGCTCCTCGCAAACACCTCAAACATTTACCAGCTGTCAAAACTCGACAACTGCAATGGCAAAAACTCAATGCCAATCACATTGGCTCGACTCTGTGGAAATCATCAGCTGATGTAGAAAAGGAAGAGGCTTTGGAGTCTTTGTTGGATGCTGAGGGTATTTTCAACCGTATGGAGGAAGTTTTTGCGCAAAAAGTGGTCGCCACAAAACGCATGGCCAAGAAGGAGAAGCGTCAAGAAATCTGCATCATTGATTCTCGCAAAGCTTATAATATCAGTAAGTAAATGACCTCATCATGTACCTTTTTCCCGTGCTCATTCATTGAAACCAGGTATCGCCGTGCTTGCTAAATGCAAGAATATACCGTTTAAAGACTGCAAGAGAAAGATTTTGGCAGTGGATGACAAGTTTTGCACAGAAATCATGCTGAGAAATTTGCTGGTCAATGCGCCTTCTCATGATGAGATGGGCAAGTTATCTGTATTTTTAAAAACTGCTTCTGAGGAAGACTTGCAAAGCTTGTCAAAGCCGGACGCATTCTGTGCAGAGGTAGGTTGCCCTTGATATCCAAGGTTGCTTTATGCTTATAACCATCACATTTGTAGATTATATCCATTGATCGGTTCAAGGAACGTCTTACCAACATGCTCTTTGTCACCACCTTCCACGAACGCATCACACAACTGGGCAGAAATATGACCAATGTCATGGACGCATCTACAAATCTAAAGGATTCTCAGTCATTCATTGACTTTTTGAACGTGAGTATACGTCGTCGTACTTGTCTCTCATTTTCTTCGGGAGGACTTATGTTATATGGTAGATCGTTTTAATGGTGGGTAACTTTTTGAACGGCACCAACTTCCAAGGTGGCGCATTTGGTATTCGCATCAGTAGTATCAACAAGCTAGTCGACACCAGAGCCACCAGCAACGATACAACATTGCTGCACTTTTTGTGCACAATGATCGAAGAAAAGTTTCCCAATATCAGTGAGAATCTACTAAAGGACCTTGAGCTCTGTGGAGAAGCATGTAGAGGTACGTTAAGTTATACAAAAAAAACACCTGCCAGTAATTTAATCCATATGTAGTGACCATTCAGGACTTGATCAAGGACTACAATGAGCTTCGTGTGGGGCTTCAGACACTAATTCATGAACTGGATTGTCACTACAGTAATGACTATGAAGCAGCCCCTGGAGATAACTTTGCAAGTGTCATGTACAAGTTTCGTGATCGGGCGATTGAAAAGTTCGACCAACTGGAAGTTAGATACACCTCGATGGACGTCGCTTACAAAGATGTCGTCTCCTACTTTGGGGAGGACCCTAGTGATATGAAGCCAGACGAATTTTTCGGCATCTTCCAGACATTTACATCGAGTTGGAATAAAGCGAAATCAGATCTTGAGATGCAAAAGAAGAAGAAGGAGCAAGCAGAAAAGTCAAAAGAATTCCAAGCGCAACGCAAAGCTCGACTTAATAATCGATTGGATATCAAGGATGGTAAGCAACATCAACCCGAATGCTCAACATACAGTGCACTAATTACACTTTGATAAAAGCCACCTCAGAGAATCAAGAAGATAAAGACATTATGGACAATTTACTGGAAAAATTGCGCTCTGGAGAAATGGCAACCACCTCATCTCAACGGAAGAGTCGTCGCATGTCTGTGAGGGAAAGAAGAAGAACGCGAGCAGAGTCCATGGTAGTAAAAGCTGAAGATCTGTTACGGCATATACAAAATGAGGAAGAGGCACCACCGCTGCCAAGGGCTGCACGAAGCGGGTCGAGAAGGTTTACAAGTTCTGAGCGTATGAAGAAGTTGGCTTCTTTAGCAGATAACAAGGGAGAGGAAGTTGCTGTCAATCTATAGATATCTAGTGGTATTTTGTTGTACATCTACAGATATATACCTTTACTAATCAACCAAGTGCATATATAAATAAATTTCAAAAGTAACACATCATAATACATATCATCATAACATAATAAATGTTCAGTCCTTTAGACACTTTACAACCCTGATATGGAACCTGAGTTTCAAGGCAGCTGTCAGGCCTGGCTCATATGAGAATCATGATTTTACAATCAATCAACAAAAACCACCGTTAGTTCTACTCTCTTTCCTCTGCTCAATGCTGTCAACGTTTTATTTGAACGACGTCTCAGAGCCTCAGAGATTTCACTACTTACTGCAGACATCTTACGCAGCCCATGAATCGTCAATGTCCAGACTAACGTTATTAAATATAGAATGCAAGACGATGTCATTATGAACGATATAGAATGCAATAAAATACCATCATAAACGATAGCGTTATGGCCTGCCGCCTACTTTTTATACGCTTCAAGAGCATTTTCTACTGTATTGCAGTATGAAAAGGGCATTGAGTTTGCCAGCTGGCCCCACAAGCCAAAATCAATTCAAACCCAGAATCATGGTTTGTTCCAGATTGGACAAATCTTGATGGTTTTGGATTCGATTAAGCTATTTTTGCAGATTCGACTAAGTAAAATATGATGATCACCCCTCGCTTCCTTAAGCCTTCCTGGAGTACTTTTCAAGGTGCATCCAATGGTACTAAGTGAAATAGATGATTTGAATAAACTTATCAAATGATTTATGAAAATATGAAAAGAGGTTTCTGGCCACAATGTCGAAATTTTACTTATCAAAGTCCGACAAAGATGATTTCAGAGGTTGCTTTGGATCGATAGAAACATTTTGATTCAAGATATACCATAGTAAAAGTCTCCATTTTCAAGGTGAAAAACGCAATCGTTTGATTTTCGATGAAAACCATGAGGGGTACCTCATGCTTTTTGGTCGAATTTTGTTCATGTTTTTTTGATCCTCAAAAAGTTGAGCAAAGGTGTCAGAAAGTAACTGTCAGATGAGAGCAAGTGTTTGGTCCTATTATGACAATCTAAACCCGCCTTGGACGCGAGAAAACGCAGCTCAAATGCATTCAAATTTTGCTGTATTATGGACACTAAGGACTAAAAAGTGGAAATACCAGTGTGCTACTTGCCCGCATAGGAAGTAGCTACGTGTATATGGATGTAGAGCATCAGATAAGAGTCAGATCCACAGATATTATAAAGGGTTTCCATGTGTAAGTAGAGGGTCAGCTTGAACGTAGGTTGGTTTCCACCGAAGCGAAGCGTAGGTCAGGAAACCACCCGAAGTGCTGAAAGGCTCGTATACCATAGTAAAAGTCTTCATTTTTAAGGTGAAAAATGTGATCGTTTGATTTTCGTTGAAAAGCATGAGGTACCCCTTATGGTTTTTGGCCGATTTTTTTTTGGCCATGTTTTTAGGTCCTCAAAAAGTTGAGCGAAGGTGTCAAAGAGTTATTGCTACTCAAGTACAATTGTTTGGCGTCATTCCGGTGGCTAAGAGAGGCCAAATGCCAAGATTTTAAGGCTTGAAAGCTGTCAAATTAGGCCGTGTTTCCTACATTTGCTTGCCAATAGACGCATTCTTATTATGACACAAAGGCGTAAAGACATTGTAAGCATTGATATGGATTTAGAGCATGCTGTTACATCCAAATATTCGGCTGGAAATATTATGTTGAGTGGTACTATTGTATTGTAGTATCATACCGCAATGATACAGCTTATTAGCGAGATTACGGCGGTTGTAAGGCACGCTGAGCATTTTAGAGGCGATAGATAGTCTGCATCTAGTAAATTATTTACGCATGCTTTGCTCAAAGATCGACCAACAGAACAAACAAACGGCTGTCTGACTCCGATGCTTCATGCAGAAAAGGATCTAATTTCGACAACTGTCAGCTCTTTGTTTGCCCTTGGAAAAGGCATCTCAAGGTTACTATACCATCTCCTGATGTAACTGTGGGTAGATTGGCATCCATCCATGCTACAATGATCTGGTGCAGTAGGATTTGCTATTGCTATTTAAAAAAGGCCAATCACAACTTTACACAACGACCATCTCATTTCAGATTGCACAGAAATAGAGCGTCTGATGTTACAGCATGAGCAATGTATCTATCGGTAACTTTAAAGCAGACACTATGCCGAGCAAAGAAGATGCATGGATGAATGCAGGAAAACTATAGTGGAGAGCAGCCAGTTAGCCATACGTATGCTGAATGGTGAGCAAATAGAGAGGTAAGACATCTCAAATGAGGTATAGCCCTGGGTTTGAATACCACTGTAATTCGATTGTAATATAGACGTTTGGCTTCGTGTTCATTGCATGCTTTTTTCTTTTTGATTGTCTAGTTTTCTTTATCATCATCTATATAGAAACAAGACTGAAAAAAAGAGTCAGCTAATCTACGTCTTTTCTTTTTTTTTCAGCAAAGAAACAACTCGCTTCAGTGTAAGAAATGTTTTTTGTGTTGCTCATTTTGTAGTTGACATTGCCAACTTACCTTGAAAAACGTATCTAGTAAACGTTTACATTACATGGCTTCTCACAAAGAGGAACCCAATACATCTTTACTGTTTGGAGATTCGCCTGGAGATGATCCATTTAGCCAGCTGCAACAGCAACAGCAGCAACATCCAGCCTCGGAGCCAGCCGCAAAGAAAGATGAAGTCAAGGATAAACAACCTGCTGTCAGCACCGCTCAAGAGCAACAGCCTAAAGCAGTAGTAGGCGATGCTGCCAGCTTATTCGGTAACAGTGGAGACGGAAATGCTGATCTCTTCTTTTCATCCACCAACGCAAGTGCACATGCTACTCCTCAATCTGTCCATCCTCCATTGGCGACCAACGCGTCTGCGGCTTCGTTCTTTGATCAGCCTCAAGCAGCTGCTACCACCGCCTACTCCTTTTTCGACGATTTAGGCCAGCAGCATTCGGCCACTGATTTGACGCAATCCTACAGCCAAGAAAGCCAACAGCATTCAACCAACCCTGCTTCCAATTTAACACAAGCGTATGATCCAAATACCTGCAATAGCTATGATTACAGCCAGCAGCCAGCATTGCAAGAGCAAGAGCAGCAGCAGCAGCAATACGATCAAGCGCAATGGATCCAGTTTGATCCCAATCAGCATTATTACTACGATGACCAAGGCCAAGTGCATTATTATGATCCTAATACCAACCAAGAATATGATATGAGTCAATACGGTTATGATCAACAGGGACAGACATACGATTATCAATACAATCCTCAATATGCTGAATACTATGCTCAACAAGGGTACGATCCTAACGCTTATGCTGCTACTACTGCTGCTACGGATGCAGGTAACATTGGTGATCAACAGCAACAGGCTTATGCTTCAGTGCAAGATAACTATGATCCCAGTGCTTATGCACCTACAACCGCCACTCCTCAACCCTCTGAATCAGCCACTGCCACTGCAGCAGCTGCAAGTGATCTGCATTACTACCAACCCAGCAATTATGCAGCTCATCCGTCCAGCCAAATGCAACAGCAGCAAGCAGACTATTCATCTCAATCATACGCACCTATGAATACAAATGCAGTTGCTGAGGTACCCGCTCAACTTCAGTCCGAGCAAACCATTGATACGCAGCACTACACAGCTGAACAACAGCAAGATCCATACAGCATGCAAAGTTATCCTGCTGTGGACACCTCTGCTGGTGTTGTTGCAGATGCCGATCAACAGCAACAATCAGATTACAACTATCAGTCATACGATCCCAACACAGCTACTACTGCTGTTACCACCAGTGAGTTTGAGCAAAGCCAATTTGGACAAGATGTGTATGCTCCAGTGGATTTAAACAATACCAATTACTCTTCAATTCAAGCTGATTTTGAAGCCGAAGATTTGCAGCAACCACAAGCACCTCCACCACCTCCTGCTGCTGCCTCTAAAGACGTGGGTCCTCCTCCACCAGCAGGACCACCCAAGAGCGTATTATCTCCACCTCCACCACCTCCAAAATCCACCAACATTTCACCTCCTCCTCCTCAAACCAATACCCCGCTTGCTACACTCACTGCTCACAGAGATTCAATGGATGTCAATGAGGTACCTGAGTTATCCGAACAACAAAAGGAAGCACCCCAGGAAGATTTGAATGATTTGGATGATTTGGTGTTGGGTGGATCTGACAGTCAACAACAACAACAAGATCTCGTATCTAACATGATGGATCGTTTGACGGTAGCAGATGGTGCGTATGACACTGAAAAGACAACAGATGAGGCTGCTGCCAAGCATTCAAGAGATGTAAATGTCGCTTCCAGCACCGAAGATCAAAAGGTACCAGAGGCTGAAATCAAGACAGAGCCCACTGTATTTGCTAGCGTACTGAGTGCTGATGAACCCTGCGAAACCAAGAATAAAGAAGAGTTCAGCATCAATGATCAAAAGGAAAAGAAGGAGGAAGAGAAGCCTGCTATAACCAGTCAAGATGCATCTTACTTCCCTTTACAGTCGTCTGAGGATCACACAGGCATTTCTTCATCTCAACATGTCCTTGATCAAAACGAGCAAATCAGTTCATACGAGCCGGATCAATCAATCACTTACGATTTCAATTACGGGTCTGAACCAACCACTCAACCCGCTGAGAATGCCTATGAGCCAGATCAAGCCATAGGTTTCGAATCTCAAGCTGTCACTGGATACGAGCCAACTACAAGCTATGAGCCTCAACAAGCATCCGCATACGATCCTGAACAAGTTGCTAGCTATGAGCCCTCTGCTAGTTACGAACCTCAGCAACAAACCGCTCACTACGAGCCTCGACAGAATGATACCTATGCTCCTCAAGAGACCAGCTACGAACCTCAACAAACGTCTGGTTATGAACCTACTGGCCATGAGCCTCAATCTACCAATGCTTATGATCCATCTAATACTACTACAAGAGGGTATGAACCACAGCAATACGGCGGATACGAGTCAGCAGCTCCTTCAACACAATACGGTGCACCTCTTCCAACTTCTACTACTGCTGCCTCAGAACGAAACATGACATCGCCTCCACCATCAGGGCCTCCCAGAGCAGGATCCATTAAGAGCGTTGCTTCGCCTCCACCTGCCATGCAATCATACTATCCTCAACGCGCCAACAGTATTACTGAACCTGACCGTCGTCATCACAGCAGCTCTCCATTTGCAGGATACTACGGCAACAACAATGGTATGAACCCTCAATACCCTGTCATGGAAAGATCTGCCACAGTGCCTCCACCCATGACAGAACGCATGGCCTCTCCAAGACCCCAATTGATTCCTTGTCCTGACCGCTTGTGTGAAGGCGAGAACAAACCCAAAGCCAAGTTTTGCTGCGAGTGTGGACGTCCTCTGGCTGGTATTTCTCGCTCCACTACGCCTTCTGCTATTTCCCCCAGTGCCTACAGTGCCGCTGGCATGGAAGGATTCAGCCCCATGTCTACTGCTGTATTTGGGTCTGTTGCCGCAGAGCCTGTTCAGCGTACTGCGCTTGACGAGAAAAAGGATGAAATGGTGGCTAGTTTGAAGCAGTTTGTGGAGAACTCTGTTGTGGTTCAGGTCGATTTGGATGAGCAAGAAAAACGCAGACGTGCTATGGCCTATATTGACAGCCGTCTGGCCTCCTTTGTCGAGAGTAAGGCTATTTTATGGCGTGTTGTTCAAGCAATGATGGAGCATTCAACATGTGTATTGGGGGATGGGTAAGTGAAGAAAGAGTCTAAAGGAGGGATTATGCTTACAGTTTACATTGCATAGTGGTGAATTGGATAAATCCATCATTGCTCTCGTGTCCTCTTGGTCTCAAGACAGCAGCCAGAGCGCCTCTTCTGACGGACATTTGGATCAATTGGAAGCATTATTGAGCAAGGGAGACCGTGAAGCAGCATGTCAATTTGCCAATGACCATGATATGTGGGCTCATTCGTTGGTGATTGCGTCCAGCGTGAATGACGCCCTTTTCAAAAAGACCGTTACTCAATTCATCCAAAGAGAGCTGTTTGCTGCTGAAACTGAACTGGTGCCTCAGGTCCCTGGTGATAGAAAGTCATTGCGTATGCTATATTCTGTATTCAATGGTGCTGGTGCTGATGCGGGTAAGAAGATTCTTATGATCAAGCATGAGTCGAACTAACCCACAAATAACACGCAGTTTCTGACTATGCAAAGACATCGGCCCATGCTGAAGCTGTCTTCACAGATGAAACGCTGCAAGGATGGCAGTCTGCATTGACATTGATTTTGGCTAATCGCTCTACCAATGATCAAGCAGCTATTCAGGGCCTCGGCGATCAATTGAAGCATTTGAACAAGCATAATGAGGCCCGTTTATGGTAAGAAATTAAAGTAATAATGCTTTTGTTTGTTGTACCAACGCATATCCTAGTTATCTGTTATCACCCGATGTTTCTGGTCTGGACAATAGCAAGCTGATAGGGGATGATTTGTACACGGACCTAGATGCCCTGTATCTTGTCGAGTTGTACGAGTTCGCATCAAAGGCTTCTATTCAGCAAGACTTCAAGCTAGTGTTGGCTTGGTGGCTGAAGGATCTCGGCTTCTCTGCGGAATCTCAAAAGTACACAGAAGCCATCAGTGCCAAGCTGGTGGGTCCTTCTAGTCTGGACAAGCTGAAGCAAGTAGGCGACATTAGCCCAGCAGCTGATTCAAGGTAGAACCGGGTGCCAGTTTATCTGCCATGACAATATAAATCACTAACATTTCATTTTTTTGTAGCAGTGAGAATGTTACATCCTTGTTGAACCAACAGAGCTTTGACGCATTGATTGGTTCGATCGACGCAAAGGTTACTTCAATTACTACAAGCTTTGGTGACAGCAGCAATTATGCTAGTGCAAATTATACTTTCGATAGCCAAGGTGGTGAGTATTTTGTAACGCTTGTACAACACGTGTGTGTGTGTATATATTGACCCTGCTTTCTAGACTATAACAGCACACAAGCACATGATTATACTGGACAAGAGGCAGCAGCTGATTCGCTTCAACACGATGCTTACAATTACGGCTATGGTTATGGGGGCGGTTACACTGAAGCAGCTGATGCCACCGTGCCTCAAGTTACTGCTGTAACGTCTCCATTTGGAAAACCCAAAGGCATTCAATCACCCTTCCAAACTAATGTCCAGCCTGTATCATCGCCATTTGGCATGCAAAATAAGGCTACTGCTGCTGTCACATCGCCCTTTGGTCAAGCTGCTCCCGCAACAAATGACAACAATAATGCCTGGTGGGGAGCATCGGACGGCAGCCAGACCCAGGACTCACAGACGAGCTATCAACCATATCAACCTGAAGCCAATGCCAACACAAGCTATCAACCTGATGCTTACACTCCTGCGGCTGCTGCTACAACATCAACACCTGCAGCAGGGTCTTCAGCTTGGGACGATGATGATGACCTCGGTTTTGGCAACTCCAAGCCCAAGAAGAAGCAAGAGCAAGACGCAGATACGAAAACAACAGACAGCAAGGTTCAAGAAAAGCCCAATGAAGTCGACGACAAGAAGGAAAAAGAGCACACCGAAAAGCCCAACGGCGGTGGTTGGGGCATTTTCAGCCTCTTTGGCCGTAAAGAGAAGGATCCTAACGCTGAAGAAAAGAAGGCTGTCAAGGCTAATTTGGGAGAACAAAGCTCGTTCTATTATGATGAAAAGGAGAAGCGATGGGTCAACAAACTTGTAAGTAACATGGCATTGAAAAAGGAGGTATTTTTTACTCATTGTCTTGTATAGAATGACACAAAACCAGCTTCTGCTACGCCCCCTCCTCCTCCCAAAGCGGCTACACCACAACCTCCTGCTTCTAAACCCATGGTGCCTCCACCCGTTGCAGACTTAAAGCCAAGCAGCATGCCTCCTCCTCGAATTAATTCAGCACCCAACGTGCCATCCATGTCAGGCAGTGGTGGGTTGCCCAATGCAGCACCTCCTGCATTCAATACACCACAAACTAGTAGAAGAGCAGCGGGTGGTGGTAGAAAATCTGTGCGTTCTCGCTATGTCGATGTTCTTAGTGCAGATCAAAAATAAGCATTCCTATTTACCAAATAAAATTTATATACGTTATGATATTCACTTGAGAGAAGCTTTGTGACATGTTATAAAGTGGAAAGAAACACAACGTTGTTTGCAAGCAGGAGACGTCTTTATTCAACGGCATGGTGTATATGCTTTTTGGGATACATGTCAAGCTGCCAGAATCCCGCTTTCACGGAGCTTTCATGTGTATTTTCTCATTTGGCAGGATATCCAGTATGATAAATGGAAGCTTTACAGAAAGTTCACGTTTCATCTTTCATACATTTTTCTTCATAGTGATATAACCCTATTGATTGCAAGCGATAGGTTGATATATAGATAAGGCGCTAGGAAACATGGCGGTCAAAACCGTTTAATTATAACTTGTTTTGTTGTTCTGTGACAAACGCTTAAAATTACTGCACAGCTTGCCAATATAAGGCTTCAGCTTTTTCAAGCGTTGTACTGATGCTACAGCATTCAGTATAGGGTCATTATATGCCTACTTTGAGAGGTCAATCAATACGCAAATAGATGGTCAGTCGCTGTTTTGGTTGCCATAAAAACTAGCTAAAAGTATAAAGGAGGCGCAGTGAAAAACCAACGTGTTGATGCTCTTTCTGTGCAATCTGTCAACTTGACCAACTGTTTCCATTATTAATTAAACTCTTCTTCATTTTGTTTGTTCTACAAAATGGTAACGCGTTTGAACACATATAATGCATCCTTCCAAAGTCGTTTTTTCAGTCCCTTTTGCCGAGTTTACAGTGGGAAAAATAGCCTCTTCCTTAATGACAACATAGAGAAAATTGTGTAGTGCTCAACTCTAGAGGAAAACTTTACGGCATGCGTTGGGAAATAGTAGCATACCAAAAAGAATTTTACACGCTCGATTGTAGAAAACTTTAGCCTTGAGGCTTTATGTTTACACACTTTGGCTGGGCCAGACCTAGTCGACAGTATAGATTCACAAGCACTGACGCTACAAACTCAAGTTAAGTCCCAAACTGTTGGCATCGTGGGTCTACTACAATGTGTAGTGCTACAGGTAAATTAGTACAAGCTTTACATGTGGTCTCCCTTACAAACCCTCCGAGAAATCCAAACATCATGATTAACTGAATACAATTTTAGGAAACTACCAAGAGTGGTATCATTCGATGCGCATATTGATTTTGTGCAAGCTTTCAGATGAGAGAAATAAGATACTTGGTCAAGTAATCGGGCAAACAATGGAACAGCAATTGATTCTTTTGAAGATCGGTCAAGCAGCTACAGAGGAAATGGAACTAATAACACTCTTGGATTACATTATATTTTGATTTTCTGGTCCAACCTTTTTCTTCCAATTCATTCAAGGAAACTATAGAATACAGTAGTTAACATGACAAGCTGAAAGTACAGCGAATCTACAAAACCGTAAATCAAGCTGCTGCAGTGCTTGATATTGTTGGCAATCATATATACAGATTCAGACAATACTCAACAGCACTCAACAACATGATAAAAGAATTGAGGCTATATATATTATTTATTGTTACTGGAAATATGCAAAAGATTGTATGTGAATTAGAGAGATAAAATGGCTTGAGATTCCTTTCCTTCTTCCTCCATAGCAGAAGAGGGATGCGATAAACCAGCTTCGTCAAAGTTGGATGCATCAATCAAATGGTAATCCTCTCTGAATAATGTAGTTTGAACAAACTGCTGTAACTGCTGTGGTGTCCAGCCATCCTCCACTGCCTTTTCGAGGCCGCCCCGCTTCTCAATCTCTTTCTGTAATAGTGCTTCCGTCTTCTTTACTGCTAAACGATAGGCAAAAATATCTTTGCGTTGCTGTGTGATGGATTCTAATTCATTATCTAACACTGCTTCCAATTCATCAAAGTAATTCATCTTGAGTTCCAATTTCTTCACTTCTGTGTCGACCACCGAATGCACAAGACGACGAATTTCACGTTCTTCAATACTGGATAAAGACTTGGCTTTGGCAGCAGCAGATCCCAATGCGACAGAAGCGGCCTTCTCAATAGCAGTGCGAGGCTTTTTTACATCTCTATCATCGACATCCATAGCATCTCCGTCCTGCTCGCTCTGACCTCTCTTCTTTGCCTGCTGTTGTTCCTGACATGCAATGGCAGCATCAGCAGCAGCAGAGGCCACTTTGGGATCGACAGCAGACGCCAAGAATGCCAAAATGGACATGACGGGATTATCGGCTTGAGAGAATGGTGTACGTTGATGTTCTAAAACGGCATGGTGCTCATCTTCGTCGCGGTAGGGCTCGTCAATTGGCATTTGTAAAAAGTGGAAAATACACTGCTCTCTGGTCTTGGTGCCGACGTATTCTGCAATGGTGTTCCAGTCATCGTCGTAGAGTTCAATGGCTTCCAAAAGCAATAGTGTTTCCTCGTCAGACCATGCTGCCTTATCCTCACTGCCGTGCTTGTAAGCATCTAATTCGTATCGAATAAAGTCGCTACTGAAACTTGTAATGGGGAAACGGCCGTCTTTGTAGCAAAGAGGACACAGATCCATGTTCTTTGTCTTGACGCTGTGATAACGCTCACGCGAACAGTCAGCGCCACAGGTGGTGCAGTGGTATTGTCTTGTATCTCTGCCGGAATTGGATTCAAACACTTTTTGCCGTAATTCAACGTTCATGGTAGACGGTTTGGGTGCATTGGCTGCTGTTGCGTTGGGCTTGATATTAGGCTTGAAAGGCGCAAGGCCTCGAGGTGTGTCTGCTGTTACTCTGAAATGACCTGTGAATGGTGGGCCCACAGAGGAGGGCCATGTTGAGGGATCGCACTGTATACAATACATGATCAATATACCTGATACACTTTGTTTCTAGTCAACAAACCTCATAATTGATCAGTCCCCATTGCTCCAAGAATGCGTGCACTCGCATGATGGCACACACATCACCAGCTAGATTGCGTCTGCAAGCAGTAACTGCTAGATACTCTTTGGGATTGAGGCGATATGTATTGATCATAAAATCGCGATAATCTTGGTAAATCAAGGCTGTCTTGGAGAGATTGTTGTTGGTAAAAAATTCTGGCAGAGACACGCGTTCAATGTTGTGTATAGACTCAATGTCAAACCAGGAAGCGTAAGATGGGACACTCACAGGCTGTGTCTGATCAACAAGGTATTTACGAGCCTCTACAAGTTCAACATTGGCACGCGAAGACAGTTGATCCTGTTGTTGCTGCTTCTTTTCAGGTTGTTCACTCATAACGACATCTTCAGCAGGTGTATTTTGACTTTCATTGTTTGCTGCTGTAGAAGGAGATGAGGAAGTTGTGTCCATAGGAGATGTCTTTGATGGTGATTTCTCCATGATATCGTGTAATTGTTAAAGTGATAAAATTTCTTTCTCTTTTGTTTCTGTTGACTGGCTGAGTGGAGGAGGATGTCCTGATTCTCCCTCAAGTGACGTAGAATTTCACATCCATCAACAGCTAAATTGGGAGCCAAATCTTTCCAGGTGCACCAAACACACAAGCGTTTTTCCAATAGGAATAGATTGATAAACATGAGGAATTTCGATAAATTAAAGCCGATCAAATCATGCTCTGAAAGGTCAAGCTGTGTTGTACTTGATTTAGAAGCCTCGTGGGATGATTTTTAGGAGAGGGAGGATCCCATGTATGCCATTATACACAGCCAAAAGTCGGGTCGGACTATCACTCCACATTTCTTTCGACAGGCTTTATGAATTAGGAAAACGAAAAGGAGCTGTCTTTTGGTCAATTTCAATAAGGTGAAAATGAGATATTTGTTACTATAAATACTTGCACGGAAAAAGGTAAAAATAGTCGTTGAGAAAGAACAATATATGTCTTTTTTGCAAGAAAAAAAAAAACCTCGTATGTTTGAGTATACAGTTGTCTATGTGTTGGCCATTTCTAGGGTACATGAAATCATTCTATTATACCAACATCTTGTGATATTCTGAGAGACAGAGAGCCAGAGAACCAATGTATACATGTTCTGGTAACACAAAAAGAATCAAGTCGAGATTTATTCTTGGCTTCTTTTTTAAGAAAGCAAGGGCTTCAATTTGGGGGAATCTAGACAGACCCGACGATCAAGATTTTCCATAAAAAACATATAAAAGGAAGCACTTTCTTGTCTCTTTTTCTCTCTCTCCATCAACATTACACACAACCATATATATATATATATATATATACAATGTTTCAGTTTTGGAATGAATGGAAGCGCAAGGATGAAGATGATGAATCTACAAGAAAATCAATCAAGAAAGAACAGCAACCAAATATAATCCGTAGCTACTCAATGGCTTCAGATAACTCCACAGTTACAAATTGGAGTATTGATTGGAATCAGAAAAGAGCTCTATCGTTTAAAGAAGACTATGTCTCGTTTCCGAGTCTGGAACCACCTACCTCAACAAATAATGAAGTGCCTTGCTCCAATTAGACAAGCAGCATACATCCAAACACATCTATATACCTTTTCTGCATTGTTCACTCTTTTGTATCTTGTATCATAAATCATCTCTACTCAATTCCTCTCCCTCCAATCTCTCTATCTATGTATTTGACAACAATTTCTTGCTCTATGAATATCCACCCTCTCTTCCTCTCCTCTATCAATCTCTATGTCCCACATGTATGTAACTTTCGACCTTTTTTTCTCATCAATAAAATCTGATATGTAAATTCTAAACTAAACAGAACGCACTGGCATTATTTTTGATGTGTTACAATGGGCAAATTTCTCGGCTGACTCAATGACTGACCTACATTTACACCATCCCTAAGCGGATGAAAGTGCGTTCACGACGACAACATTTAATCATTTTATCACTAATAAGGGAAATACTGTTCGGGGCACCTTGATTTTTTTCAGGGTTGTTACAGATGACGACAAATGTATCTCTATTTTGTGGAAATGATACATTACTCATTGATACATGAATCATTTCCTAGATTGTAGTAGAAAGTATCAATATTAAAAGTCATTCCTTGCCATCATCGAATGAAAAGTAGACAAATGATGGTAAAAAAAAAAAAAAAAGAGAGTCGTAGTAGTAACTTGTTTTTTCAATCTAATTTTTCCCATTTCTTTCAAATATCTACATTCCCATATGAAATATTTATCATGTCAGTGACAACATCAAACACAAAGCCCTTGGAGAAGAAATTCTCAGACATGAGCTTAAAAAATAACAAACAAGAGGACAATGACCAACCATTAAGACGCTCAACATACAATATCCTTGACGCTTACGATAATAATATACCCCAAGATTCATCAAACTTGATAGACAATTACTCAATTCATCCACTGCAAAAGCTTTCTGATGGCTATTCTATGGATTTCTCACCCACCACATCCACAACTGCTGCAGGACAAGGAGAGTTGAATACCATGATGGAAGACCTTAGTTTATCGCCTAATAGCAGCGACAGCAAAAGGCATAGATCAATGCCTTATTGCGTCTAATAATGACATTAATAACTATAGTTTAATTGCCTATGTACATTTTAATGAATTAATAATAATAAAAGAAAACACCATTAGGAAGAATGGTATCATCCAGCAACTGTACTTGTTCTAAAGTTGGTACAAGACAAAATATGTTTGAAACATTGCACACTCCAAACACCATTGCCACTTGCAAGGTTTAACAAGTTTTTGTATAACTCCTCTATTTAGATATCTCGTTGCAATACTTGTCAACTTTATCATTCAATTTATATTACCGTAAAGTATTTTGAGATTTATGTAGTACTACAACGGCATGTACCTCAATCTCTACGAAAATGTCATGACTACAGCAGGCATGTCCGTAACATTGGATTGAAATCAATGAAATAGCCCATCATTGCCCAGTTATAACTGAGTTTGAATTTACTGATTTGCACTGGACTCTTCTGAGCATCCATTTAACATCCCAAATTTGATTTTTGAAATATACAACGGTTTTTACTAAGCTTATCTAGCCTAAATTTTAAGGTTTTTGGTGCAGAATTTGTTGGAAATTTTGATGATTTTGGTTGGAAGTAAATTTATCGAACATAGAGCGAGTAAATTCCAAAAAACCTTAAAATTGATCTTAATCAAAAAGTCAAATTTGGGCATATTAAATTCAGAATTTCAAACTTTCATGATCTGCAGCAGTTCCAGAGAATTAATTTGAGCTTAGAAACACTTTAATGAAAAATGTCGTTTTTCAGGCGAAAAATTGAAATTTGTCAAATTGAGATTTTTTTCTTTGCTACTACAAGGCCAAAATCGATGAAAATTCGACATTTTCTTTTGACCAAAAATTTTACTAAAAAGTATTTAATATACTAATTTCGGACCAAACAACACGATTCCACGTATTCTTAGGTCGAGGAGACGCTTCGTTCAGGAGATATAATCGATTAAAATTTATGTTTTTGACTATTTGAGCATCTTTGGAGCCATACAAGTAGAAATTGTGATTAATAACAATTGGTTTTCAACCTTTTGTAGGCATGCCATAAATGAAAGAAGATGAAATGCACTGCAAATGCTGGTTCAGGGTACACACGTTGCTGGCAAGACCATATTCATCATATTTTACGGTCATTGACTTGAGGCTGGATTAAGCTTGCAAGCGCAGTACACGACAATTCTATGGAATTCAAGTGAAGATACATAGAAGCTTCTGATTTATAAAAAGTGAGTAACAAGATGTTGATCCGTCACTCATAGGCATCAATGGTTGATTCGATATGTGTGAATAAAGTCTTGGTCTATCCCAAATGCTGCAGATTTCGTTCTGCAAAGCATTTAGACGATTGATATTTTATATAAACCGACTTTACTTTCTACGATGTATGATTTTTTCTGTAACGAATGCGTTTCTGTTGATATCCTCAAGTGCATTCTGTCCTGATACGAAAACCAAAAAAAAAAAAAAAAAAAAAAAAAAAAAAAAAAAAAAACCTTGATCTGATATCATAAAAGGTACCAAATCAAGTCTTGTGAAGCCTCCAGCCTTGATGGAGTTTCAAAGCCATCCATATTCGATTGCAATGAAAAAAAAAAAAAAACTTTTTGATCCTTTTTCTTGAAATCACATTTGACGTTTTTCCATAAAAGCTAATTTCAAAATGGGATTTGGTAGAAAGAAGCGTGGAAACAACAAGAACAAGGTAAATCATTTCATTTTATTAGTAACATGAATATGGACTGACCATGTGCGTAGAACACTGAGACATCTGGTGGTGCAGAGGATAACAGTAAAAAGACTCAAAAATTCTTTGATGAACGCAAGCCTTTTGCCATCATTGAAAGAGACAATGAAGACTTTAAAAACTACTACAAGGTAACAATAAACGTCCACTGGATTTGTATTACATGAGTAAACTAAAGCAATTCGAAAAAATACAGCAACAAAACCTCCTGTCTGAAGAAGAGTTTGATCAATTTTACAACCATCTCAAGACCATTTTGCCTAGTACTTTCCGTATCACTGGTAGCAGAGCGTAAGTGTGGAGGGATTCAGATACGCACAAGGGAAACCAACAACTCATCTGTATGAATAGTGCTGCTATGGAGATCTTGGATGTAGTTGAAAAGACCTATGTTCCCAATATGCAAGATGTTGTCATTGACGGTGTCAAAATCGAACCTCCCAAGCCATTGCCTTGGTATCCTGACAACCTTGGCTGGCAAGTCAATGCTCCTCGTCTTGTGATCAAGAAATCGCCCGAATTTCAAAAGTTCCACAGATTCATGGTAACAGAAACCGAAGCTGTAAGTTATAATGTTGTTTTTGTTTGCGTGGCATGATGCGATATTGATAGTGATGGATTTAGGGTAACATCAGCAGACAAGAGGCTGTGAGTATGGTACCTCCTCTTCTCATGGACATCAAGCCTCATCAATGGGTTCTTGACATGTGTGCTGCTCCTGGCTCCAAGACAGCTCAAATCATTGAAGCAGTTCACTCGAATGATAAATTGAATGAAATGCCAAGTAAGTCATTTATCTTTTGTTTCATGGCATGCCACTAACATGTGAAATTGGCGTAGCTGGCCTTGTTGTAGCAAATGATGCTGACTACAAGCGTAGTCATATGTTGGTTCATCAATCCAAGCGATTGCAATCACCTTGTTTCATGGCTACAAATCACGATGGTGCTCATTTCCCCAACATTCATGTACCTCGTGAAGACGGTTCTCGTAACCCTGTTGGGTGGCAGTTTGATAGAGTGTTGTGTGATGTCCCCTGTAGTGGTGATGGTACTATTCGTAAGAATGAAAAGATCTGGAATAGTTGGAGCCCTGTCGCTGGTCTCACGCTTCACAGTACTCAAGTTCAAATCTTTGCCAGAGGCTGTCAACTCGTCAAGCTCGGCGGCCGCATTGTGTACTCTACCTGCTCCTTCAACCCTATTGAAAACGAAGCTGTTGTTGCTGAAGTGCTCCGTCAAACCAAGGGCGCTATTCGTCTTGTCGATGTGTCTGCATCCTTGCCTGAATTGAAGCGCAAGCCTGGTTTGAGCACATGGAAGGTAACAACCAAAGAAGGCGAATTCATTGAGTCTATCGAGGATATCAAGGACATGAGACAGCGCAAGAAGCATGCTGCTAGTACATTCCCTCCGACCGCTGAGGAAGCCAAGGAAATGAACTTGGATAGATGTCTTCGTATCTACCCTCATCAACAAGATACTGGTGGTTTCTTTGTTGCTGTATTTGAAAAGATCAAGCCATTGACAGCTGCTGACCGTATCACACTTGCTAAACAAAAGGGCAATCAGGTTCCCGAAGCCGATGTGGTGGAAGCCGAGAAGGAAATGGACGTTGTTCAGGAGGAGATCATCCCTACCAAGCGTGCCAGTGTGGATGATGCGGTTGCAGAGGAAGATGCTGCTACAGCTAAAAAGGTCAAGACAGACGCTACTGCCACGACTGAGGCTGCTGATAAGGAGGAAGAGGAGGCCAAGCCCTATGAAAGCAAACCTAAAAGAGACGTTCCCGGTATCAAGGAAGCACCCTTTGAGATGATGGCAGCTGATTCAGCTGATCTCAAGGAGATTACAGAGTTCTATGGTCTTGACCCTAATTTTCCTCGTGATCAATTCCTCTTGCGTTCGGATGGCAATGCCAAGGGTCGTAGTCTTTACTTTGTGTCCAGCTCTATCAAGCGTGTCTTGGAATCCAAGGACTTTTCTCGTCTTCAAACTGTCAATACTGGTGTCCGTTTGTTTGTTCGTCAATCATCACCTGTCGAAAATGGCTCTCCTTTCCGTCTGACATCTGAGGGCATGCCTATTTTGGATGCTGTCATGAGTGACAAACGTCGCATCATTGTCGATATGAATGTGCTCAAGACTTTGTTGGTGGGAGCTTTCCCTACTTTGGAAGAGTTCCCTGAGCAATTGCGGGAAAAGGTCCGTGCCATGGAGTCTGGTTGTTGTATTGCTCGTGTCGATGTCTCTCAAAAGGACATTGTCAACGAACAAGACAAGGTCAAGTTTACTGCTCCTCTTGTGTTGCCTGTCTGGAAGGGTAAAAACTCACTCAATGTGTTGCTCAACAAGAAGGACAAGAGAGCTTTGTGTCAGCGTATCTTTGGCATCATACCCGAATCAACACCTGACCATTTGTTGCAAAGATCTACTGAGAACCAAGAGCTGAAAAAGGAACAAGATGCTGCTGCTGCTGCTTCTGCCGCTGCTTCTGCTTCTGCTACCCCAGATGCTGATGTTGTTATTACGGAAGAAACCCAATAAGAACAACTAATAACTATTGCATTCATATATGTATATATTTCTGTACAATAAAGAACCATTTGCTGCTGCTTTATCATGATATTGTGCGCTAATATCAGGGTTGCGATTAGGAGACCTCATCCCTACATCAATGTTTATCCACCAAGTGTTGTGAATTGGTCATTACTGAACATTTAAAATGGACCCTCCCCCCTTTATTTTAGTTTTCAAAACGTAATGTTGTCAGTTTTTAATATTACGAAAAAAAAATGAAGCCTATTTCTAGAGTGTGTGTTTTTTTTCTTCCTCTGAATGCAACAGAGTCGTCTTGTATAATAGCACCTCCCACTATTGCCTGCTATTCAGCGACTCCTGCATCGAATCTGCGTGGAGGAGAGCCCACCAACGTTGCTGCCAATCCACCATCTGACGATGATATTTGACGCTGGAAAAATAATGAGGGCCGTATTAATGGTGATGATGAAGAATGCACAGGATTCTTGAGATTTGTTTAGACATGATTGTAATACTTTTTTAATGCTTTTTTATGCTATACCTCTAAAGTATCTTCGTCTAATATCGTCTTTTCGCGGTTATGGTTGCATGGCACTTCCTCTGGATCATCCTCCTCTTCTTCAGATGTTGTGTTTGTCGTTGTTGCTGTCGGCAGGTTGGACAGACCAAGCATCTGCAGCACTTCGTACTCCTCCACGGCAACGCTGGCTTCTAGATTCGAGTAGGTTCTACACATTGGACAGGAGAATCCGGGGTAGTTTTGCGTCAGTAACGGACGCAGACATCGATAGTGGTATATGTGCGAACAAGGTGCTATAAAGAGTGCCTGAAATGGCGCAATACAGTACAAACAAATACAGCATTCTTGGATCTCTTCTGCCGATGTAGAGGCTGCTGCTGTGTTGATTTGGGTTTTCAACTGTTGAAATGCGGCTAGATTGTAGGTATTTGAAGCTGGCTCTTGCCACTCACGACGGTCCACTTCCAAACGCATCCTAACAGCCCGGTACATGGGTTCCAGGCCACCTTTGTAGTCTACGCCTAGCTGGATCAGATCGCCATCTACCACTTGATGCGGTGTGGCACTTTCTGTGTTTGCTGCAGCCAGTCGTATATGGTTCACAAATGTGCCACTGGAAGAGCCAGAATCCCTAATGTAAATCTTAAAAAGAAATGTTGGCAAATGTCATGTTGCAGATAGTCTAAATCATCATCGTCATAGACATTTATACCTTGTTATCTTGATCAGATAACCATATCTCTGCATGATATCTGCTCACTACTTTGCTTTTAAATGAAAGTCGGTCCGAGACAACAGTTCGGTCAGAATAACGGCCTAATTTGAGAACGGATCCTCCACTCTCGAGTTCACGATCTACCACATCAAATACAAAGCAACGATTGGTCATACCAACATTTGGTACAAGCTTAATGTGAACTTTCTTGCGCTCTATGGCAGTGGTTGATGGCGGTGTGGGTACAGGTGCAATGGGTGCAGTAATAGGCGGGGTAATGGAGAGTGCGGATGAGGTGGTTGTGGGCCGTCTTAGGCTGTTGAATCGTCTGCCAAGTTCAGATGTTGTATGGTGAGAAGATGAAAAGGATGATGATGAAGAAGGCAAATGTAAGCTTCGAAGTCGTCTTGCTGTTCGAGGCAGCGATGTAACTGTAGTGGTTGTATTAGTGGCAGTAGCAGTTGTGGGTGATGACTCTGTTGTATGCTCCATGCTTAGAATACCATAAAGTAGCATCTACAGCGGATAGATAAGTAGAAAGAGAGAGAGAGAAAGGGAGGAAAAAAAAAGAGAGAGAGAGAGAGAGAGAGAGAGAGAGAGAGAGAGAGAGCAATCCAAGGCATATTTTATAGAGACATGCCATGTACAGGGAAACAGCCAGCCTTCCTGTTGTCATGTAGGATGCGTGTGAGGAGAGGAGTGATTCCCTCCTTTTTTTTTATTATTTCATAATATGAATTCTTACTAGTCCTGATTACAAACTATGCTTGTTTCTATTCCATGCCTAAAATCCGTACTTTTTGGCTGCTTCTCGACGGGTCTTTTTGTTGGCTGCAAACATCTCGTCCATCTTTTCCTGGTTGTTCACTGCCTGAGCAGCCAATGCCATGATATTGTTCTTTTTCATCTGCAGTTTACTTGCTTGCATCTGTTCATCTCTCGGTTAGTTACTCATTGAATCCGACACAAGACACAGCCGCTACTTACTGTAACTCCATTGTTGAATTTGGGTGCGGCTGTGAGTGCTTGAGCCCGTCTCCATTCTTCGGATGGCAGCATATCATTTTGATTGACTTCCTTTATTTGAATGTTGCCTTCTCCTCGAGCTCGCTTACCAACCAATCGTTCCAACTGATTTATCCCTCGTGTGTTAGTAGTCTACATTGCATTACCAGCTTATTGAGAATGGGCTTACCTGGGGATCGTCTTGCAAGCCTTCGACGCTGGTCGCTTGCTCGTACTGATAATAGACAGATGGATCTGCTGAGTACATGGCATTGGGGTCATAAGCATACATGTCCACCGCCGCTAATTCAGGCTGTTGCTCTACTGGTGGTCTCTCTACAGAATACATTGGCCCAGGTGTAGCCAACACTGGCTTGACCTTTGGCTGAATGTTGATCTCTTTATCCTTTAAATCTTTGCCAATGTGAAAAAAGGATCCAGTAAACTTTTTGCTCTCTTGCTTTGCGTCGTCATCATCCTCTTCATCATCCTCTTCATCATCCTCCTCATTATCCTCCTCATTATCCTCTTCACCATCCTTATTGGCATGTAATGTATCAGCTTGTGGCTCTTCATTCACACTTGGTTCTGATGTTTCAGATGTCTTTTGTTGAATAGTCGCCTTTTGCTTACCCTTCATCTTCTTGGACAATGCATGAGGAATGAAGGCTTTATCTGTAGTTGTTTTCGACACAGGAATGGGTTTATAGTTCTTGGGTGCAGGCAGTAGATCGGCGAGCCCGAGTCCAACTGTCGTCTTGGGTCGCTTTCTCTCTCTATCCAGATCATCCTCCTCATCGTCTTGTAATTTAGGCAGTGCAATAGAAACCGTTTTCTTGGGTGGTGGTAATAACGAAGCTAATGGCCGCTTTGTTTGTTGAGGGGTTGATTCATGATCTGAATCTTCTGACTCGGAGCTACTGCCATAATTTGGTACCAGAGACATGATATGAATTGAACTAAAAGCTTGTCAGTTTTAAGGATGATGCAGTTCTTGCCGCCTTTGCCAGGAGCTCCCTCATCTCCCAAATGCATATTAAAGGAGAGAGACTTCCTTCCGCTCGCTTTGGTGACGATTTTCAGTCACAATCCATCAGAAAAAAGCAAGAAAAAAAAAAGGTTTTCATCTCGACATGTCCATCGCTAGACCTTGTTCTCGAGTTATATCACATCTTTAGCTGTCTATTTCTCTCCAGAATCATACATTTTGACCCAATTTTGTATATTCAGACCTCAATGCCTTCCACTCGATCTCAAAAGGCAACACCTGTCAAGGATGTTGAGCACGCAAACAGCCACAAGAAGCACGAATCACCAAGCAAGATTGTCCATGCCAAAAATGCCGGTGGCAACATCTCAGAGTACCCTGTCGAATTCACCAAAGACTCCAAGTAAGTGAGCCGTATGCTGATTTGCCAACATGCCTTAATACTCTTCCAGGTACTTCTTTTCATCTGTCGGATCCTGTGTAAAAATTTTCAGCATGGCAACAGGCGCCGTTGTCAAGGTATTATCACAATCACCGGCCACTGGGGGACACAGCAACAAGATCACTCGTGTTGTCTTGAACCCAAAAAACCACCTTCAGCTCTACACGGCTAGTTTGGACGGCACCATCAAATTATGGGACTACAATGATGACATTCTACTTAAAACATACAACGTAAATGCACCTGTCCAATCGATGGTCATGTCTCCAGAAACACCCGGATATGCTTACATAGTAGTGAAATCAGACGAAGATCAAAAAGACAAATCAGCAGACAACACGATTGTGTATCGCTTTGCTTTCGGCAGCTCGGATGAACCTGCTCAATTGCGTCGTATTTGCTCATTGAAGGATTGCACAACCATTGATATCACCAAGGACGGAAAATGGCTTGCATTTGGCGCTCGTTACAAGGCCTATGTGTGGCCCATCAACAAATCAACAGAGGACGTACCCGAGACACAGCTCAGACCACATGTGTTTGTCGAGCAAATCACAGTGCTGAAATTCCACCCTCACAAACCCATCTTGGCTGTAGGCGACAAGTCTGGTAAGATTACATGCATTGCCAACTACAACTCGGAGGAGCCCAAGGATCACATCAGATCCATTCACCATTGGCACCATCTCCCTGTCGGTTGCATTACATTCATGGCTGACGGTTCATACATGTTGTCGGGTGGTGAGGAGTCTGTCATGGTGATTTGGCAATTGGATACTGGCCACAAGCAATTCTTGCCCAGAATGGGTGGCAGCATTGCTTCCATCACTATTTCTCCCAACCACAGATTCTACTGTCTTGGTCTAGATGACAATTCTATCCGCTTAGTCAACAGTGTCACGCAAAGCATCGAGCAGGTAATTCAGGGTCTTCAATATGGTAAGTGTGTGTCACGGAACGTATGGGATGGCAAGAATCAGGATCTAACAAGGCAACCGCTAGCTCAAGCAGACAATGCATTGAACCCTCTTTCCACCGGACTCATCATTGAGCCTCGCAATCACCACGTCGTTTTGAATGGTGTTCAGGGCAGTCTCCAGTTCTACGATGCCGTCGCTGATAGTCATGTCATGGATTTGGAAGTGGTGCCTATGAACCGAGTTGTGCGTGCAGGTGAAAAGGAGATCATTCATGCCCATGTCGCTCATGTTGCCTTTTTGCATAACGGTGAATGGATGGCTACTGTGGATATGCGTGACGATAAGGTCACAACACCCGAACTCTTCCTCAAGTTCTGGCGTTGGGATCCTGATACCCAAGGCTACAAGCTTCATACACGTGTCGATTACCCTCACACCAAACCCATCACATCGCTTACCTTCAATCCTGTTTCGCGTCAAGGACCTATGGCTATTACTACGTCTGAAGACAAGACGTTCAAGGTGTGGAATTTGAGCACGGATCTCGGTCGTAGCTATCAGAATGGCGAAGCTGCTTGGATCTGTCGATCTGTGGGTGTGTATCGTGACAGTGTACCTCGCACTGCCTCCTTCTCTGAGGATGGCAGTATACTGGCTGTGGCATTTGGCCAAGCTACCACCATCTGGGACCCTTACTCAAACTCTATCCAAGCTGTCCTTGCACAGCCCAACCCTGAGAATGTGGAGAAATTGAACTTCCTGGGCGACAATTGTCCCTTCTTGATTGCTAAATCCAAATCTCATCTGTATGTGTGGAACATCTTGACTTGCAAGGTCTGGTGGAGCTACAAGATCTCGGTGGATCATCTTGCTGTCGATACCGTGTCCAACCAATTCGCCATTGTTCGCAACCATGCTCGCACAAATGAGTCTCGCATCACTGTGTTTGATCCCAAGTCGCCTGTACCCATCGCACTGCAGCACCTCAACTACACATGTCTCTCTATCGCATGGCTTCCCAAAGAACAGCAAGATGAGCACACAGCGTCATTACCCAGCACGTTACTCTGTCTCAGCAACAAGTATGAAATGGCCATCCATACAGTCAAATCCAGATCAGCACTACTCAACAGCAAATCTGCCGCCTCTAAGAAGGACGCTACCGTTTCCTCCGTCTCTCTCCACGACAACGACTCTACAGAAACAAGCCTATTGAATGACATGTACGGTAAACGTGAGAATGAAAAGGAAACAGACGAGCAGGCCCAAATTCGTCTCAAGACGGCACAGACGATGCGTGAGGAAGCCATGTCAGCAAACAGAAAAGACAGAGCTATTAGACGCAGAGAGGATGGCGATGCATCAGGACTGTCAGCACCCAGCCATGTTCTTCCTGGCGTGGAGACACTGTTTGACACATTCATGTCTTCCATCATGACCCTGCGTCTCCATGACGACGCATCATCAGCATCAGCAGCAGCTACTGACGCTATGGACATAGATGAAGAAGAGCAAGACACAATGGACTTGGAATCACTGCAAGACGATCATTTATTATTACAAGACAACATTACAAAATCTGCAAAGGATGATCTCCCATCATTAATTAGCTATTTTACACAAAACTTAGGTAAGCCTTTTTGCACAGCATCCTCATTCTGATCTCCCTTGATCTAACGCATATTCTTGTAGATCAAAATTCCGCGTCAACTCAAGCTGCCAACAAAACACAAGACTCTTCTTCTTCAGATGATGACTCGGATGATGATGAAGACCCTTCCAAGATTGATTGGTAGACAGCAAAATGAACATAGACTCACTTATACAAATACAACCGCACTCCAAATACACTCTCAAATACTCACACTCACACCCACATTACAACCCACATTTAAATAATAAATCTGTAATAAAGAAACATTTGTAAAATTGAACCCTACACATGGTCAGCGTATGAGGAGCAAGGCTTAGGTATGGATGAAGGATGCTCTGGTTATTATTATATTATAAAAGTGTGGATATGTAGACTCGATTACTGCTGACGACTACCCTTCCAGCATTGCAGTGGTCGAATAAAACCTCCTACAGATCCAAAATTTGGTAACGGTGGTCTCACTCCACTTTGTTGTTGTGGTGACGGTTGCGAAAAGAACTGCGGTTCAGGAAATCGAGGTTGCTGTGATGGATGAGGTGGTGGTGGTGGCATGTTGCTGTCTGTGATGGGCTTCTTCAGATCTGCCAGATACTCTAATGGACTCTTTGCATGGAGTTTAGTGCCTACTTTACCAAACACTAGCTTGGGAACAGCCACGAGATACCCTTTGGTACCTTTGATGCCTACTTCTTTTTCCGCTTGGATGTAAAAGTGCAGTTTGCCAGTGTCCTCATCAAGGTATCCAGCACAGTAGTTGCGCATGCCCATGAGTTTTTTGTTTGTTCTCTACATAAGTAACGAATACAGAGTCAATCATCTAATACTACCATAGCACAGAGACACAAGGGCTTACAGAATTGCCATTTGGAGAGTATTTGAATAGATTGTACATTCTCTCTTCGATATTTCCGTCAAATGTCTCATAAGACGAGTTTTGGTTTAGTACGGTGAGCAGTGCTTGAGGCGGAGGGACATTCACAATGGCACTCGAGACGATTTGCACCATCAGACAGGGGTCTCCTTCCTCCTTTGTTGTCATGTCTTTGGAGAACAGCCTTCCAGCCGCACAACAGTGTACATCACCCCCCAAAAACGACACCCTGATCGACTTTTCTTTGGCGAAAACCTGAAGACGCTTTATAAACTCTTTTCTTTCGTCTAAATGGTTGCCTGCAGTCCAATCTATACGTGCTGATGGTGAGGTCAGTGCGCTTTAAAGTGGACTAGACTACTCACGGTCATTCATATCATCCAGTAGCTCGGGATCACCGTTCCATTCATTCAACTGTCCACTAATGATGTTCCCTAGTACGCCCGTCTTTCCTGCCAGTGTGGCCAGATTGAAGCTTGCAGCGCTCTCCATTGCCTTTTCGAATAAGGTCAAGCGAGGATAGATCAATGGCACACCTGTCAGCACCATGAAATGCTTAACGGTGGGTGGCATACGTGATTGCATCTCTTTGAAGAGTGCATCATATGATGTTTGCGTACACACCCGTAGCTTTGTGCGCTCTCCACGTGCATCTAAGGACAGGAACCCAATAGAGGGACCCAGCGTTGTAAGGATATGCTGACACGTAGGCAGATCACCACGAATCATGCCGTCTCTCTCTGCGCGCTCTACTGTTGTATGTTGCTGGAATGTATAGTAAAACCGAGACGCATTTGCAAATAGCACTGAGCATGTCATTAGAGCAACAGTGGTTCTTGTTGAAATCAGGCTTACCTTGGAAACAATCAGCAGATTGCATGTCAGCAGGATAGGAGCCATAACCATCAATGATGTCCTGTTTCGGTTGCAGTCAGTGCCACTGCTCTATTCTTGTTTATCAGTCATTTACATGATCATCCCACATGTTGATGGATGGAATCTGCGCATATGCTTGTGCCTGAATAGGGCTTTTCTCAAACCTAATACAACGGCATGTAAGTTTAATGCACAACAAACAGTGTCTGTGCGTCGCTCGTCTCACCCAAAGTTTTCAACATAGTTCCAAAAGTAAAAATGCTCAAATCCATTGCGCATCGCTTGTGGAAGCTTCATTGCGAGTCTCTTGGACGGCATTTTTTCTGCTACCCACGGTTTCATGAAACCCTCGTGAATCAGCCTGTCTTGGTATAGCTGATCACCGCCTCCCAGCATGACGTGGAATGGCATCACTTGATGCCTATCAAGCACATCCTGCCACAATGGCGCTTCTTTCTCTGCAAATTTGTCTTTGACGGCTTGAGGAATATCTGAGAAGCCGCTGCAGGAATAAAACATAAATCGCATCGAGTCTTGGATCGCTGGTAAGTGGAACTGAAATTGCTTGGTTGTGAATGAGTCGCTTGTGTAGGACACAGTCTGCGGTTCCTCTAGTAGAGGCAATAGGAGTTCGTAGCGCCAAAAGTAGTATTCTTGTCGAAAGATGTCGATGGTTTCGACTCTGGCTGGATGCACAATCTCACCTCGATTGGTCTTGCTTGACGTTAATAAAAGTGTGAGTGAAGGCGGGCGAAACGAATTGATGACAATAAGACAGGAACCACGCCAAATGCGCTTTCGGTAATCAATATCAATGTAACGCAATAAAGGGCCACACACAATTTGGATTGGCTTGTCTCGGATGGACAAATTCTCCATTGCAGTGATTTGCGGTGCTAGCATGGATTGCATAGAGAGTGTTGTTGAGACAAAAGGAAGAGAGCGCAATGGGGTATTATGATGCTCCTTTTTGTTTAGTCATTTGGCATCATATTGACATCCAAAACCTGTGGATAAGTCACAAGCATCCCATTCAGTCGACATCTCGAGCAGTAAATGATCAGACGAAAGCATTCCTTTGGTTTTTATACAACAAAAAGTCAAGTCGATTTTTTTTATTTTAATAAACTAGTAGAATGGAGATGAACCAATTTATTGAGAAGCTTCGAAAGCAGCCTTGGCATCCTTGATCTTGTTGAGACGTTGCTTCTTGTTGAGGGCAACGAGTCTGCGGTAAGGCTTGGCGGGCTTACCCTTCTTCTCAGTGGGTTGAGCAGCAGGGTTCTCACGGATAGCTTCATGAGCTTCGGTGTACATATCCTCGACCTTATCAGAGGTGATACCAGCCTTGATGAAGGTAGAGAATTGCTTCTTGTAACGTTCCTCATCTTCTTCTTCGAGGTATTCCATGTACTCGGCGACGTGAACACCATAGATGTAGTTACGGAGGAGTTCGTCATCGTTGGTCTTGGTCTCGATATCGAAACCAGGGAAACGGTTACCGTTGTGGGGAACAAAGATACCACCATCGGAAGCACCCTTCATGGCACCAAAGACACGGGCACCAGTGGAGGTACGAGCGAGACCGACATCGAGGAAAGCCTTGAAAGGACGGGGAGCATCCTCAGCAGCTTCGATCAATTGAACAGTGCCATCGGGCTCAGCGAAACCTTCGTACTTGTCAGCAAGACCGAGCTTGGCGAGGGTACGACGAGCAAGGAGGAGACCAGTAGCATAAGCAGAGGCCCAGTTGGTCAAACCACCCTTAACACCATAACGGGGAAGTTCATGAGCATAGGCAGCAGAGAGGACGAAATCACCTTGGAGCTTGGCGTAGATGATTTGACAGATGATGTCCTTGTTGGTGAAACGAACAACCAATCTGTACTTGGGAGAGTTGTACTTGTTCTTGGCTTGAACGACGAGTCTCTTACGAGCATAGTAGTCGGTCTTACCCTCTATTCAAACAACCACCGGATGTTAGTCTCGAGTTTGAAATGTGATAGACAGACATCAATCACAATCAAGAAAAAAAGGGCCTTTCTCTCCTTGTGATGATTCCTCAATGCATGAAAATCGACAACTGTACCTCTTCTTCTACGATACTTGACTTGATAACGCTTGAAATAAGCCTTGTTCTTTTGTTGCTTGACGAAAGGCTACATTCGATCTGGATGAGTACATGTTGTATATTTCGCCATTTCAAAAGCACATCTCTACATCTCTGGCAATGCATCTCCTCAAAGCAAAAATCCATCCATAGCTGATATCCATCCATCATCCATCCAAACAACCAAGACATGCATGCGCAGAGACAAGAAATTGCTTTTGCTTACTTTTTTCTACATACCATTGTTCGACGTTGCTATGTAAAGGAAGGATTCATCAATTTCAAAGTTTGGACGTTGATAAAGCAAAGGTTTGGAGCTTCTCCCCGATCAGAGGGAGTTTCAATTTTGCATGTGCTTGATTGCATTTATCAGGTAAATGAAGGCAACAATTCAATAGAGAGAGCATCTCGATTTATGAGAGCTAGACATAAATACATTGGAAGCGTATCTGATCAGGTGTTGGGATTTCAGCTTGCTCAGATCAGCCAAGGATTTTGAAAACCAATTTTCTAACCTTGTAGACATTTAAAATCTGTGTCCGCAATTGCAGTATGCTTCAACTAGCCGATCTATCTCGCTACGTTCGATGTCGGCGTCGCCCTACGGGCTGTCACCGAAGACATTTTAAATCGAATATTATAACATTCTGGTATATCAAGTAGATTTTAAACAACCAATTATTAGCTAGTAAAAGAAAGGTTATATCAGAGTCAGGAGGAGGAGAGGAGGTATCTCCCTCAGCATCCTTTTTGCTTACACTGATATCAAACGAAGCCTATTATTGAAACAATGTGAAAGAATATTCAAATTTTATGCAGCATTTGTACATCACAATCGCCATTTTCTGGTAATAGAACTGTCATATCATTCGCTGCTGCTGCTGCTGATGCTCTTAATTAGATGGCGACATAAAGCTGGCCATGCGTGAATACAGAACTTGTGTAAGTTATACAGCGATTTTATTGAGATTTTGTCATTGGAAAGACACCTCAATAAGGCAAAGCTCCCCAAAGAAAAGTATTTGCGTTAAGCAATTGTTCTTTCAAGTCCATGATCCCCATTTAATCAGCATCGCAGTTATCATTGCTATCAACAGAAAGGCATTTAGGTCAGCCAGCAGCAATGCCAACGCCAAAATTTATTCAAACTCAGGTTATTCTTTCTGTTCAAGATTGGACAGATTTCGTCTTTTTTCGACTTCTTTCTTCTACTTTGTGATATTCGACTATATAAACTGTAATGATCACCCTACGCTTCTTAATACATTCTTGAAGTACTTTTCAAGGCGCTTCCAACGGTTTTAACTGTAATAAATGTTTTGACTGAAGTTATTGAGCAATTTCTTTTAATATAAAATAACAATTTGCGCCAAAATGGTGAGATTCTACATATGAAAACCTCATAAAAGTGGTTTCAGAGGTTGCATTGGATCGATAGAAACATTTTGATTCAAGATATACCATAGTAGAAGTCTCCATTTTCAAGGCGAAAAACGCGATCGTTTGATTTTCGATGAAAACCATGAGGGGTACCTCATGCTTTTTGGTTGATTTTTGGCCGTTTTTTTTTGGCCCAAAAAGTTGAGCAAAGGTGTCAGGAAGTTGCTGTTACTCGAGTACAATTGTTTGGTGTCATTCCGGGGGCTCAGAAAAGTCTACATATCAAGACATGAAGGCTTGAAAGCTGTCAAATTTGGTTATGTTTCGCTTTATGGCTTTTATTTACACGGTATGAATCACATCTTTGGTAGCTGAAATCTTCTGGAAAGGCAGTTATGTAGCATGTGTAACTTCTAATCCAAATAGGAGGCATATTGGTTTTGGTAAAGCTGATTCATACAAATTTTGATGCGTTTTGTTACTGGTAAGCTTGATAATAATGTAAATAAGAAACCGAATTTGCTGCTTGAATACTATGATTTTGCACCTTTGTTTTGCTGCGATCAAGCCCTCATATAGATCAATGCTATCAAGTGTTGAATTAGACGCGTTATGTTCTCTCCCCCCCCCCCTCTCTCTCCAAACCCTCTCCCCATTGCCGGCTTTGCCGGTGGTTTTATTCACCTTGTACGACACATAATTCTTTAAAATTTTGAAAGGATATGATTGGCTTGTCTACTTTTTTTTTGAATGGTTTACAGTATACATAGTGAAAGAAGATGGTGTATAGGTATATCAGATGCATTCGTATTCGCTGTATGGATGTCCATGTTAGAAATGACCGAGTGTCTATGGATTCAATTCCTGATTTAGAAATTAGATACATTGTCCTGATCTGCTGCCTTTTATGATCCCGCTAATTTGGTACTGCCATCCATGCGGAGGATTCAATCAGATAGCTTGTTCTCTTTTCACCTCCACACACGTCATGTCAACGCCAGAGCCTTCACAAACTATGCCAGATGAAAGAATACCTCGGTGGCAATTTCGGAAAAAGAAGAAACTGGAGGCGAGACGTAAAAAACGACAAGAACACGTTGAAAAGCACAAACATACAAATATACCTATAGCAAAGGAAGCTGCAGAATTTTCATCATCAATCGCTATCGCCGAAAAGCAGAAATACGAGCAAGACAAACGCAATTGGGAGGAGAGAGAAGGTCAATTCAAGTTGGTGGAACTCGCAAAAAAGAAGGCTCGAGAAAGGGAGGAAAGAGCAAAGGCACTGGCACAGGTAATCTAGCATCATCAATCATGTAGAGCATAGTCTAATATTGCGTAAAAGAAACGATGGCAGGATACGCTCATGACGCTGCCAATGCTTCCACACTCCTTCTCAATTGGTGCTAGTGGTAATTCGGAAAAGGTAAGTTATGATACAGACCAATGCCAAGCGATATGGTGTACCAACACATCAAACAAGACCACCACAACGAAGCCAGGACCTTTTAAACAATTTGTGCCATCCAAAGATGTCAGTAGTGTAGCATTGAAAAAGACGTATCGAGACCGATTCTTGGAGAGAAAACTAAGCAAGCAATAGCTCTATCCTTTTTATGTCGTGAAATCATAGCACATCTATATACCTATATTATACCTAAAGTACGTTTTTCCATGTTTTCTGTAGGTTGCAGAGTAATGTCTTTCGATGAACAATGACATAGGCAAAAGCTCAAATGCAACAGTGAAATCATGTAACTACATAGCACCAATTAAACGCTATCAGTCTATTACGCATTGCGCTCTTCTCCATTTCATTCTCAATACACAGTGTCGTATTGCATATTAGGGCCTTGACAGTGCTCAGCATCCTCTTAGCATTCGAACGCGGTTCTGTTGATCATTATGAATGGCAGCATCATCATCAAATTAACCTTTAGGAAAGACGCACAGTACAGGATAGCACTGCATATTTTGTGCTCATTGAAAAAAAAAGGTGTATTTTGAACATTTCTTGTGTAGATGTAAAGTTTTCCATCTTGATATAGATAGAATCTCGATTGGCGAATGATCGGTTAAACTATTCATGGCGCGCTTTGCTTGTTTTGTATCTCGTGTTTGAGTGATCTCGGGCCCTATTGAACGAACCAAGGTGCATTGCAAACAGAAGCTCTCTCTCTCTAAAGGTAGGGCCGATATCATTTGATTAGATAAGCAGCGTCCTGTTACCAAACTTCAAAGAAAATGCGCAATTTTAAGATTTTAATAACAAGTGATCGAAATATTTACCAACTTGGTCATGGACAATACATGGCGAATTCTCAATATCCTGCATTGCTTTCTCCTAATCAAATTAAGCGTAATCAATTAGATCAAGCCCTTTTTGAAGGATACGGTAGTGCCACCTGTTGCAACTTGTATCTTTAAATTGTAAAACGCTGATTTATCCCTATTAGTAATATGGACATCCAAGTTCATGGATTCAAACATTGGAAATGCATGTTTGTTTCAAGCTTAGCTTTTTACTTTTTCTGCCTCACAGGCGATTCATGACAGAGTCATGTACTACTCTACAAATTGACATTGGAAAGAAAAGGTGCCACAGAAGCCAACGCTGTGTGTCTATCAAGGGTACAGAAACTGATTTTTGACATTTTGATTTGACCAAATAAAAATTAAGCTTTTTTTTTTTTCTTTCTTCTTGTATTAAAAATGATCTCTATTACTATCGCATTAGAAGAGATTATCGCTATTTGTCGCATCGCCTCAGTATCCCGCATTGGAGCCCGGAATATGCAATATCAAGCTTTTCCCCGTGAAGCGGCTATCCTCCCCCGCATAGACGCTTAATAACACCTACTCGTTATTTATTGAATGTACATATCAATTCGAACGGATCCTTTTCCTAATACGTAGGGTTACCCGCTTGATAATTATACCACTTCATTTTCCAGTTTATTTTTTTTTTCTTTATTTGCCCCAATTTCACACAACCCGCTTATGTACAGTTGCCCTTTATATAAAACTTGTCTCTATGAACCAATCCGACATTGCCCGAGATTTATATCCGTGTTTCCATGTCAAACAGGATCAGAGCCTAGAGATTTTGTTGGGGGAGAGAGTGGGAGGTGTTCCTGCCTGCGTCTGCAAGCGTGTCAACGGCTGTGGGGGGTGGGGAAGAGAGGAAGCACAACAACAGATCCAACGTAGGAGCAAATCAACACCTTGCTATTCTAATCAAGCTCTATGTATATTATTGGATCATCGGCTGCCATTGTTGTAGCATTGGATTTTAAGTTTGATATCAAAATTTCATATAAATACCTCGACATGTTTCCTTCTTTTTGTTTCTCGCTTTTCCTTTTCCCTCTCAAATCAATTTCGCTCATTCAACAAAAACATGTCATCTGCCTCAGATAACTACACCGTATTCAAACAGGACGGTAGCCAGCAATTTTATTGTCGATGGACTCCAGAAGAAGATCTACTGCTATCGAAAGCAGTAGCACATCATGGGCCTCACAAATGGACATTGGTATCAAAACTGATTCCAGGGCGAACAGCTGTTCAATGCTCTACCCGATGGTTTGGCGCCTTAAAGTAAGTTTTGGCCAGTGCACTATACACCTCGTGTCTAACATGCCATTATTACAGCCCCAATGTCCATAAGGGCAAATGGTCTAAACATGAAGATCATGCACTTACCGAAGCCGTACATTATTATCAAACAATTACATCCAGCATGACATTGCCATGGAACAGAATAGCAGAAAACATTCCGCATAGAACTGGCATTCAGTGCCAGGCACGATGGACAGAGGCTCTAGATCCTGCTGTCCGCAAAGGAAGATGGCATCCCGAAGAAGACAAGCAACTGGAGATTGCTATCGCAAAATATGGTTGCTGCTGGATTCGAGTTGCTAGCATGATCCCCACTCGCACTCAAAGACAATGCCGCACTCGATGGAATCAAATACACTCGCAGCATTTGAAGGCATCTTCTCTCTCTCGAAACAACAAAATGAAACTCACATCATCCACAGCAGTTACAACAAAGGCAGCCGCAACTGTGCCATTCAACTTTGAATTTGTTCCATCCATCATTACAGAACAGCAACAGCGACAACAGCAGTATCCGCTTGCCAACAATGATCCATTTATTGTCATATCGACGTCGCCCACCATCGATGACATTATAGCAAATAGTAATACATACAATTTTTCATCAGACGCCTCAACTAGTAGTCGCTCCTCCTCGAATTCCTCTATGCCTGATGCGTCACCTACATCTGTTATATTTCCCACTTTACCTTCCACATCCAACACAAGCCTATTACAACATGAAGCCCAATTGTTTCCTGCTATGAAATCTTCCACTCTGGGAGACAGCAGTAGTACTGATAATAATAATAATAATAACAACAACGCATCAACCACCTTTCTGGACAATTGCGATTTCGAATTCTTACTCGACTGCTATACAACACAGTGATTTCATTTATGCCTCATCATCATCCGATACATATACGTATATATATACACATTCACATTATTGAAATTTTAATTTTCTGCATGCTTCCACATGTGCGCACATACTCATATGCTCTCTGTCTCTCATTTTCCTTCTAATTTGATATCATTACTATATACTAAAAAAAAATTAAAATAGCCAAAGATCCATTCGTTTATTAGCATGTACACTTTTGTGGTTTACCTTTTATAGCATAATATTCAATGTTGATTATAATTACTCGAAATAGATAAATATGATAGTAGAGATATGAAGCACACAGACATTAGTGCGGGCATAAAGACTGCCCATGTTGAATTTGCTGTATCGACCGTTCAAGCTTGGTCTTCAAGATGTGCCAATGCCAGAGTCATGGGGATCAAACACTCAACACTGAAAATATGCAGTATCTAGCATAGTTGCAAAATAGTCGGTAAGTTTGTTGAGATCGAGACCAACAGTTTACTTTTTTTTTTTTCATCTGGCACCATGCTTCATGGATACGATTATGGTAACCTCGATTATATTTTATGAGATCTGTCTCCTTAGATTCACTAAATTACATGATGAGGCGACCTTCCCAACCAGCTGGTTTTTTTTATTAATTGCATTACATGCCTTCAAACAAATCTAGGCAGCACATCTAGGCTTTCAATTGGATTGGTGTCACTCAATTTCAGGGCATAAATCAGACTATTTTTGGCATCTAAAAGGTTTTCTTGATGTCTGTACACTTTACTGAGGAGATACCTAGAGCGAACGACATGTGAGTATTTTTAATACATGAGTTATATTCTTCACGCTCCTACCAAGCTTCTGCTTGATTCCAGCCTAATCCCTTGGTTGTCTTTTCTAGCAGTTGCTCTGCCAACTCAAACTGATCTGATCCCACATACATGGAGGCCAAAGCAGTATGTGTCGCTACATGATGAGGATCAATAGATAAGGCTCTTTTAAATGCATCTAGTGCTCGGTCTTGCTGTTGCACACTCTTTTTGCTGCTAATGCTTGCAGTTGCTGCTATTGTGCCAATCTGATACCAAACATCAGCATTAAGGCCATGAGTCAACTGATCTGCTTCTGTAATTGCTTTGAAGGCTTCGTCAAAGCGCTGTGCACGTGTGTATGTAGCACTTGCCATGGTCCATAGCTTGATCAAAATCCATTGCCATTGTTTTTCTTGGCAAATGAAGTAAGCATTCTTTGTCACTGTTGATGGCTTTACAGGTAATTGAATAGAGGGCTCTTGGTTGCTGCTAGAGATTTGCTGCTGCAAGGTGGAAAAGTAAGAGGAGCTATGTTGGTTCGAAAGGGAAGGCTTGACACTCGTTCCCTTTACACTACTGCTGGTATTGCTGGCCAAGCTAGAAAAGGTGGCTTCTGACAGTTTGTTAAACTCATCCTCCACATCTGTATGCACATTGTTTAATGAGATTCGCAGTATTACTGTTGCGCAATATACCTTTTCTATTGTCAGTAGGCGTTGAATCCAAGGACAATGTCTTTGATGATGCCATAGGGCTGTTGGAACGGAACAAGGACTTGGTGCTTAGCAGCTTTTTGGGCGGTTTGGGCGACTTGGGCTCACGCTTCTCCTTCTTGTCTTTCTTGGGCTTGTTTGCCGTGGGGAAGCTCAATAGTGGATCATCCATGAACTGTCGGGACAAGTTGATGGACTTGCGATGCTTTCTGCCACTCTTTTTCTCTTCCTGTTCCTCTTCCTCCATGTACTGCTCTGCTAGGTCTTCTTCTTCCACCTTTAACAAAGTTGATGACCGCATGAAATCAGAGTCTTCATGCAGCCTGCTGCTGTTCTGGTTGTCATCCAAACTCACTTCATCATCCTGCAATAGCTGCTGCGGTGAGGGCAATGCAAAATTAGATGAATTTAAGCTCTCCTTATCCTCATTATTATCAAATAGACTGTTGAAGCTGTGTACACTGCTGATATTTGTTCTGCTATTTGCTCGAGAACGAACGCTGTTGTTCCCGTCGTGACGCTGCGAATGACTTGATGTGGATGGCTTTCGGCTGTGTGTAGGCTTCTCTGCTGTATCGGCAACGGACACAGCCAAGTTCATTTTTTGAGAGAGCTTGGCGTACATGTCAAACAAATTTGGATAGACCTTGATTGCTGCTTCAGCCCCTTCTAAAACTTCAAGGAAATAAAGTTGAGACATGCGTAATTTCATATAAGCTTCTGCGCGATCAAAGAACTCTTGCCCCTCCTCCGTGTCTAGGGACAAAACCAAATCAGGGTCGTCCTCGTTGTCAAAATTTTCAATCATATTCATGTGATAGCCCAGGGCTGCTTGTATTAATTGCAATGATTTCGGTAGTGCGTGGAATTGGCGAGACGACTGAACCAGCGATAAAAGATGCCAGCTTGGTATGAAATCGCCACGAAGCTTAATTGATCGTTTGGCTGAAGAGGCAGCTGATACCATATCGCCCATGAGAGCCTGCTGCAACCCTAATTCGTAAAACGTTTGCCAGGAGCGTGAGTCTAGTTCGGAGGCGCGTTTAAGGGATGCAATGGATTCAGCCATGCATACCGATCTCTTGCGCTCATCATGGCCTACGCGCGTGTTAATCCCATGCCATCCATCTGTTACTGATAAATATTAACTTACATTGCATGGCATAGAGGCCATAAGATGCTCCTCGTACTCTCCTGCTCTGTACCATCAAGAGACGCCATTGACTAGCCTTTTTCTTTTTCAAATGCTCGGATTCCTCCATCAATGCAACGGCAATGTCGCTCAGTGCTGAGGCTTCTTGGCCCTGCTTGTAATGCCGACCATACAGCTGATGTGAAGCTGCTATAATAACTTTAACCACGTCAAACTCCATGTCACTTTCGTAAGAGCCAACGGGTGCTTTTTTTTTAGGGACACGTTGTGTTACTGGAGGTGGGTTGCTGTCATCCGACGAGTAGAATTCCTCCTCTTCTTCCTCTGGGTCTCGAATGCCTTGAAGCAGCTTCAACTTATCCTCCCAAAAGAGCAAGTTCTTGTTGGTGGAAGCCATGGATTGGTGCGTAATGTGGTCGAGTCGGTTCTGAATAGTTTCTGCTACATTCTCGAGGTAGGCATCTTCGTCTTCATCATCACTGCTATCTTGTTGCTGTTCTGCGAGTGTAAGTGCAGACTGGTCTTTATCGAGAATATGAGGCACATTCAGCAACTCCAAGTATTCCAGCAGGGCGAGCTTAGCTTCTTGGACCTCGCCTAGCTTCATCAGTGTGTAAAAGATATGGCGGGTGGTACAGAGACTATTAAAAGTGAATTTACGCGTTCTGTACAGATACCTCAACGTGCGGCGCATGTAGTCGGTTGACCCCCATCCTACTGTGTCATGGGCAGCAAACAGCAGGTTTGATAGTTCCAATGCACGGTGACTAAGATCAACAGGGTTCTTTTTGTGATATGTGTTGGCAAACACTGTCAAAAGGCTTCGAAATTGTGTCATCAATTGAATGGTTTCATCGAGGGCGGCAGCAGAGCGTTCAAAGAGCGTGGTGTCTCCTGTCTCTGAGAACACGGATCGACTGGGCGATAAGACAGGAGAAGCAGGACTAGGTATATTCTGAAAGTGAGCATACAGTTGTACCGAGTGTCGCCAAATGCATACATGACATACCTGGTATATTCGTCCTCTGGTGCAGCAGGTACATAGACGCCCTTTTGATAGGCTCTTGTCAGGTAGCGAATGTAATGACGAAAGACGATCCATCGTTTGTGGATTCTCCAGTCTAAAGGCCATTGCGTACAGCAGTAATGAAGATAGGTGCGCATCAATTTCAGTGTTTGTTTCACAGGGCCTCTGTTTTGTTGTCTTGAATTAATTGATCTATTTTTGCAATGCCTGTTTGTGCAACTTACTTTTTGCGTAATTGTAACAGCACAGATCGATAGAGGCACTCTTCCAACCAGAATGACAAGGATTTGTTCTGTTCGTTTTGATGTTGCTCAGCGACATTGAGTGCGCCTAGATAGCAATCCAGGGCCTCTGTGTAGTTTTCTTGATTCTCGAAGCAGACGCCTAATGTTCGGTGTTGAGAGCTTAATTGCGCACAGACTTCTTTGTTGAGAGACCCTTACCTTTGATGACTCTTGCCTGTACTAGCAAAACAAGACCATATCCTGCCTCCACATCTTCCAACCTCAACGCCAAATGCTGTAACCACTCCAATGCCTTGTCGTAGCGTCCAGTCTCGTAATAGATTCTAGCTAAAATGATTTTGGAAAACTAGGACCAGCATCAGATATTTTGCACATGTTCATATGCTTGTGTGTGTACCTGAGCTTGCCAATCATCAGGTGTCTCCAATTCACCCGATTTAATCTGTCTCTGAATCACGTCTAATAATCTGACTAAAATCAATTGTACCTGAGAAGGTAATAGTCGAGGGGCCAACGAGATGCTGCTGGGATCGTCCAACTGATAGAATACATCAGATTCTTCTGGATAATTGCGCTTCACAATGGACGTTGTACCAACTGCTGTTGATGAGTTGCTTTGATTCGACGAAGAACCAATGGTGTTGATAATTTGTCGATTTCCCCATTTTCTTGTTATGGGTGTTGGCGTGGCAGGCGGTGAAGTCGAAGCTGGTGATAATGTAGATGAAGGCAGATCAGTAACATTGGAGTCTGTAGCTACAATCTCTTGGCGAATCTGTCGCACAAGCAAAATGAATTCAGCTTCCATTCGAGCAGTGAATTCAAGCACTATACAGACGAATCAGAGACATGTGAATTGAGCAGCTCCATGAGGGCAGATACCTGATTCATAGGGATGGTATTTCTTGTAGCGTTTGGCTAGCTCTGGAATGTCAATCCATCGTTCATTGCAGCGAGCTACCTCCAGATCAATGAACGTCTGCAATGCCTTTGGATTATCCATGGTGCGCTGATAAAGACAGGCAGAAAAAGTGTAAGAGAAGAGAGAGAGAAAAAGGTGGGAAAAGAAACTACATTTTTATACAAACGATGAGATACGACATCTGTGAAAATCAAAATCTGACAGTGGAAGCACAAGCTAATGTGTGAAAAATCTTGCTAAGTTTTATAGCGATAATTTAGTAAGGCTCCACGTGTCGCAATAAAATCATGGTGTCGACTGCAAGAACAGCCTCGAAGGTTTCTTTCAATTCATGATTTATTATCATATAATGTAGAGGGGGGGAAATATACGGTTTAAATGTTGATATATAGTGGGGGAGAAAAAAAAAAAAAAAAAAAAAAAGTCGAAACAGGTGGATTTTGTCAGAAAAAAAAAAGAGGATCAAGATAAAGAAATGTACATCTAAGCAACTTTACAGCAAATCCATATACGAGAAATATGGTTATGCACACAACACACACGCTTTAAGAACGTCTCTTCAAATTGGCAGATAACCACTCCAAACCCTCATAAAGACCATCACCTAATATCACGATGAATACAAGACAATTTCATTCAGATGGAGCTTCATTTTTTTTTTTAACTTACCACTTGTAGCACAGGCAGTTTGGATATACCAATGTCTGTTTCTCAAGGAATGGAGGCCAAGTTTATCAGTGATTTCAGCAGCGTTCATGGCGTTGGGCAGATCTTGCTTGTTGGCAAAGACCAGCAAGAGAGCATCACGAAGTTCATCTTCGTTCAACATGCGCTGAAGTTCATCACGAGCCTCTGAAATACGATCGCGATCATTGGAATCAACAACGAAGATGATACCTTGAGTGTTTTGGAAATCTAAGCAGCACATGTGGATAGAGTTAGATTCTAATCACTAGGTGCATCCCCTTCCTCGCTCTCCTCGTCCTTCTCCCTCGTCCTGCCTCCTTCGTCTCTCGTATCACTAGCAAAACTACTTACAATGTCTCCAGAGAGGACGGATCTTGTCTTGTCCTCCAACATCCCAGACAGTGAATGAGATATTCTTGTATTCAACGGTTTCGACATTGAAACCTGCACATTTTTGTTAGCTACATTCTGGAGATGAGCTTCTATACATACCAATAGTGGGAATAGTTGTCACAATTTCACCCAACTTGAGCTTGTACAAGATGGTGGTCTTACCAGCGGCGTCAAGGCCCACCATCAGGATACGCATCTCTCTCTTACCAAAGAGCTCAGAGAATATAGAAGAGAAACTTACACCCATTTTTTGTTATTGTTTGTGTATGGAATAGAGAAGAAAGGAAAAAGAAAAGGTGTTTTGAACCAAGAGGAGTTGATTTTATATTGTTTAATTTTGGATTGATTTCCCTAAACCAATGATATACAGTTACATGGAGTGACGGCAATCCCATATAGACTGCATCCATACAGCAAAATCTTTTCCTCACTCCCTCTCTTGCGCGTACTAGAAGAAATGTATACGTAAAGTATTATGGTTCGCTATGCAATGGTAGCTCAACACATATTCAATGACTGTATATATATTTAGAACAGCAACACATGACGAGGTCTGCGTGCCAGAAACTCTATTGAAAAAGCTAAAGACCACCGAGAAAACAGAAGCAGAGAAGCAATTGATCAAAACGCAAGCACAGAAAGAAAAGCGAGATGTTCGTAAAACGATATTCAAAAAGGCAGACGCCTACATCAAAGAATACAGGCAACGGGAGAATGATGATTTGAGGCTGCGTAGATTAGCCAAATCACAAGGCAATTACTACATTCCAGCACAACCGCAGCTCTTGTTTGTGATCCGTATCAGTGGCATCAACGACGTCAATCCCAAAGTCAAGAAAGTGCTGCAGCTCTTTCGACTGCTGCAGATCAATAATGGAGTTTTTGTTCGTATCAACAAGGCGACATCCCAAATGCTTCAAATCATTGAACCCTACGTTACTTATGGCCCTCCTAATTTGAAGACGGTGAGAGAGCTAGTGTATAAACGAGGATACGCTAAAAGCAACGGACAACGGTTACCGCTTTCTGACAACAAGCTTATTAGCGACAATTTGGGGCAGTTTGGTATCATTTGCATTGAGGATGTCATTCATGAAATCTTTACTGTGGGCGAACATTTCAAACAAGTCAACAATTTCCTATGGCCCTTCAAGTTGAGCAATCCAAATGGCCATAAGAAGGTGTCATGGAGGCCTAGAAAGTTCAAACATTACGTGGAAGGTGGCGATGCTGGTGATCGTGAGTTTGACATTAACAAATTGGTACAATCTATGAATTAAGTCCTGTAGATGAACTGTATACCCTTTTCAATGGTACATGTATTTCTTTAGTACCCTTGTAACCTTTTTATGCACAATAAACTCGTATCTGGAAAGGTCTGAGCGTTGAATATATCCACTCACATGTCCTGTTTAATGAAGCATGTCGCCACAGAGACATCTGTAAACGCCTCTTTCTATCAATGGATTGGGCTGTGGTCTCAAAGATCTTACGTGATTTAATTACTAAATGCCATACGTTACTCAAAGAGGCAATGTAAATTAAATATAACCAAGTGTAATAGCGTCTATCAGTAGTAGGTTTACTAATGTATGCATCAAAAGGAAGGAGTTTTATACGGGCAGGCAGCATACATGCATTCTGTCGAGGAACTCAAAGGTATCCAAAACAAGGAAATCTGGGTGCATTCAAGTCGTGATTTCTCGCGCTAGAAACCGTTTTAGACCGCCAGAACAGCGCCAAACGATTACTCTCACCTAGCACCAACTTGTTGATACCTTTGCTCAACTTTTTGGGCCAAAAAAAAAAACATGGCCAAAAAATCAACCAAAAAGCATGAGGGGTACCTCATGGATTTTTGTCAACATCAAACGATCGCGTTTTTGACCGCAAAAATGAAGACTTTTACTATGGCATATATTAAATCAAAATGTTTCTCTCGATCCAATGCAACCTCTGAAACCACTTTTATGAGGCTTCCATATGTAGAATCTCGCCATTTTGGCGCAAATTGTTATTTTATATTAAAAGAAATTGCGCAATAAATTTGTTCAAGACATCCATTTTATTTAGCATCGTTAGACGCGCCTTGAAAAGTGCTCCCAGAAAGCATAAGGAAGCATTGAATGATCATCACAGTTTACATAGTCTAATTTTGCAAAATAGGTCGAATCGTGTTCAAAAAGTTGTAAAATAAACAAATCAGGAAAGAATATATTGCGGAGTTTTATATATTTTGGCTGCTGCCAACACGATGCCTTTTGCAATGAACATAATCGATGTTTCTGCAACTATTAGAAAGGGGATTGCGAACTGGTGGTTGACGTATCTCAGCAAAGTTAATCGCCTTTGCTTTTGTTAGAATTTTTTTGGAGCAGAAGTTCAATCGCTGCAAATTGTTCAATGAAATGCGAAATGCGGAATTGTCACCCTAGTTGTAAATGCATTTTGACATTTCAAATATAAACCGTGTAGTAGTTGGTGATAATATGCAAAAGTTCACCTTGCCTCCTGGTTTGATCCAAAAATTTATCTCTATAATTTGTGGTCCCTTCCGAAAACGAACACTTTCTGCATGACAAGCAACAATGAGGGTAGATCGTGTTTCTCTTTCCAGCTGTGAAAGCCTAGTATCTTATTTTGCCAATCATCAATGTCAAGGAGATGATGTATGTAATCTAATTAATGCATTTTGACCGAGATGAGAATCCAGTAAGTCGATAGGGGCGAAGGAGAGGGTTCTTTGTAAACTTCTATTTATGTCATGCTATGAGATTCTTGATAGTTCATCTAGCATATCTCGCAAAATGTTATCCGTCGCTGATTTTTGAGCTAGCTCTGTTAGGTCCTATTGTCAAAAAGCAAAACCATGTTACAGACAGTTCATATCCAGACAAATACCACGCTTGTACCTTTAGCAAAATCTCGTTTTCATCAGGTTTCGTCAAGAATCGATAATGTCGTAATAGATATAGGTATACATCGTTACTGAGAAATACATTTTGTAGTAATATCTTGAAGAATTCATGCAATGCATTGAGCAAGGTATGTACTGAAGGTATATCGAGCCCACTTTGATGGTGCGCAGTAGTTTGCACGCTTGCACATTCTTGTGAGTGTAGCAAGCTCAATTCTGTTTCGATAAAAACACATTGGTCGACAGATCTTTGGATGAAATCAACATCCCAATTCTTGACAGCATCTGAATTCGACTGATTGAGTAATTCTGTATAGGAGACAACTGCATTAACAAGTACATTATGGTTCATATGTAGCTATTGATTTTATGTATAGTTTTGCTAGAAAAAAATTAGAGTGAGGAGAGCAGGAGAGAGAGAGAGAGAGAGAGAGAGAGAGAGAGAGAGAGAGAGAAAGAGAAGGGGAATAATTAATACAATGTGACTATAGTTGGGATTTACACAAAACGAACAGAAATCTAAAATCGTTCATCTAAAACACGAAGCTGTACAAATGTCTTGAGCGCCTTTTCATAAACACCTAAAAAGATGCTTCCACCGATAGAGATCCACATAACACGAGGACCAATACCAGAGAACAGAGCACGGGGTCCTTCCTCTGCAGCAATTCGCTTCATAGTAGAAATGATGCCATCATAATGCTTTGTGCTTTGGTTCTTGGTCGAGAGCATAATGCGAGTTTTGCACACATCCAATGGAGTTGTAGCAGCAGCAGCAATAGCACCGGCTAATGAACCCATCAATGCAGCTTCGTATGGCTCGGTGCGGCGACCCTTGATAGTAGCATATGTGCGTTTAAAGTACTCGTACAATGGGAATTGGATACATGTGAATGGGATCTCTCTGGCCACAGTAGACAGGAATCCACGATACATGCCCAAAACACCCTCTGTACGTAAAACATGCGATACAGCGGCAGAAGTCTTTGTGAATTGCTTGGTTTGCATACGCTGTTTGATGACTTCTGTGGGCACGCGCACTGTACAAGCGACAGTTTCACCACAAGAAGCAGCTGCCATGTGGATGAGTGGTGCATATTGAGCATTGTCGACGGTGGCGCCTATCAAGCGTTTGGTTGCCTCATATGTGACGAAAAACAACGAAGCTAGATATGTGGTTCATTGTCAGTGTGAATTGATAAACAGCATGACCATGCACATTTACCTCCAGGAGCACTTCCAATAACAGCGGTCAGTAATCCAGAGTAGACTCCACGAAAGCCGCCCGAGGCCAAAAACCCTTGCTGTGATTGCAATCTAGTTTTGATGGTATCTATGGTACATGTCAGAGAGATGCGCGATAAACCATTGCCATTGCTGTCTTACCCAAGGGAAAAAGAGCTGTATCAACGGCTGTACCAGCACAGGCACCAGCAACCAAGGCTTGCTTCAAGTTGCCAATTTGATGTGAGTCGTTCTCGCCCATGGTGTTATTCAGAAGTGTTCAGCTAACGAGAAGTGAAAAAATTGTAAAATCTCTCCCCTTGTTCCGCTGGAATAAACCAGACACACACAGAGCAGATTGCAGTAAGAGCCACTTCTTACTTGTCTAGGGGGGGGGGGTGATCTCCGATTAGAAGAGATGGAAACAAGCTTGCTGACACGATGGCACAGACGATCCTTTTAGCATTTAATTAAGCCAACAACATGCACAAGTTTGATTAATACTTTTATGTAACAGCATCCATATGCTTCTATGGCTTTAACATGGACAATACATCCTTCATATATGCTTGGGGTACATTCCTTGCTCTATTTTTCGACATCGGTATTGTGGTGCCTGGAGGATTCACAGCAAATGTCGCTATAGATCGGGATATATGCCTCTGCGTGTGTCGATCATGATTGCTGTCAGGACAAGCATTTAAGCATGCATACATACAGATCAGACATGTCTAGTTTTGTTTATTATGCATCATCGCTCTTTATGCGTTGCGTGTCTTGAGGAGGAAACAGAAAGGAGCAGAAGGGGGAGGAGAAAATGCAAAGAAGAAAACCGACCCCCACATATATACACAGTGCTCTACATAGCATGTATCCATTAAGGCAATAGACGTGCATCCTACACGACAATAGTAGGAAGTTTCATTGACCTACATTGCATCGAGCACTCACACATGTCTGACAAGGATGTGGTCAAATCGCGGAAACATCAGACTACCAACGTTCGGGCGATGGAATATCAAATTCGCCTTCAAAACACGCCACGCCAAAATACACAAAGCTGCTTTCTTTCTGTTTCAAAACGACACAAGAATCTATGAATACCAAGAAATCATCCAACAAGGGCCTGGAGCTGGTCAAGACTATACTGCAAGACAAAAATCGGTTCCAGCAGTATGTGCACCAACGATTCAGCCAAATCAATGAGATGGAACTGATGCGTTCGACAAGTCCACAGTATCAGCATGAAGAGGCCAACAGAAACAAGAAGCTGAATCGTTATTTTAACATTGTACCTTTTGATAATAACTGCATCAAGTTGACAGACACACGACTGGGCCATACAGACGATGACTATATCAATGCAAGTTGGATTTTAGCACCGTACAACATCCCTCGATTCTACATAGCAACTCAGGGTCCCACCTCAACCACGTTGATAGACTTTTGGCGCATGGTCATTGAGAAGCATGTGCCTGTCATTGTATGTCTGACACCACAAATTGAAAATGGCATGGAGAAATGTGGTCGTTACTGGCCCTTGCAAGATGACGACTTGGAACTGAAGTCTGGAAATGGTAATATACGAGTGGTGGTAAAGAATTCTAAAAAGGAAAGGATGGATACGGAAGCGGATTGTATTGTAAGGTCTTTGCTGGTGGAATTTTACCGCAATGACGAGAAGGTTGAGCAAGCAAGTGTCACTCAATTGCAGTTCTTGGGATGGCCTGATCATGGTGTGCCTAAAGAGACCAACAAGGTGATTGCCTTGATCAAACTGACCAGACAGCTTCAAGAAGCCAACAAGCCAGTGCTGGTCCACTGTAGCGCTGGATGTGGAAGAACAGGAACCTTCTGTGTCATTGATACGGCAGAAACATTGCTAAGAATGAACCAGCATGATGCCTTGATAGACCCCATCTTTGCCATTACAGACGAATTCCGCAAACAACGAACCACCATGGTCCAGGCGGAATCACAGTTTGCCTTTTGCTACAGAGCATTGAACGATTTTTTCGAACAGGAAGAATGAATTCCTCAAAAAAAAAAAAAAAAAAAAAAAAAAAAAAAAAAAAAAAACATACAAACATACCTCCTTTTTCCTCTCTCTCTCTCTCTCTCTCTTTCTCTAATAATAGCATGTTAATCTGATCTGTCTAAATTCTACATTGAATACACGTTGTAAAATAAAAGGAGGGTTTGATTTTACGATTTTTTTTAGGAGCTGTCATTTTGATTGTACACACAAAGACACAAACACGCAGAGAAGGGAACATTTGGTAATTATAATAATAATGAAAATTGCAGTAGCGTGGAACCCCCCCTCTTTCTTTCTCTCTCTCCTCACTGCTCATAGTGATCACCATCATAACGGATCACACAAAGGGGAACTAGTAGAAAGAAAAGTTAAGAAATATACTACTCATTGTTTCCCTTTTTTCCATTCGATCGATGTATTTACTATCAGGGAATGCTGATCTAATAAATGAACCTTATTACTCACACCTATTTATCTGTGCCTATGTGAATTTCTTCTTTGTTGTCACTTGCTGGATTAAATAACTTCAGGAGCCAACATTCCATCTCGTTTGTATGTACATGAGAGACCTTGTCTATGTGCGTTCATCCAAGTCTGTGTGTGTGTGTGTGTGTGTGTGTGTTTATGTTTCTGAGTGTGAGTGAATTGACATGCATTAATCTGATCTGTCTGTTAGAGAGTATACAATGAATGTGCTATATACGCTGCTCCTAATACAACAATCAAAGTTTTAATATAATATATTATCTATTTGATGAATTCTACAAGTAAACCTATATATCATGGTTTCTTTTTTTTTTTTTTTTTTTTTTTTTTTTGATAGACACCCCTTAATATTTGATTATTTCTTTGTATTTAAATAGTCGGGTTATTTTCATGTCTCTCTTCTTCTTCTTCTTTATCCTTGTATCAATCTCTTTAATCATGGCATACCAACATCAAATCAACTACATCAATAATCCAGCAGTGAAGGAACAACCTGTTGCTCCTGCTCCTCCTGCTCAACCCACCTCTCACTTGTCACAATATCAATTTCACCCATTATTTCTCGCTAATTATACCATTGGAGAGGAATTAGGCTCTGGCGGTTATGGATTTGTTGTGTCAGCCCGCGAAAAGAAGACTGGTATCGAAAGAGCTGTTAAATTCATCTTTCGGAACAAGATTCCTGCTCACAGCTGGGTCAAAGATCGAGAGCTCGGTCCAATTCCAATGGAAATCTACATTTTGAAAAATGTTCGCCATCCCAGTGTCATTGGCTATGTAGATTCTTATCAAGACACCAAATTTTGCTATCTTGTCATGGAGTTGCACGGTACCTCTTGGTCATCCACATCAACAGAATCCGAGTTGTCATCCCCAAGATCACCTGCATTATCAGAAACCTCTTCTTTTGGTAGCACAAACTCTTACTGTTCAACTCCTTTGGACGAATATCCTTCATTTTTCGAGCAGCAGCCTGTGATCAAAAGACGCACCTCTTGTGATTTATTCGAATGCATCGAGCGCCATAACTACTTTGAAGAGCCTCTTGCCAAAATGATCTTTAGACAAATTGTCTCTTGCGTCGCTCATTTGGATATGCTTGGTGTCTGTCATCGTGATATTAAGGATGAAAACATTGTCATTGACGATCAATTTCAAGTAAAACTCATCGACTTTGGATCTGCTGTCTTGTTACCTCGCCATTTTGGAGAAAACAAAAATTACCTATTCAATCAGTTCTACGGCACTGTCAGTTTCGCATCACCAGAGATCTTGTTGGGTAGACCCTATCGCGCTGAGCCTGCAGAAATCTGGTCCCTTGGTGTGTTGCTCTATACAATCTTGTTTGGAGAGGTGCCATTCCATGACTCTCGTATGGCAATTGCTGGCCAGTTTGTTCATCCAAAAATCAAAGTATCTCCAGAATGCTTCTCTTTGATCTCTTGCATGCTGAATCGCTCTCCCGAAAAGAGACCTTCAATTCATCAAATCTTAATGCACCCTTGGTTTTCCGAGTGTCAAAATTACTGATTCAAAAATCACTATTATACACTGATCTCCTTTCTCTTTTTCTATCCCCTTAACACTATTAATTTATATATATACACACACACACATACACACGCACGCAACCAATTTAATGAGCCAATTTCTCTTTTATATATATATATATATATTACACACACCCATATAATTTGCATGAAATTCACTTTTTTTTTTTTATATCACTCTAACTTTTTAAGCACACATTTCTCTCCCCCCCCTCCCCTCATCCATTTTCATAATCATCATCCTCACTTCTCAGAATCTCCCCTCTCCTCCTCCCTCCATTTTAAAATTAATCTACTTCTCTTCCCAAAGAGATTATATACCACTATGCTTCTATTGATTTTTAAACTTACAACCACCACCCACATTTTATATGACACATTCTTCTTAATAATACCATTTCTCTAATTTCCTGTACATACACATATAATAAAATAATGCTTTATTTCCTTCAGTTGCTCTTCTTCCTCTCCCATTGCTTGGCAAGTTGTCTGATTCTATCAATCTCACAAATTCCTTCGACTGAATCATCTTCCAATGCCTCAAAGACGGCATGTGCAATCTCGCTATCCAAAAGCGGTCTGTCTGTAAAGTACATTGCGTCTTTAGGAACATACGATGTAAGGGGTTTGAGAATAGCAGAACCCACGATTAACCCAAGTGCTAACGGAAGCATCAATTGACGGCGGTGGTACGAATATATGAGCCCTACAATAGCGATAAATGACTCTAACTCGATGATTCGCAAACGAGTACTAACCTGGCCGAAGCACAACCACTCTGATTTTGCTTTTAAACTTGTCTCCCAGCAATGCCTCTTCAGCTTCACGTTTCGCTTGAATATAACGCTCGTTCAACAGATACTTGGGTGGTGCATTGGCAGCTGAGAAATAAACCAGACAACGTCTACTGATATCATCATACTTGGAGGCCATTGTCTCAGCAACAGAGATGGCAGCATCCCTATTCAGACGATCATAGGTACCATTTGCTCCGTAAGTTTTGGATTGATCGAGCAAGGTACCTACAGTATGCACCACGTTTGGATTGGTTTCAAAAGCAACTTGTAGTGAGGTAGGGTCAAGAGCATCTCCTTGCACAAATGTCACACCTTCCTTGTTGCTCTTTGCTGAAGCTGTGCGTGATAAAGCCAGGATATGATGGTTATGATAATGAGGGAGTTTCTTGTTCTTCTGAGATTCTCTGATGATTGCAGAGCCCATGAGGCCTGTGCCGCCGACAATGAGTAGTGAGGAAGCCATTTGAATGAATGTGTATTGAATTGGAAAGAAAAAGCAAGTATCCGTTGCGCGTCAAGATGCAATAAATACCTGTTGAATTAAAGTTTATTAATCAAATAGAGAGATGCAAACTCACCATCAGCAAAATGACGTATTTTTTCAGCGCATCGAGAGATCCTCCATCGGTTAATCGATATAGGCGGCTCGTCCTTATGTACCAGCAAGAGACTGTCTCCAATCTGACATGTAATAGCATGATTGACAAGTACATTACATGGGCACATGAAGCATTGCACTCGTAGCAACTTGGATTGTCGTGTTCATGCCTTTTGGTACTCAGTTACAACTGCCTCATAAAGCCATTTTAATATTACAAATGTCTACAGTCATGTGTAAATGAGTAATTGACAGATGTGAGCCTCGGGAATGAATTGCACTCTGCTTCTTACCTGGTTGTACACAGGTTGTATATTGCAAGGCTACTCTTGAGTGGAATTAGACTCAAGAACATCGACAGCTCTTCAGTAGAGCGGCACAGATGTATTACCAAACAGCAATGTCAAATGTAGGTTTTAGACTTTCAAGGCTGAATCCCAACCCAATCCATATACAAGCATGTCAAGATCCATGTCGATTGTCGTGCTCTACTTTCATGCGCATAAAGACAGTCATTTTACTTTGATTGATTCCTTTCATTTTGATGGGCTTTACTATCTTCATCTTCTGGCACGACAAGCTGATTCGCCGCTCCTAAAGCTCTATATTTGTGGTAGAGTGTGAAAAGCTATTTGTCTGTCCTACATTACTCTCTAAACTCATTTTCGATGAGATTGATCTCATTGCCTCTAAATGAACAACAATACTACTGCCATGTCTGTCATGACAGAATTTCATGCAGCAAAAAGTTATGCAACAAAGGATGCTCATAACTCACTTGATAGGTTTTACCACGCTGGTTTCAGATACAAAAAGATATTTCGTTATGTTACATTTGTTTGGTTTTTATTGAAAGATGGGAAGGTAAGCTTGACTTTGATATACGTACAGAGACCATCCTACTAAATGAAACAAAAAGACGGATCACGATTTTCATTCATACATCTTTTTTATACATATTTGTTTGCTTTGGGCATGGGAGCATTTATTTGGTAACTACAAGGGGATGGGGAACGTCGTCAGTCAATTGAATAGAGACATTTAGTGCGCAAAGGAAACTTACCACCAATAACACCACAAGCCAAACGATCACCAGCATTACCAGTAGTTGCAGAGAGCTCATGACCGCCCTTACCAAGATCATCCTCATCAGCGTGGACGATGACAGTACGACTAGAGTGCCATGTTAATACCTTATCTCTATGATACACCACGTTCGACTCTCTTACCCAATGATGGACAGGGGACCGATCAACTTTAATTGAGCATCCTCAACGTGTAACTTGGCCTCACCAGCTTCGTTGGCGACAATGTTACCCAAATCACCAGCATGGCGAACCTCAGCATCAGGAGCACCGTGGGTCTTACCGTGGGGGTTGTAATGAGGACCAGCGGAAATACAACCTAAAGATTTAGATTTGAATTAGTAATTGCCATTGAAGTTGGACGCGACATCAGTTCCTTGATGGGCACTCAGTCCCTCTATTGAATTACTACTTACCGTTGGTGTTGTCTCCGAATTCGTGAATGTGGAAACCGTGCTTTCCGGGCTTCAAACCAGTGAAAGAAGCTTCAACAACAACGTTGGCATCTTCAGAGGCTTGAGAGAACTTGACGACACCAGAAACATCGGCACCCTTGAGAACAGCAATAGCGTTGACCATTTTGATAAATATATAAAATTAGTTGAACAAGAAAAAAGAAGAAGAAGAAAAGGAATCGACATTCTGCTGAATATATATGTGATCGATTGATTGACTGACTGTAATCCAGTGGGCAAATAGAAAATAGCCTGGGGTGAGTCAGGGTATACTTGACTTTCGCGTCATTGATGTTTAGTAAGCGTGCGTTCAAGCCAATGATAGCAAGTTTGTTTAAGCTCGGCAAACGGGTGAACTAGCTCCCACTTTCGAAACGCAATGCTACACTAAAAACAGTTAAGGTTTTATTAGGCAGTTTTGCGTGAGTATGTTATCATACAAGAACAAGATGGATTTCATGCAATGAAGTCTTGATTTTTTTTTTTTTTTATATTTATTTATTTAAAAGATGGATGTGAATATTCAATATGAAGTAGATAGGGAATGGAATGTGATCTGTTTGACGCTGCAGTTAGTTCCTTTGTTGGCCATAAGAGCTATAGCCGTATTCCTGTCGCGGCTGGTTGGTTTGCGAGACCAAGGTAGGCGACGCTTGTGCGTTGCGAGGTGTGGGAGATGAGGAATTGGTTACGCCAGATGTCATTTGTTGCAACAAGAGTTGAGCGAGAGCAGGATTGCCTCCAGTCGCTGTGCTCAAGAGAGCAGCCATGCTGGGTTGCTCAGGTGTATTGGTGGTAGTCGTGGTGGCAGTGGTGGTAGTCGGAAGAAGAGCGGATGCTGAAGGTGGTGTGTGATGAGCCATGCCAGCTGCACCTAGACTATTGACCAGCGTAGCCAGCAATTGAGGTATTGAGGGCTGTGCAGTGGGAGCAGCAGCAACCGCAGACGTGGCAGTGGTGGGAGGCAACGATACGGCTGGAGGCGGTATTTTGGACAGAGTATCGGATTGAATCAAACTGTAGATAGTAGCGAGGGTATTGGGATCAATGTTTGGAACGGGAGGAGGAGGAGCAGAGATGGCTTGAGGTTGCTGGTAAGTAGATTGGGTTACATAGCTGGGTTGTTGATACTGTTGCTGCTGTACAGGTGGTGATGCAAATTGGGAGCCTCTTGTGGGATTGTTGTAGTAGGAGGGCTTTTGATATGAGTTGGTATTGGTGAATGAAGCCTCAGATGAACGGCCATAGGAAGGACCACTGTATTGAGGGGTGGCACTGTATTGAGGTTTGGGGTTGTACGCTTCGCGATGTGTGTTATCATATGGCGATGTGTATGGTTGATATCTTGGCTTGGCCTGTCTCAACTCTGGATGTGTATTTTGGACTATACCAACAGCTTCATTGGGGGTAACACTATCGTATTCTACATAGAGATGTGAGCTGCCAGCAAACAAAGCACTTGTAATTTCATTACCATCATAGCGAACACCATCACCGTGATCCACAGGAGCAAACACTTGCAGATACACTTTACCTTGCTCTGAGTTTCTACTGTCAATCAACACAATTGCTTTTACACCTTCCAATACCATCTGCTTTACCAATTCCCCACGGGAATGGTTCAAGTAGTTAAAGATACGAGCATCAGTGCGAATGTGCTTTTGCGTAAACAGGCTGTTTATGTAGTTCATCAACGCATTATCCGTGTTCCAGGATATGATCTGGACAGCAGGCACTTCACCTCCATTGCGTGAAATAATGGTAGGGGCTTTATAGCTATATCCAGAAGCACGAGGGTCGACTCTTTTACCACCATTGTTCTTACTAGTGTTACGTCTTGCATAGTCAGGACGATAGTTATTCTCTCGTCCATACTCGTTATTAACATCAGGCACATTGCTCGCATCGTTATTCACTTGGCTGTAGTCAGGGCGGTAGTTATTTGTTCTTTCGTAATCAAATCCATTGTCGTGGCGGTTACTATTGCCATTGTATTCGCGTTGACGGTTACGGTAGTCATTCATCACTTTGGGTTCGCGACCATTTCTAGTGTCACTATTTCCTCGCTTGTTGTTGTTGTTGATGTTGTTATTGTTGCTGTTATAGTTGTTACCATTGTTGTTGTAGGTGCGAGCGGGTAGAGGAGGCGATCGGCTGCGGCTACGACTACGACTCGCATCTTGTCTGTTATTACCGCGATGGCCTTGAACTCGTCGTCGGTTTTCATTCTCTGTCACTCTAGCAAATTTAGGCTTTCGCTTACAAATCTCCAAATCTAGCAAGGCGTATTAGTACAAGCACCCAAACAAACAAAGAAACAAACAATCCACAACTTACTCAACAGCACATCATTAAAGGTCTTGTAGTTTTCGGCTTCAACGGCACGTGCGCATTGTTCAGGATTCTCGAAATGAACAAACCCAAATGTATTTTTTTGAACAACCTCTAAAACCTCACCGTACTTGCTAAAGTAATCCATCAACTCCTGCTTACTTGTGCTTTTCGGCAGTTGATGTATCAGCATGCGAGACTCAGGAATGACCTTACTCCAATCGATGTGTCTCTTTGCCAGCGTTTGAGCAGGTTGCTCTGTATTAGGTCTTGCTCTGCTGTTGAGATTTGAAGTAGAATCACTTTGTCTTCTTTTGCTAAGAAGAGAGTACTCATCAAACTCATCTAATACAGGCGGGGTGGCTTGCTGTTCATTGGCTTGACTATGATTACCTTGCTGATCATCGTTCTCAACACTGGGTTCTTCCTCAGCATCCTCTGGAGCTTCCCTTTTAATTTCAACGTCGTGGCTAGTGCTATTTGTGGGGATGGGAGTGACAGTGGCATCTCGGCTGCTACTAGCACTGTTATCACTGCTATTATTATTAATGTTACTAGCTTCGCTGCTACTATTGGTATTGGCAAATAATGCTGAAAAAAAGTCATCTACGACCGATGTCTTATTTTCACTGGCACTGGATTCAGTCATCTTAATATAACACTCTTTCTTTTTTTTTACACGCGGAGGAGAGAGAGATAGATAGAGAGGCACACACACACAGACAGACGGACGGATGGACAGAGAGGATAAAGTGGTAAAAAATAAAATAAAAAGAAAAAGAAACTTTTGATGATGGAATGTATATATAAAAAGAGGCTGGCTGTTTCGATTGACCTAGTCTTCTTTTTCGTACAGATTAATAAAGAACAGGAACCTATTCTCTTTGATGAATATATATATAAAAAAAAAAAAAAGAAAAATGAGAGAAAGAGAGAAAGAGAGAGACAGAAATAATGAAAAATTCTTCGCAGCCTTTTTCTTCCTTTGTTTTCAAAAGCTGCTGGTGTAGGGGATGCTCTCCTCCAATGAATAGCAGCTAAATCAACGGATCCTTTGCTATAATGTCATGTACGTCACACACATCATTTGCATTGTTTCGGAAGGTCGAGATGTAGCACCAGATGTCATCTTAAAGCAAACAGAAAGCTGGATACTACTCTACGGATTGCAAGCTATCGATTCATCTATCACAGGCCATACATTAATGATACCATGCTGCGGTAATAGCCCTTTCAAATGGCCAATATCAAACTAAGCGGTTCTTGGAATGGCCTTCTATCACGCATCATGGTCACGCCGTCTTTTTTTTTTTTTTTTTTTTTTTTTTTTCACTGTTAAAAAGCTATTGAAAGGGGGGAACAGCTACAGCTTGACTCTTTGCTACGTTATACATAACCTTCATTATGGACGACATTGAAAAGTTGGAGCATCTGTCATTGGTGCAGAAAGTAGTTAGCGAGCTCTACAACCATACTGGGCTACATGAACAAGTCCTAGGTAAGATTCATCGAACGCACACATTGCCTCGTCAGCTCTTCTCACTCGTTTCACAGCTGAATTCATTATCCATCTTCACGATGAGGCCAAAGGATCCCTCGCTGATTTCAAAAGGATGCTCAAAGACGCAGATGCAGATTTCCCAGAGCCCTTTGTTGAGAACCTGGATCGTATCATCAAGACATTGAAACCAAAGCGTAAAGTGCATCGAGAGGAGGGCGTCGACGAGAAAGCACACACGTTCCCTGGCTTGGCTGTGCAAGATGACCCTGATTGGCAAAAGAAGAGAGAGGAAGATATGGCAGTGGCAGACGACATGTTGGCAGAGTTGGAAGGATTCAAGTCGACAACAGCACCCGCTTCCTCATCATCTGGAAGCAAGCGTAGACACGAGAGCCCTTCGCCTGAGAGAAGACACCGTAGACATCGCTCCAGATCCAGGTCTCGATCCAGATCGCCCAGCAGCAGACACAGAGATAGAAGACCTAGTCCTCCTAGAAGAGGCGGATTGGATGATGCGCCTGTTATCTACAAGATTTACAACGGTACAGTCATCAACATCAAGGATTTCGGTGCGTTTGTGCGTTTGGAAGGAGTCAAAGGCAAGGCTGAGGGTTTGGTTCATGTGGGTTCATTGATCCAAGGCAGAGTCAACAATCCTCGCGAGGTTGTCAAGCAAAATCAGCCTGTCAAAGTCAAAGTCATGTCGATAGCTGGAAATCGAATTGGTTTGTCTATGAAAGATGTTGATCAACGCACAGGCCAAGATCTCAGCCCCAACTTGCGTGTACGATCCCAAGACGAGATGGAGGCAATGACCTCTCGCAACCCTGATAAACCATCTTTTATGACTGGATCCAACTCAAACGCACTTGGTGTCAAGGTAGTGGACGATATACCCTCGCGATCTGTGAAGCGCATGTCCTCGCCTGAACGTTGGGAATTGAAGCAACTGATTGCCTCTGGCGTGGTTGATCCTGCAGACTATCCTGAATTGAACGAAGATACTGACTTTTTGGGCAACGTGGAAACCGAAGAGGAAATCGATGTAGAAGTGCGCGAAGAGGAGCCTCCCTTCCTGAAGGGCCAGACCTCACAAACGTTGGATTTGAGTCCTGTCAAGGTCGTCAAGATTCCCGATGGCACCATGAATCGCTCTGCTTTGGCTGGTGCTTCGTTGGCTAAAGAACGTAGAGAATTGAGACAGCAACAACAGCAGCAAGAGATCGACGCTGTGCCTCAAGATGTGAATACGGCCTGGCTGGATCCCATGGCTGGTCCTGGTGGAAGACAGTTTGCTCAAGATGCTCGTGGATCAGCTGCTGGCTCTAAACCAGATCAAGTGCCTGAATGGAAGAAGGCTACGTTCAACAATGCCACGACGTTTGGTAAAGTTACCAGCTTGTCCATTCAAGAGCAACGTGAATCGCTTCCCACCTTTAAGCTGCGTTCTTCTCTTATTCAAGCCATTAGAGAGGTAAATTTGACATGGACGAGTATGATACAGTGCACTGACATGCTGTTTTATAGAACCAAATGTTGATTGTTGTGGGGGATACAGGTTCGGGAAAGACGACGCAAATGACACAATACCTTGCTGAAGAGGGTTTCGCTAACAATGGAAGAATTGGTTGTACCCAGCCTCGTCGTGTGGCTGCCATGTCAGTTGCTAAGCGTGTTGCTGAAGAAGTCGGCTGTCGTGTTGGCCAAGAAGTCGGTTATACCATTCGTTTTGAGGACTGTACCAGCCCTGAAACTCGTATCAAGTACATGACTGATGGTATGCTGCTAAGAGAGTGTCTCATTGACCCTGAAATGAGCCAATACTCTGTGGTGATTCTGGATGAGGCTCACGAAAGAACCATCTCGACTGATGTTTTGTTTGGTCTTTTGAAGAGAGCTGCCAAGAGACGCCCTGACCTCAAGCTGATTATTACCTCTGCTACTTTGGACGCTGATAAGTTTGCCACCTACTTCAACAACTGTCCTATTTTCACTATTCCCGGTAGAACTTACCCTGTTGAGGTCTTGTACACCAAGGATCCTGAGTCTGATTACTTGGATGCTGCTCTTATCACTGTGATGCAAATCCATCTTTCTGAACCTCCAGGTGATATCTTGCTGTTCTTGACGGGTCAAGAAGAAATCGATACAGCGGCGGAAATTCTGTTTGAGCGTATGAAAGCGCTGGGCAACGATGTCCCAGAGTTGATTATTCTACCAGTGTATAGTGCTTTGCCCTCTGAAATGCAATCTCGTATCTTTGATCCAGCACCTCCAGGCAGTCGTAAGGTTGTCATTGCTACCAACATCGCAGAGACATCCATCACCATTGATGGCATCTACTACGTTATTGATCCTGGATTCGTAAAGCAAAACAAGTGGGACGCTAAGCTCGGTATGGACTCTTTGGTGGTTGTGCCTATTTCACAAGCTGCTGCTAGACAACGTGCTGGTCGTGCTGGTCGTACCGGTCCTGGTAAATGTTACCGTCTCTACACAGAAACAGCGTATCGTAACGAAATGCTGCCCAATACCATCCCTGAAATTCAGTTGCTGAATTTGTCAATGACTGTGCTTACTCTCAAAGCGATGGGCATCAACGACTTGTTGCATTTTGATTTCATGGATCCCCCACCCGAGAACAACCTGATCCAAGCATTAGAACAGCTGTACGCACTGCAAGCCCTCGATGATGAAGGTCTCTTGACTCGTTTAGGTCGTAAAATGGCAGAGTTCCCTCTGGATCCTCAACTGTCAAAGATGCTGATTCAATCTGTGGATCTAGGCTGTTCAGAAGAGATTTTGACCATTGTCGCCATGCTGACCGCTCAAAATGTATTCTATAGACCCAAAGAGAAGCAAGCCCAAGCTGATCAAAAGAAGGCCAAGTTTCACCAGCCTGAAGGCGATCATTTGACGCTATTGACTGTATACAATGGTTGGAAAGGAAGCAAATTCTCGAATGCTTGGTGCTTTGATAACTATATTCAAGCTCGTAGTATGAAACGTGCGCAAGATGTGAGAAAACAACTGCTTGGTATTATGGATAGGTATGAAGCGGGAAGAAAGAGGAGAGTGTATATGATGCACTGACTATGGTTTATAGATACCGCCATGATATCGTGTCCTGCGGTAGAAATTATACAAAGGTCTGTAGAGCTCTGGTGTCTGGTTATTTCAGAAATGCTGCGAAAAAGGATCCTCAAGAAGGCTACAAGACCTTATTAGAAGGCACACCTGTATATATCCATCCTTCCAGTGCACTGTTCAATAAGGGTCCTGAATGGTAAGCAATGCAGACATCGATGGTTGAATGCAGTGTATTGACATGTGTGGTCTAGGGTTATTTATCATGAAATTGTGTTTACGTCCAAAGAATACATGCGTGAAATTACAGCGATTGATCCCAAATGGTTAACAGAAGCAGCACCTACATTCTTCCGTGTTGCCGATGCCAACAAGATCTCCAAACGTAAAAAGCAAGAAAAGATCGAGCCGCTGTTTAATCGCTACGAGAAACCAAATGAATGGCGTCTCAGTAAAGCTAAACGCGGTGGCAGAATCAGTCAAACATTCGGTTAGATGTCATTGTAAAAAATTGTTATATAAAGAAAACTGTTTATCAAGTGCAAATCATTGGGAATAATCAAGCACTCATTTTGTGATTGATGTAGAGGTAGTAGTAGATGGCAGGTGCTCCAGGTTTATCATTAGGTTGAGCCACTTGGATAGGAATGCGTTGCTCTGTCTTCCAATAAAACTGCTCTTCATTGTCAATGTAGAACTCTCTTTCACCAGAAAATGAGATGGAGAGCCAATAAGCATCTGGTTTCGCCACAGAGAGCATTTCTGTTGACAGCTGCTTTACTCGAGATTGCTGATCGTCATCCCCGCAAGCAATTGTGTCTACCAGACTTTTGTCAATGATGATAGAGTATTGAGATTTTGGCAGATAAGACTTTAGATTGTTCAGGCAATCACCAGAGATCCAGGAGATGTTGGAGTAATTTGAATTTTGTTGCTGTTTTTCATGTGTAACAGATTTCATGTATTCAATGACATTTTCTGCATAATCGACATTGACAACAGTTTTGTAGCCTGAATCTGCCAGATCAAATGCAAGCTCAGAATTACCACATCCTTTGTAGATATGTTAATGATAAAGTCTCGAAAAACACGAATACATCTCGCATTACCTAAATGAAGAACATCTTCATCTTTGTTCAGATAAGGCTCAAACTCCTTTTTGATGTCGTCCCAGGTTACCAACCACTCAAAATGCTTTTCTTTTTCAAATCGGTTTTTCCAGTACTCCTTCTCATGGAAGGGAACAGCATTGACTTTGGCCATTGTTATGATATGTAGAAGACAAAGAAAGACAATCATTCCGAAAAGTTTTATCTAGATACATTTGAAAAAGTCACGCAGAAGAAGCTAAAGTAGTTGGCTTCAGCGTCATTGAGCATATTTACATCTATTTCTCCTTTCTGAATTCGACTTGAATGTTGCTAATGCCAACGGGCTCTCCAGACTATTCAATGGGATGAATACCTCTCGTCTGCAAAGTGTGTGGTGCAGTGGTCCTACCTTTTCATCATATTCCGCCCATTCATCCTCGCAAAGATCAATCTCTTCAAAAACGGTGCCTGATTCAGTACCTTTACATGTCCAAGAATCCTGGTTTACACTCGTCAATGGATGCTCTCCTCCATTTCCATCAAATGTTCAATACTCACTCTTGGTTGAAAATCAACCAACTCTAAACCACGGCAGTCAAATTGAGCAATTTGTTGAAATTTGCCGTTTTGCTCCACATCATACTTTTTAATCTTGAAAGAAGGTTCGAATTCTACAATTGATCAGTGTCTGTTGCTCTAGTAAGCTGTTGGAAAACTTACGAGCAGTAAGGTCACGCTTACAAAATTTGCAACGCATTACCAAGTTGGCAGTACCACGAGAAGAATTCATGTCATATTCATCCTAGGAGTGATAGTCGATTAGTCAAGGTAAAAAAGATGCAAGTCATCAGACTTACCTGTTGATTGAAAGAAATCCAAGAGTCATCAACCTCATGGCAGCTTGTACATTCAACCTATCCATATAGTTCAATTAGCCCTTGAGTTCAGATACCAATCATGTCCGTATTTTTTTTTTTTTACACTACCTTGAAATGCCATTCGTAATCCTCAACGGGAACGAGATCAGTAACATTCTCGAGATCAGCCTTAATGTATAATCCTAATTTCTGTCATTCATAATGTGTGAAAAACAATATCTTGAAATCTCGGGTTGCTTACATACCACCATTTGTCTGGTTGTTTAATGGTATATGTTGATGAGGAAAAAAAAAATTCGCCAGCGTCCATCAACCAGAGGTCTAGCTAATGAGCAGTGCCAAAATAATAGTCACGTGACAGTAATCAATTATAAATGTTTTGGTCTATATTGTCTTTTAAATCACAAAGAAACATCCAAGTCGCTTTGTCCGAGTGGTTAAGGAGTATGACTAGAAATCATATACGCTCTGCGTGCGCAGGTTCAAATCCTGCAGGCGACGATATTTTTTTTCAAAATCTTTACTTGTAGTGTTTATAGCCGGTTGTATCCTGCCGTAATTTGCTATCCAATGTATCTGGTTATATTGTTACAAATCGATTTTGGTTTTGTAACTGAATCTCTCTTTTTTTGTTGTAAATTGCCTACAATACCGTATAAACTACGTTTCACTGCTTACTATATTGGATTCTACTTCTGCTACTACAAATTGACATTAAACTCTTAAATGCTTCTTATATTCGAATATACTCTGAATCCTATCTCAAGAATGACAAATCAGTTACCACTCAGCCTCGTACCATTTTGACAGATATATATTCAAACTCTTAAACATCTCTCTTTCCTAATGGAAGCACACAAATGGGAAGCAACTCCACATTACCCATCCTTTCATCCTCTAGTAACATTATCAATATCATCATTCACCATCTTTCAACAACAAATATAGCTTTCCAGCTATAAAAACTGTTCAAGCTTTTAGGATTATTAAGGGTATCAAAATCAATTATAGAAGGGTCAGCCCTTCATTACAAATTATAGCATATAGAAACAGAATTCAGGACATATAATTCATAGAATCGATATTATCTCGCATTCAAGATCAAGGTCCTATTGCTGCGGCACTATCAAATAACTATAGATACCTTTGAAATCAACACTAGTTTTGATCCTTATTCAATCTTGGAGAAACATAATAAATATATTCAGTTCTAATTGTATTTACTCTGTCTATATTTTGTTATTCTAAACATTGATAATGTCAGGCTCTGCATGTCTTTGTTGATTGTGATTGGGTAGCTTAGGTGCTCTTTAAAGACGGCCTCCCAGACGTCGTGTTTGTTTCCCCATTCTATGATGAGAACGTGTATGATGTCTTCTACTTCGTTACATTGTATGCATCTGTTGTTTTCTACATCTTTGATTTGACTTTGGTATAGGAAATTTCTGCAGGGGACTTTGTTATATACGATCTTGAGACATAAGTTTCGTAGTGACTGGTGCATCATATGAGATCTGTAGAAAGCTTCCCATTGCTTGGGGTTTATGTTTTTGTTGTGATCTTTTAGCAGTTGTATAGGCAGTTCTTTGAGTAGCAGCTGTCTGATTATTTTGTTCTTGCGGAGCTAAATGATGTTGCTGTTGTGCTCAAAATGTTGAGTTAGACTTGTTGCTTCTTCCTGGTGGTTAGGTGTTGAGTTGTTTGGATGAAGCAAGTTGCTGAAAAAATTTTGGAGGTGTAACTGGTTATTGTTGTGGTCTTTTTTGAGCATGTACAGTATCTGCGGTGATTTGCATTCTTGTCTAGTCTTATATTTGAGGGCTGTATAATTGTGATTAGGCTTGAAAAAATTCTGCACTAGGCTTCTCTTGGCTGTAGGAGGGTTCCTGAGGTAGTCAGCAGTTTCCGAGTCTTCCCAGTCCTTGTAGATGGTAGTCAGTGGTAAAGTTAAACAAGTGTTGATGTTGATGAGTGTTGTTAAGCACAAAGAATAAAAGGATTATTGTTTGTAGCTTATAAAAAATGTTCGATATTATAAAAACAAGAAAAGACTTATTTGAATAAAATCGGACACAAAAAAACTAAAGATTTGTTGATGAAGAAAACAAGAGTTATTCTATTTATACTAAGTTCTGAATGCCAAAGTAGCAATTTATCTTGTACAACGCTTATCACATCTGATGAACCTCAGTATTTAGAAAGCTGAGATGCACTTCACTTATCATAGCTTGTCCCTGTTGTTGCACAACACAGACATATCTACCCATCAAGAATACCTTAATCTTTATAGACAGTTGTAGCCCTTCTGGCACAACGGCGCTTAGTAGCGTGGTTTGATGAGCTGTCAAAGCTATAGTTAAAGTTGCCCGCCATTATCAGGTCAGGGATATTTTCAGGCATTGTTAGCAACATCTCTACTGTTCTCTTGTAGAATTGATTGCGTTGTGAGGTTTCTTCAGCAAATATACCTGAGCGAGCGTACAGATTCAAGATGTATACTGGTGGAATCGAGTTGTCGGCTATAGAGAGTTTTGCCGGGATCATTCTGCCATCGTTAGATTCTTTGATTTTTTCCAGGTTAAGTGAGTTGTTGAAATTGATTACGGCACAGTGTTGGGTCCATATTGCTTGATGGTAGCTGAATTTGATCTTCATGTCTGTTACTTCTTCAAAAGAGTGAGAAGGGATGATGTTAGTTTCTTGGCACAGTAGTATATGTGGAATACATCCACTATGATCTGCATTCCGACAGTTCATCCAGTTACCAGATTTAGATATAAACTGTATGTACACTGGATTAGATGTACGATATCGATTTATACTATGATCATGAGAAGATATGGACTTCAGATACGCTAGTACTATAAGATTCATACTATATAAGATATAGGCTATAGATGGCACCACGGACATGGATGGCACTATAGACTTATACTTGTATTCCGACATTGACTACGGATGTTTACCATATCTGGATAGGCACCAAGATTAATGCAATATGAGCTTGTTGCTTCAGATGTGCACTTCATGATCCACGCTATAAGACACATGCTTATATCCGTGATACTAGCTACAGATACTTTATGTACTACAGACTTGTACTATATATGAGACATGCTATAGACATGCATACGATATGCTATAGACATGCCATATATCCAGATACATGCTAAAGATGTATGCTTAGCGATATACACTCAGATATGTACTATTAATATAGACTAAGTAGACTGTACCTATCGGATACTTGCTACTAGATCGATATTAATTATCCTTATAGAAAGGATAGATCAGGATACTTCGGATGAGAGTCTAATTATTCATCCAGACAGAGCTAAATCATGATTAGCTTGCTGGAGTTGTCTTTTAGCATGATTAGACATTAGTTGATCTGAGTTGACTTATTTGTCAATCTAATTAATAGAACTTTTATCCATTGTTATAGTATATAAGAAGGATCATCTACCTGGCCAGTAGAGAGACTTCAGTTTACTTTACACCTGTCAGTTTGATAATAAAATATACCTTTATCAAGTTGACATTACTGTTTTTTTATTCTTTTTTTTCCGTGAATTTTAGTCTGTAAAGCCTCAAATTCCACAGTATATTTAATTTCTTGTCTTTCAGCAGGCCAATAAAGGTGTCAGTAATGTGTTGGTTGGTGTTTAAATGTAGGTTTCTACAGTTAAGAGATCCTACTTCGATGTTTAGATGTTTAGTATTATTATTCATTTTTTTTTCTAGCTCAAGTTCTAATCCAACCTATTCTGCGGTGGCTTTCCGCTACCAGAGGTATTAGAAGAAGCGGCTGCTTCGTTGGTGCTGGATTCATTCTTTTTTTGTGTTCTTTTTTTTTGAAGATGGGACAGTTTCCTGTTGGCCATTTGGGGATATAGCATCATCCAGATTTCTCTTGGATTTCAATGGAGTGAGCTTGTCAACGTCAGTGAGCTTCAATGTTTGGTTACTTCTAGTGACGAGGCGAGGAGCAGATTGTGTGACAGATGGGGTAATATTGGTCGGCTTCTTGTTGGCTGGTTCACTTGAATAGCGAGGCATTTTGGCATCTTTGTCTAATGAGGTGGACTTTTCAGTGTCTTTTTCTTCATTTTCTTGGGACTCTTCGACCTCTTCCATTTCCCCTTCGTGATTCAATATTTCAAATTGATTTTGGGATGCTGGCTGTTGTGGCTGACCTTGTTTCACAAGATCAAGCAGGTTGACTTCTCTGCTGCTGGAATTTATACGTGATACCAACTGGAATTCATTCTCCTTGGATCCAGGGGGTAGACTTACTTGGTTTGGTTTCACTGCTTGCCTCCGTTGGTTTGTTGTTCCATGGGGCCACAGGGCATTTCGCAATCAAGTGGTTTAGACTCTTGCGACGGTGACAGAGTCTTCTTCTTCTCTTGGGGCAGTCAAATCTAACGTACTCGTCCGTGTGGCAGTCAGTACAGATAGGCTTCATCTGGGACCATACCAGGTGCAGATTGGTACCTGGGAAACCTCCCAATTCAACTTGAGGGGTTAGGATGTTTCCATAAGTGGACTCCTTTAATTTATTCCGAGTAAGAGTAGCGAATCCTCTTCCAGTAAATCAGCCAGAGTCCCCACTGTTTGAGATACCAATGTTGCTTACGTTTGCAGTGTGATCCAGCGTCTTGTTGACTTCAATGACTTTTCCATTGACCTTGAACTCCATACCCAAGAACTGAGCACAGTCGATGACGATAGAATTGCGCTTTTTAGCTTCAATGAATGTTGAGTAGGTGTTCAGAGGTTTGAATGTGTTGTTATCCACACCAGGTACAGCAGTTTCAAAGTTGTGTCTCTTCTGTTCCTTGAGAGCATCGGTAAAAGATTGGTAAGTAAATAGTTGATTGCTTAGATTATGGCTAGAGTCCATTGAACCACCTTGTGTGGGTGGATCACTGTTATCACTCTGTTTTTTAGTGGAGGAAGCCATATCAGGTCGATCGAGTCGAAAACCATCAAGGTTTGTCCAATCTGGAACAGAAAATGAATCTGAGTTTGAATTAATTTTGGCCGGTGGGGCCAGCTGGAAACTCAATACCGTTTTTATCGTGAAGGCAATACAAAAATAAATGCTTTTGGAGGAGGGTACGGAAAATAGATAGCAAATTACATAATAGCACAATCGTTTATCATGCTATTTTCTTGCATTCTATATTTAATAGCGCATAATTACGTCTTTGATTGCTTTGAAGTAACATTCTAAAAACTTACGATTGTTTCTGAATCATAAGAATTAAATTCTTACAGAATTCAAATGAACATAGAATCATACTACTCACGGTAGACATAGTAAAAGATGTGAACAGGCAAGCAGCTCAGGCTGTTTTTCAAACTTTACGAGAGCTCTCAAAATAAAACATGTGTTAAATTTATCCTAGAGATCTTTCACAATATTTATTCTATAAAACAAGAGAAATCACCTATCGTTTTAGAACAACTAAATCGAAGCTGTACAATCACCGTGAGATATTCGACATTGGAGATGCTATTTTTAAGCGGGGGAATTTACATACCTTAGATTAGAATAGTTATTATTTTTTTTGGAGGTTCCAAAAAAAAAATTGGGTTCCCAGCAAAATTGGAACCCGATTGGAGTGATAACTTTTGTTATAAGCCAATACTTTGTCAAATAACAATTGTTATTGATCTTTGGGTTCCAGTTTTCGTTCCAAGTGTGTATATTTGACATCTACATAAGAAATATTAGGATTTAATACATTCTAATGATATGTGTGTTATCCAAGGCCTTATCATAAAAAATATATGTATTCTTTTGGTTAATTAACACCTGAAAGAACTTTTTTTTCGCTTTTAGTTTGTACTTATGTTCCTGAAATTTAATCAGGAACCCACTCTTTCTAGAATTTCAAAGGTATAAAGCTTTTTTTTTTTCAAAATGAAAACTGTGTGTCTGATCTTTTTGCTTTGTTTATAGAAAAGCAAAAGCTCACGTTGAAGAAAATGAAGTGCCCCATTCATTAATTATTGAAAGATTTGCGCCTGAAGTACAAGAGCAGCTTTCCAGCATCAACCGAAGTATAGCAAATACAATGCGAGAATTGAAAGAACGTCAAAAGAAGTTGGATGAAATCCAGCAGCAAATGCAAAAAGTGTTTGACAATATAGTCACCGGAAAGCAGCAACTGCAACTGTCTTTTAGAATGGACCAAGGGAACCAAGCAGTAGCGACAACAGGCGCTGTCGCAAAAACCTCTGCCTTGCCAAGATCAGAAGATGTATCGCAATCAAAACAATTTTCGGAAGAATCCCAACAAAGCCCACCACCACCAGGTTACAACAACACCGCAGTTGCAACTATTTCACTTCCATACAATTAAGAAGGTGTACCGTTATACAAAATGAGTCGACAAGTGACAACTGTGTGTGATCTTTGGGACGAGTGGACAATAGGTCGAGATGGATTCTGGTCTGTTCAAGAATTAGAAGACAAGTGGGGCGCTAAATGGAGAAAAGACGACAGAAAATGGTTCAATATCCGTAAAAAAATCATTGATTCCGTTGAAGACCTTCAGCTGGATCTTGGTCTCTCCCCCGCTTCTGCTGTAGGCGCCTTACAAAAGGTGCCCAACACTCGCCGCTGGTCTTTGGTGCAGTGAAATCAGGTTTAAATAGATTTCACAAAAAAAATAAAGCAAAGGTAAAATACAATAGAAATCAACTGTATTTTATTTTGTGTATAAAATGAACTGAAGATCCTGGAATTGAGTAAAAAAAAGAAGAGTATTTATACATTTGCATCTGGCTTGTAGGATTAGTGATGATAGAGAGCAATAGGTGCTGCTATTGCGATATCTGGCAAATGTTGTTGATGTTTGATTTAAAGTGGTAATCAATGCAGGAGCACTGGCCATAAGGGTCGATTTGAGTAACCTTGATGGGCTTGGGTGAGCTATCGTCATAGCATGATTTAATGTAACCTTGATGGTTTAAAGTGTGGCGTTTGTTATTGAAGCATGGAATCCTTTATCTGGGATATTGTGCAACTATGGCAGCAGGGCATAGTTGTCATATTTGAATATGCTTGTTATTGATTTAATTCTATTTGGATAAAGATACCATCACCTACTACGACCATCATGGGTGTGATTGAATACACTGTGATCAGGAGTGATTCATTCACACGATGTGCGATATAAGCGTGTATCTTTACTTTAGTATTTTTAAATGGGTTTTTGATGTACATTTGAGCGCTTTCATTAATAGATCCAAATAGCATGAATTTGAATGAGTGCTATTTGATGAACTTTGGTTTTCAATTAAGTTGCGTTTGGGTGGCTATTTCATTACATTTGGATCGCTTGGGCACCGAGCTCCAAAAAGGCGCTTTTTTTCCTTGCGAAGAAACGAAAAGAAGAAAATTGCAACACTTCTAGCTGAGCCTTTTTTACCATCAATAGTTGCATTTTCATTAATAAATATGTTATGTCAAAATACAATGTAAAATTGAATCTGCCAAAGAACTACACTTTTATTGAGAATGCATCCCAAGGATGCATTTATATACTTTTCATTATGCTAGGGTTTACTGCATGATGATGAACTATAATACAAATAGGTTTACTATCTACCCAACAATTGATTTGTAAATCATGATTAGCATGATTTACCCAAAGGACCTAAGAATAGCCTAAAACCTTTAGTGTGAGACCTTGCTATGACATTTGATATAACAAAATATCTTTTTTTTTTCCTGTGGATTTTGTAAAAATCGCTTAAAATGTGTTATGTAAATCTGGGTCTCAAAATAGCAGGGAACCTCAAATGGCACCCACTACTGAGAGCTGGTAAATAATCCTTTATTATTCTTAAATAAGGCAAGCTACAACTATCTAACCTTAAAAGCAAAATTCTCCATCATGTCAAGTACCTATTGGTAACTTGAAACTAGCAAGTTAATATGGCCCTTTTCGTACGCTCCGATTTTTAAAATGCTCGGTAAAATTCATGCTTGTGTGGTGCACATGTGTGTAAGGTCAACGGAGCTTCAATTTCTATTGTTCTGAATGATGATCCATAGGATTCCGAAATCTATCGACCTTAAAATTACGCGTTTCTTGATAGTAAACACCCCTTTAAGCTTATATAAAACTTGTAGAGAATTGCAAGGAAAATACAATGGTATTTATTTCAAGTCTCTGGTGTACATTGTTCACCTGATATTTAATACGATTGTTTTGGCGATTTTTCGACTGTTTTGTAAAGATTAATCAATATCTGTCATCAAAACATTTTGTTAAGCATTACTAAACATTATAGACCGAAAAATTTCCTATCGAATGAGCCTTTGCTCGAAGCTCTAGCAGGATTATATCATGAAATATTGACAATCTTGCCCTAACCAAAAAATCGTCACCAGATTTTTTGCTTGCCAACACAGGTAGATTTCGAAGAAAAACCCATAATTTTGCACGACACCCTTTTTTGGACATATCTCGACAGATACTCATCGGATTTGCACAAGACAAAAACAATTCGATAGCTCTGTTGAGGATATAGATCATCTCTGAGAGGCAAATGTATTAAGCGTCGTTTATTACATAAGAGGATCTGAGAATGAGCTGAGATGCATAGTAGAAGTGAGAGGTCTTTATTCAAGCAGCACGAAGGAACATGAGTGGTGCCATCAAATGGCTAATCTATATCCTGGTTCCTAGAGAGTGGTAGCCTATGGTCTTTCGTCCCTGGAAGTGGGTTTCAATTCCGACAAATGTTCTTCCGTCAAAGCTATTAGGAAGAACATTCTATCCTGGATCATCTTTGTTGTTTATCCTTGACTGGTGGTTCATGAGTTCTGATGCAGCACATCCTCGTTACTGGTTCAAGGCTTATACAATTATCCCGCATTCAAGATCAAGGTCCTATTGCTGCGGCACTGTCAAATAACTATAAATACCTTTGATATCTACACTAGTTTTGATCCCTATTCAATCTTGGAATAACATAATAAATATATTCAGTTCTAATTGTATTTACTCTGTCTATATTTTGTTATTCTAAACAAGCTCTACGTTATATCTATTATAATGTGAGGGTTTGAAGTACCAGATGTACGTTCCCTTCATAAATTTGCTCAAAATCATGTATTTTATGAACTACAAGCAGAAGATTTTCAAAACTTGAAATATTTATCTCTAAAAACCACACCTTCGTATAGAGAATTGAAAAAGAAATAGAAGCTACTAAGCTTTAAGCTCATGTTCACTTGGTAAAATCAACCGGTGCGGCCCTTTGAAAATCGGTCATCTGGAACATTTACCATAAACACTTTCCTCGCTTAATTATTTAACAGCCAATGTAGCGACTGACAATCCAATCATATGTTTCGCTGCCTCTCACACTAAGTATATAGTGGTCGTGATGTAAAGTCTCTAGCATCAACATTAGAGGGCTTGGAATAACTGTTCCCCTTTTCCGTAAAATGAGCGGCAGCTTTATACTTTTGCCACGCCACAACAAAGAGGCTTTCAATACACTATTTTGCAACACGTCATCTATCAATCTATTACGTGTAATCACTCGTAATTAGCAGTTCTTATTATATAAGGCTCATGATCTCAAAATTAGCTTTTTTTCAAAAACCATCCATCTCTCAACAGCAACTCTTTCAATCTAAAACTCAATTACTCCATCGTTTTTATCGCAAAATTTCGCTGTAGGAGCATGCTCCTTTCAAAGCTCGATTCAAAGACGATCAAAAGACACGGAAAAAGACACGGAAAAAGAGAAAAGGAAATAGAAATAGAGAAAAAGTTGTGCAAATGACGAATCCTTTTTTATAGACGTTGAGTCTGGGGGGCAATCAGTTACAAGTCTACACAGTAGCAAGTCTTGTTGGACTGCCCTGTAATGAAGATTTGACGGTGGACCTCTGGTTCAAAATTTTAGATGGTGTTTTTTTGTTGAAGCTGCTCTTTCATTACATAACGTATAAGAGAACATTTAAACGCTCACATTTTTCACTAACTGTGTTAAAAAGACAAGAGGAGATATGCAAAAATATACCTCAATCTGAATACGTGTGCAGTCGCAGCCGATGATTAATCGCCAATGATGAGGTAATTTCAAGAGCTGGGCCACATCTGAAGGCGATAATGAAAACAAGGACGAAGACAAAATTGATGATGATGACACGGGTGAATACTAAACTTTTGACTTGATACGGTTGAATAAAATGTAATATACGGGATTGTCTCCATATACCTCGCGGAAAGTGTGGGCAGAACGGCTCCTTTTTATTTGCTTTCAAATCTGCACATGTTTTAATGAACATCCTGGATTTTGGCTTGGCAGGCTCAAATGACCAAGCTGCTGTTATTTCTGTGCGGCATTGTTAGTGAAAGAGCACTGGTGACGAGTTTATATGATCTGTACAGCTTGATGTTGATGTTATCAATGTGGCCATGATTCCCTCCTTCCAGTGAATGGCATTGTAAGAAGGCTTGCTTATTGGTTGCAGCTCTATTCATGGTTTCTTGCACCACTATCCATTGTGCTCAAGAGTCTCTCTTGATCTAATTTGATACAGGATCTTTGCATTGCGCACTACCTTAAAAGGGCTTTCTGTACCTCATCTGCTCACATGCAAGAAAAAAAGGTTTCATCAGTTACACAATACAAGGAAAAGAGATCTTTAAAGTAGCAAAGCAATCAGCAAGATCAATTATTTATATTCTTTACAAAATCAACACTTTTTTGCAATCAGGACAGAATTTACAACATCGTTGTATGGATGCAAGACGACAGCCGTTTCAAATCCACAAGCGTTTACTTGATACGGCTCTACAGAGGGGTACAGCAATTTGCGCAAAGAGTGAGCACTACGAGCCATGAGATAGGATCCTTGTTTCATGCTATTCCCTATATGAGCCAAAAATTCCATCTTTTCTTGTACATCTTGACCCACGAGTGCACCCAGGACAACTAGATCCGCATCTGCAAAGTCAGAATAATCCGTGGCGTCCATAACGTGCTGCTTGAACCCATGATCGATACCAAGTTTTGATAGTAGCGTATTGGAAACAGTAATAGACGCTTCATCTCGATCAATGTTGTGCATCATCACATTGGGGTTTGTAGTTTTTGATAGTTCCTGATACATCATGATGGGAGACAAGGGAAGAGGGCCGCTACCAATGAACACAATTGTGTTTAATACAGCATTCACACCATGAAGAGCATGAAGTTCCAGTTTGACCAAATCGACATAGTTTTGGTGGTATACAAATCTCGACAGCTTGGGACAAAGCTCCTTGGACAGCTCTTTTGCCCATGTAAGCTCCAGCAAGTACTCACCTTGAGAGGCCATGGCACGCAATGCAGGAATCAATGGAATGATATGGGCATCATTGAGTACAGTATTGACCGTGTTGTTATCATACTGAAAGGTGCAAATAGTAACTAGCTTTGTGAAGAGTGCGTTTACATGATCACCGGGTACCAAGCAATCGATTTGGCTTAACTGATGATGGATATGGCATATCTCATCGATCAATGAGGAAACAGGATTGCTTGATATGGATTTCTGAGTTGCATGATGATGGTGGCAGAAGGTGGCATTTTCTGAAGCAGCAAAAGTGCATAGCATATGATGGCCCATGATATTAAGATATTGCAAGTGAGACGAAGTAAGGCTGAAAGGAAAGAGACGGGTACATAAGCATCTCTCTCCCTCTCTCTTTATATATAGGAGGGATAGACGGGCAGGAACCCGTGGATTATTTATTGTCAGAAAGAGACACAGCATCCTCTGATCCACTTGGTGTTACAACTATGTAAACACTTGAAATTTTTAACCACTTTTCAGTGTCACTCTTTACATGCAAAAATTTTGATGAGTATGAAGCAAAGGTATATTATGTATACTATAAATTATTTTGATTCTGAATAGCCTGAATACTCTTTCGATCCCTTTCTCTTCTTTCTCTAAAGCTCTTGGTACTCTGCTTCTTCCGTATGCCTTGCAAAGAAAGCGCATATTCTTCGGTCAAACTCGTTGTTGAATGTAGTTGTTCATTGTTGTTGTTTTTGCTACTGATTTTCCTAATGGCGCCTGTGCTACTTCTCTTCCAATTTTGATCCTGATCGTATTTACCCAAATTAGAGGCAGAGGCAGCAGCAGCAGCAGCAATATTACTCGTGGATGCTGATCTGTTGGGCCCTCTCCAATGCTGCGTTGTCTGATGATTATCAAAATCATCATGGGCAATGCTTCCAGTGGTGATTCTTTTTATCGGTAAGACGTCTCCTTGCTCTGCTCCTTCAAATGCTGGTTTAACCCAATCCGGTGGGTCTCCAACTGTCATGGTTACAGGGTCCTTGAATCCTTCGTATTTTTCAAATATCGTGAAATCAAAGTATTTGAACTTTTCTTCAATCATGACCAGGTCTTTTTGCTGCTTACTCAACATGGCATGATCGTTGTTTTTCTTTGATTTATTTCTCTTTGTCGTTTGAGCTGTCAGCGGCGACTCCTCCAGTAGTAACTCCTCCAAATCAAATGTTATATCAAAATTATTCTCTGTTGCTGGCTGAAATGGCGGTGGGATTTGCTTGGACTCGAGCTTGTTCCACTGAATCGATCTAAAGAATGGATGTCTGACCAGCGCTGCCCATCCTGCATCACCGTAACCTAATCGTTTGTTGGGATTCACCTCCAGGAACTGCGAGTCAAATGGTATTTAATACTTTATCCGTTGGTGGTATACAGCGACATTACCCCTTGTATTACTGAAAGACATTCACCTGATACTTGACGGTCTTTTGTTGGATAATTCACATGTCCTCTTCTGATGGCAGCATGTAGTTCCTCTGTGGTATCGTATTCAAATGGCCTCTGCTCCTGATGAGTACATCTATTATGCGTATGATGACCTAGTCTCACCTTGTGATATATACATTCATACAATGTCACTCCCAGACTCCACCAGTCAACAGCCTCATTGTATCCGCCGCCTTTATACACCTCAGGTGCTGCTTTGAATTTGAGTAAAAACCGTTCAAGAGATATAAATGGGAGCTTACCAATATAGTAACCCGTTCCTGAATTTGAAGTCAACATGCGATGTGCATGAAGATGTGTTGCTATGTTGAAATCAGCCAGATGAACATGTCCTTGATCGTCCATTAATATATTGTGCGGCTTTATGTCTCTGTGCCAAGTATCAGCATATAGATCTATTAGCTTATCCTCGATTGCTGTGTATACCTGTGTACAACTCTCTTCAAATGAAGGTATTTAATAGCCGCTGACAATTCAGCAAACCAAAATCGAATCACATTCTCTGAAAAATAGGGTTGTCGTGATAGATGAAAGTGCAGATCACCACCGAGCCTTTGTAGTCGAATGATACAGGTTGATTAGCATTATCATTAAGGCCAATGAGAGAGAGGGAGAGAGAGAGAGAGACTTACATAAGATCTGTCACCATGTACATGTAGTCATTATCTTGAAATGCAAATCGTAATCGACATAAGAATGGGTGATCCAGCTGCTCCAAGATGACTCTTTCTCGTATAATATTCTTGGCTGCGTCCATTCGAATACATTCTTCTTTGCTAATGTATTTCAAGGCGTATAACTGTCGGGATTCTCTATGCTCCACAATTCTGACCTAGACACTGTAAATATCGCTGTATAGACAAATTCAACGTGTTTGCTAGTGATACCTTGCCAAATGCCCCTCTACCAACGATTCGCATCAGCTTGAAGTGAGATAGTGTCACAGCTACACATCTATCATTATTAGATCTCTGTTTTCGAGGATTTTTGTTCGCTTGCTGGTTTTACCTCGCTCATCTTGTTCGTCAGAGCGAATATTACTGCCACCAAGGGCACTGGCTATTAATCCTGAAAAGAATCGAATTTTTTATAGTGTATGATGGATTGCGATAAACAACAAACACCCTGTTTGTCTTGATTTCGCAATGTTCCTTTCAGTAAAGAAGAAGATGGTTGTGATAATAGTAACAAAGTGTGGCTATGAACTGATAATTTGATAGAAATGAGCGGTTGTTTAATCAACATGATGGTTACCTATATGACTCCCCGCAAATTTTGATAAAGGAGGGTCCCCCTTCACTTGTTTTACTTCTTGAAACCCTTCAACATGCTGAGAACCCGCAGATTAGTAGCATCGAATTTAGCCACCCTCAACAGACAACCGGTACGTGCGATTGCACTCCAACAAAGATACTTGTCAACGGATCAAAAATCAACACAAGAACAGCCAGCACCAGAAAAGTATGGTAAATTCCGTAGTCCACCAACCTCCTTGGGTGTCAACGAACCTCCTGTTGTGGACCATAACAATTGGTTGCAAAGAAAGAAGCAAAAGCTTCGAGACTTCGTGGATTATGAAAAAGCATTTGCTGCTCATGCTGCTGAACGTAGATACCTGTAAGTCGTTGATTGAGCTTATCAGAGGGATCATGCTGTTGACCACTTCTTGCAGGGTCGAAGAAGCCACCAAATCATACTTTGCCGACGTTCATGGTACTAGATCAAGCATGTACAACATCGAATTTCCTAACATGTATCTGTAGAAATGCGCCAGCATGGCGGAAAAATGTACTTTGCAAGCTCTCAGTTAGTAAAACCAGAAAAAGCAGGATACATGCCAAACTTTGAAGCGCAAGATTTATCTCGACAAAAGATCAACACCACCGAAAAGCTGGTTGGAAAGACCACACTCATGACATTTGTATACGCCAAGTTTGGAGAGCCTCATGTAAACACATTTATCAAGCCATTTTTGGAGAAATACAAGGATCAAAAGGACGTTCAAGTTGTTGAAGTTAATGTACAGGAAAATATGCTGAAACAGCTGCTTCTCAAGGCATTTATCCCTAGTATTCGCAAAAACTTGCCAGCTGAACGCAAAGAGAACTATTGCTTGATCCTCAAAGACATTAGCAGAACCAGAAAATGCCTCGACATGACAAATCAATACGTGGGATATGCATTCTTGGTTGATGAAAACTGCAAAATTCGATGGACAGCACACGGCGAGGCAACACCAGAAGAGGTGGGCAACATGTTGGCCATGACAGACTACTTGCATGAAAAGAAGTTGCTGAGCGATAATAAAAACCACTAGATTTTATTTCTTATTGCTATTTAAATGATCTATTTTCTGTACAAGATCTATAATTTGACTTTTATACATCTCCTTGACATCCTGAAGATCTGCCTTAAGCTCTTCCACTTGCTCGGCTTTTTCACCCAATAACTCCAGCAAGGTTTGGTATCTATCGTTCAGTTGCTGGTGTTGCTCTTCTAATTGACGGGTCTTTTTCACTTCTTTCCGTAACTGCTCCATTTCTTGCGTCATGCTCAGCACCTCCTCTGATAACTCGTCTCGCGATTGTGATGAGCTGTGTAGCTGCGTCTGGTAAAAGCTCAGTTGGTTCTCCAGTTGGCGAATGTTGGCCTGAAGTCGCTCCACCAGAATAGAGGAGACCACTGCCGGTGTTGTTGAGCTGCTGTCAAAGCTGGATCGTGAGCTGATGCTAGGCGTACGCACATGCTTGGTTTTATTGACGAGGACGTCATCGCTGTCTTGATCTAATGTGGGTGTGGAAGATGCTGAAGAAGCTGCTGCTGCTTTGAGCTTGATCTCAAACTGCTTTCTCTCTTCTGCTAGTCTCTCTTTCATCAAGTGCTGGTATTGGCTCTTGAGGCCTTCTTGATCTTTGGCCTCCTTCTCATTCAGCTCTGCCTTCTCCTTGATCAACACCTGGATGCGCTCCTCCAGTTCCTTTCTGACCACATTGTCAGCCTCCACTTGAGCTTCAAGCGTAGTAACTTGCGATCGAAGCTTCTCCAACTCTGATTCCGCTTGCTCCAATCGTTCATTCAGAGAATTCGCTTCTTCTTGTAGTTTGGTGTCCTTTTCAATGGCTCTTTTGCGCTCATCCTCTGCTGCTTGCATACGTATCACCATACTATCAGCATAAATGATCAGTTTCATCCATCCATATTGTAATTTGCATATTGTGTAACAAACCTCTGTTCAGCCTGATCTCTGGTTTTGATGGCTAATGCATGTTGGCTTTGTAACTCCTCGATCTGTCGCAGTAAGGGAGCAGTTGCTTCATCCACGCTGGCATTAATATCGTCCATTCTGCTATCAGATTGCTGTAGTTTCGTCTGCAAATCAGCCAATTCCTGCCTCAAGTCGTCTTCACGTTGACCGGCTTGCTCTTCCACAGTTTGAAGTGCAATCTGCAATTCCCTAATCTCTTTCCTTAATTTTGTCTCGAGGGATTCAGCATTTTCTTTCAGCTTGGTCAACTCTTTGTGCAGTCTGTCATTGGCCTTGATTTCCTTCTCCAGGGCAGCAGCATTCACTTTCTCTGCTTCCAGTTTTGCCTTGTTGCGCTCTTCCTCCATACTATTTTGTAACTTTTTGAGTGAGGTCTCTGTTTCTGTCAGCTTTTTCTGAGTCACCAGTTTCTCGGATTCCAGCTTGTTGATGTGTTTTGTTTGTTGTTCTGTCAAATCTTGGAGTAATTTCACTGATTCTTGAAGTCGCCTCTCATTTTCAGTCTGTTTGGTTCCCTTTTGTGATGCCTGTGATAGATCTGAGGTCGCTTTTTCGAGCTTCTTGGTTAATTCGGCAATATTTTTGTCAGCCTCTGTCTTTTCCAGTCGCAGCTTCTTGATGGTGGTCGAGTGCTTGAGTTCGACTTTGGACAGTTTCTCGCCCTCGTGCAGCAAACCCTGTATTTTCTCATCTTTTGCTAGCATTTGCTTCTTGAGATCATCTACAGTGGCTTCTAAACGTTTGACACTTTTCTGAAGAATAGCCGGCGAACCAGCCTGAGCATTCTCGCCTTGATTTTGCTTGATTTCGGCTTCCAATTGATCTATCTTGGCTTGTAGTTGATTCTCTTTTTTAACAGCATTGTCTTGCAATTGTTGCATTTGATCGTGTAGTTTGGTAATATTCTCCATCACTTGCATAAGCTGAGTCTCTCTTTGTTCAAGGATTCGATCTTTCTCGTCATTTTCAATATGGTTAGAGTTAGCTTTTGCGGATGCCTGCTTCGTATCCTTGTTCATTGCTGTATCCGCCTTGATTTTCGAAGGTTTCTCTGCTGAAGCTGGTGCAGAGACATCCACATCATCCGTCTTTTTGTCGTTTTGTAATGCTTTCTCAGCTGTAGCATCTGGTGTGCTATTGGTATCGTCTTTGGGTGCTACATCTTTCGTTACTGATTCTTCCATATCTGCCTGTAGTGGATCTGTGAAAGTAGCACTGGATTTTACTTCATCTTGTACTGCTTCTGAGCTTGCTTCAGCCTGGGAATCTGCATTGCTAGTAGCTGCTGCTTGCTCTTTTTCTTCTTCTTTCGCATCTGCATCGCCCTCTTCCTTGCCTTCTACCTTATTGTCTTCTATTGTTGGCGCTGCCTCTTTTTCGTCTTTAAGTGTTGCTTCTTTATCTATTACTTTTTCATCGACTTTTGCTTCTGGAGTTCCCTCTGGGGCTTTCCTACTATGTCGAGGAAATTTGTCTGCACGCTTCGACTTTTCCGCCATTACAGCTGCCAATCGGCTGGACAAGTCTGAACTAGAACGAGATTCTAAGAGCTTTGTTGCAGCAGGAGGCTCTGGCTTCTTCTCCACTGAAGCTTTTGGTTTCTTGGGCTTCTCAATGGTAGTGACCATGCCGCTAATGGGATCCACATAGGTCTCTGTCTCTGTGTCTTTATCTATCACCAGCTGCCATTGAGTACACGTATGCCACTTAAAGAAAGCTCATGCTTTCTTACCTTGTACTGTTGTGGATGGTTGCAGTTGCTGTGTCTGTGGTTGTTCGAGCAAGGAATCAAATGTGGTCTCGACGTTAGATATGGCTTGTTTGAAATAACCGCCCCACCGTGAAGTAGCTTCGTTAGAGCCAAAGAATCCACTCATAATCGATATGTGTAGTTGCTATTTCAACAAGTTGGATATTAAATGGAAAGAACATGAACAACTAAAAAAGGTGGGATTAAATAATTACGGGAGGGCCAATCGAACCATTTTACATGTAGCCATTCTTGCCTGATAAAAGCTTCTTGATTCAGCCCAGCTTAACTCTGTTTTTTCAGTGCTGGAATAGTCATCATCCAACTGTCCAATGCTAGGGACCAAAGTTGCTTTTATGAGGGCATCTTTATTCAAATCAATAGTACAGAATCCAATGAATCCTAATGGCAAGTCGAGGTCTGAATTCCATAGGATGCTGAACATATCAATTTATGAATACGCTACACTTTCATATGCAAGCTATTTCTCACTCCTCATCCACAAGCCAAAATACAGTAGACATTGTCTGCTATCAAGCACTGGTATCTCTGTTTGTAGGGCGTTTTGGACGACCTTCTTGCCAGGTCTTTATACCAGCAAATTCAATCCTTCAAAGGCTTTGTTGATCGGCCTGATTTTGGTTACCGCTGAATAGACGCAATGATAAATAAAAAGAGGCCGGGGCAGTGGGTAAGCCATCTTGAACCTTTTTTGCCCACATATCATGTTTCGCAACCTTGTTAGAAGTAGCAACAAATTAGCACTTGCTAACACCAAGCGCCATGCAGCCCATAGACTCTATTCCACTGCTCCTCCCAGCAAATCCAACAAGCCCAGTATTCCTGCCATGTTGGCAGTTGCTTCCATGGGTTTCGCCGCATACTATCAAATCGTCCAGTCAAGAGAAGGAAAGAGTGAGTAGCCATCATCAGCGGGTTTATATCCCACAGACGTAACAACTGACAGGTGATTACATATAGCTATGCCTAGAAGAAAAGAATTCACCACACCTCAAGAAGAGGAAGCTTTGAGACAAAAGAGATTGGCTGAAGTCAAGGCCAGAAGAGATGCTCAAAATCTGAAGCCTATTCCAGCCTTTTCACCTGAAGAGGTTACTGTTGTCTTTGTGTTGGGTGGCCCTGGTGCAGGAAAAGGAACTCAATGTGAAAATCTGACCAAGGATTACGGTTTTGTTCATTTATCAGGTAACATATGGCGCATTGGAGAGAACTGAGAAGCACTCGATATTAAACATGACATCTTACAACAGCTGGTGATCTCTTGCGTGCTGAGCAAAAGCGTGAAGGTTCCAAGTATGGCGAACTGATCAACAACTACATTAAAGACGGTTTGATTGTTCCCATGGAAGTGACCATTGCCCTCTTGGAGCAAGCTATGAAGGAAGCTATGAAGGAAGGCAAAGGAAGCAGATTTTTGATTGATGGTTTCCCTCGCAAAATGGATCAAGCTATCAAATTTGAAGAAGTGGTTGTGCCATCCAAGTTGGTTCTCTTCTTTGAATGTCCTGAAGAAGTCATGCTCAAGAGATTGCTAAAGCGAGGTGAGAACTCTGGAAGAGTAGACGATAATATTGAGTCCATTCGAAAGAGATTTGTGGTCTTTACCGAGACTAGCATGCCTGTGGTTGAGGCTTATGAAAAGCAGGACAAGGTCAAGAAGATCTCATGCGACCAGCCCGTTGAGCAAGTATATCAGCATGTCAAAACTATTTTTGACGACATGTTTGCTGAAAAGAAATAAATAGAGCATACATACATTAGACCTTATATATCTTATGATCCCGTTGATTGCTATAATAAGTGTTGATCTCTCCGGTCGGTAACGACAGCAGTGACACCCGGCCCGAAGTAGCGTGAGTTTCCAATGTCAGAAAGACAAGCACAGATTGAGAAGCAATATCATGTCAAAGACACTGGCAAGTCTATAACAACCTTCTTCTAAAAATATCTAGCAATAATGGGTAAGATTACTACCACAAACACACATCAGTCAAGCAGCATCAAGATGTATAAAAAGTGATAACATGAATGGATGGATGAGAGTCAACGCTACACGATTAGATGGGTACAGATGGATGGACAAGAAAAAAAATATTTTCCTACAACTAGAACAACCACACTCACATATCACACTTTTTATATACGCTTGCACTGGCTGATGCCTTCTCCAATACTACACATCTACTAACACTCAATTCATATAGGTAAGGGACAACCTAGAGGTTTGAACGCTGCTCGTAAGCTCCGTATTCACCGTCGTGATCAACGTTGGGCCGATAAGGCCTACAAGAAGAGAGCCATTGGTACCGCTTTCCGTTCTTCTCCTTTCGGTGGTTCTTCTCACGCCAAGGGTATCGTCCTTGAAAAGATTGGTGTTGAAGCCAAGCAACCTAACTCTGCCATTCGTAAGTGTGTTCGTGTTCAACTCATCAAGAACGGTAAGAAGGTCACTGCTTTCGTCCCCAATGATGGTTGTTTGAACTACGTTGATGAAAACGACGAAGTTTTGATTGCCGGTTTCGGTCGTAAGGGTCGTGCTATTGGTGATATTCCTGGTGTCCGTTTCAAGGTCGTCAAGGTCGCTGGTGTCTCTCTTCTTGCTTTGTACAAGGAAAAGAAGGAGAAGCCTAGATCTTAATTCATCCTCATCTGTTATTTTTTTCGAGTTTATGAAAATTGAAATAATAAACATTTCCAACATTTAACTGTAGTTACAAAAAAGTGTCGAATTATGCGAGGAGTAGTGTAGAGAGATTTCAAGAGGATTTTGACAGGCAAAACTTGCTTTTGCTCGATGGTGAGCCAGTGACCCATTGAGATGGCTTCATGATGACAAGAGTCTCGAGATTTTGAATGATCAAGGAACTCGCTTAGTATGTCATTGGGAGCTTTGTTGCTTTGGATTGGCATAAGATGGCCCTTTATACTTTGCTACAATTCTGATACTATTGCAGACGTCTTCGAAGCTCAAATGCTGGATGTTTCCAGCACATTACAGAATGTCTTCGGATGTTTAAAGCGACAACACCATTATTTCATGGGCATTTACGTCATGTCATTGGCTGCATCATGTAGAACACACTGGAAATTTGGGCTATTTGCATATATATAAATCCCATGTTTTGTTTCTCATCTTTTTCTTCTTCTTTTTGTTTACTTGATAACTGTATATAATTTTATAAAGATGGGCAAAGACTACTACGCTATTCTCGGTATCTCTAGAGATGCAGACGACGATACTATCAAAAAAGCCTATCGTAAATTAGGTAATGTATATATAGCCCGACATATATGTTGGCCATTTATGCGTTTTGGAATGAGTGTACTAACTCATTGACATAGCTTTGAAATGGCATCCTGATAGAAACAAGGACAAGTCAGATGTCGCTAACGCCAAATTTCAAGAGATTGGTGAAGCCTACGAAGTATTGAGTGATAAAAACAAGCGCGCTATCTTTGATCAATATGGTGAAGAAGGCCTCAAAGGACGCGGTCCTGCTCCCGAGGAAGGCGGTGCTGGAGGTTTCCCTGGTGGTGGTGCTGGGGGTTTCCCTGGTGGTGGCAGTTTCCGTTTCACGTCAAGTGGCCCAGGCGGTGCTAGCGGCGGTTTCCATCCTTCTGATGCCGATGATATCTTTAAACACTTCTTTGCTTCCTTTGGTGGAGGAGGAGGAGGTATGGGAGGAATGGGTGGCATGGGTGGCATGGGTGGAGGAGATGGCATGCCCAGTGGTTTCTCATTCAGCAGCAGTGGCGGCGGTATGCCTGGCGGTATGCCTGGTGGCATGGGCGGCGGCGGTCGTCGTGGTTTCAGACAAGCTCAACAATACGAAGATGAAAAACCTCCTGCTATCAAGCGTCCCTTCCCTATCTCTCTCGAGGATCTCTACAAGGGTGCAGTTAAACGTTTAAAGGTTACTCGTAAATTGCGTGATGGTGCCACTGGTCGTCCTGTTTCCACAGACAAAATTTTGACCATCAACGTGAAGCCTGGATGGAAGGCTGGTACCAAGATTAGATTCCCTGGCGAAGGTGACGAACTCGAAAATGGTCAAACCCAAGACATTGAATTCATTGTTGAAGAGAAACCTCACAGTGTATTCAAGCGTGAAGGCGATAACCTCCGTATCACTATTACATTGACATTGGTGGAGGCTTTAACTGGATTCCACAAGACTATTAAGACGCTCGATGACCGCACCTTAAGTGTCAACAATACCAAATCTGTTATTCATTCTGGCCAAGAATCTCGTGTTCCTAATGAGGGTATGCCAAACTCAAAGACTGGCAGAAAGGGCGATTTGCTCATTACTTACGATGTCAAGTTCCCTACCTCTTTGACAGACAGCCAAAAGGAAGCTGTCAAGAAGGCCCTCTCTTGATTTCCTATTATATAATGGAACATGTCAAAACTTACATAATAACAATCCCTCCTACCTCCTCCCCTTAACTCACATTTTATACGTACTCGCATCATACATATATCTCTAATCTTAGATATCTCCTCGCCCCCCTTTTTTCATTCATTTCAATGTATATATATATAAAACGGTACATGTCCTTTTTTTTTTACTGCTTCCAATTATCAGAAGTTGAATCAAAAGAGTTTCTTGTAGCAACTTGAACTAGTTTTGTAGTTTACAAAAGTGTTTAAAGCGTGGTCTAAATAGTAAGAGTCAGATAGACTATCCAGATTCATTGATTCATTGATTCTACGATAATAAACCTCATAGCCTTCATTATGGGCTACCTAATTATATAGTCCCCGGATATCATGTGGATGTCAATTATCTCTTGACAGAACAAAACCAGTTTAATCAAACAAGGCAAGATCTGCACAGTGTATGATGACAGGTCTCTAGGCCAAGGATTACAGCTGCTGTTGGACTCATGTTGTTACATCTAATTTCGCTTTCGACCCTTAATGTTAAATCAAAATACAACTAATTTGAATGCATTTGAGCACCACTGTCTTTTTTTTTCATAAGCTATTTCGGTTCATGCCAAGGATGCTAACGGCTACTTCTATTTCTGATACTTTTGACACCTTTCAATATACATATTTTGCCAGTGAGCCACTTCCCATAGGCTTCGCTTATCGAGGAGCATGGAAAACGACGGACATTGCCTTCTGAATACCGAGATTTAATGATTTCAGTGGTACATTACAGCATCCCAAATTTCTTAGGAAGCTACAACGTAGCTCAAATCAATGTATCTAAAGCATATGGTATTATCCAGCTGCCTTTTGAATGTAGTTACAAAAGTATTAGATAATAGATGCAGACTATCTATCGCGTCTAAAATGCCCAGTGCACCTTACAACTGCCATCACCTCTTTAAGAAGCTGTATCATTGTGCTATGATACTGCGATACAACAGTACCACTCAATTTAATATTTCCAACTGAATATTTGGATGTAACAGCACGCTCTGAATCCAGATTAATGCATACAATGTCTTTACGTCTTTGTACCATAACAAAAACGCGCCTATTGACAAGCAAATGTATGAAACACAGCCAAATTTGATTGCTTTCATGCCTTTATATCTTGGCATGTAGACCTTTTCGAGCCACCGGAATAACGCCAAACAATTGGACTTGAGTAGTAGTAACTTCCTGACACCTTTGCTCAACTTTTTGGGGACCAAAAAAACATGGCCAAAAATCGACCAAAAACCATGAGGGGTACCTCATGCTTTTCATTGAAAATCAAACGATCGCATTTTTCACCTTGAAAATGAAGACTTTTACTATGGAATATATTAAATTAAAATGTTTCTCTCGACCCAAAGCAACTTCTGAAATTACTTTTACGAGGTTTTCATATGCAAAATTTTGATATTTTGGCCAAAAGCCTTATTTCATACTTTCTAAAATTGCTCGATAGGTTGAGTCAAAACATCTATTACAGATAGCACCATTGGAAGCGCCTTGAAAAGTGTTTCAAGAATGTATTAGGAAGCGTAGGGTGATCATCACAGTTTATATAGTCGAATATCACAAAATAGAAGAAAGAAGTCGAAAAATGACGAAATCTGTCCAATCTTGAATAGAAAAAATAAACTGAGCTTGAATTGATTTTAGCGGGTGGCGCTGGTGCTGGCTGACCTACTAAATGCCTTTCTGACGATGATAATGATGATTGGGATGCTGATTAAATGGGGATTATGAATTCGAAAGGACTACCGCTTAGCTTGAATACTTTATTTTGATATTTGAGTATACTATATAATAGATATCAGTTAATTAAACAGAGCTATACTCTATAATTTAGCAGATTTGATGTATTCCAAGTTGTTTCCACGATGAAGGATTTCCAATACCAAGTTCTACACAATGGACAGTATTATTAGAAACTACTACCAGTTTTATGCAAATTTAATTCACTTACTCCGAGTTTAGCTTTCTCTTCTTCACCATTGACGGGATTCCTTTGAACAGCGTCCCACAATGCTTCGTAGGCACGGCCGTCTTGCTTACCCAAAGCAGAGTTGAGTTCTCTGTCAGTAAAGCCAAAACCATCTGTCAGCGGTACAGCATTGTTAGAGATTTTAGAGATGGCTTCACGGTATTTCTCGTTTAGTCTGCTGAGATCTGAAGGATGGATAGTAGCAGTGGATAGGAAGGTGGCTAATGATGAATAGCCCAATGTGGACAAACAAAACTAAATAATCCATAAGCATTACATCAAGCTGTGTTAGTAATCAAATACTTACCAAGTCTGAAATGGCCTTCAATGTAGGAGCCAAGTTGGCATATTCAGAAGCTTCCACTGCCTTTATCTTGGCAATCAAAGTCTTGAGAATCAAATACTCGGCATGCGCAAGGTTGATTGCCCAACACTCCATGTTCAAATCAGACCACTCTCTTCCGTTTTGCAACTGTTGACCAAGATCAGCAACAAGACGAGCAGAGCGCATGCTAAAGAGCTTGAGCTGCACCTCAGGATCCAAAATCTGTTGACTGACATCTTCAAATCGAAAGACTTGATCCGTTCCTTCAACCAAAGTATAGAGGTATTCAGCCGTGGTGGATGTAACTTGCTTTCCTTTGACGACATTCTGCAACTGCTTAAGTAAGAAGCGAGCGACTTGTTGGGCCAATACAAAGTTATCGCCTTCATAAGTGTTGGATGGCACAAAGGTGGCAAACAAATCAGCGACACCACTAAAAATGGAGTAGCCATGGCCACCCATAGCTTTACGGCATTCCTCTATGCCATCAGTAGAGCGACGCGTGCTCCAACTCTTGAGAGCACAAGAAGTAGCGTGGATTTCAGGCAGTAGCTTTGCGTCGTTGGATTCTAATTGCGCCATGAGTTGGTTGAATTGAGAGTACAAGCCCTCGCCAGCTATAATAAGAGCGTAAGCATTGGCTAAAAGAGGCATCAATCGATGTTGAACAGATGAATAGGAAATAACTTGAGATTCCAGTTGATTATTATCGGATTTGAAGGTAGGAGGGTTGTGGAATTGACGGCGCACTGTACAGTAACGAATTGCAATGGTGGTGGCCTTTGCCAACTTCCAGCCAGCGTCAGTAACAATATCCACACGAAGCTTTACCATGCTGCCATAGGACAGTTTGTTGTGGACAGGAGGAATGTATTTACCGTCATTGGTAACTTGAGCAAACTTCATAAGCATATTTTCTCGAGGAATACGAACATTGTCAAAGAGAGCATCTGTATATTGATTGTTAGTTATTTGCTTCATAGTTGGGCATGTACTCTCAACATCCACTTACATCCGTTGTCTGTAGTAGCAAAACCACCGTAAGCCTTGGGTCCAATGTCGCCTACTCGAACACCCTTGCAAGGCTTCAAATCAACTATGAGAGCAATTAGATCATCTACACACGGTGCATTTCGTATTATTCAACTTACTTGGCGATCTGATGGGAACGATGAATAGATGAGGACCGTGTGATTTTCCAGCAATCACTAGTTGAGCCTAATATATCCGCCGAAGCCATAAATATCCAATGCTTGAAGCGATTACTGGGAATTTTTTTTTTTTACCTGTACAACAGCGTGCGTACTGGCGACACCCAAACCACCAATCCACCATTTAGCAGCCTAGAATAGGCTGTAAGGTGAGCATCAAGGGCCTGAGAATAGCACTGAGATACTTACAGTCAGATCTGGACTATGGATAATGAATTCGTCCGACTTTTGATCGTACACAGCGACAGTGTTCAATCCCAATACATTGGAGCCATGACTAGCCAGCATGTCAATTTTACTCTAGATTCACATTGCCACACACACACACACACACATTTCATGTATTTACCTTAGTTCCGTTTGTGCATAGCAGCCAATGATGGCATGTCTCTTGGATGCGTTATACCACTTTTCAACTTGCTCGGCTGTGCCTTGTGATTTAATGACAGGCATGAAAGCTGTGGCAAAAAGATCAATATTTGCGCATAAAAATAGTTTACATGTGTGTACCTGAATAATGAAGGGCAAGCTATGAAACAGTATGAGTAAAGTGACGCATACAGATGGCATGCCGAATGAACTTACAGGTGTCAGCATTTCAAGCTGTCTGAACAAGGTGGCAAACTCTTCGTCGCCTAGGTTTTTCTCTTCAATCAAGTCGATCAATCGCTTTGAAATGAGCAACGATTGATACAGTTGCTATATACGTTGAAATCCTATTTAGACAAGAAGACCTCTGCATAAATGGATATACATACTTCTTGACGACTTTGGAAAGGGAACTTGGATTTGTCGAATAGGGGCTCTTGCTCTGCTAAAGCTCTCATTTGATTCAACTTTTCAATGGCTTTTGGGCCTCCACGAAGCAAATGCAGCATGGATTCACTGGAGAAATCTGCCTTTTTACGAGCATTTTCAATGTCTGCATTCATTTGAACCAAGTGCTTGTTTTCTGTCATTTTCAGTAGGATGCGATGATTGTGAAGAAAAGGAAACAAGGAGAAAGCATTCAAAAAGTACCTTCTTTTTATAATCCAAAGGACATTGGCCGTTTCCCTGTATCACATGATATGTAACCCCACATCCTATTCTCCATGCACATCCAGGAGACAACGAGACATAAGGGCGATTTGCACCAAATGTGGGTGAATGTGTTCCGATATCGTTTGCATGTATCTGTCCAAGAAACTTGTTTATAGGGCGCTGTAGGATGCTGATCTTTTTGAATCAATTTTTCTTTCATGTGTAGTAGCAAACTAGATCTTGTCAGCCACTAAACTTCAAATAAGGTAATTTAATGCAATCGCCAGTGCTGTGTATTATGTGATGACTATTCACACGCGACAAAGTTTATTTTGGAAGGGATTTGATTTCGCCAATATAATAAATAAGAGGAGGGAGTGGCTTAAACAGTGTTTCCGTTAGAGTCAAACTTGTGAGTGGCTGTCCATTGATAGTAGTATAAAAGAGCAATGGTGGGTTGACCAACCACACAGAACACGATCCTATGAAAAGCAAAATGTGAGCGATAAATAACAAACAAATCATATATACACCACTCACCAAAAGATGGTATTACCAAGCGAGGTGCCTTTGCCTCTCCATTTCTCGATGCCATGTGTGATTGCAATTAAGGGGATTTGGCCCAGCATGCCCCAGAATGCGAATCCAGTGATGGAATGAGTGGGGATGCCTACCAACACTTCATGCAGCAACGCAGAGATCAAAAAGACCAACAATTGACAGACAGCAGGTGGGACTCCACGTTGAACAGCTGGAATATACACGTGACGCTTGAAGAAGAGGTACACAGGTCTGTTCCAGAGACGCCAGTAAGTTGCCAAGTTGCCAGAGTTCCACCAGGCCAAGTAGAATGTGCGATCGCCAAAGCGCAATACCTCTGCCAATGCATTCAAGAAGGCATGGAACAGAGCATAAAACATAAGCAACCAGATCACCACAGCTGTTGTTGATAATTTCAATACACGCTCGACAATGGTAACAAACTTTTTATCCTCCAATGCTTGGATCGAATTGGCCAATGTGGGTTTCGCATATTGCTCGGTCAACACATACATCATGACAAGACATGTAATCAGTTCGCCAACACGCTTAAAGAAGAAGGACTTGCGGAACTTTTCTGAGCGAGGATAGGATGGCTGATAGCACAGAGTTGGAGCAAAGAAGGCATACAAGAGATTTTTGGCATTGACATTGTTGGGATAAGCAGCATCTTCGGTATAGAAATCTTCGGATTTTCCCTGCACAAACGCCTGGCGCAATTCATGATTGACCAGAGCAAATGAGGTCAATTTCAAAAAGGTAATCAAACAAATAACAATAACACCTGAGCCAACTATACAAGACATTGAGTGTGAGAATGACAAGCCAAAGAAAAAAAAAACCCAAACCCAAACCCTCGAAACACACGCACACAACTTACCCAATGGATGGTAGATTTGCGTATACGCAAGATAAGAGGGAAAAGTCAACAAGAATACAAGATGAGATACATGTGTTACTGCCACAACTCTTTCCAGAATAGCCAGTTTTTTCAAGAAATCAGGTTTGGCATTTTTGGCGGCTACTGCTAGTTTGCCCATGCCGTACTCCACAACTAGAGATATTAATAGACTGAGAGGAACGCTCAACCAAGCCAGCATAAAGAGGCCAAGATCTCGTACGGGTATATGGCTGTGATGTGGGACTCCAATCAAAAGACCATACTTCATCCAGTTTTCAATGATCAGTCGAATGTTGCTGGCGCCTAGAACGAGCACTGTATCCATACTGTTTAGCAACATTTTCTATCCATTCTCACCAAAAAGAAAGACTTACTGCCTAGTCTTAGAAACCCACTGTAGTTTTCGGGCGGTGCTTCCTTGGATAGCACGGAAGCCTTGGTGATTGTGTGAATGGGCAGTGTATGCGAGTAGCCAGCATAACCCTTCTTTTTGTCCTCCTTCTCCTCTGCTATCGTTGACACTCTTTTGCTTGTAATATGTAGATCTCGTTTTTGTCTCGAGTCTGATTGATCGTCCTCACTGTCTGTCACTACCTTTAAAGGTCTTTTCCTAACACTTGCCATGCTTGTTTTGCTTTGTTTTTGAAGACTGAAAGAAAGAGAAGAAGAGGAAAAAGAGAAATCTTATCGATCTTGACAATTTTCTTGTTTCCATATATTTGAAACGCCGTGTTGTGTTTCCTTTGGTAACGAACTTCATATATACTGTAGAATCACATGCTTTTTCAAAAATGTCGATTATATACTTACAAGATGAAACTTGTTTATAATTGAAAATGTAACATAGAAGCTTAAACATTAGAATAGGTACCAGCATCAGGTTAATCTTTGTCATCATCACGAATGTCGCATCTAGTCGTAGTAGAGCTCGATTCTAATCCTTGGTGGTTGGATTCTACCAATATTACACCAAAGCACGTGCGAATCAGTGGTTGATTTAATTTGAATGTTGTTAATACGATACAGGGTCCCACTCTTCTTTTAATAGCCTCGAGGGCTTTGCGTACAACAGGCAATTCGTCAGAGCAAATGTTTGGAAGTAAACCGTTACAAATTGAGAGATTTTGCATCTTATTGCGCACATCTCGATTTTGTCAAATGCCAATGCAATTTGAAGCATTCTCCAAGATGCGATGTTTCTGGAGACCCTGGATCAAGACGTAGGATCATACTGCACTTCAGGCTTATGCTTTTAAAGCTAACGTTGTTGAAAATAGAGATGATTGTGCGACTATTATTGCTTGCTTAGATCTGTATATACTATGTTTGTAAAAAAGCGTTCAAACATATGCTTTACTGAGGCCAATAACTACAGAAAGTGGCATTTTGTTATTTACGAAACGCTGATATACCGTATTTAATTCTCTGTTATGGGTCAACTTTGCAAATGCTACGAGAAATGGCTCTCCTTTACCACCCTAAAGACTGCAGTTTACGTGGCAAAATCTACAACCTTGTTTTTTTTTTACTATCAGCAACTCATTTACAATAGTTCTTGCTCACTATACATTGTACAGATGCCAGAAAGAGAGGGCTAGTTGAAAGAGACGACTTCATTCTGGTTATTCCAATCGAAATGTCTGTGACTAATAAGATTTCATTCTATTCATGCCCCACCAGCCTGCCTCAGAGTGACGAGTAAATAACCAAACAATGAGATATCAAGTCTTGCTTCTCTTTCACTCCTTTGTACACACACACATACACACACACATTATGCTCAGACACAGCATCCGTCGCACATACACATCCCTCAATAGACCTGGCCCATTGCCGCTCGGCAACAAGAAGCAACAGCAAGAAATGCTTGATCTTATCCGAAAGAAGCAATCCCGAGATGCTGCCAGTGATATTAACGATATTCACGACGATGCCATCAAGAAGCCTAGACCAGAGTTCACTGGCGACGTAAACCCAAAGACCGGTGAGGTCAATGGTCCAAAGAACGAACCTGTCAAACACAACGATTGGAGTTTTGGTGGAAGAGTTACAGATTTTTAAATAAAGGAATGGGGGTATTTATTTGCAGGTATTTACTGCGCAGATGATGATTTCTTTAGTTTTGCTTGCCTTGCCTTCTTTCTTGCGTGATATTGTTTTCTATATGATTCGAATCCCTCTTGGAACTGCTTGGGGATCTTTGTCAAAAAGCTCAATCCACCGCCTTGTTCCGTGTTGAACTGTAGGTTGAATGATGATAATGCAATGTTGCAGTGGGGCACAAATCTGGAGGGCATGAAAGATGAATACCCGGCAATACACACTGATCCATGCAAGCATCTACTTACTTTTGCGCAAAAACAATCTTCTCAGAGTACATGCCAGACCGATAAAAGAAAACCAAACCACCTGCCACACTCAGTAAAGTAATTGTGTTTAGTAAATGGAACATGAACACCTATTTTTTCGTTCAACATGAGTATGCTATCACACTGTGCAGTTTAACACACTTACTTTGCTTGGATCTATGAACACAGCATAAAAAAAATAAGCAAGCGACACAAACAAACTGACCAAGAGAGCTATGAATATGAACTTTAGCGTCTGTGTTGTGTCTGTGAGAGTGATAGCTGCTATTTACTCTCATATTTTCTCTTTCGCTTAAGTAACCGTGTCATGTTTCCTCGTAATCGCTCTTCAAAGATGACTAAATCTCTGTAGGTTGCTGTATTGTTGTTGCTGGGGGTTCGTGGCCGAGCATCTTTAGCGTTGTTCTTTTCAGCATTCATGTTGGTTAATATAACGAAAAAGGAAGAGAGAGAGAGAGAGAGAAGGCAACGAAAATGGGGTTTGAAATAAGTGGATGATCACCATTTGATGAGATGTTTCTACTCGATATAATTGAACAATTAAAAGAAGGAAAAAAAAAAAAAAAAAAAAAAAAAAAAAAAAGAGGCATCAGTAGGCAAACTTGCCTTCTATCAAGCTTTGCTGCTTTTGCGATGAGCATAGCAATTATATAGCCAGACTTGCTTCTGTATGGAGACATTGCGCATGGCAAATATTCAGACAAGGAGAATATTATCGATATTGCAGCTAATCGTCTTTTTCCCCTGAAAAAGAAAGAGAACATCAGGTTTCAAATTTTCGATACCATATTATGGAGAATTCATGTTATCACAAGACATCCAAACGTATTGCACAAGGCGAGTATCTTTGTGTATGCTGCAACAAGCTGATGAAATGTCCAATCAGTTCTACTTGCTATCAGCATGAATTTCAAATGGCCTTTAGTAGTTTGCTAAGCTATCAATTGACTATTACAATGAAATAAGCGGTATTGTTAGTAGTTTTTAATGTGTCTAGCGGTTTCCTGGCTCCTCTCCACACTGATGTAAGTTCACTGTCAAGATCTGCCCGACAAGCATGCACTGGTGAAATATGTTTCGTGGTTTAAACCAACATCTTGTAATAACCAGAACTATAGCGTCATTTCTGACCGTTAGTTACATTTTTGTGGCATAGGTCTAATGGTATATTCTTCAGGGATTATCTGCCGCTCCCCAATTACCTATTCTATTTATATCAGCCATGAATCGCAACACATTCACATGCATGGTGTCGACATGTACAGGCCAATGTTGAAATTGAAATCCATCTTCGAAGCGCGAGTTTACTTGTAAAGTCAATTGATGGGCTCAATTGGCCTTTTTTTCATCATCCATCAGTTCATCGCGTCTGGGCACTGGCATAATACAAGTTTCTTATTATTAACTCTTCGCTGGTTGCACAAACGAATTGACCTTATTTCATGAAACTGACAAAGGTATGATGCAGTGGTTTGAGATACCGCCCATTCAAGAGCCAGATCAATTGATCATCATGACATAAGTCGAAAGTTTGTTTATGCAAGGAAAAACAAAGAATAAAACATATATAAAGAGCCATTTGTGGAGCATCTCGTTCAAGTTCTTATCAATTAAATTTAATTTTATACACCAAATACACACAAAATGTCCTCCATCTTAGCTAAATCTACTCTCTTCGCCGCCATCGGTCGTTCTACTGCTTCCAAGGCCATCTATGTCCCCGCCTCCTCTCTTCACCTCTCTTCTGTCATCTACCGTGAAACCGTCGTCGATAAAGCAAAGAATGTCGCCGATAATGTCAATAAGAAGGTCGGTGAGACATTAGGCGACGCTATTGAGGGCGCTGAAAATGTCACCAATGCTGCTTCCAACAAAACTGAGGAACTCAAGAGACAAGCTACCAGCAAGTCTGAGGATTTAAAGAACTCTGCTTCTACTGTGAACAAGGAAGTTGGAAAGAAGCTTGGTCAAGGTGTCGAAGTTGCTGAGAATGCTGCCAATGCCGCTTCCAACAAAACTGAAGAGCTCAAGAGACAAGCCTCCAACAAGTCTGAAGAATTAAAGAGCTCTGCTTCCAGCGTCAACAAGGAATTGGGTAAGAAGGCTAGTCAAGGTGTTGAAGCTGCCGAGAACATGTCCAACGCTGCCTCTGATAAGACTGAACAATTAAAGAGAAAAGCATCTCAAACTGCCGAAAACTTGAAGGAAAAGGCTCCTACTGAGAAGAGCATCTTGGATACTGTGAAGGAAGGTGTTGCTGCTGCCGGTAGTGTGATTGATAAGGCTGCTGATGCTGTCGGTCTTGGTGCCAAAAAGACTGAACACAGACTCAATGAAGCCAAGGACGAGGCCAAGGTTGGAGCAAAGAAGGCCGCAAACTATGCTGATGAGGCCAAGGATAAGGCTGCCAATGAAGTCAACAAGAAGTTGAACTAAATTGCTTATAAATATACATCTTTATACATAAATAAAACCAAAAATCATATTTGTACATAAGATTTATTCTAGTCTGTCTCGTATTGCACTAATGCTGTTTCCTCCATATAAGACACGTCTTCTATCGAGCCTTGATGGCAATCCTTTTGACACACAAACACTAAAATGGTGCCAAATTCCATACCGACATTCCAGCTATCTAATACAGTTTTGGCATCCACGTTTTTTACCTTGGCATCAATGGGTTTCGTAGCACCGAGATCCTTGGTCGCATATTCAGTGGTGGGTAGAATCGACAAGATGTTGGGCATCAACTGAAATTCAAACACACGAGGCCCTTTACAGTATTTGCAAGGACTTGTAATGAGCTGTTGATCTTGAGGTCGCAGTCCAGAGTAAAACAACGGCTGTCCATTGAATTCATAACGTACACACTGTGATGGTGCACATTCAACTCGCTCTGTAAATTTCTTGAATTGCTTGTCAACGCCTTTTGGTAAATGCTGTTTTTCATATGCTTCGCCTTGCCATGTTTCTCCATTACTGCCTCCTTCATCAATGTCCATCAACATGTCTTTTTCCATATCCAAATACTCTTTATAGCGACTCATGTCAATGCCCATCGATTCATAGTTGTCTACTCTCTCTTCATCAATGTACAAATATTGCCCAGGAAATTGCGGTAAAGCAGCTGTATCTACAGGATCTTGAATGCCCATTTCGCTCATTTGCGCAACAAGGTCTTGTTGACTGGTATCGCTCTTCTTGGCTGATGCTCCAAAAGGTGTCGATGCCACAATGGATGCTGCTGTTGGCTTTTTCATACCAAAGCCACCGCCTGTAGATGGAGTTGAACCAAATGAGCCTGCTGAATTGCCCCACAAATCTCCCAACTGAAATCCATTTCCAAAGGCCTGTTGTTGCTTGGCAGCAGCTGCCTTCTTCTTTTCCTCCTTTTTACGCTTTTCCTCTTCCTTTTGACGTTGTGCTTTCAAATAAGCTTGATCTACAACATGCGATCGAATCACTGAAAAGCTACAACAGATTATGAGTTATCTAATGTAGAAAATGCGAGTGCTTTGTACTGCGTATTACCTGCCCTCCTTTCTCATACACGATCGTCGATTACAAGCCCACACATACAACACTCGATGATATGGTGACTCTTGTAATGGAACGTAGCTCTGGAAAATCAGATACATGGAACCGTGACAGATGCGGCACTCGCACACCTTGGAGGAAGGTGGTTTGCTTGGCTCAAGCCAAACCTATTTGAGGGGGGGGAGAAACATGTCAGTATGAGCTCAAAGGAACAATGCAACATTTCCTTACAGGCAAGCCACCTAGTTTTGTGATATAAGCATCGTTATCAACTTCAATGCCTCCATCTGGAATACCCAACAAGACGCTAGATTCTTTCTTTGTCTGCTGCTTCTTGTTTGACATGATAAGGTTATAGAAGAAAGAGATCAACGATCACTGAATTTTTTTTTCTGCATTTAAGCTATCCAATGTGACTAGATTGATGGCATTGTCAAAGAAGCCACTTTGGAATAGCAGCCAGCTAGTCATGATCCGCAAGAGTGTGATACTTTCAGTACGGAAACATATTAATTCTTACATGAATATCTACCACAAGAGAACCGTATCCGATATAGTATGAGCACATATATTTCGGAAACGTCAACTATCGCCATAAGGAAGCATGCTTACCACTCAATTATATTATGTCATTATTCGATACGTTTGGTTCTCCCAGACTGACAAAAACTATTCTATCAAAATCAGCCTAATAACGTCGGCCAAAACACTTAAAATTGGTATCATTAGATTTTCCTTTAGATTCTACCCTAAGTTTTATTTAGCTGGAAAGCAGTGTTATTATCAAAATTGCATGATATTAAGGCTGAGCAATTTCAGAAATCCATGAATCCTCATTTGAGCATTTGGAGGCTGGGCTATTGATAGTTTAAAATACTGCCTTTTTCTTTAGTATGTGGCTCAATTCAAACGTAAAATTCGCTATCCTTGTCAAATATAACCTCTTAATTACATGTAACAGATTAACAGGTAAGGTGCTGGCGAACCTTGTAGTGAAAATCGCTAATTCATATCTTGCTTTGCTGCCTTGTAGCAAGCTATCAGATTCTGGTGCTTACTTTGCAGTGCATTGATAACAGTGACGTCTTTCAGCCTCAGCCTTTTATTAGCATTTCTTCCTTTTTTCGTTTTTTTTTATATATATTATACTATGCAAGCTTTCTACTCATAATATAACGCTACCTTTGTTGATTAAACTGAAGTAAGTATGATTAATAACTGTGCAATAGACGTAGGATACAATGTTAACGCGTTTTATACTGTAGTTGTACTTGGAACCGCCCTACTTGGGACCTATTTCTTCTAGTCTTTTTTTGTTACTGCACCCTCGGTAGTGGCCGCTTTGATCGTTTATTGTTGGTGCTTGCGTATCCTTTGGTCTGCTGTCTTTGGTATATACTGGTTTCTGCTCTATCTCGGGCTGTGGTAGGTGGTAAGTAGCTTTTTTCTTCTGGTCCCAATGATATAAAACTTCTCTGGACGTTTGTACTATTGCTTCCTTTCTCGTGATAATGCATTCATGATGTTTGCTTTGTTGCGTTTTCTTTTTCTTTCTTTCGTTGGCTGTGATATGATCAGCTCAACAGTTATCTGCAATACCGTTGCTTTGTATGTACGAACAATAAGCATGATACATTGCTATATATTTGTATTGCCCTGGTAATACTTTGTTATATGGCCGTGGGTTGCTGTTTGTGTTGCCTCTGTCGCTTCACATGAAACAATGTTACTTATTATGTTGCATTAAACACTCATACTACTGTTGCTTCTGCAGTTGTACGTACTTGTGTTGCTTTACATCATACTATTATCATGCACGTTGCTCATGTATGTATTCTTGTTGCCACAACAAGAATATAATGAGAACATCATTGCAGTGCATTGAATACAACAACTTTTTTGTTGTATTTATGATATGCCTTTCTTTCATTCACTTTATGTGAGTATCTCTTTCATGCGTACATACTACTATACTCTTATAGTGTATTCTTTTTTTTCCTTTACTGTACTTTGTTCTATTATGTTTCTTTGAAGCATACCTCTTTATTACGTTGTGGTGGATGTGCCTATCACTGAAGCTCAACAAGACTCTATCCGAGGCTAGGAGGTAGATAGGCTGCCTCCACTTGGTTATCGCTACTTACTTTAGTGATGATTGAGGGTCTCAATGCCTGAATTTAAAGCTAGGTGGTGTAGTAAGGCATGCTCTAGCACTTGAGGGAAGTTTGATGATAGTAACAGCTATTTTGCTATATAGCTGAGCTTAAAATTTTGCCTCACATCAAAACAAGGGGAAACTCTCGCAAATTTTTTTTTTAGGTCAGCAGAGTTTTTAAGTGATTTGATTGGCTCGGAGATTCAGGGACCAAAGGGTTATAAATAGTTGATGTCCTATTGATCTGTCATTTATCATGCTCTTTGTTTTTGTAATAAAAGGGTGTCCAAATAATTAAAGTTTAAATTTTTCTTTATTCAAAAGTATATTAAGGTGCAAGCGTTTAATCTAGCATCCATTGCATAATAGTTCGACGTGAGAAATGTCCTTTAAATGTATTTATGCAAGGAAAATTATATAACAAATACTACTTCAACATAGTGTTTGCGTTGCTGCTACAGCAGTATTATTCTGGAAACCCACTACCAGACAATCTTTCTAATTGTTGGAAACTATAGTGCAACATTGTATGCTTTAAGGAGTAGTAGTATATCTTTTCCTCAGCCATAAATGCCTAGGGTTATAGTTTTATTTGATTTCACAATCTCCTTGCAGAGAAAACCTCGTACGCGAACAGTTATTTATTATAAGCCGTGGACAAGGTTTCACTTTTATCATCTTCAATTGTAAGACATACAATAAAGCATGGTTTTCAATTGTCATGATTTACGTCAATTGAGATCAAACACATTAGCCTATTCAGAAGCATGTCCAATGAAGATTTTTAGAGATGAAAAGCTCTTTATAGTTCTGATAGTAAAAGTCTCTCGATTTGGCATGATTTAGATTCCCTGCCTTTGAAAGCGTGTATAAAGTGAAATGCCTGTGATGCATTTTGAACAGATCTCTTCTTCTAATAGCTACGATGACTCTACTCGGTCTTTTTGCGTTGGGTCTGCTGACCTCGATAACAGTGGCAGAAAATGAAATGGGCCACATTATACAGTACAACGTCGTCAACTTGCTAAACCGAAGCGAAACAATGGGCGTTACAGTCGACAATACCACGTTTCCATTGAAATTGCGCAACAATAATGCAAGAATTCTGTATTCTGGCATGGCACCAGCAGCTAAATCCGGTTACAATTACGTTAAAATCTACCCAAACAACACTGTCGTTGAAGAGTCGTTCAAAAGAGCTCCTGTCATGCAAAACACAGTAAACGAATTCTTCAACCGCACATGGAACAACTATTCTGTCGCTCAGTTGCCTCAGCTTTTCCCACCTCTTCCTGCCATCAAGCGAGTATCGTCTCAACTACACAAGGATGGCCAAATACCATCCATTCACATCTCTGGAAACCAAAAGTTGTTTGATGAAATGCACGGCAATAGCACAGCCGACTTGTCTGTCGAGTCCAGCATTTCATACGTCAGCCTCAACAACACCTTGTTTTACGAGGACGTAAAAGTATCTCTTGCTGGCCGTAGCTCCCGCTGGTTACCGAAGCTCTCCTACAATCTTAAACTGCACAAGCACGATCGCTTATACGGGTATAAAAGAGTCAAACTTCGCGCTTTAGATACGGATCCATCTTATATTCGTGAGCAGCTAGCTTACGATATTGTAAAATCTGTTGGTCTTGCGTCTGCCGAGTTTTCGTATGTGCGTGTCTTTATGAATGACCAGCCATTAGGTCTCTTTGGTATTATTGAAAAATTTCAAGATCCCTGGTTAGCAAATACATTTGCCAATGGAAGCACTAGTTTTAAAAATGGGTATCTCTACCAAGGTGTATTTATGACGCCTCAATCCGCTGCTCAAGGACATATATCTGATCTTAGCTACATCAATAATCTTACTGCATATGGAGACGGACAGTACAAAATCAAAGAGGAAGCCTCAAAGGGCGATAAAGTCGATTGGGAGCCATTGCAAGAGTTTACTAAATTCATCACTACTGCACCTACAAATCAAAGCGATGCTGTAGCTACTTGGAAGAAGCACTTGGATACAGATTCATTCTTGAGATCGTGAGTATTCACTGAAAATACCGCAAAGGCTATGGATGAGCTAATATGAACAATCACTAGAATGGCTCTCGAGGTGCTACTTGGCTATAGTGATGGGTATTTTGCCATGGCAGATAACTATTATGTTTATCAAAACCTGGAGGCAGGCAATTACTTTTACATTCCATCCGATATGGATCTCACTTTTGGTTCCACCATGTTCAGGTTGACTGACATGTGGAGTGGTAACTACAGCACTTTTCCCGGTTTAAAGACCAGACCTTTGATGAAAAAAATGCTCCAGGTCCCTGAATTCAACAAGCAATACAATGAACTACTTGCTAACTTTACAAGCATGTTGATCAACCCAAACAAGACCAACGACCGTATCAACAATCTGGTAGACATGCTCAAAGAAGACGTTGCTTGGGACAAGGCGATCCCTCGTGTTGGCGACAATTTGTTTGGACAAATTGATCCAACAGCGGCTGGCGGTAGTGATAGCAACCAAACATCGAATATCCTTGGCGCAATCATTGGAGGTGCCATCCCCATGGATATAGATCCTGCTACTGCTGCTAACCTTGCGCAACGAATCAATGCGTCCATCCCCTTCATCACAGCTGTAGATGGGCCTACCGGATACATTTCTCTTGCTGGTGTTAAGGAATGGATCAGTAGTATTTCACAAAATATCACGAATTTTTACAATTCTTGAAAATAAATATATAACCAAATGGAATAAATCAATATGGTTCTGCTATGAAAAGTGAATAATGCATGTGCTCTGCTTACACTAATCATATCCAAGGCGAGCGCTTCTTTAAGGTCGGTAGAGGTGTAAATTCCAGTAGTGGATATTGTTAAATCTAGAGGGTCTTGTATTAGATCAAAGCAGCGTATACCAATGATCCTTGCTCGATTCATCATATTTATAAGAAAAAGCGCTGTATTCACCGGCGTATGAGATACTGCATACCTAAGCACTGCAATGAGTTCAGACATCCCGTGAAAGATGCTATTCTTGCCTCTTGCTGTGAGACTCATTTCATTGATGTGTTGAAGCATGAGCTATCAGGAAGATTTAAGCTTAATTTCTACAAAAGATGGCATATTTACAGTCTCGCCCTAAGGTTCAGCGTATTAAAAGCTCATTTCTATTATGTACATTCGACACTTGCAGCTCTCAATTACCCCAAAAGCAATTTATTTGTTTGATTCTGCAACTCTTTTGATAAGCATAGTTTACAGAATGCCCATTAATAATCTTATCGATAATCTAAAGTGTCGCTACTGAAGCATTCTCATTCAACACTGCCCCAAGCAGTTCGAGCTCCCCTGAACTTGACATAGCAGATCCTGAAGTCCCCAATATCTACGCGTCAAGTACGAATGATTGCACGGCCCTTATATAATACTGCCAGGAAGGTAGCACTGATATTATATCACCCATATATATCTCACGGCCTCTTACTCCAGAACAACAACGGGATGTACCAGATACACCAATGCCAAATACAAGCTTTTCTATGATGAGATGAGACGAAGTTGCCGTAAGATCTGTAAGAAAAGCTAGCTGTTTCTAACTTAAGTGTGGTTCTTATAAGCAATCGTTCCAGGAGCTCGAGTATCAGGTTTTTCCTTGTGGCTCCTCGCATCGATATTGTATTTATTATAATCAATCGTAATTCATGCACACACGAAAAAAAAAAATATAAAAAAAATATACAGAAAAGATTATTTTGACATGTTTAGTTTGCCCATCTCCTTGGTCAGTCTTCCTGCAAATCGAGCTTTGATGATTTCTTCATCTGTCCAGCCATTGAAGCCATCTTCTATAGATGAGAGATCATCAGATCCGTCATCAGAGTCGAAAAAATGTGCTGATTCAGTGTGATTCTCATCATCAAATTCATCGTCGGATGCATGCTGATATTCATCCTCTATAAACATGGCAAACACTTCATCATGCAAGCCATCGGCCGAAGATGAAGGTGATGTTTCGCTTGAATGCTTCTTTTGTTGATGTAGCGGCGGCGAGGATGATCGACTATGGCTATTTGAAGAGCCATAGTTCTTTCGTGAAGAGCTCTTTTGGTTGGAGCTACCGCTGAATGAAGTTATACTGAGCCCTTGATGTCCATTCGAGTATTTGGGAGTCGTTGGTGTGCTTTTGTGCGCACCTCTATTGGATTCCACGATGGCGAACGATTTTTGTCTTTCTCGTTTGTTCCAATGCAGACATTTCGATAGAGAATTAAACCAATCTGTTGCTTGATCCTGCTTGCAAACAGTGGGAAATGAGTATTTGGATGCAGTGACCTTGATATGGTCTCCCTCTGAAGCCATTATTAATTAGTTTGCACCATCATACTAACACACTATATATACAACTCACGTTTTAGCTCAATTCTTCCACGTCCATCAAAACTAGCCCAGGCTGTATTTCGGGAATTGAACGGCACGCAGATACGAAGTTCCATGGAATCAGGCACCAAAGTAGGTCTAAATGAAAGGGTATGCGGGCAGATGGGTGTGATTAATGTTGCATGGATTTCGGGATGCGTTAAAGACCCATTTGCTGATAGCTAAAGTATACAAGATGTTAATAATATCCAGTCGTAATTTCTCTTGACGCAAAGCATACGGAATAAGCTGTACTACCGGTGGGAGTTGATATGGCTAGGCCATCCGCTTGTACTGTAGTCAAATGTTTGTTATCTCCAAAAAGCTCTAGTAAACTCATATAGGGGCTTGGTCCCCTATCGATCACTAAATCGTTGATGACTTGATATTTTTCTACAGGCACAGTGGTAAAGCAAGGTATTTGTCTTTTCTCTGCAAACTCGTCTTCTGTTTCATCCAGATCCTCCTCCTCTGTTCCGTAATCTTCGCCATCCACTTCGCCAAACTTTTTTCGATGCTTCTTTTGAAGTTTGTTTTCTGTGCACCAATCTCCAATCTTGATTTTTCCAGTTACAGGATTACGTAAAACATTGCGCAATTTGACGGATTTTTTCTGCCCTTCGCTTTGATATTCTCTTCTGTACACTGTGCAAGTCAATCTGCCCCTCAGATTCACTCGCATGCCGCTGTCCATCACTTTTGTCAGGTATATGTCAAATTTCTCAAAATCGAATGGTGTGAGAAATCCCAGTGAACCAAGGTGGAAGGGGATGACAGGCGGAACATAGGTCTGAAATAGCCATGAGGCAAACAACACTGTCCCATCACCACCAAGCTAACAGCATAAATAAAGCGAGTTAGCTACATTCCCTCAGATGCTCCTAGACTTCTACTCACAGTGACAATGAAATCAAACATTTTTGGTTGAATTGCACATATTTCAGGTGTCCAAAACCCCAATCTCTCCTCTGCTTCTGGGCAATGTTGCAGTATTTTTTGGTATTTGAAGCCCTTTGATGCTTTCAGCTTTTGATCCACAAATCTGAAAAGGGATGAAGCATGGTTAGAAAATCAACATTTAAGAGTTTCCGCTTTACTGTAAGTTACACTTTAACACCTTGACACGCTTTCGACGTCTTCATGAACCAGAGAGCCAATTCCCTGGTCATGCCAATCAATGACATATCTCCCGGCTTGGTGATTACCATGACAGTCTTTGGATTATCCCATTTGACCTTTGTCTTTCCTAGCGCAAGGTTGTGAGTACACATCAACTGTGATGGTCCAATGAAGAGATATTTACCGATCTTTCTGGACACCTCACGCACCACCTCTGCTGTGTCTGATAGTCGGTCTGTATGCGAAGTTTCCAACGCCTGCTTTGTGGTTTTCAGATGTATGGTGTCCACATGTAGCTGCTGATTCTCCATGTTGTGAAAAAGAGGAAGAAAAAGGTGGAGAAGGTTGTAGGCTAATTGTTTCTTTTTAAATTACGATCATACTGGTACAGGGCTTTTTTTTTTTTTTTTTTTTTGTTTGGCATTACTGCATCTGTCGAATGATTTGCACTTTTCTCTATCGATGCTTGCATCTTACTTGAAACGCCCTCTTATTTATGCAGCACGAAACAGCCAAGATCTATCTAGGCCAATCAATCAGCATGTCACCACCATGGATATTGCTGCCAGATTGAATCATGTCTTGAGCAATGCCGCTATCTCCATCTATCTTTCCAGGGACCAAACTTTATGGCAAATAGAATAAGCGAACAATTCTGCTTGCGGATCATCAAGTGAAAAATGCACTCTACAGGCAAGTGGGTGTATTATTCATTATGATGTGATGGCATTTGTTTGCGTGGACATGTGCAATTAAGCTTGCAGTGTTTGTAGAAGACACAATTTTGAGTCGTCTTCTGACATTGTCTTTGCGCGAGCACCGTATACCCATTTAATATAGAAAAAGAGGCGACTGTACAACATCTGATTGTACGACATGTCGATTTATTTATATATCAATAGCAGAGACAGGTACTAAAAAATCGTTATTTGCTGTTGTGCTTTCATTCTTGTAATTTGTCGTTAAACTTGTAAAGAACAAGGGATCTGCACACATGGTTGTATTGACTGTGAGGAGCGGGCGCTTCTTTTTCTTCATTCCCTGCTGCTGTTGTTGTTGTTGCTGAAAGTAGTGGTCAGCAATGCTCTTTGATGCGTTAGAGATTGAATTGCAAGGTGGAGGTGTATTGGGGCTATTCTCTGCACTAGAGAAATTGCATTCCTCATCTTCAGAATCTCGAACCAAGTTTGGCACATTATCAATGTTTAATGATAATTTAGGAGGTTGTATGGTTGGATTTAATTTATAAAGTACAGGCGCTGAAAAGATGTCAGAGCGATCATATTCGTCTGAAGAGTATGTTTCCAGAACAATAGCTCTTTCGGCGAAATGAACAGATTTCATGATACGTTTACGTTTAAGAGAGTTGCTAATAGTAGATGTAGTGGTAGCAGTATAGATTTGATAATTGATTTGCTGATAAGGCGAGGAGATGGAGTTCATTCAATAATAAAATAAGAGAAAGAGAAAGGGGACAACTGATTTGAGAGAGGTGAAAGGATCGTAAAGGATGTGGGTTTTGATGAAAGGAGTGTATATGTATGAAAAGGGTTCACTGAATCAGTCTTGTTGTGAGAAATGTGATTGTGGTGAGAGTGAAATATAAGGGTATAAAGTGCTCCTTATAATGTTATAGCATTCTTGATGAAGAGAGAAAAAGAAGAAAACAAGCGACAGAGGCACCAAGAGACAGCATTTATATACATTTTCAGTCATACGCTTCTAAACAAGTGCTGTTGTAGACCTGTTTTTAGCTTATGCCCTGTGTAATCCGACAAACAGTCAATTTAGCTTTGTAACAGTGTTCTCTACTGACCTCTTTGAAGTTTCCATTAGCGATAATGAAATCAAGACATAATCTATCCTTAATGACCCATCAAGCCAATTTCACGACGAGACGGCGTTCTGTATACATGATACAAATAGTGCATACCTGAAAGGTTTCTGATTTTCGGTTGTGTGGGGTCAAGACATAAATACAGCTCTATTTTTGGCGTTGGTAGCACACTATTAAAAAGAAATTGTATGTGCTACTATACATTAGATGTCTGCTCTTTGCTGTGAAAGATGCCTTGCCATTACGATTCTGTATTTTCGAAAGGATCTATATATAAACTAAAAGGAAGGACTTAATTTTCTTTGTGATGTGAATGATTTCACTCTAAATCCACAAAAGGAACACTCAGTATCTCGACGTAAATCAGGAGCAAACTATAAATCATGCATCAAAATCATATACCAATTAGTGATATATTTAGCACACACACACACACACACACACACACTTGATGCAAATATCTATGGTTGATTGTTAATTTGTTTATGGTGATTGATGTCATGACCAGGGAGCCTTTTCGTCTCGCATGTACCATTAATTTGACAACCTGATCCAATGCTCTTGAAACAGCATCATGTTTTCATGTGATTCCTTTTGGTTATTCAGTCATGTTTCGCACTTGTAATGATTAAGAGATATTCCATCGTTTTATTGTAATAATAGGTCCTGTTAAAACACCTATTTCATTCATGTGAGAGCAATTAGACTTTGATCCTTGTCTGCTTTCGAGCAAGAGACCAGCTTGCGAAGATCCACGCGTTTGAGAAATAAGCCAAGCCAAAGTGATGATTAAAACTACTACTAATCCTTTGTTGGAGAAATGCTTTTTCATCTGTAAAAGACTCGTGCTCATGATTGGTATCAGGTTCCCACTTGCATTTTATATAACAGAGCCTCATAACCACACATCATTGCCAACATGGCAGCAATGTTTAATCTGTAGTAACCGAATATAATAATGCAAGTTCATATTTGAAGCCTCCCCCGAATCAGATAATTTACCATATAAAATACTAGAGCTATTAACCCAAAACCATGCATTCTTTGAAAACCTCGCGTACAAAGCATAGTTAACCTGCTCATTTTGTTTTAGCTGAGTTTGAAAATCGAAAATAGCGATTTAGAGTTACATTCACCAGAAGTTGATCGACTATAGAGGCTGATTTTGCTCTGGTTCTTGAGGCTTCTTATACCACGAGATAAAAATATACAAAGCAAAGAATGCTTCATGTATTATTTCAAATTGATGTGAAATTTCTAAAAAGGGGTTTCTAGTATCAAAAAAAGCTTTAAATGCTGTGTTCATGTTGCTTTACCGGAAAACGCTATTTTCGTTGTAATTTCAACGAGTGGCATTTCGGGTTGTACTGTCAGTTGCTATAGCAAGTGCCATAGATATGTACAAATCGTTCCATCTCAAAGGCGAGAAAGCATAGTCAGACATTGATACAATCCAAATGCGAATAACCTTCTGGAGCCCTTCAAATCACGAACATTGGAAGAGGTCAAAGCTACTATACATCTGACAAGAAAACCCGAGATCGTTACGCAAGATATCGTGCTTGCAGATTGATGTGATATCAGCGAGTTGACGAAACTAAATGTATACTAGATTATATGAATACATTAACATACAATATCGCATCATCGATGTGAGCAAGGTTCAAAGAGATAAAGTATGATAACATTGGTGATTTATTGCTTAATATGTTAAAAATATACAGGGGTGGATAATGTACTCTATGGCGATAAGCCCACTGATTTTTATAGGAGATAAACTGAATCATGTGTGATCAGAAGAGTACACACGCACAGCGTCGAGGGCTGCGTTTAAGGGAGATCACCGTTATGATGCTGTTTGCTGAGTGGTACGACAATGTCACCTAAATAAATGCAGTGAGCTTTTCTTTCGCATCTGATTCACTAAAAGGGCATTACAACCGGGGACAACGGAAAATGATAAATCAGGAAATCTTGTCTGGGTGAAGAACCCCATTTTCATATAGATTGTGTGCTGTATTGCGCTCATACTCTACATGAGATAAGCTTTTTTGATAGTACTCAGGCACGACATGGCAGCCGCACTGGAAAAAACACACACACAGATTTGCCATATCAAGGAGAGCGATTTGGCAAATCACTCTTTATACTATTTATTACTATATTTTACAAAGTAGGACATTCAACGTGTTTATAGAAATGATCACAAGCTCAAAACAGACCAAGAATATGGCAAAATGTGTAACAATCATGGCTTTTTTTTTTCTTTGCTCGGGAACAAAGATTGATTATATTCGCACACACATTTGGTATTGGGAATCTAAAGCAAGAACAAGATTCAATAACTTTCTTGGATAACAGATAAGTAAGGTATTGCGGCACACTTCTTCTCTTTTTCTTTTTTCTTCTCATTCTCACCCATTTTCATCTTTCCTTTACATCACAATGAGTTCAATAGCAACGAGCAGCGATTACGACAACAACAACGGTCTATGGAAATATCCATCTGTCACATCATCGGCGCAGAGCCATTTGACAAGCAGCAGCGCAAGTGATAGTTTTCTTTCCATGGACTCATTCGAGAAGGAGACAGCAGATCAATTATCATTCATAACTCAAAGATCAGAACACTTCAATCAGTTACTGGACGATTTAGCCATTATCGATGAAATATACACGACATTTGAAGATGATCAAGTGGAATCAGAACCTTATGGTATGTAACATTATGTATTATATAATGTACATGAGAAAATTGTTCTGATTCGTATGTCTCATATTAGAAAGACAGGTGGCGGATGCCGCAAGGAACGTCGCACAAAAGTTGCAGCTTGTAAAGCAAATGTGTCAATTGGAGGAGCAGCATATCAATGAGATGGAGTACTTTTTATACTATTATCTGGAGCCTATCGATAATTGGATACACGAATCATCCAATGCAGACATATTCCAGAAACATCCTGGTTTATGCTCTGAGAAGGCATTAATTGACTTGTTCCAAATCACAAAGCAAATTACAAAAGCACATCAAGAGCTATTTCGAGGACTAAAAGACAGGTAGGCCACATACATAGTCAGCTGCAAAAAAAAAAGAAAGGAATCGATGCCTAATAGATCTCTTCAGATTAGAAATGTGGGGCCCAACGCAATTCATCTCTGACATATTTGCACATTTCGTAAGTTATCCAATACCCAGTTAATACCAAGACTTCTCCACAACTAATGACTTGAAATGCTATAGTTCGAACGCACAGCAGCTTACGAGAATTATCTAAGCATATGCCCTAATACAATTGTAACAATCGACACTCTCTACAAGAGATCGTCGGCATTCACAAAATTTATGGATGTAAGACTGAATAATATATACTAGCACGTTGTAATGACACTTAATACCATGCAATTAGAGCTGCGTATCGCGGGCGAATACTCAAAGCTTCAAAGATATTTTATTCTATCTCAAAAAGCCCATAATGCAAATATCAAATTACCACCTTTTGATCACACAAGTTGCAGCAACAACAGAGCCATCACATCCCGACTATAGAGCTCTAGTAAAAGTACAGGAGAAATTCGTTCAGCGTGAGTCAGAGTGGAGAGCCATGTAGGTATATCTCCACCAAAGATTGAATGATTCACTAATGACATATCGCTATAGCACAAAAGACAGATTGGCTCATGTTCGAGTGCTGGAAGCAAACTGGTCAATAACCGATAATCCTGCCTCAGTTACGACTTCGCGTAGACTTTATATCACTGGCTTATTGACCAGAGTAGACATCTCAAATCCACAATCAACACAAGATACGCGCACTTACCTATTATACAACGACATTTTCATGTACTGTCAAAAGATCAAAGCATCCAGCAGCAATACCAACAAGAAAGATAATAAAGACAAGCTCGTCTATAAAGGCATCATCAACTTGAAAAGCGCTGAAATCACACCATTCACACCAGAGAATCTTGCCAAAATATCTAAAGTGAAGAAGACCTCTGGCCTAGGTTCATTTATGCGAAAATCATCAGACGCTCAATCACAGAATGCAGCAGAAGGCACTGTTGCTGTATATGGCTTTGAAATACACGCAAATGAGACTTCGTTGGAAGGCATTACTGCGCTCCGAGGTGACGGATTAGGCGTATCATTTCATACAGTGCCAGGACACAAAGCTGGGAATGGAATCAAGCGATTATATATCATGCGAACACAAACAGAAGGGGAACAAAATGCATGGATTTCATTACTTCGCAAAACAAGTGTACAAATGACACGAAAAAAATGAATAAACACTATACTAACTATTATCGAGAGATCTTCGCCCTGAAACGCAATACTTTTAATATTGAAACCTAATGTGTTGTATGTATTTTGGGATCTCTATTTTGAGATGAAGACTTTTGAGCGAGTCGTTAACTACAGGGGTTTACATTTATAACTTGAACCTACCTTTTCATGTTCTATAAGCATCTAGATGTTGTGCTTTGATCAGGTATTATCCTTGAGCTAAATCTTCGAGTTACACTAGGATAGTTACATTCGTTTGATTTATAGAATGGATACACAACATTTAGAGCTAGTAACCATTCAAGAAGATCTTTCCCAATTCGTCAAGAGATGCAATCCTTGATCTCGACGCGACATAATACTACACTATGGCTCTATTGCACAGGCACTCATGTTCTCATGCTTCTGTGCAAAAATTTGGGCTTTGCTGAACGAAAACATGGTGATCAACTGCAGCAACGCCGATTGAATACGCAAACCATTGTGTGTAGGTTATTTTAGTCATTGTCAAAGTGGCCATCTGAATGTTTCAAGCTCTAGAAGCTCTCAATTGAAGAAATACCACTCTTTACACTAGATATAATCTCTTGGCACACAATACAATAGGGCAAAATGGCCAGTTGTTTGTCTGGACTATCAAGCAGGCTAAACGCAATAGAAATTCAGGATGTGCCATCTTTTCAATAGCAGTTTCTAATCTGACAGGACAATGAGATGTAAAGAACTAGACTTTTTAAAAATACATAAAGACAATCCGATTTGACATCTATGTTTAGTTTATACGCTAAAGGTCTGTCAAAAATTTTTCGGTGTATATTTTATCATGGATAGAAATGATATGAGCGCTGCTGGCAGGGACCGTCGCTAGGTAATTAACCTTTTTCCAAACCGATTATTCTTGGATTGCATCATTTCAATACTAGCTGTGGTAGCAATGATCATGTTATTGAAATGATGAAAATGATGGTATAATACTCATTTATTAAAATTGCAATTGTAGCTGTAATATGACACTGCATCACGTCACGTTAATAATCATATGTATGAACAGTTTGGATGTATACTTGTTTATAAGCTTTTGATTGGATTTGTGTCATTTGAGGTTCCTTGAATTCCCAAAAGGAGCCCAGGTCAAAAGAGGAATGATGGCATATACCACGTTATGAAAATGAAACATTGCCCATAAAGATATACACGTTCGCGAAAATCACGTATTTAAGCTTTTGTGCCTTTCTGATTTGATAAAATTAGATTCACAGTGATGCTATTTCACGGCATTCATCTCGGTCAAAGGATCAATCTCATCAAGTCTGATGTATCATCAAGATATCCGGGTCCCCTTTTTTTTTTTCGTTATTTCCATTTAGTCAGACAAGAAAGGTTTTCACATACAATTAACTTTTGATGATTTCCCACTGGCTATGTTTAATAGAAATCAATAAGATTTTGAGACAAAGCAAATCAGATCCTCAGACGTAGATCAGGGGAAGTCAATTCAAGCTATCTAGGTGGAAGCCCAAAACGGGGCCCCTTTCTCTGCTTTTTTTTTCGGTATAAAAGAGACTTGAAAGACTCATCCAGATGGTCTACTTCCTTTGTTCATATAACAAAAACCTTCTTTTCAAGACAGACCCCTATAAACAAGCTGCAGGATCAGCAAAGTCGTTCATTTTTATCTTTATTTCATCAATTCATTTAGAACAACTCGCAGTGCGGTTACATTTACACACATTACATATCATCTAGAACATGCGCTTTACATCCATCATTACAGTTGCCCTTTCCTTTGCTGGTCTAGTCAAGGCACTTCCTATTGAATCTCGCGGCGTGTCATCTCTCAATGGTGTCACCTACACTGCTCGTAACTCGGACGGCTCATGTCAATCTGCATCAGAAATTGTCTCTTCGGTCAAGTTGATGAAATCAAGTGGTGTCAGCAAGATCCGTACATATGCTCAAGAGTGTGAGTCTCTTCCTAATATCTTGAGCGCTATCAAACAAGTTGGTGGTATGACTGTCTTGCCTGGTGTCTGGATCGATGGTACCTCCAATGACGATGCTGAAATTGCAAGACTCCAAAAGGTATTGAACTCTGCTGATAACATTAATTCTATCACTGGTATCCTTGTGGGTAACGAAGTCGTCTTCAACAACATCATGTCCTCTGGTCAATTGGTTGGAAAGATCAATCAAGTCAAGAAGATCGCCAAGGGTATCCAGGTTGGTACTGCTGAGGTGGATTCTACATATACCAGTGATTTGATGGCTGCCTCTGATTTTGCTGGTGTCAACATCCATCCCTTTTTCGCCTCTGCTACCATTAAAGATGCTTTCAGCAATTTAAATCAAAGATACAACACATTCAAGAAGTCTGCTAGCGGTAAACAAGTCTACATTACTGAAACTGGCTGGCCTAGCTCTGGTGCTGCCTCTGGCGCTGCTCAACCCTCTCTTGCCAACACCGAAGCATTTGTTACCTCATTATCTGCATCTTCTCTCCCTTACTATTACTTTGAATGGGAGGACTCCAACTGGAAGGGCGCTGGCGTTGAGTCTCATTTTGGTCTCTTGAACGGTCAAGGCAAAGCCAAATTTGCCATCTAGATCCTATTACCATATACTTTGTATTATTAGCATCATCGTAACATAATAAATGTTCAGTCCCTAGACGCTTTTACAACCCTAACATGGAAAATGAGTTGCCTGGCATATGTCAGGCATGGTTCATATATAATTAGAATATATAATTAGAGATTTTATATTAAATCATTATCAATCAACAAACAAGTTTCTTCTAACATTTTAGCTATTATTAATTCTGCGATATTAGCCAAAGGTCTGCGGTAGCGTGAGCCACCTGAACGTAGATTGGCTTCCACCAAAATGAAGCGTAGATCAGGAAACCACCCAAAGAGTGAAAAGGCTCATCATAACATAATAATTTATGGTCCCTAGACACTTTCAAAGTCTCAAAAAGGAAAGAAGTTGATCTAACAAGTGTTTTGATAGACTGACATTATTAAATATAGAATCCAAGGAAAATAGCATGGATAACGATAATGTTATGTAATTTACCACCTACTTTCCACACGCTTTAAAAGTGTCTATTATTGTATTGTCTTCCTGATGAAAAGGGCATTGCCAGCCAGCCCCACCAACCGCCAAAATCAATTTCAACTCAGGCTTTTAGTCTACTCCAGATTGGCCAAATTCTGATGATTTTCGACTTGATCGAACTGTTTTGAAAGATTCGACTATATAAATTGTGTTGATCAACCAATACTCCCTAATGCATTACTACAAAAAAAAACTCCCTAATGCATCTTTGGAGTACTTTTCAAGGCGCATCCAATGGTACCAAGTAAGATAGGTGTTTTGAATAAACTTATTGAGCAATTTGCGAAAATATGAAAAGAGGTTTCTGGCTAAAAAGTCGAGATTTTACATATCAAATTCCCACAAAGATAATTTCAGAGGCTACGTTAGATCGATAGAAACATTTTGATTCCATACATACCATAGTAAAAGTCTTCATTTTCAAGGTCAAAAACGCGATCGTTTGATTTTCGGTGAAAACCATAAGGGGTACCTCATGCTTTTCGGTCGAATTTTGGCCATGTTTTTTTTGGTCCTCAAAAAGTTAAGCAAAGGTGTCAGGAAATTACTGCTACTCGAGTACAATTGTTTGGTGCTATTCTGACGATCTAAAACGGCCTTGAAAACAAGAAAACGCAGCGCAAAGACACCCAGATTTTGCTGTATTAGGGACACTAACAGCTAAAAAGAGGAAATACCAGTATAATTCTTGCCAGTATATGGAGTAGCTACGAGTATATGGATGTAGAGCATCACATAAGAATCAGATCTACAGATAATATGAAGGGTTTTCATGTGTAAGTGGAGGGTCCAAATAAAAGTAGCAGATATGCAAGGACAATCGGTAGCGCGAGCTGCCGCTGCGCAGGTTGGTTCTCATTGAAGCGAAGTGAAGGTAGAGAGGCATCTGAAGCGTAAACAATCGTATCAATAATAAAAGAGAAAGCACTATGGTGTTGGTCAAACATTGCACAAACCACATCCATTTAAAATAACAGCCTAAAAATATAACTTTTCTGATGTTACGCTGTACAACGCTTGTATAAATATCAATCTTCAGTTGAGCATGTGTTATGGGTATAAATCATCTTCTTTTCTTTCCTTTCTTCTATTCGATCTATTCATTTCTTTCTCTTGCTGCTAACATTACTCCTCTCCTTTCCACTCTCATTAATCATCATACACGGATTAAATGCACCGCTTTAATTTTATCCTCTTAATCGCACTGATCAGCATCTGTCAAGTTGTCAGAGCACAATTAGGGCCTGCCATTTTGTCACCTGCACAGAATGCCACTGTACCAGTTGGTGGCAAAGTGGATATTGTCTATCGCTACCAAAATATGGGCACTGGCAACTATTCTGTCGACATTCAGCTGTGGCAAGATGCAGCAGTTACAATCCCCATCTCTAATATCACCATAGATCATGAAATTAAAGGTGGAAACTCCAGTGGCGTCCAAGTGAATTTCTTGATGAATGATACATACACCTGGAGTGTGCCTCATGGTCTCAACAAGACCTTCTGGTTAACGGTTACTGAGAAAGCTGAAACAGCATTCTATACCAAGGGTATTTCTTTGCGCTCTCGTCCAGTGATGCTTCACCCAAGCTCTGCCATCATGAATAGTCCAGCCTCTTATGCTATTTTATCCACTCTTGCTATTTGCACCATTGTTTTCTCTCTTCTCTAAATCAATCAAACTCCACAATTTCACAAATCTTTTGTGATCACATAACTGTACCACATACACACAATAAAATGAAGATCATTAATTTTTTAAGGGTAGCTAAATGGATACTTGATCGATCATTATTTGATGGAACTCCTGCTTGCTTGATGTGCCTAAACCCTCAGGGACGTTGCCTCTCTCTTTTTTTTTTTCAGGGGGGAATCAAGGAATCACACATAACATGTCTTTATACTAATTGATCAAAAAATTTAAAATGCACCAACCAAAAAAAAAAAAAAGATCTATAAAAAAGGCTGTAAAACATCAAGGATGTCTTGTTCTTTCTACATTTTCATCAATAATACAAAATGCCTCCACAAGAACTCACTCCTCAACATAACTACAGTATCTTCAAAGACTGGGACAAATCATTCAAGCGATGGTTCGATAGCAGCTACAAGGCTGAATTGAAAAATGTCCATATCGGTGAGTTGGATTAAATCATACAATACCACTCATACTAACACAAGGCTCTACGATAGACTATGTTTTGAATGGTACCACTTGTCAACCCATCTCTCTCAAAGAATTCCAATTCTTTCTTCAAAACAAGGAACACTCAGCAGAGAATCTAGACTTCTACTTTTGGTATTTGGGCTACAAGAAACGGTTTGACAAGCTGTCTGATGATGAAATGGTCAAATCTCCTCCTCCCAACGAAAGACCCACTCCTGGTGTCATATATAATGCTCCCAAAACGTCAGGCAAAGACGGCGAGCAAGTTGCTGCAGATTTGGAGAAGAAAGATGGCATAGTAGCCCAGCAGCCATTCCGTGAAGAAATCAACGCTATTGCTCTAACCTTTTTCCACGAAGATTCGTTCAAAGAATTGAATGTGGATAGCTACCTCAGTAGATATGTCACATACTACAGCCAACAAACGACTCATCCCGATATCTTTGAAGAGGTGCATCAGCATATCTACAATATCCTCAAAACATCCAGTTTTCCTAGTTTCTGTCATCAGGCTACTAAGAATATTAGGTACACATTTTGGGTCATTGAATGGGCAGGAGTTATCTTCAATTTTCTTCATATCCCTGGCATCCTCTACTATACCTATTCCCACCATATGTCTCGCTGGTATCGCTTGAGTCTATTCTGGTTCTCCTTCTTTGGCTCTACGAGTTTTCTATCCGGAAAAGCTGGTTTCTGCACTATCAGAGGGTTCGCTAACTTTAGGCAGGTTCCTTTGTATGAATTCAGCGAGTACAAGGTTGAACGAGGATCCGTCGAAAAGTTCATTAAAAATGGGCCCATGGGATTGCCATTGCAGCAACAGCAGCCTGATCCAGAACAGGATGTCGATAAAGAGAAGCAAAAGAAGAGAAGTCTGACAGAGATTCTTGACCCCGAAGTACTGAAATATGGAAGGGTAGGTTTTCGCTGTTGATCTATGATTTACGTTGATGCTGACATTTCTTCATAGCAAATGTGGTGGCATATCATCATTGCGGGCATTATCTTCTCGTCGATAGTAACTATATTGGGTGTTTCCATCACAAATGAATACGACGTTCCTCCTGCTCCACCAATGCCTGCTTAAGCAGCATTCTTTTGATTATTCATAATCATTTATACTATTTATACTATACATTAATGCCCAATTATTCAACTAAAATTTTTTTGCGTACATACATCTTCCGCTATTGATGTTGGAATATTGTAGTGCGGGCCACATATTAAAGCTATGATGCTTGAGCATACAGATAGGAGCAATCGTACCTTATAGTGATACACAGGGATAAAGCAGTCATCATCGACCGTCTACAGGAATATAGGGCCCTATGGAGAGGCATTTTCTTTTTATCGGGGTGTTCAATGAGTAAGATATAATTAAGGCGATTCTCAATGACAAAGGCGCGACTAATCTATCACCCAGGGATTTTAATATATTTTTATCTCGATTAAAAAGGATGAAAAAGGGTAGAGAGCCCCAAGGGGATGTCTATGCATTGTGGGAGTCCATTGTGTACGTGGCTTTATGCATGAAATTTAAAACAAACAAGCATTTACATTTTGATGAAAACTGTTATATAACTAACTAATGAAATTAAACAACACTTTTTTATTTATAAACTGTCAATTCGCTGTCAAATAGCGAAGTATACAGTTACAATTGGCATTCGCTTGTCTTATATGGCATATGAACATTTTAAAGCAACTTGGCCATTTCGCCCACAGCCATTTTATCGTTGATGGTGGATGCATTTAACACAGACGTGTATTTGCTATACCAATAATTTAGTCATGTTATCCTATACAGGCGCCTCCTTTGTATGGTCAGCCATGGATTCAGTTTGCCGCGAACAGCTTGAATAAAAGACGTCGTATCCATTACACATAGGCTGTGTATATATCTACTCGATGAGATTCCTTTGCCACAAAACCCTTCCCTCCATTAGAAGAACCTAGGGTGAGAAGGGTATATCTCTATGCTCCCGGCATTCTTCTAACAGATCCATTCGATTTGCCTGTATTTACCCCCACCCCTTTCTTTCGCATATATCCAAATATGACAGCCGATCCGCAAGGAGATGAACATGATACTATAATTGCATTACTTTTTAATTGAATGTGTCATGACAACGGAAACTTTACGGAGCAGCATTATCATTTATTTCAGTCTATTTGAGGAGAGAGAAGAGTTAATGCAGAATATCTTTTTCATCGATCAAAAAACCAAATAGACATTACAGATTGCATAATTTTTGGGATGTGCTGCTGTTTCTGGATTTCATGACCACATCCTAATCCACATGTATACTCTCTTGAGCACATACATAGTTAGCAGAGTGGTAGACCACAGTTCTTTGCGAATGGTTAACGCACAGAGGCATTCAGAGATGCTGCATTAAGCATACATATACATTTTGATCTAATTTGCCCAGTGCAAAAAGCGCATTCCAGGAATTTAACAGCGTGATTATTTGATTTAAGCAATTGCATTTGCGAACACGCATAAACAGGTGCAAGTTCCATCAAGATTGTATCACCAAGGTACGATCTAGTAACAAATAATCAAAAGGGAGGCAGCATTATTCAGCAAGTTTCGCTGTGTATTGCAATGCCAGGCAGAGACGCGCTAAAATGTCACTTTTTAACCATTCACTATCACTGAAGTCCCTCCATAAGCGATATACATTTGTGGATTTGACTTTCTTATAATGCTCCATGTCTGTATCAATGAGAACAGTTCATATATGGGTAGGCAGCTTACTGGCATTGCCTCTTACTACTCAAAAGTATGCAAAACGCAGTGTGCGCTGGATATATTTGAGCAGTAATTTGTCGTAATAGAAGCAGCTTTGGGCCGCTAGAATAGCGTCCAACAATCACTCTTGTCTATAAGTTACTTCCTGACAACTTTGCCCAACTTTTTTAAGACCAAAAAAACATCGACCAAAATCGACTCAAAAGCATGAGGGATACCTCATGAAAATCATCAAGAATCAAACGATCGCATTTTTGACCTCAAAATTGAAGACTTTTACTATAGCATATAATAAATCAAAATGTTTCTCTCGATCCAGCCCAGCCTCCGAAACCACTTGTGTAGGTCTTTCATATGCAAAATTTCTACATCTTGGCCCAAATCGTTATTTCATATTTTCATAAATTGCTCGGTAAGTTCATTCAAACACTTCTTTTATTTGGCACCATTGGAAGCGCCTTTGAAAGTACCACAGGAAAGCTCAAAGGAACAAGGGATGATCATCACAATTTACATAGTCGAATTTCGTAAAATAGTTCAACTGAAGTCGCAAAAGACCAGAATTTTTTTTTAGGGCAAAAGAGCAGAATTTGACAAATCTAGGGCAAAAATCTTTATCTGGGTTTAAATCGATTTCGCTGCTTGTTGCCAAAATCAGTTTCTCTCTTATTATTAGCATGATTGCAGTGATGTTCTTGAAGTTTGTAAGAACGGGATTGCGAATTGAATATCGCTAGAGCCTAGTTCGGCTACAGTATTTTCACTTTTTTCGTGGGGTTTCACATCTGATGGCTTAGGTGCTTATAAAACGCTCTTCTAAATACAAACCTCAGTGTAAATGCAAACCTGCACTTCCTAAATTGGAAAGCCTTAGTAATACCCAATATATGAATATAGGCGTGTTTTATTCATCAGTCTACAAATGAACCATAGCATGGCATTTGGATACCTAGTTTGAAGCTGTATCGCAGCTTAGTATTAGAGCTTTGTAAAAGACACAACCCAGTCCAAGAAGCTTGGGTTGTGCAACTCATTTTTAGCGACATGGATTGATTTTCTTGTCATCAAATCAATCGGATATCAGTCAATTGACACTTCATTAATCGTTCATACCAGAGTGTATAAGTTTCTGATATACCTAGCGCTTCTGATACCTTTTCACTGCTTATTTACAGAAAAATACTTATAACCATGCTACTGCAAAGGATAACCGACGACTATTGACAGCCAAAATTGGACAACTACGGAGCCCACAGGTCAATCGGCCAAAGTGAGTATTTCTTTTCATTTTTTAAACAAACTCTGTCATATAGTGATAGACTCAGCAACCCAAAAACCAAAATTATTGGTATATTTCAAATATAGAAAAACGTACATATTGAAAAATGGCGTTCTGGTTCTTAACGTTGAGGCAACATATTGAAGTGATAAGTGTCCAGTTTATTGCAAGACTGACAGCGCCTCTCATTTCTCGTTAGATTTGCCAACTCACTGAATGCAGGAAATGTATAGCCTCTTTCATCGCATAATAATCTTACCTAATCTGAATCAAACACAGCAAATTGCTTTGTTTGTGGTCAGATCAAGTTTCAGTCCTTGATTAAGCAACACATTGTGTTATTAATTTCCCTAAACCGCGTTAAATGTTTTGAAATGGTTCGCACTAGCCTTACGAGAATAAATTTCTTATAGCTATGTCTTGTGAACATACTCAGCGCATGTCTTTTATGATCATGAACGACACCGCAATTTTTGACATATTCTTATAAAATACTATTAATCGGATGTCTTCCGAATAATTCTTTTTGCTTGGATGATGGCCCTGAATTTGGGCATATTCCTGGGTAGCACAACTTGACAGAATTGACACATTGGTAAACTTGCCTTATAAAGGCGCTTGAAGTTGAGCTATTGCAAGGACGATAATAACAAGCATTAGCCTGTAAACTGGTTATAAACAATGGTGCTTAGTGCAATGAAAATCCAACTGATTTCTGGAATATTGATCTTGTTCAAGCGCTTTGGTTGATATCTCATCCTGCACAGATGAGGTGACCCCAACGATATCTCAAGTTAATTTATTGTTTATATATTTATGCAATTAATGGACGAAATGTCAGCGGCGAAGACCCCTTTTCACGTAATTGATTTGAATCATTTTCCTGGGTATCATTGCTTTCTAGCTTTTAATAGACCAACTTGCGCGTGGTTTATTACTGTAAGAAATCAGTAGAAAATAAGCAATAAATGCCCAGTTTCAGAATAGCCGTTGAGTTGCCGTGTTTAGAGAATTCCAATGTTTATTTTTATTATGATCGAGATCATCAGTTTGGCGCTAAGGAAAGCATTGCAATTAATGATGTGATTCATACGACGGAACATGTCAACAAAAATCATATAAATACAAGGTGATCAAAGCGTCGTTGCTATTTCTGCATCATTCAAACACATAATACCTCAATTAAAATGACTCGTAGTATCGCTGTATTGCTTGTAGGTTTAGCATCTCTCTGTGCTTCTACTTTGGCGAATCCCATTGCATTTCGTTCCAATGCTATTGACACATCTTCAAACTTAAATTCAAGCATAGATAGCCCCTTTGGTGATCTGAGAAAGCGCAAGAACCATGATACCTACGTCTGTACCTGTACCTATACCAAGGGATCCAATAAAAAACACAAGTTTACAACCACTGTTACTGAAAGCGACATCAAGACGGTGACCAAGACGGTGTATCCATCAACTCAAAAGCCTGGTGCTACTGTCACTGTGACCAAGGGCGGTAGTGGTGCTACTGTAACTGTTACAAAAGCAACCCATACAGTGACCCATCATGCTAGCAAGACAAAGGGTGATGACTCTCTCGTCACTGTAACCGTTACTCGAACTAAGACTCAAACTGAAACTGCTACCTCTACCGTTATTGTCGATGATAGCACCACCACCATCAAGGCACCTTCTAGTACTGCTACTGCCACTGCCACTGATAGCGGAATTATTACCAAGACCATCACAAAGAAGGGAGGGCATCACAAGCACAACGGTAAAGAAACTATCGTCATCATTCATCCTGCTGAAACCATCACCATCACTAAAAAGCACGGTAAAAAGGTCACTTCTGTCAAGCCCAAATCCACAAAGACTGTTACCACCACACTCTCAATGGTCACTCATACTGTTACAGAGCCCGAATCTACTATTACTGTCACTAAGAACCACAAAACCAAGACTACTGTAAAGCCCGGAAAGACCACCACTGTTATTGAACCTGCCACTACTACATCAACTACTGATTCTGCCTCATCCGATGGCTATTCCACACAAACATCTACCAGTACTTCATCTACATCTTCTCTCCACACAGCTTCTACTACTGGATCCACTTCGTCTAATGCTTCTGTTTCTGCTGTCATATCGACAGAATCTGATTTCACAACTGCTACCACCTCAGGTGCCATCACTTCTACAAGCGCTTCATCCACTACCAAAACCTCCACCGGCCCTCACTCTTCTTCTACTGAATCCGGCTCAACCAAGGCCGACTCCACCACCTCCAGTGTTTCTGATTCTGCCACAGGTACCTCCACCACTCCCACATCAGAGGCCAAGACTTCTTCTGATGAGTCTTCTATCATCACATCTGAATTCTCCACCAAATCTTTTACCAATTCTGATATTACTAGCAAGCATGAAGAGACAACATCCACCTCTGCTGATAAGGAGACCACTTCTACTTCTGAGGCTCATAAGGCTACTTCTACAACAGAGAAGGATGGTGAACCTACCTCGAGCATCGAGGATAAGGAAACCTCTACTTCTGAACAAAAGTCTACACCTACCTTTACTAGCCACAAGAGCAGCTCCACCGATGGCGGTGAGTCTACATCAACCAAGGATAAAGAGAATACTACAAGCACGGAAAAGAACAGTACCTCTACTACTGCCAAGGATGAGCCTACTACAACCGCTGAGCAAGACAAGGTTACTACCACATCAACCAAGCAAAAGACATCTGCTTCTGAAGAGGATGAGCCTATCAGCACCACCAAGGAGAAGACCACCACGACGGCTGAAGAGAAACCTACTACTACTGCCAAAAAGGAGGAGAAGAGCACAGCTACCAAGGACACTGAGGATAAGGAGACATCTTCTTCCAAAGATTCCAAAGATGAAGAGGATAAGGCCACTACCAAGGATGAAGATGCTTCAGCCACCAAGAACAGTGATGAGTAACCCTATTTTCACTCTACTGGCATTCCCTATCACGTACATGAGAAACGCTTAGCAAATCGTTTGTAATTCTGGTCAACTACATACTATAGCTATCTCTCCATTTCTATCATGTTTCTTTTCAATCAAAATCATACCAAAATAAAAGCAATTCATATAAATCAAATCTATTAAGCTTTTTTATTGTTTAGCTTTGTAATTCCATTCTCATTCAGTTCATCAATTTCTAGGCTAGACAAGCCCAAGATATCCTTCAAAACTTCGGTTGTATGCGCGCCCAAGTCAGGACCTATATGTATGGTTAGCAGATGTTTGAAAGAACGTGAGCGATCTGTGATATTACCAGCCCATTCGGTTGAACCAGGAGTTGTACCGAGGACAGGCGACATTCCAGGAACCTATTTACATGGCAGATGAATAATTTTTATTGATAGAGAGGGGCATACACTCTATTACCTTCAAATTCCATCCTCTGCCATCTTCTTTGGTTCCTACTGTAATATTCTCAATCATGCCTCTTGCATTGATATGGCCATCCTCCACTATATCCTTGGCATCATAAATCTTTCCTGCGGGCACAGACACTTTTTCTAATACATCAAGCACTTCATCCGTAGTGCGCTCGGATGTCCAAGCAGCTATTGTAAATACGTACTACTTTGTAAGCATTACCCCCATTTAGCTATTCGAAAGATACACTTACAGATGGCACCATCAATAGCTTCTTGCTCCTTGACTCTATCCGAGTTCACCTTGTACTTTTCACCAGTCTATATATCACCGTTAGCCAGTATTTATATGCCAAGATGAATGAAACGCTTACAAGGTCACTTCTTCCAATGGCATTCATGAGTCGAACATAGATACTATCTCCATTTCCACCAATGATAACATGCTTTCCATCTTTACAAGGATACGTATTTGTAGGGACGATACCAGTCAATGTAGTTCCAGATGGTTGACGGATCTGTTTGGTGCATTCAACACTGTGAGTACATCCCTCTGGTTTACAAAACCTTAGATGTTACCTGATTAAATCGATCGTATTCAGGAACAACGCTTTCCATCATATTGAGCATACTTTCGTAAATGGCTACATCAACGACCTGTCCAGTTCTCTCAGCTTGATTCTGACTAAGCTTGTTTTTGGCTACCAACGACAACAGTACACCAAGGGTAGCATGCAAGCCAGCCAAGGAATCCCCCAAGCTCATATTGGGCCTTACAGGAGGTTGTCCTGGATGTCCATTGATGAATCTAAACCCACCCATACCTTCACACACTGAAGCGTATCCTGGTCGTTTTGAGTAAGGCCCAGTCTGGCCATAGCCAGAGATGCGAGTATAAATCAGTTTAGGGTTGGAAGGATATATATCCTCTATAGGCTCTTGAGTAATTTGACATGTCTTGCATCAGCTCAACTCTACTGTCTTACCTGGCCCTAAACCCCATTTTTCCATTGTTCCAGGTTTGAAATTCTCGATAAGAACATCTGATTTTTCGGCCAAGCGTTTGACAAGTCTAGTATATCTTATGTCAAAACCATAGCATTCTCCTTGTAAATCCTCTTTTCCACTTACTTGCGGCCCTTCTCTGTCTTCAAATCAATACAGACTGATTTTTTGTTCCTTGCCATGGATCGGAACCATGGACTCTGACCATCACTGTCTAGGTTGCGCCAAATACGGAGAGGATCACCGATAATTGGTGGCTCAATTTTAATCTGCAGTCGTTTACACTGGTCAGCACCTTTGCATTAACTGATCTTGTAGGCATCCAACTTACCACCTCTAATGAATGCAATCAAATTTTAGTGAGTCGTATAACAAACATAGTATATGATTTCTTTTCTATTACCTGCACCATAATAACTGTTGTCCAATTCGACAATAAATCCCAATCAGTTAGAATGCGAGTTGCTTTTTTGAATAATGTCAACATTACCCGAGAATCGATCCACAAAATGGGCCAGCAATCAGCTGATTGTACGATAAAAATGCTTAGTCCAGCGCTTAAAATTGATGGCTACCATTCTAAGATTATACCTGTCCTAATTCCAAAACTCGGATCCCTTCCAGGGGCTTTGTAACTTTGGTTGCATTAAATCTTCTCGAAATGCCTAATTACCACGTTAATCGGCATTAATACACATCTAAAATATGCATCGCATCGACGAGTCGAACATTTACCTGAAGCCTTCAGGCTAAAGTGTAAAGTATTTCGACTGAGCATATCAAAAAAAAAAATATATTGAAAAGAAAAAGAAGATCTGATTTTTGACATTCAGGCACGTTTCTGGTTGGAAAATGCGATGAGTCTAATCCAATCAAACTTGCTTGTTTGATGTAACATGGAGGAGCGTAGATGCTGCCGCACAGACTGACAGATTTGGTGGGTTACTACTTGGAGAGAAACACCGAGGAAAATTTTCGTAATGCCTTGACGTGCATACTGTCGCATTACATATACCTTCGTGGTTCTTCTGCTTGTGATACAGAGCTGGCTGATCTGCAGTCCGTGGCATACGAAAATGAAGGGCCAACGCTCTGTCCTAGTCTGCTGTTCTTGATGACTGAAAGCAAGACCAACCACCTCGGCCATCTGCAGATTGGCGGATGTATTCGCAACTAGTGTGTCGAGATATGCCCACTGATGCTGCTCTTGTTTTACCTGTTAGCGCATTTTTAATCGAATGGCGAACCTTTCCGGAACCTCTCCACTTCAAAAGAGTGGTTCAATATCAAACTCTTCAATGCCTCAAGCTCATCAACAGAGCAAATGGATCGCAAAACGCACAGTGCTGCAGTCAAGGATGGCCTGCTTGCTTGTTGCATTAGCTCATCCAAGGCTACTCATTTGTTTCGCGGTGCTGGTGCTCGCATGGCTGATGCATTTGGTGTCAACGAGAGCCAGATACGAAGAAACGGACGCTGGAACTCTAGCAGCATTAACAGGGCGTATCTTACGGGTTTACTCCGAAATCTCATGAGACAGCTTGCTGACTTTCCAAAGGAAATTGTTTATTCTTACCTACCAAGGGGTACTCTGAAACTGCCCGAGGAATTGCAGAGAGTGGCGTATCACGAGTTAAAAGAATGGGTTGATCGCATTAACTCTAAGACAGCGCAAAAGACAGGTACCGTGGTTGGTTTCATCAAATTGCTGCGTTCGCTGAGAACGGGTTTCCTCCAAAACTCTGTACAAATGCGAAAGCCATTTCCTGATCGTTTCATCTGGCATCATATCATTTTAGGACACCCGTTATTGTGCAAGAAATTCAGCGAGTAAGTTGTAGCATATTTGCAATCATTCTCCTTGAAGTAACCTTATTGTAATCTCAGAGATTTGTCGCTGTTTAGAATAACAAAATATAGACAGAGTAAATACAATTAGAACTGAATATATTTATTATGTTATTCCAAGATTGAATAGGGATCAAAACTAGTGTAGATATCAAAGGTATTTATAGTTATTTGACAGTGCCGCAGCAATAGGACCTTGATCTTGAATGCGGGATAATTGTATAAGCCTTGAACCAGTAACGAGGATGTGCTGCATCAGAACTCATGAACCACCAGTCAAGGATAAACAACAAAGATGATCCAGGATAGAATGTTCTTCCTAATAGCTTTGACGGAAGAACATTTGTCGGAATTGAAACCCACTTCCAGGGACGAAAGACCATAGGCTACCACTCTCTAGGAACCAGGATATAGATTAGCCATTTGATGGCACCACTCATGTTCCTTCGTGCTGCTTGAATAAAGACCTCTCGCTTCTACTATGCATCTCAGCTCATTCTCAGATCCTCTTATGTAATAAACGACGCTTAATACATTTGCCTCTCAGAGATGATCTATATCCTCAACAGTCGCTTAATGTACAAGACCAAAAGGCCAATGATCCAATTGGCATGCAGCTACGTGCTGCTGTGCCTATCATTGAAGCGGAAAATACTATTGTACTATGTCCAAAAACTTTGGTATGAGGTAAAAGATAACAGCTCACGAAACTGAAGCTTGTAGGAAATTAACGATAAACAACGCATATTTGGCGGGGCATTTGATACTGCTGGGAGAATCCTGTGTCTAATATACTGCTGTATAGTGCCTACTATTATACAAGCTTTTTTAACCATATAGTCAATTTAAGAGATATTCCTCATATGAAAGTGTTTAATGGATGCTAGATCAAATGGTTGCATCTTGTCTTGCCTTAGAATATATAAAAGAACTTAAATTGTAACAGTTTAGATACCCTTTTATTACAAAAACAATATAGAGTTAAATGACAGATCAATAAAAGATCAACTAGCTAAAACCCTTTGGTGCCTCATCCTCCGAGCCAATCAAATTGTTTGAAAACTCCGCTGACCTAAAAAAAAAATTGCGAGGGTTTCCCCCGGTTTTGATGTGAGGCAAAATTTTAAGCGCCGTTATAATAGCAATATAGCCGCCGCTATCATCAAACTTCCCCCAGGTGCTAGAGCATGCCTTACTTACACCACCTAGCTTTAAATACTGGCATTGAGGCCCTCAATCATCACTAAAGTAAGTAGCGATAACCAAGTGGAGGCAGCCTATCTACCTCCTAGCCTCGGATAGAGTCTTGTTGAGCTTCAGGGATAGGCACATCCACACAACGTAAAAAAAGGTATGCTTCAAAGAAACATAATAATAAAAGAAGCGAACATAATAATACTATAGAAGTATAGTACGTTATGAATAAAACATTAAAAATGTTCACGTTATTATATTCTTGTTATTGCAACAAAAATATATACATGAGCAATGTGCATGATAACAGTCTGATGATGTAAAAGAACACAAATGCGCACAATTGCAGGAGCAACAGTAGCAGCAGTATAAGTGTTGTAATACAACATGAAGACCAATGTTGTTTTCATGTGAAGCGACAGAGGCAACACAAACAACAATCCACGGTTATATAACATAGTATCACAAGAAGGGTGATACAATTATATAGCAGTGTGTCATGCTTGTTGTTCGTAAATACGAAGCAACAACATTGCAAGTATTTGTTGAGCTGATCATATCACAGCCAGCAAAAAAAAAAGAAAAGGCAATAAAGCAAACAGCATGAATGCATTATCGCGGGAAAGGAAGCAGTAGTACAAACGTTCAAAGAAGTTTATATCATTGCGACCACAAGAAAAAAAAGATACTTACTACTTCTTACCACAGCATCACGACCAGAGACAGACCAGAGAACCAGCATACATCAAAGACAACAGACCACAGGATAAGCAAACATCAGAGAAGAACCACCGAAGCAACGATATACCATCAAAGCAGCCACCGCCAAGTGTGCAGCCAGTGCACAGCAAAAGATCAGAAATAGATCCCTAGTAGAGTTATTCCAAGTATAACCACAGTATAAAACGCGTTAACACTGTATCTTACGTCTATTGCGCAGCTTTCAATTATACTTGCTTCAATTCTATTCACAAAGGCAGCGTTGTTTCATGAGTAGAGAGCTTGCGAAGTATAGTATATATATATATATATAAAGACGAAAAAAAAAAAGGAAAAAAAAATGCTAATAGAAGGCTGAGGCTAAAAGACGTCACTGTTATCAATGTACCGCAAGGTAAGTACTAGAATTTGATAGCTTGCTACAAGGTAGCAAAGCAAGATATGAATTAGCGATTTTCACCATGAGGTTCGCCAACACCTTACCTATTAATCCGTTACATGTAATTAAGAGGTTATATTTGACAAGGGTAGCGAATTTACGTTTGAATTGAGCTACATACTAAAAAAAAAGGCGGTATTTTAAACTATCAATAGCCCAACCTCCATAATACTCAAAATGAGGATTCATGGATTTCTGAAATCGTTTAGCCTTAATATCATGCGACTCTGAAAATAAAATTGCTTTCCAGCTAAATAAAACTTGGGGTAGAATTTAAAGGAAAATCTAATGATACCAATTTTAAGTGTTTTGGCCGACGTTATTAGGCTGATTTTTGATAGAATAGTTTTTGCGATTTTTTGGTTGTTTTTGACAGATTACCAGGTTTCTGTCATCAGAGCTTCACTTGCAATACTCATCATAGTTTAGAACAGACAAGAGCCTATCGAACAAGCCCTGATTCAAAGCTCTAGTATGGCTCTATCACGAGATATCGCCAATTTTGTACCTCGAGAGAAATTGCTATCCAGATTTTTGCCTTGCTATCACAGGCAAATTTTGCATAAAAATCGATGATTTTGCAAGATTACATTTTTTGTCATATCTCAGGAAAGATGTGTCGTATTTGAATAAAACAAAAACCATTGAATAGCTCTACGTTGGATCTACTTTTATGTAAAAAGTCTAGGTTACAAATATACGCTTCCTTCATGATTTTACTTAAAAACTCTGTATTTTACGATCTTTAGGCAGAAACGTTGTCGAACAGTTCTAAATAGAGCTATATTAGCCACGGAACTTGGTACAGAACTGAAATGCGCATTGAATAATACCACACATAGATAATGTTATGTATCTTGTACATAAATAAGCTTATTTTTCGTCTGTTTTGGAGATTCTCTAAGGGGAGGAGTATGTATCGAATCTGCACTACTTCATCATCTATACTGTTCTTCAATGTGTAGACCAAAAAGAAGGAACTATCCTTTAAGGCCTAAATCAAGGAAAAAGACTATCGTTTAAAGCCTTACATTTAAAGCGGTACCATCAGTTTAAATAGAAGAGCTACACTACTACCGAAAAGGTCAGCTCCAGTCAAACTGTCGAAAATGGATCGCTCAAAGGTAGCATTTGTTACAGTGGCGCATATAACTTTTCTTTTGTGCACCAGCATTCGTCAGCACTAGTCCATGCATGTGCCCTGTGTTTATTTTATAAACTTGAGTACCGTATAGGTGTTTCCGTGCTGTTGTCAATGAAGAAAAATGTGCTTTTGCCACTATCAACTCCAATCTTGGGGGGAGAGGGGGGGTTTAAAACTCCATTTTGGAAGAAAAGTATCATAGATAGTTATATGACGCCTTATCTTGTAGAATAAAGAAAGGGGAACAAGATACAATGAATGGATTAAGTTGATTGAGTTGGGAAATTTATAAAACATGGCGTTTGTTTATATAATACATCATCTCTCAACAACAGCCCGCCATCCTATTATCTAACATTCAATTGCACCATTACTACTACTATTATTATTATTATTTTCTTTTTATCAACATTTGGCTATAGCAACATGCTACTTTCAATGCTCTAGCACTAGTATTTCAAAACTTGAATTTATATGGCCCAAATCTTGAAGCCAAAAATACTATTGTACTATGTCCAAAATCTTTGGTATGAGGTAAAAGAGAGCAACCCACGAAACTGAAGCTTGTAGGAAATTGATGATAAACAATGCATGTTTGTTGGGGCATTTGATACTGCTGGGAGAACCCTATGCCTAGTATATTGCTGTATAGCACACACTATTACACAAGCTTTTTTTTTTTTACTATAAAATAAATTTAAGAGATATTCCTCATATGAAAGTGTTTAATGGATGCTAGATCAAATGGTTGCATCTTGTCTTGCCTTAGAATATATAAAAGAACTTAAATTGTAACAGTTTAGATACCCTTTTATTACAAAAACAATATAGAGTTAAATGACAGATCAATAAAAGATCAACTAGCTAAAACCCTTTGGTGCCTCATCCTCCGAGCCAATCAAATTGTTTGAAAACTCCGCTGACCTAAAAAAAAAATTGCGAGGGTTTCCCCCGGTTTTGATGTGAGGCAAAATTTTAAGCGCCGTTATAATAGCAATATAGCCGCCGCTATCATCAAACTTCCCCCAGGTGCTAGAGCATGCCTTACTTACACCACCTAGCTTTAAATACTGGCATTGAGGCCCTCAATCATCACTAAAGTAAGTAGCGATAACCAAGTGGAGGCAGCCTATCTACCTCCTAGCCTCGGATAGAGTCTTGTTGAGCTTCAGGGATAGGCACATCCACACAACGTAAAAAAAGGTATGCTTCAAAGAAACATAATAATAAAAGAAGCGAACATAATAATACTATAGAAGTATAGTACGTTATGAATAAAACATTAAAAATGTTCACGTTATTATATTCTTGTTATTGCAACAAAAATATATACATGAGCAATGTGCATGATAACAGTCTGATGATGTAAAAGAACACAAATGCGCACAATTGCAGGAGCAACAGTAGCAGCAGTATAAGTGTTGTAATACAACATGAAGACCAATGTTGTTTTCATGTGAAGCGACAGAGGCAACACAAACAACAATCC